TTTTTTTTTTTTTTTTTTTTTCCCCTTGCCGTCTCAAGCGATCCCCCTTTGGGCTTGGGAACTTTAGGCGCCATACAGATATCGCGGCTGCGCTGTCAACGCAATTGCAAGCGTGACGCCCAGGTGCTTTTTTTTCTCTTTTCTCTCTTTTTTCCCCCTTCCCTCTTTTTTTTTCTATACAGGGCATCAAAGCGTCTCCTCCTGCCTTTTCATCTCGGCAAAAGCCTTGGCCGTGTGAGCTCCGCATCAGACATCCCGGCTTGACCACGCCAAACCCCCCTCAAGAAATCCTTCCCCATCTCCGCCTTCAGGGGATCGCTGACCGCTCACCGCTCACCGCTCGACGCCCGTCGCCATCGCCATCGCCCTCGTCATCATCATCTCCAAGCATGTCTTCCCACGGCCAGCAACCCGCCGTCCCCATCTCCGTCACCATCTGCGGCGACGGCGGGTGCGGCAAGTCGTCCATCACGCTGCGCCTCGTCCGCTCTCAATGGACGTCGGAATACGACCCCACGATCGAGGACTCGTACAGCGTCACCCGCCGCATCGACGGCACCACGTACCACCTCTCCCTCACCGACACGGCCGGCCAGGAAGAGTACCGCGGCATGTGGGCGTCGTCCAATCTCGGCGCCGATGCCTTCCTCATGGTGTACGACATCACGTCGCGCGAGTCCCTCGACGCCCTCCAGTACTTTGACGACCTGATCGACATGGAGGCCGAGACGCGCCTCGACAACGCCGCGCGCGCTCGCCGCGCAGGCGTCAACCCCGGCCATGCCAACACGGGCACCGGCAGCGGCTCCAAGACGGTCCCGCCCGTCAAGATTGTCGCCGGGAACAAGTGCGACCTCCAGGAGAGCAGGCAGGTTCCCGCCGCCATGGGCCTCGACTGGGCGCGCAAGCGGGGCTGCGGCTTCATGGAGACGAGCGCCAGGCTCGAGGTCAACATTGAGGAGACGTTTGCCCTCATTGTCCGCCGCGTCGTCGAGAGGAGGCGCCTCGCCGAGATGGGCGTCATGGACAACACCGAGATGAATGCCCGTGGCATGACCAGGCCATTGACCCCGCTGCCCGTGGAAGGCGACCCGGAAAAGCGAGGCCCCGGACTTTACGGTCCGTCACTGAACGGCCAGACACCCGCTGGCCGTGGTCAAGGCGGATTCTGGAAGAAATTGCGATGTTGGTGACTGTCTTTTGTTGGTCTGTGGACCTTTTCTCTCGTCCCCTTCCCTCCCCGGCGGGGTCTCGTTCTATTCACGGCGCCGGAGCCTTGGTATAGTGTGCATCACGAGTTTGGTTTTGTGAATCTATGATTTTCTTTCTTTCTTTCTTTCTTTCCTTCTTTTTTTTAGGCATATACCATAATTGGGTTTGGCGTTTTCATGTTTTCGGGAGGGATTGGGTCGTCCTATTTGAGATAGGTTGGATATGGCCCCCCCCCCCCCTCTTGTCTCTGGAGAGAAGAACAAAAAGAAAATCTTGTCTGGGCCTGTCTACGGAAATGGTTGGGATTTTTTTTTATAATTTTTTTGTTTTCGGGTTTCGACATGTGGCAGTGTTGTTGGTTTACGAGGTTCGGTCCGTGACGATGCAATGTTTGGGATTACAAATGGATTAGCGAGCGAGCTTGTGTACATCGTCGCAGGCATAACTCACAACAGCGACTTGATTTTGTTCAAGGCTAAGCACCGATGCTGACGTCCATGATGCCGGAGACGGGAGAAAGCCGCCATCTCTAGTCTCCGAAGATTCAACTTGATTGAAAATTGGCCCTTTGCAGCACGTTGGCAAAAGGCACACCAACGAGCGCGGGTGTAGTACTGTACTATTATGTATGACCTGCAGCAGGGTCCTCGGCGCATGTTTTCCACGGCTTCCCTTGCCGGAAACAAAAAACGCCCCAAAGCCTCAAAAAAGGTCTATTGCTCGGGGCGCTCACCATTTTTGCTCGGGGCGCTCACCACCCCACATGACCCACTTTTTATGCGGCAAGCCCCGCTGCCATGCCCCACGGTACATTTTTGGTACAAAGGTATGGCAGCTTTACTCAACTCCAAAAATCGTCATTGAATAATGCTGCAGCCCTATGAATTTTTCAATAGGCAGCAGCTTTTTCCTTCAACAACAACATCGCAATGCCTCACGAAGGCCCTCACAACCCCTTAAATCCGCCCTCAAATTTGCCGCCCTCGCCGGGCTATGGCAGCTTTAATGACCTCTACAATGCTGTACAAGAATTTGGGCAGCAAAATGGTTGTGCCTTCAGCAAGAGCTCTATGAGGCCAAAGACCCTGATAAACGGCATTCAACAATCGCGGGCGGGCTGGCTTGATTGTGATCGCGGCGGCCGTCAAAGAGGGCCTTGAGGCGCTGGAATTCGAAATACAAGCTCCCAAAAAACCAGCTGCAGTTACCGGCTTAAAGTGACCTCTGCTAATTATTCTGGTTATTAGGTATGGCATTATAAGGAGCAGGGATTTCACAATCACAATAAATCTAGTGATGCCTCTGCGCACGCGATCTATTAAAGATTTATAGATTAACAAAAGCAGCGAATTTCAAGCCTTTCCAATTATGCGAGCCTTCAACCTCGAGGAATTAGTACAATGATTCGCGATGAAGATAAAGACAATCTTTATTTCCGACTAAAAGACATCTACAATCAGCGTCAACGAGCCCGTTAAGTCAAATTAAGCGGCTACACATCTTCCCAATAGTTCGTCAAGGTCCTTCAAGAAAGAGGCCTTTATCACAGATATCTCCTTAATGATGAAAATCGCATCAAAAGCGCTGTGTGGACCTACCCTTATTGTATTGAAAAATAGAGGGTTTTTTCAGAGTTTATTGGTATGGACTATACATACAAGACTAACCGCTGGGGTCTCTATTTATTGAATGTTGTTACGGTCACCGATTAAAAATCAATTGCAAATATCGCGTTTGGCTTTACACGAACCGAAAGAGAAGAGGGCTATTACTGGATGCTAGCTGCATTAGAAGAAATTCGCATTAAGCTCTAAATCCCTGCTCCTAAGGTTGTTATAACAGACTTTGAAAAGGCACTGAAGAACGCCCTTAAAGTCATTTGGCCTAAGACACAGCAGCAGATTTGCATTTAGCACATTCTATTGAACGTCAAGAACAACTTCCACAAGAAATAGATTGAAGCCGCTAATAACAACGAATATAACAAGTCAAAAATTGAAGCTTTTGATGATAGCCCAATGGGGGCTTTCTTGGCCTTTTAAATGCTAGTTTATGCGAATACAATTAACGATTTTTAGTCTACCTAGATCTAGATGATTAATACATATAAATCACAGCAATCTGCAATCCTCTACTATATGGAAGAGACCTATCTTAAGGTCAAGCAACAATAGGCTCACTGCTTTACAAAGGGATATTGAAATTTCGGCGAGAAGGCAAACAGCTTTACAGAGGTCTCTTATAGAGCTATAAAAATCAACCTGTTTGTAGGAACAGGTGACTTTTTATTGCTTCTCAATGGAATTGACCAGACCCTCAAGACCCAAGAGCGCAATTATTGCGCTTGCACAGCCAAAAATAAAGTCAAGCAACGATTCCTAATCAATCGCGAAGAATGGCTTAGTGCGCTGCCTACACAGATATCCTACCGAGCTGTTGACCTTCTGATTGAGCAACACAAGCTTGTTCAAGCTCATGAAGCAGGAACGCAAAACCTACAACATTATACAGGCTGTTTTACTAAGCAATATAGTCTCCCTTATGCACATCACATTTTGTTGAAGAAAAATATCGCCAAGCCGCTGCAGAAGGATGAAATTGATCGCCGCTAGTAGCTACAAAAGCCCTTAGTAAATGCCTGCTTGAGTTCCCTCCTTATTTTCATAGAAATCATAGCTGACCTTAACATCTAGAGTCTTAATGACCTATATCTTCGAATTCGCGACCCAGCGCCTGTCTTAAACCGCCAGCGCAAGGCGGCAATGAACAGAAAAGATAGTCAACACCAATCTTCACATGAAAATAGCAGTCAACAGTTATTTAAAAGACCTCAATTCAGCCAACAAGGCGCTCAAAGACCTCCCGCACCCAGCATTCGCAGAGATCGCACACAAGCAGAGATTGAAACTGCCGCAAGGAATCAACGCTCCTGGCGGCAGCCGCCGGCGTCATCACAACGATCGAATCGCAATACAAATAACAGGGAAAGAAGACCAATTGGAAGACAGGGCTCCCTTGAGATTGAGGAATTCATTCCTTCAACGCCGTTGCCGCTATTGCAGCCGATAGATGTGACTGGATGGGTAATTGAGCGGCCGGAACAACTAGAAAATCCGGCCCGATTGTGAACACATTGAGCGAAAACACCGGAAATCGCGTTTTTGAGCGATTTGGAGCGGCGCCGTTGAGAAATTCGTATAAATTACACAAGCACCTTTTCGATTAATTGAGGGCATTTTGCTGCCATACATTTGTACTCAGAATGTACCGTGGCGCATGGCAGCGGGGCCGCTAGACCAAAATCGGGGCGTGGTGGGGTATTGAGCGCCCCGAGCAAAAATGGTGAGCGCCCCGAGCAATAGACCAAAAAAGCTGTCGAAACCAAAACGACGCCGGCACGTCCCTGTCTATAATGTAAGCATCTGCACTGCACTGCACTGCACTGCACTGCACTGCATTACATTTGCGTCTGCGTTTGCACCTGCCGTGACCACGACCGTGACCACGACCGTCACTGCCTGCTGGCAACCCAGTCCTTCCACTTCTTGTACTCGGGGTAATCCAAGCTCGCCTTCTTGCCCTGATAGCGCGTGACCTTGAGCGCCAGCGACTTCCACCTTGAGCGGCCGCCCATCCAGCCCGCTTTGCGGACGAGGCTGTAGAGCGCCTCGTCCTGCGTCCAGCCCTGCTCGGAAGCCACGTCGGGCAGGTACGTCGCTCCGTAGCGGTGCCCCCTGTCGACAAAGGACAGGCGGATGCCGTGGAGCCCCACCTCCCAGTCGTAGGCGTCGTCGGCCTCCTCGAAGTCGGTCAGCAGCGTCACGGCGGCCTGGAGCTCGGGCAGCTCCTCCCTGGCAATGGGCGAGAAGCGCGTGTCCTGGAGGGCCGAGATGGTCGCGTACTCGGGCAGCGCGACGCTGAGGGGCTGGGACTCGAAGGTGCCGATGCACCCGCGCAGAGAGACGTCGTGGCCCGAGACGGTGTTCCAGGTGACGAACAGCGGGGCCGAGGGGGCGCCCAGCGACAGCGAGGATGTCGACGTCGCGGGCGTGGACGACGACCACGCGGGCGAGGCCGAGGACGAGGACTCGGCGGAGTCGGAGTCGGCGGCTAGACGGCGGAGGGCTGGGGCCTTGAGAGCCGGGGCGTTGCTGCTGCTGCTGCTGCCGCTGCTGCCGCTGGACACGCCGGGTTCCGAGTCGGAGACGGAGCTTGTGTAGAGCGCCCACGAGGACTCGATCTCGCCGAGGGAGAGGGGCTTCCGGTCCTCCAGGTGAGCGTCGAGGGCTTCAAAGCACATGAGGCAATGGGCTGCGCTTGCCATTGTGGGCGAGATGGGAGCGTCTGTCCGCTCGAGAGGGGAGAGAGGGGGGGCGGATGAGGGGAGGGAAGGAGCGACGAGCTGGCGGGACGACGGGCGAGGACGAGGCAGGGCGAGGTGAGGCGAAGCAAGGCGAGCTGCTGAATTCTGGCTTGGAGTCGTCTGGCGGCTTTGTATTGGCTACTATACCTAAAGTACTCAAGTAAGAAGTACGCAGTAGTCACTCTGCCGTCGTCGATGACTTTGACTGGTCGATGCGCCCCACACACAGCCTCGACATCACTAAGCAACTCGCTTGCAATTCCGACATGCGGAGCTCCAGGTCAGCCATGCTGCATCCTCTTCCCATCAATCATTTAATGAGCCCTGGTGTCTGCCCCCTTTAATCACGTCTCTGAAGAAACGAGTTCGAGCTCGAGCGGCCGTGTCGTGGCGCAACCAGCCGACAGGCAAAACATCGATAACCACAGCCAGGCTGTCATGTCGAGAAAACACCCCGCCGTGTCTCACACCAAGGGTAGACTCGTCAACGTCTCACGACTTGCTCGATTACCCGGGGCGATTTTTCTTTCCTCAATTTTCACAAGTCACTCTCTATTCTTGGAACAGCGCGTGAACTGCAGACGTCTTCACCTCCGGCTTCTAGTTCCAGACCAATTGTTGGTCGACTCTCGTTTTCCCCCGTCAAGTTGTACAACCACGCAGCCAAGAGGCCCATGCAGGCCCTTTTTTTCTCCTCTTGACCGATGCTGAGAAAGCGTGCGCCGTCAAAAAGAATGACCAATAAGCACATTTCCGAGTCAACCGTGCTCCGCGGCCATCTGCCTGCATCGCCGCCCTCGTTAGCTCTGCCTCAGCCGCAAGACGTGAACGCCTGGTACGGAGTAGTACTGGGTACCCTTACCCTTTGAATCGCCCACGCTGGGTATTGAATCTTGCAATATGGCTCATCGTTGACGGAGGCTCTGGGCTCATCATGGGCATCCAACCCGCTCATAGGCTCAGCATTTGCTTTCTTCTACAGCCGTGCGTGGCTTCCATGTCCGTGGCAGCTCACGCCCGTAGGACGAGCCTCATGTATTGTCAAGTGGGGAATCGTTGCACACAATGTTGGCTTGGGGCTTTTGATCAAATGAGAGGAACATGACATGCCTGGAAATGGCAGACTGGGCTGTCCCAAGCCCGGGGCGGCCTGATAAATGGGAGGCTTGCAGCCTGGTCGGTGTCGCTGTTCCATTCCCCTGTTGTCGTGTCCTTGTTCTGTTACTTCTTTTTTTGGTGAGGGCCCCTTTGAATACCTGGTTCCGTCAACACCAATAGCCATTTCGTGTTGAGTGGACATGATAAGAAGACCTTTCGGGCACGGATAACAAATCAACAACAGACGGGGCACATCCAACAACTTTCTTGGCATCTGTCTTGGAGCAAGTCTCTTCCACTTTGCTTGCCGTCGTTTCACTTGAAGGTTGAAGCACTTGAGGCGAGAAGGAGAGACACAAGATACATGGCGAATCATCGGGCACAGGCGCAGTTCGAACGGGCCAGATGGCGAGCAGCAGTGTTGTTCCCCATCTGGGCTCTTCAGCTTCTGCTCACAACATCCATGATGGGCTTGTTCGCATGGAGATTGGGCGATACCCTGAAACAAAGTGACGAGCGAGAGAGCGCTGGCAGAGTTCCAACGATCGAGTTTGTGTGAGTACCCAAACCGCACCTCGCACACACTTGCGCCTCGCCTTGATGCACCATCTAATCCACGAAACAGGTGGGAAGCAACAAACGTCGTAATGTCCTTCACTGCGGCAACGTGCACGCTCCTCGAAATCTTCAAGTTCACGTCTGGAGCCCTGACGCCGTGGACTGTGCTGTTCACCCACATCATCAAACTTACATGCGCTTCGGCAATCCTCGTTCTCGACGTGGTGGTTTACGCTGAGCAGAAGGAGTACCAGTCGCTCATCGGAATCGGCCTGGACGTTGCTTTATTGTACGTGTCCAAGCTCAGCAGTTGAAGCTGTTTGTTTTTGTCTCCCCAGCAGCTGATTGTATGACCCTTTAGTATCACGGCCATCACGCTGGCAATCTACGCCATTCTCACGTACAAACGGCTGTCCGCCTTTGACGATTACGTGCGGCCCGCCAACGTCAAGGGCTACGGCTTCAACGACGGCGAAGACGCCGACTTCTCATACTCGGGCCGCCTGAGCATCCGCAACTCCATGGACAAACGCGCCTCTGTTGGCTCTCGCCGCCTGAGCATTGGGTCTGTCCGATCCGTCGCAAACGAACCAGTGGGACTGGACAATCTGCAACGAACACGCAGCTACTACAGCCATGAGCGAGACACACAATTTGACGAATACGTGGCGCGCAAAAGTTCGCTCGGCGCCAGGTCGGATTTCGACCGGCGGACGAGCGGCGATTACCGACGGGACAGTCCCCCAACGGACATTTCAACAGACTCTTTCGCTGTGACTGGCACGGCGCAGAGCCGCGTTCGAGGAGTTAGCATCACACATGAAGCCAGTTATACCAGCGACCACGTGCTGGTCGCCGTGCCCGAAGAAGAACACGAGGAACCAGACGACGCCGCTGGCCGGAACAAGGCCGGGGTATCTCTGTTGGGGAGCAGCCGACGGAACAGTGGGGAGAGCATCATGCAGTTCCCGCCGGTTCTGCAGGATGTGGAGTTTACGGAGCCAAAGTGGCAGCGGGAGTAGGGTTTCCAATGAGACTACGATATCCTTGACGAGATGGCGTTTCTTTTTCTTCTTCTTCTTCTTCTGCTTCTTGCTTCAATCCTACAGCGTCCGTGGTCACGACCATGTGTACGTGTTGCATCGAAGAATTTGGCGTCGAGCTTCTACTCGGCGATGAAGCATACCTTTTTGAAACAAGCGCGGCGTGTCTTTGCAAGTTTCACGTTGCCACGTTGCACCCGTTATGGGCATCATGGATCTTCACATGGACAAAAACTGTCGGCAGTCGATCTGACTTGCGACGGGATAGACTGGTGCGGAAGGCCTGGTGTATTTCGTGTCACGACGCGTCTGGCAACTGGCAGGATTTTATCGGACATCATCATCGCCATGCTGGGGTCCTACTTGGCGGTGCACACGAGTATTCGTTGCTAGCCACTCCAGTTCTCTTTTCGGCATCGTAGACGAACCCGTGGGTATTTCCCGTCGTGGAACTCGTTCCGATCCCGCTGCCCTAGTGCAATACAAGGTGGTCCCGGTTTGATGGCGAACGTGTTATTGGCATGGGCACTCTGTGATATGTCTGTACTCCGCACTCCTCCGCACGTCACGTAGCAGTCCTAGTACTAGACTCTAGTACGAAAAGACTATAAGCGGCGGGGGTCTGGATCCATGTTGCCCAGCCACATGCATGTCAAGGACAACCCGTCTTCATCAGTGTAATGAGAAGCCGCGTCGTGGTGGCCCGTCTTGGCGCCTTCACCTGGGGCCTGGAAGTCATGACAGGCGGTACATTCAGGACGTTCACAACCACGGCGGCGATTATGTACGGGTTATGCGAGTAGAAGAGCGTTGCTGCAATTCATCAAGAAGCTGAAGAAATTACCGGAATCCTGCTTCAGCCTCGGCATAGCGTCTGCAAAAGCTTCCTTTGCTCGTGACGTCAATCATGAGGGCCCCCGGGCAAGTGACAGACCCCTCGGCGGCATCATCCGGAGCCGTCTCCCCTTGGAGCATGCTCTAGCCGTTCACGACTTTGTCGATGATGTTCATGGCTCCCATGAGCCTTTCGTCCTCGTGCGTCGGGGCGACTACCTGGATCGCCACAGGCAAATCATGGTACAAGCCCTTGTCATCTGTTGCAGCACTTGTCAGCCGCGGAGGGGGGCCAGCGAGAGAGACGCGCAGTCGTCCCCGGCAAGAAGAGGTGCAGCTTACATAGGTTCATGTTTTCCCTGTCCAGCTCGTTCGCGGGCTCGTAATCCGGTGGATAAGCATCCGTCTCGAGCACTCTCCCGGCGGGAATCACGCCACTGGGATAGTCCAGCATATTCCATTGCGCGCAGTATCCCCACCAGGGCCTGACGCTCTGCGGCATGCCCTGGACGGGCGATACAGGGCAGACAAGCACGTCGATGGGCTCACCAGAGGACGTAGAGTTTGCCGTCTCGGCCCATTTGCCAAGGTATTGGGCGCGGTAGTCGTCTCGTTCGAGATTGAGCTGGGACATTTGTTAGAAGCGAGGGACACCTCGCTCGGTCCACACGGGGAAGTGTTTCCTACTTTCCATATCTCGTGGTACCTCCTTTCCCTGACAGTGGCATCGTCCAGCAGTCGCTTTACAGAAGGCAAGATGGGCTCGTTTCCGGCGAGGAGTGTCTGCTTGATGTCCCGGCCACCGTCCGTAAAGTACAGCGGCAACAAGATGTCGTCCCACGCCCGTTTGTGCTTGTACGCCTTGAAATCAATCACTGCCGCAAGCATTAGTTCCTTCCGTTTCCCATTCGTACGCGACTGTCCCGGGCTGCATCGCGTAGGAACTACCTTCGTGTCCAGACGTCCTCAGCTTCTTTGCCACTTCCCCAATGACCCGCGTGATGTACGGATGGGGCATCACCACCTCGTCCCATAGCATGACTCCGACTCGCAGCTTCTGGTGCTGCATCTGGTCCATCTGCGATGTCCACGGCATGCGAAGCAGCGGCTCCGTGAGCCACGGCTTGGCATCGGAATTGACCTGGAAGAAGAGCTCCATATCGTCAACATTGTGCGCTAGGGGCCCGGCAACAGCCACAATCGACTCCTGCCCCGACATGGCACATTCTGATGCGCGCAGGGGAACTCGCTTTGCCGAGGGCCTGAACGCATACAAACCGCAGTATGCAGCCGGGATTCGAATCGAACCGTCCCTGTCTGTACCGACTCCCAACGGGGAGCCATGCATAGCAAGCAGGGCTCCCTCGCCACCGCTGGAGCCTCCCGGGCCAAACTTGGTATTCCACGGGTTGACGGTCCGGCCGTAAATGTTGTTCACCGTCTCCACAGCCATCATGCACTGCGAGTTGTTCGTTTTGCAATACATGACTGCGCCCGCCTTGCGCAGAATTTCCACCAGCTGCGCGTCATCATCTCTCAAAGGCCTACGCGCAAAGGAAACATATCCAGCCGTAGTATGCTGGCCCTTGATGTCAATGTGGTCCTTGATTGAAACAGGAACCCCGTGCAGAGGCCCAATTGGCTTTCCCGTGGTCCTGAGCACCTCGTCCAACTGCCGCGCCTGCTCCAGTGCCTCGATGAAGAATATTTCCGTCAGGCAATTTGTCAGCTGTTGTGCGACGGCAGCTTGGTGACAGAACGCCTCCGTGACCTGGATACAAGACAATTCGTTGTTTCGAATCTTGGCAGCCAACTCTGCGGCGCCGAGGGCTGTGATTTGCAGCTCATTATACGACAAGAGGCGCGGCAACAACTCAATTGGACGAGTCGTTGAACGGATAGTCTCGTCGAGCTTCAGAGGTGGAATTCTCCATCTTGTCGGGATGGCGGCTGTTCGTCTCTTCTGACAACGCTGTCATGTGTTGGCATCAATCGTTTCTTCTTCTTCTCAACTTCCCACCCATGGCAAGATTGTGTGACAAGTCACAGCTTCAACATTACATACCTCGGTCAGATCTTGCCACGAAATGCCAGTCATCTTCAACGATCCTGTTTCGCACCCGCGAAACCGCCCATTCCTAGACTTGGGAAACGGAGAGGCGAAAATGGTCACGAGTCGAAGAACTCTTCGCCTGGACAAAGCGGTTGCGAATATATAGACAAGCAAATAAGAAGGAAAATGGTTGCCAGAAAAATATCAAACAAGGCTGCTATGTTGTCAAGTTGGATTTTTGACTGTTCCCAGCGTCGTTCCCACGAGATGCTTTCCGCAATGCCACCGGCGGAAATGCCAACTGGGCTCACTTATGAGTAAAAGCCCGACATAAAGCCGATACCATTTGCTACGTATGGGAATGTAACAAGGAGTCAGTCAGCTTCATGTTTGTGACACATCTTCCAAGCATCTCCGCATCGCTTCTGCGGAGTCAGTACCCGGCGCATTCGCGGGCTTTGGCCAGTGAGACCAAGGCCACAGTGATGAATTCTTGGCGAGGCAACGTAAACAGGTACGGTTGAGCTGCTCGTCGCCTCGTGGCGTTGAGCTATAGCACAAGCGAGACACATGGTGCATGGCAAGCAGCCCATGTGAACCCAAATTGCATCATGATTCATGTTGTGCCGCAATGTAATGCAAGGTTGTACGGAATAGGGTTGGCCAAATCGATATACTATTAGGCACGTAGCGTAGCTGACCTGCGAATACCTATGCATCTTGCCATGCTGCACAGGAGACCATGCATGTTGGTCACAAGGTCCAAGAATTTGGTCTGTTGGTCAGAGCCGTGTGGTGCTTTGATGCTGTTTGGGAATATTTTGCGTGGAAAAGTTGACATGGGCCGGCTTCGCATCATGCCGAAGAAGGTCTCCGCTGGCCGTCGGTCGTTTTATCTCGTGGAAACAAGGTTGACCTTGGCTTCCTCGGCTGCACCACAATGGTAGGAGAGGGGAAGAGGAAATAAATATCGCTGCGCACGGAAATGAGTATCGCGAAAACTTGGATCAAGAGTCGCTGAGGTTCGCGGTGCAATGAATGCGGTGGCAATGTCTCTCTACTTTTCCTGCTGCTTGTTCTTTACCTCAAGGAACCAGGTTGGCCGAAATCAGCCTTTCGAGATCCTCATAATCAACCCCGCCGTATAGTCGTCCCTGTTCCCATACATATTCCAAGGTATCTAAAAGTCGCGAGACGTGCTAGACCGACAACGTACCCTTAGCTGAAAAGGAATAAAAAGATAGGAGATGGGGGGAAAACTAACTCTGAGCCCAAAAGCCCTCATGCCGGCCAAGCGCTCTCTGACATCATTTTGCTGCACAGCGTCATCCGTGGCAATCCCAACCGTCAAAAGTGGCCACAAGACAGCCAGCTGGTTGACGCCAGATTGAAAACCAAAAATTAAAGTCAGAATGCGGGATACGGCAGCTGCAACGGTTGGATTAGTCGCGGCGTTTCCTATTCTGCGTGTTTTGACCGTCTGCAAATAAACAGTACAGGCCAGAGCGTAAATTTGAATGCATGATGCCGCCGTCAGAGTCTCGAAATCCATGGTCTTCAGGCGGTGTAAACGCAGGTAAATGTCAGGCGCTGACTCTTGCCAGCTCCGCAGCCTGTAGGACAACTCATTGTAGTACAATTTCCTCTGGTGCTGTGTTAACCCCTCCGTTTCCATCTTGACGAATCTGCTGATGTCTGTCTGGATAGACATGATTCGCGACCAAGATTGACGTATCTGACCCATCGTGCGGTCGACCGGTGACCGGACTTTGGCGAAACTGGGGACCCCGATGTTGTATTCCCATCCGCCCCCAAAGCTTTCCCCAATAGTCGCCCTGTATCAATGGCCCGTCTCCCGTTGCCAAAGATGCGGCAACGTCCAGATACGCCATGAGAGAAACCAGATATCGCCGTAGAGGCAGTGTGTGAGCCACGCTCGACAACTCCATCTCACTGTTTTTGGCGGTGGGATTTGATGGAAGAAGGCCTACCCGTGGACTATACAGCGACTGCAATATCTGCGCGGCCCCCACGAGATGAATCTTCCACGACGCGTCATTAGACGACATTTTTTCAAGCATGCAGAGAAGTAGCGTGGTTGCCAAAAGCTCTAGTGTGGGCCGACCTTGGTTACATGTCACAGCATCTCGGAGCTGAGTGACAACGTTGCCGTACGCCTTCATGGCTGCACTATGGTGGACTTGACGATTCCGAGTTCCTGGTAAGCCAGCAATATGCATGGCACCAAAGGCCTCCACGACATCTCGAAGCAAACCAGAGTTGCTCATCAGAACCGGGAGCTGTCGGTACGGATTTGAGTTCGAAGGCGTGTCATAAATGATGAGATAGGATGAGACAGTCTCAAGGAAATGGTGCAAGTAGAGGTTGTCGCTTAGACCGATTTGCTGTGGCACTTCTGCAGCCTCGAAGTGGTAGGCGGCCGTGTGTTGGCCTTTGACGGGGAAACTGGCATTTGTATGATGAAACGTAAAGTCTTCCGATACGATAGACAGACTTGACGACAGATTTTTCGAGCCTGAAGGGGACGGAGTGCACGCCACGGCGACAAAATCAGTAGAAAATGGTTCTCGAGAGTTGAACTCATCCGCACCATCTTCACCACTTGATGCCGAGCCGGATCTGCTGGATGCTCGTGGTTCAGAGGACGTAGTTGAGGCCTTGTCGCTCTTGTCACTCTTTGTCCCCGGAGAGGAAGCTTGTTTGGCGGCCTTGAAGACAAACTTGCGGTCGAAATTGCAGACAAGATTTAGACGAGTGCAGTCTGAGCAAGAAGGCGTGCATTCATCACATTTGACATGCCTCCGGCGACAGTTGACACAGCCCGTGAAGACTCTGGAATGCCATTTGCGTTGCCGCACCGGTGCTGAAGCCTTGGGCCTTGCGTCACGGTCCGGCTTCACCATCGCCTCTATGTCACCGCAGTCCCTGGCATGGAGAATACCGAGGCGTGAGTCAAGAGGCTGTTGAGAGTCGCTTGGGGGGCCAGAGTCGCCAGACCATCGAGGAGAGCCTCTACCTCAGGCTGATGTCCTGCCTTGCGTGGCCGTGGGGGAAGGATCAACGATGAAGCTGGCTCTGCCCGGTGCTTGAGCTCCGAGGATATATGCACGCATGTAAATCGTCGTGCGTTGCATCTTCGCATCGCCAGCGAGGCCACTCCTACTTAAGTGCCGGACCAAACGGTAGGCACGACCTACCTACCTCCGAGTACCTACCTAAGTAGGTATTTACCTAGACTACCTAACTAGGTAGGTAGGTTAAGTTAGGTAAGTACTCCGTAGGGAGCACGGGAGCAGGCAGGGTGGTTGCAGGCAGCTTCCTGCCATCGGAGAATCCCCCAAAGCCCATCACGTGCAGCCTTCGATCGCAGTCTGGAGGAAGCGCCTCTGGCCTCTTCCCTCTTCGTACTCTTGTGACTTGTCTGATTGCGTAACTGTAATGAGAGCATCTCAACGCTCCATGTTACGTCCTCGTCTCGTACGGTCTCGAGGCAACATGGTCGACATGGTCGCAGCCAGGCGATTGGCCTGTCACCTGTGAGCGGTCCTTTCCCTTGCCAAGATCTTTGCTCATTTGTAATTTATTATTTTCGTTCCGAGCTCAATGTCTACAATGTCCATTGCTACGTTGGTGGCGAAGACAAGGGGGTTGGTATGTTCTCAGTCTGGGAATGTCGTGGTCCGTCAACAGTCCACTGATCCAAAGAGAAAACTCCGCGCCGTTCTTGGCGTCATTTCCACGTGGCCAAGAATCAATCCGCCAACCCCAGCACCGTGTTGTCGCCTACTACGGAGTACGGGTTATGGACTGGACCCAAGAAGCCAGGGTTGATAGTGGCGTCGTCTGGAATGCCAACGATCAGAGACAGGTGGAAAGAGCGCGATTACTCGGGCTAGCCAAGAACTTTACCAAGAGGCCTCGATTGCTCACGGTCGATTCCACAGGCTTTTCGCTTCATAATATTGTCCTGAGTGGTCCACGCAACCGATCCATCGACGTTCTAGCCATGCCATCTCGGTTTGGGCGAGAAACAACGAAGCAAGAGCATCGAAGAAATATTTCAACGTCTAAAGCCTGCTCGTACACTCCCCGTCTGTCACTCTTCCTCCGTGAAAGTCACTGCGGGTCTAGACCTAATTCTTCGGGGGCTGAACGCGAGAGCTGGCATCAGTCGCAGATGCAGAGTCAAAGGCAGTCGTCGACATTTGAGTCAAAATGGTGAAGACAGTCGTTGCATTTGATCTCTACGGCACATTGTTGTCGACTGAGTCGATTGTAAATGAGCTGTCCAGAATCTATGGCGAAGACGAGGCCAAGGCGGTCGCCACACAGACAAGGCGATACCAGCTCGAGTACACCTGGCGTATAAATAGCATGGGTAAGCCGGAAAGATGGATAATGACACAAAAGTAAACGAGCAGCCACACAGGCGATGTGGTCTGCTACATATGGTGTGCAAGGTCAAGCCCGACGAGTGGCCTAAGCGGAGATGCCATGCTTTACACACGACGTCCATTGACTGACGACGAATCAGGCCTATATCGATCATTCTCTGAATTGACCAGACACTCGCTTCGCCAGGCAACGGCAGAAGTTGGATTGGAACTTTCCAAGGACCAAGAAGAACGCATCCTTGATGCTTACAACGGACTCGACACATTCCCTGATGCGGACGAAGGTCTCGCTGTTGTGTCGCAAACCCCTGCTCTTGAAGCGTATATTTTCTCCAATGGTACCGTGGAGATGGTCAATTCTTCACTTAAAACCTCACCGTCTCTTGCCAAGTCCGGGGCGAAATTCTCGGAGGCCAATATTGTCAGTGTCGACGGCCTTGGCGTGTACAAGCCAGATCCGCGGGCGTATGAACACATGGCCGAGAGAGCCGGGTTGGCACATCAGTTGCAGAGGGTCTGGCTTGTGAGTTCCAATTCGTTTGATGTTGCGGGAGCTGTTGCTGCAGGAATGAGGAGCGTTTGGGTCAGTCGGCAGGGAACAGGATGGATTGACGGGTTGGGAGGTGCTCTTGGTGTTAGCCCAACGGCAGTGGTTGCGGGCGTTGACGAGGCTGTTAGAGAGATTGTCAAGTTGGATGGTTTGGATGAGGCGTCACATCCAACGCGTGGTTCCTGTCGGGTGTCCTCGGGTACTTGACGAGTGTTGGAATTTTCCAGGCACTGATGGAGGAATGATTCGCCTGCCGATTTGGTGTTTCTGTCAGCAGAGGCCAAATTTGGGAAAAGACTTGACGGATTCCAGGACTAGGCCCGTGGCCCTGGTGGAATTCTTCTCTTGGTCTTGTGACGCGGTATCGAAACGTATTAAATTCGACAAAACCGAGATAAACTAAGATGACAGAAATATGTTACAGCTCTAGTAAGAATACTTCAACCGAGCTTAGTTTTCTGAGAGGGCATGGCAGCGCTTGATTGATGAATTCTTGTGGTGGTGCGTGAAAGCGAGACAGCCTGACGTGCCTGGTGTTGAGAGCCGAGATATTCACATGATAAAGTCTATTTTCGGGAACGGTGAGCTCATGATGATCCAATGCTAGCGGCGGATTGACGAGATGCACGTCACGTTGTTTGGGCAAGCTAAAGTTTTAACTTGACGCGCGGCTGCTGACCTGGCTGAGATTGAAGTTGTCTTTGGGCAAAACTCACGAGTAGGAACTGTCAAATATTGACGATCCGGCAGGCAAAGGTAAGCGGCTGAAACGAGAAGCTGCCGCTGTTACAGTAACTGCAGGGATGCGGGCCCCGCCCGGGCTGCTGAAGTCCGCCAAAGCCCGGCTCCAGCAGCCCAGCATTCCAGCAATAGTTGAGCTCTGGCCCACTTGACACTTGGCCATGCCTCGGACATGGAACCGTCTGCCATCTGGCAGTTGAGCACACAGAACACCGCACCCGGTTGGACTCTCTGACCCAACCCAGCAGGCGGCAGCTCTGTTGAAGGCGAGTGAGTGCAGCACCAGGACCAGTCCGACGCGCCCGCCAACCCGTGTGGAGGCGTCTTTGCCAAGCACGACAAAGCTTTGCGGATAGCCACGAGAACGCTACAATCCACCATGGCCTCGGCGGACGATTACGACGACAGACGGCATCAATGGGCCGCCCGCGACGACAGCAGAGATGGGCGGGGCAGCCGGAGAAGCTCACAGAGAGCTCCCGATAGCCGCCGCCAGGAACGACCAAGGTCTCGTGACAGAAGGCGGCGCTCTCGAAGCCCAGGCTCTCCCGGCCGGCATCGCCGTCACCGGCGTCGGTCCCATGATGGAGACCGTGAGAGGGGCCGCGGAGATGGTCACGACAGCCGAGCCGGCAGGCAAGAAAGGGCCCTTGGCGATGGGCGTTCAGGCCGCCCAAGACGGCGCAGAGATGACAGCGAATCGGACGGGGACGGTCGAAGACACCGTCGAAACCCTGTGAAGCAAGGAGGGCCGTTGCCGTCGCAGCAAGACTCCTTCGCCCTCACCAAAGGACACGAGGGGGAGGAGCCCAGAAAGCCCAAGGAGACGGCTAATTTTGGCAGCTCGGGAGTGCTGGCCGCGGCGTCCAACTCGGTTGCCCAGGCCGATGGTTCATCCATTGTCCTCAAGTACCACGAACCACCCGAGGCTCGGAAGCCGCCGGCCCGAGACCAGTGGAAGCTCTTCGTCTTCAAAGGGGGCGACGTTGTCGACACCATTGACCTCAGCTTGAGAAGCTGCTGGTTGGTTGGGCGAGACATGGCAGTCGTCGACTTGCCAGCTGAGCACCCCAGCATTAGCAAGCAGCACGCTGTGATACAGTTCCGTTACACGGAGAAACGAAACGAGTACGGAGACAAGATTGGCCGAGTGAAGCCGTATCTGATCGACCTGGAAAGCGCCAATGGGACCCGACTGAATGATGACAAAGTCCCCGATGGTCGGTACTTGGAGTTGCGAGACAAGGATATGATTCAGTTTGGTAACAGCACCCGAGAATACGTCGTCATGCTGGCGCCCAAAGATTAAGACTTGATTTTGCAACAGTTGTTCTCTTCCGTTTCTCTTGTACGCGCCTTGATAACAGTTGAAGCCGGGTATCGGACGAACCACCACTCTTGCTTTCGATCCAAATTTTTCATGCATCTTGTGAGATCTGGCAGGACGTCCCCCATCGCAAGCCATGAATGTCGCAGCCACAACCAGGTTAACCGATGCTGAGCTCGTATCTTTGCATCCGCTTGGACCACTGGTGTCACCACAACGTGCGTTCGAGTGAAGAATGGCAGCAATTGCCACGGGCGAACGGTTTGATAGCGAGTGCTGCTGCGACCCTGTAGGGTTGGTTGTCTTGGCTCGTTGCGGACGGCCTCACACACACCGTCCTATGCTAAGGTTACACCGCATGCCGGGGCTAGGACGAACAGGCACTTCCTGCAGCTTGTCCCATCGTATTATACCACACCTCTCACATCTCGATGAGGGGTGCTTGAGGAAATCGCTCCTCGAGAAGTACTTTGGATACACTGGACTTTGTCACCATCAAACGACCTTCGACGACACCGAGTACGAGTCATGTCGAGCACTGGACGAAATCCTCTAGGAGCAGTTCCTGAGGATGCGAGCCCTCGTTCGTGCCAACACAAATGTGCCAACACAAGTTCGTCTTGGGCCATGGACGCGGCTCTCATCCAGCAGGCAGATGTGAAGCTGTTTCGCAGTGCCGTGCGCCAAGCGGCCATCCATTCTGCTTGCGCACCAATCAAGGAGCAAGACTTGAAAGACAGCCACAGCGTCCACCAGAAGAGGTGACTCGACAGAATGGCATGGGTGATTCGAACGGGTGTCGGTGACACCAGATCAGGCCCCCGAGCCCTCGGGTGTTTGGTTGGAAAGTTACGTCGATGTAACAGTGAGACTTTTTAACTTTTAGTAGGCGCTCAAAGCCGGCGCCGGCCCTGCATGAGGCACTCGAACCAACCAGTCAAGCGTATTTCCGATGTTGATGTGGACGGCATGGCGTCTGGTGCCGCTGTCATTGTTCACGCTTCGATTTCTAGCGTCGCTTCCGTCCAGAGAGGAGCCAGAGGAGGGATCGAGGCCGCATCAGCCAACGACCGCGTGAGATGGCTCCGGTCGTCTAGACTGGAGTCGTCCATGCACACCACCAGAACCCCCCCCTTCCCAAGTAACCACATGTGCGTGATGCGTGGTTGCAAAGCGTGGTGAGGAGAGCCGTCTACTACGCCTCTCTCCCGTCACATCTCACGACTGAACGCGCTTGGACGGCACGCATGTGCGAGAATGTGCCAACGTCACCTCAAGAAACAAAGCCCCTTCCCCACCTTCAAATGGCTCTTGACGCGAGGCAGCCCGCGGGACAAGTTTTGTCTCCCCCGACCAATACACTTGAACGATATTGCCTGTCTCTGTCTTAGCACCTCGCCACTAGCTGGATCGCTGCGGAAGGGGGCCGTTCTCTCGGCCGAATGTCGTGCATTAGCACGGAGGTGACTGTGACCACTGCCGACTCCCACGACGCCCCAGACTCATGCCACTGGCTGGCCTGTGTGATGCCGGCCGCGAGCGCCCCCCCTGCGGACTCGTAATGAACAGACGACGGGCACTCTATTCTTGGTCCGTCCCGACTTTGTGGGGGATTCGATGAAACCTTGAGGACGAGCAAAGTGGGTGTCGGAGCACATGCCCGTGACCCTGTGCGATAGTCTGTGGGATTCGGCCCTGTGATGGAGCCCAAGCCTCATGTCCGTCCAACACTTTCGAATCCCATGTCTCTTTCGACGTGCCGCTAAACCACAACCACCCAGGTCGATCGGACAAGGTGCAAATTCTTTCGTCCCTCGGCTCGTGGACGAAACTGTTCCCCATGCGGCGGAAGGGGCTGAGGGCGTGGAAGGTGTTGGAAATAACATCTGTACCTGGAGCGCTTGTGTGTGTATAAAGACATGAGCTGTCGTCGCCCAAGAGTTGACCGAGTCGAAAAAGACAATTCCAGACACCTCTGTCGTAATCTCATAGCCCTTGTTTGCTCGACTGATAAAGGACAAGAAGCGGTCTCTAATATTTGCTCTTTTCACCTTTCCCGTTAATACTAATCAATCATCATGGTACGTCATTCACGGCCAAGGCACCCACCCACCTTGTCAATTACTCACCCCGAAAATCATCGCAGGGCTTCGTGGACCGCAACATATCTCGCTACGAGACCACAGCCGTATACTCCCACCCAGACGCCAAGGTGGACATCGTCCTCGTCCACGGCCTCAACGGGAACCCCGAAAAGACGTGGACCGCCAGCGACGGCACCTTCTGGCCTACCGATCTCCTGCCCGCCTCTCTCAGGGGCGTCCAGGCCAACGTCCTGGTCTACGGGTACAACGCCGACGTGTACAGTCGCAAAAACGACCGCAGCGCGAGCGACAACTTCATCCACCAACATGCCCAGACCCTCGTCACCAGCCTCACCCTGTACAGGAAGAGCGAGGGCACCTTTCGGAACCCCATCATCTGGGTCTGCCACAGCCTGGGCGGCATCTTGGTGAAGCGCGCGCTGCTGTACTCGAATGACCTGCGCACGACGCACCACCAAGACTTCCGGTCCATCTACGTCTCTACATTTGGCCTCATCTTCCTCGGCACTCCGCACGTCGGCTCAGACGCCGCCACGTGGGGGCTCATGCTGCAGGGCATGGCGGATGCCATCATGCCCAGGAAGTTCTTCGAGTCGGAGCCGGTGCTGCTCAAGACCCTCAAGAAGGACAACGAGACGCTGGCCAACATCAACAACCACTTTCTGGACATTTACCAGCGCTTCAGAATCCACATGGTTCACGAGAACCACAAGACCGACATCAAAGGCACCAAGTACGTCGTCCACCCTGTTTTCCCGAGCCCCGAGCCACGCTTCTCTAACGCTGCAACGCGCCCAGAATCACAATTGTCGATGCCAACTCCGCGAGCCCACAGCTGCCCGGCGTGACGTACTACGGCGTGGAAGCGACGCACTCCCAAATGTGCAAGTTTGCCGGCAAAAACGCCCCCGGCTTCCGGGCCGTGTCGACCGACATTCGCCAATGGGTCCAGGATGCCCCGGCCCTCATCAGCGTGCGCTGGGAAGCCGAGGAGCAAGACAAGGCCACCCGTATGCGGCACGAAATCCACGAACGCATGTCCCCATTTGTAGGTTCTCGCCCCTTGCGCTCCTCTCCCCCTGCCCCGACGAGGACCGCCTCGCTCCTCCAGACAGCGCCCTCTCTCTTCGGAAGAAGCAATGTCTAACCAGGATCCAAGATGTCCCCTTCTTCGCCGCTGGTCACCCCATTGTCGCCACGCCGGGAGAGCGATCTGTCCAACATTTCGACGCTGTCGCTCAGTGACGGGTCCAACATCTCCTCACTCTCCCTCGCCTCGTCTCATGTTCCGAGGACGTTTCTCGCCGCTCCGCCCAGACAGGACGTTGTCCCGCCAAAGGTTCCTACCGTGATAGTCTTGGATGAGATGGGTGACGTTGCGGAGCAGTTTTACAAGCTGATGAAGTAACGCGGTGTTGAAAATTTTGGTGTCTTTTTTTTTTTCTTGGTTTCAGCTGGTTGGTTTGCTGTGTTTTTTTAAAGAGAAAACTGCCTGCAAAGGTCATGCATGTCCGGGGTATTTCCTACTGCGCATATATCATGTGTGGATGTCATTAGAAATTTTAGAATGCTTACAAGAGTAATCTCCTATTTCGAACCTCGGTGACTTTTGCAACCTTGACCTGGTCTGGCAGTTATCCATACCCCCCCTCCCTTTCTTAGTGAGAGCATCATGGCGAGCAGCAGATCATCACCATGTCGATGGCAAGCCTCGCAGCCGACGTCTGAGGACCGGAAGTCGTGTGCCGCGGTGACCTCGCGACGTCAGGGCGTGGGCATCAGAGCGTCTGATTCAGCTTGGCACTGTCCAAGTTTATTTTTTTTGTTCCGCAAGGGGACTCGCTGTACTGTCGCGGGCGACTGGTTTCAACACTGCAAGTGGCAAGTCTTGTGTCTTCTCCTTGCCCATCAGCCTCTCGTAGGCGGCAACGCACGTCGCAAGCCCTCCGCCAGTGGCTTTGGCAGAGGCGTCGTGGCGTTCGCGCGGACGTGGAACAAGCAAGGTTTCGCGTGGATGTGGCTGATGGTGATGTTGCATTTGGTCGGACACGATCAGACTGTTTCAGGAGCCGGGACACTGGAGAGGCCTGAAGGTTTTCGTCTTCCCACCCAGGTCCATGATACAGTTCGCTTTGGTCGCCTCGAAGGACGATCTCTTGTTCCATCCACGTCGGGTACTGTCTGGTGGTGCTCGTTTGATGTGTCTGATTGTGACGTCACTCTTCTCATGTACGATTTCATGGCACCTCGCTGCTGGCCCAGCACGTTGCCGACACGTGCTTGAAGGCTGTTTCTGGGCAAGTGCCGCCTTTTTGGAAACACTGATTGGACCAGCGCGCGCACATGGCTGGCTCCGTGGATGGTGAAGATGCATGTCAATGCAGGAATCGTAGCCTAAAAAGATAAAAGCTACGGCGTCAATGCTTCTTTCTCCACTTCACGAACCGTAAAATACGTCAGTTAAACACGGCTCTGGACATGATAGGAAAATTGCAATTTTCAAGAGCTTGCCCGGGAAGACGAACGCCAGCACGTGCAGGAAGCTGGATGCTACACCGACCCAGGACTGGTGAAATTCCGGGCTTGGGAGTCTTGTAACATGGGACCGCTTATATTCTTAGTCGTTCCCTTGATATTTACGGGTATGACCTGGCTGTTGAGGTCAGTGGAGAGGAGAATCAGTAGAATCCAGTTTTTTATCGATTCAGGTCGTCTCGTTGCCCTGGCGTCGCCTGCGGTTTCCCATGACTCGCAGTCGTGGCGAGCCGGAATATGATCCTGGGCCAGGATACAAGAGCAAGTCGCAATTCGGGTCCTGCATCGCAACCGTTGAGTGACTTGTTGGATGCTGGTTGCCCCTCGTCAAGCAGCAACAACAATCAACTGAACAAGCAGCATTGATTCATCCAAGAGGGCTGTGGAACCACGTGGCGTCGCAGAATGTCCCAGGGTCTCACAAAGTTGACAAGGACGCAGGAATTCTGTCATCTCCCAAACGTTTCGAGTGTTTCAAACGGCCGTGCCACTGTTTTGCCCTGGACAGATTTGCCCCAGTTGTACGGAGTATGATGAGAGGAGATGCTGCTACGCATGAAACTGGTTCCAGAAAATAGCACTGACCCTCGGGCAGTTACTCCTGAGAGGGCTACATGGCTCTTATGTACGTTACACTTTACTTTGTCGCTAAAATCTGGGGCGAATTGGTGGTTTGTGACTCGACCTTTTTTCATGGCGGAGTATTCTGTTTGGAAACTTGGTGGCTGCTGTGCTCTTGAAATACTCTTGACAACTGAGCTCAAGATGGTAGTTATGACGAGTGTTGTACCAGGGACTATATGAGCGAGATTAGATGAAATGAGAGGGGGAATGGTTCCGTGAAGCATCGGCTGCACACGCTGACTCGCTGTCTGATCGTTTGCATCGCCAACATGCCGTGTGCCGCGATGTATAACCAATATCACAAGTCATAATACTGGCAGTATCCTCATCTCGTCTTGCCATTCGTTTCTTCAAATCACGCTCGGCTGTTCTTGGAGGTTTGAGCCTGACCGACACTCTGTGATTGCGCAATTTTCGACCCATTACCATTGCATTGGACTGATTCTAGGAAAAGGCTAGACAGCAAGGGATGCCATGACGGACCGAGCGTGGTTGTCGATCCTAGTTTTACCCTACCACTACTAGGGTCTAGCTGAAGTAACCGGGCAGCTGAGGCATTTAAGGCGGGTGCAACTGATCAGCAATATCATCAGCCGCGGCAAACGTAGGTGGAAAATTACACGTCTGGATACTCTGCGGTTTTAGCGAGAAGCGCATTGTCCCGCGGGCCAGAACTTTGGACCCCTGAAGTTGGACATCCGCCAGCAGAACCGGAACCCCCTACCTCAGCAGCCTGAAGGAGCAGCGTGACCACAGAATCAGAGAGTCCTGCTCCCGTGAATATCGTCTCCATGAATGGTGTCTGTAGGTGTGTTGTGTTGTGGATAGGCCTTAGCATCATGACGTCAGAAGAACGACACATCGATTATAGGTTCTGTCAAATAGAGCTGCTCTTCTGGTATAGGTGAACGACAACCGTGTTGACCAGAATCCAAATCTCAAAATGCCCACAAAATCCGCCAAATCTGGTGTGAACTGAGAGGGCCAGTGTGTCAGGATTGTATCAGTCGGCCTCTTGGCAACCTATTCAGGAGGGATCCGCTTGAACCCCAAGGTTAACCTAAACGGTCAGGAATATCTCGTCGATTGGCTAGCGACAAGGTCGAAGAGGCCAAAGTGAGCTCGTTGCCAAAGATCCCAAGCGCATCAGTGGGTCTGTTCTCCATAACCGAGGGCCTTGACCGACGTAACAACGAGAATGGCCAGTGACAGAATCCGCAATGGTTTCTCCTTTGGTCCCCTTAACGTCACCGGTTGATTAATGGAGTATTCTGCGAAAATTTGGGACTTGAAAGTGCTTTACTCCGTGCTACTAAGTAAACTGCGAAAGATTTGCTCGTAATGGTATGACCTCATCACGTGTCATTGCGCGCAACTGTACATTGCGAGTCTGCGGTCTATTTTGCCACCCGTCCGGCAGGTAAGTCCAGCCTGCAAAAATGTGGACCTTTCGCCGACTTGGCGTCGCGATAGATGGAGAAAGCCAAGTGAGAGAAGCTCAGTAATCTCAGAATCGTGTCTTCCGACCAATAGCGACGGCATAAAATTCCTGTGAACAGGGTTGCAGCAAGACGCCGATTCGTTGTATCTGAAGACGCCGGGTTGGACGATATTCTCGAAACACGGGCTAGGATGTGGCGTCTCTTGACCTGAATGAAGTACATTCCACGATTTCTGTATTTCAGGACGTGATGGGAGATCCCACAGGCCTACCACCTGGGGTCAAGATTAACTTTGGACCTCGGAGCCGGTAGAGCATCTTGGAAACCCGTCTCCACTGCCGGAAGAGCGTCTGAGCCTAAGCGCCCAGGTAGGCCGAGGGAATGCGTGTATCGTGTATCCTCCCGAGCAACTCTGGCTGTGCCTTGCGAGTTGCTGGTTGTGCCAGTCGTGCTGGTCCAGCACATGGTTGATGGTCCTTGATCCGGCCGCCATGCCCAAGGTGAGGCAAAGCCGTAAAAGCGGGGGTTGGGGTGGGCGTTGCAGGGACGTGTTAGACGGCCGCTCGGCGGCCTCTAGGGCTCCATAGTTGGATGGATGAATGTCAGTAGATCATATCTGTGTTGATGCGTAATGCTCGGTCGTCCGTCCGTCCACGGTGAATAGAATCAAGGGTGCGTGCACATGTGGGCAAAGAAGATGGACAGCAACAAGCGGCGCCATGTGGAACCGACTTGCCTGTCGTTCGCAGCTACTACTCCGTTAGGTGGGTCCTCCTCACCGTGTCAATGGGGCCACTCGGTCCGTTTCATACTGTCCAAGTCAGCGGCAACGTCACCCTTGCTCCGGCTACAGAATGCTCTCCCTCAACAACATTCCCGATTCCCGACCAACAGCACTACTGAGCAGAAACATGATTTGTTCTGCAACGAGCTTCCAAGTGACGACCGCAGTCGGTAAAAGCAGGCACTCGGGGCGGCAAGGACTTACTCAGCAGGGACATGCCTACGAGCTTCTTTGAACGTCAGTAGCCAATCAACTCGTCCTCGTCTGCTTACTTTCGAAGCCTCGTATTACGGAAAGTGCTAGCATATTTGTTCCAAGGGATGACTCTTTCCTTCCCACGTTGACTCTCTGAATTTGCCGTGTTGGATTCCCGTCTATTCTACACTCCCTCACGGCCGTCTCGGTGCGAGCCTGCGCTTGCAACTGTTTTATACTCGGCTTCGCCGCGCCAACCATGAACGGGCAATTCCAAGAGGCCGATATATTACTCAACCATCATGATCCACCTGTCAGAGACCGTCTCGCAACACATGCGGCGACCTGAGTAGTAACGGCAGTACTGATAAGGATGATACGAATACGGTAGGCAACGGGCAACCAACCGTAAAAAATGTTCAAAGCCATCCCGTCGCTGGCGGCTGGATACGAAGCCTCCAAGTTTTCGTCTGAATGAGTGGATCAATGGATCTTGCTAGGATCTCTCTCCTGTGATTTCTCCCGGCCTCCCTCGTCTCCACCGACTATCATGATTACGTACCTCCAGGCAATCTCCTATTACAACCCACGTTGTCGCGCTTTGCTGCGCAGGTACGGCCAGAAACACTGGAGACACGAAAACAAAATAAAATAAAAATACCGGGGCTTCTCCTGATAAATGCCGCAGCCGCGTTATCGCGACGTTATCCACCAACATGTCCACTTGTGCTCCAAAACAGACGCAAAGACACCGTGACCCTCGGCAGGTTGTTCCTGTCAGTCTTTTTTCAAAACTGACTCGTCCGCCGTGGTGCCCTTGGGCGTATGTCCACGCTCCACCGAGGGGTGGGAGGGCGAAGGGCGTATTTTTATCAGAGGTACCAGCTCCAGTGCTTGGTGTGCTCGAGGGCCCTGATGAGGGTATCGATGTAAACCCATCTATCAACGCAAGGTAGGTAGGTAGGTACTCAGCTTTGAACTAGAAACCAGGGTCTCTCTGCGCTCGGCATCGGCGCAACGCTCGAAGAACTGTTGCTGTCTTTCCAAATTATAAAAGACTTCTGTCAACCCCTCCATGCCCAGACTTGGGCACATACTCTCTCCTCACCGTTACTTCCGTCAGTCTTATACATACCTCTAACATTGGTCCCCTTATATCCAGGGTGTTGCTCTTTTTTTTTTTCCTTTTTTTTTTCCTTTTTTTTTTCCGCGGCAGGTTCGCACGAGTCATTCGCATCTTCTTCCTCCCACCAAACAACCTACCCGACATTCACAATGGCTCCCTCCGCCATCACCCCCGAGACATCTCCTGAGCGCAAAATCTCGGTCAAGAAGCCTGCAGTTCAGAGTCGATCTCATAGCAGCTCTGTCTCATCGGTCGCATCTATCAAGCTTAACGACGGCAACTCGATCCCTCAGGTCGCCCTCGGCGTCTACAAGGCCCCCAACGGCCAAGAGACTGAGGATGCCGTCACCGCTGCACTAGACGCTGGATACCGTCACATCGACTCCGCGGCCCGATATGCCAACGAGGAGGCTTGTGGTCGCGCTATTCGACGCTGGCTGGAGAAGACTGGCACTTCTCGTGAAGATATCTTCATTTGCTCCAAACTCTGGGATTCCGATCATGGTTACGAGGCAACCTTTAATGCCCTTTGCACCTCTTTGGATAAGTTTGGCCTTGATTATCTCGACCTATACCTGATTCACTCCCCTGCCGAGGATGAGGAGAAGCGCCTCGAGAGCTGGCGTGCGCTCGAGACTGCCCAGAGGCTCGGCAAGGTCAAGTCGATTGGTGTTTCCAACTTCGGAGCTGCCCATCTGCAAAATCTCCTCGACAAGACAACCGTTGTCCCTGCTGTCAACCAGGTCGAGGTGCACCCGTTCTGCCAGCGTGAGGCACTGGTCGAGCTCTGCAACAAGCACGGCATCAAAATCGAGGCCTATTCTCCTCTGGCCCGGGGGAACAAGCTGGAAGATCCCACGATTGGCGCCATTGCCAAGAAGTACAACAAGACTCCAGCCCAGATTTTGCTGAATTGGAACGCTGCTCGAGGCAATGTCGTTCTCCCCAAGAGTTTGACTGCCTCTCGCATCCAGAGCAATTTGAACAGCTTTGATTTCAAGCTTTCACCTGAAGACGTCGAGACCATCAATGCCCTCGGCTCTGAGAACTACGTCACCGGCTCCATGCACAAGTCCAAGGACTGAGCGCGCACTTGACGACATATACGAGATACGAAACCATTATAGAGGTGTTTGCCGTTTTGGGACAGGATCCGGAAAGGCTATATACATAGACAAACATACTTCAGCAGAATGTTGTCTACGTGTTGCGTGGTCAATGTGGGAAGTTGATACCACCAGTGAGAGATGAAATGACATGAGCACGCCGCTTTTTTTTTTCGATTTAGACTTAATTTTTTTTTTCGGTTTGGCAATGTTCAAAGTAGACTAGAAAGGAAGCCCGATGTTTCAGCTTTATCCTCTTGAATACTACGTGGGTAGCTAGATGCTCGCAATGCTACGGCGAGCCGAAGGGAACATCTATCAAGATGCAAGCATCACTGTATTTTCTACTTGCCAAAAAAAAAAAAAAAAGTTTTTCCCGTCTTGTCAATTACACTTGAAACAGGCGGCGTGAGATTCATCACGGCGTGGTCTGACCTGGCCATGATGGCGTCAGCTTAGCCAACAGTCACACCGCATCGTCGCTGATACCCGGAGGCTGACCGGGCTTGTCCTGTGCCACAACTTTTCAAGAGTCAAGGGGCCGCCTGGCATCGGGCCACGCTGGGAACAACGCAGGGTGTGCCTTGCGACTAGGCATGAGGAGTACGGGTACCGAATCAGAGCGACAGCTGCTGCAGATGATTGGTTGCCAGATTACCAGAAGCGCGGTGAACAAGGGGCGGATGGGAAGAAGAAATAACTAAAAAAAAAAGTGTACATGTGCACATGGCACAGAGGCGTTGGGCGTCAGCAAGAGGAGGGTGTCATGCTCGGAATTGTGCGAACGGGCAGAGATGATTGCGATTGCGAGTACGATTTGCTGACCTGCAGCCGCCCCGGCGACCGCCTCCCGCCTCTGATGTCTAAATATTCCGTACTTGAGTAAGAACTTTGGAAGGGACGTGGCCTTGAGATGAGGACTGTACGTGCTTGAGGTACATGAGTACCCTAAAGTACCTAAGCTTGGATGTAGGTGCATGTGCGGCCGAGTATTGCAAGGCTGTTGTTGGCGGCCTCGGGCAGAGCCTCATCCGCCACCAATCCGTCGTCCAGTGGTTTCGGGCGCCACCGTGCCAGGGAGAGCGCCACTTCCACAGTTATCAGTGAGTGAGTCAGCGGCCACCCTGGGGTGATGTGAGGGATTGATAGATAGGCCGAACCTTCTGCCTTATATCGACGGCATGCATGACTTTTTCTTATCGATACTAGCCGCGAAATTTCCCGTGTTTCTTGCGTAACTATTACCTTTTCATTGTGTTCGGCGTTTCTTGTTATTCATTAGTCCTTCTCGCGTCGACGGCGGCGTGTGCGGTGGCGGTTGCCGGCCTGACTGGGCGGACGTGAAACGCAGCGGATTTCCTCACGTTATTGCGAATGGGAGCTGGTCGCGGGCACTCCCAATGTCAGCCCCAGCTCGAATCGACTGGCAGTGGCATTCTCGCGGCGGTGTCACATTCTCACAGACACAAAAGGGGACGCCCGGATTTACAGATGGATTGATCTAGAACCTGCGGGGCTGGTGCCCAACGCCTGTGTGTCAAGTCAAGTCAACCAAGACGCTAGTATCGTCGTCGTGCACATGGGTTTTAAGAAAGCCGGGGAAATCCGCATGGCAGGGCGGCTGAAGCCGGTACATTGGTCGTCTTTGACGTAATTAAGCATCAATAGCTAGGTGCTTACGCGACAAGGTCATATGTCGTGTTGGGCTGCTGCAACGTCCCCTGCTTGGCGTAGAGGCGACGTGCAGAGAGGTTGATTGACTCGATACGCTACTTGGCTGGGTCGTGACATGGCAAGCAAAGGTCCTGGATGTTACGTATTGAGACGAGCGAGACGGGCGACGACTATCACATGATGGTGTGAGCCGCTGATGCAGGGTAGGCCGGACCAGCGGACGGTATCGTATGTGTCGGTGGGTGATAAAGTAGGTATATATATTAAAGGACTTGATCTAGAACCGGTTGTGCTTTGGTCAGGGACAGTTCTCTCAATCCAAGGACAATGGTGATGGTATCCGGCAAGTCCCTTGCAAATGCCGGCATTCCTACGCGCGCGGCCCTTGTTTCTGAGGACAACAGGGCTGCCACAAGACGGGTCGAAAGCTGTCATAAGCACTTGGTCAAAAGTCTCATGTAATGTCTTGCAATAGCGAAATCGTCTCCAGAAACAGGAGCCACGCGCGCAGGTCCCTGGGTGGGTACAGAGCACTTGGGCAAGTACCTAATGTCACGCGATAGCCTGGTTCCTGTTTTGGTTCCGTGCTCAGGTACCAGGTACCCGTTACCTTTTGCTTCCTACTTCAATGTGACTACAGTGCACGTTAGCAGCTCGTTGCGACCGTCATGGTCTGGTTCGAGGAGCATGCAAAAATAGTAGCCTCCAACTGAGGATCTATGGCGGACAGGAGCTGGCATCGCCATGTCATCAATAACCTGCCAAGCAAGCCGCTTCCCCACGCGCGCCACTCGCTTCCCCGGACGGCTTGGAATGTGGCTGACGGGAGGGTGCGCCCCGAGACCCGTCGACGCCTTGTGGTCCGAGTCACTTGACGCCTATCAATCAGCCAGGCCCGTTACAAGACAGCTTATCATCTCGAGTCGTGTAGACGTCGAATATTCTGGTCTTCTACCAGCACGCGTGTGGGAGTTTACAACCGCCCGTTCGTCGTCAGCGGTCTTCTCTCAGCATAAAGCGGCAGGACAAGGACCACGTACCTTGGTGATTTGATACTACCTAATATGGTCGTGTGGAAGGAAGTGGCCGGGTGCTCCTTCCAGTTGGATTCCAATGTTTCTCTTCAAAACCGCTTCTCGCGTTTTGAAATGGTATTCTCTGCATTTCTGAATAGATTTACCTACCAGTCTCCCGCGCACACTCGGACCGTCCCGGCCTCTCTTCCAACGAGGCCAAGCGCTAGCGGCCTTGGCTCGCGTAGCCTTGCCAGTCACGATCGACCATTCGACGGCCAGCTGACCCAGGGTCTAGTGGATGGACACCTCCCCATTCTCCTGGGCATGTGACGGTATTGTGGTCGAGCCCGCTCTGTGTTCTTTAAATCCTCGCGTGAAGTCTTGTCCAAGTCTCTTGACGTTATTTCCAAGGTATACAGCGTCAACAGGGAGACGGCCGTTCCCAACGTCTCGGCTATTCGCGGTGCCTGTGCTTCTGGTCTGCGACGTCTGCTGCCATGGGCACTGCAACCGAGTTCTACCGGTCCCAGATCGGAGGCACGTCGGTCATCAATTACTCGTACACCGACTTTCCTTTGAAGCTTCTTCTCAAGGACGTCTACTATTTTTTCGTGTACAGCTGGGCATTGCCGTGGATTCTGCTGCCTCTGAGACCCTGCGGCTCCGGTGAACTCGACGAACTGTATCCCAGCTGGAGCAATGCTTTTTGCATTCTGATCCATTTCATCCTCGTGCTGCTCCAGCTCGCATTCGTTTTGATCCTGCCAGTGGGCATTATTTTCCCCCTTTGGATTACCGTGCTCGGGGCCGGGGCTTTTATGACTTTGAATTGGGCATTGTGCAAATTACTCAACGGCACAGGAATCACATTTCACTCAGATGAGAAGTATGCGAAACCGCGTCCGGAACACGCACATGAACAATGGGTATTTCTCAATGGCGTCGCTGTTGGGTGGGCTGATTCCCCTACTTTTGGTCGCGCTGGCGACAAGTCGCTGACCTCATTGCCACAGAGAACACTGGATGATGGCCAACTTGAATCGACTGGCCATTACATTTGGACGTCCAATCCTGGGAATTCATAACCGAACGTCGGGAATACTCTTCGACGTCATCGAGTGCCTGATTCAGCGCAACCTGAGCTTCGCCACGTCAGACGTGCGTATTTGCTACAAGCTTCTCAGGAACGTCTTGTACGACCCGAGCAAGTCCAAAGTCGTCTTCATATTACACTCTCAGGGCGGCATAGAAGGTGGCCTAGTTCTGGATTGGTTGTTGCAAGAGATGCCGCAAGATCTTCTTTCTAAACTCGAAGTGTACACGTTTGGAAACGCGGCCAATCACTTCAACAACCCTCACCGCCATATTGCGTCCCAAATGCTATCGAGAGCCAATCCCCTCGTCGCCATCAGAACGTTCTTCTCCGAGTCGAGCTTTTCTGCTGCTGTTCCGGGTCTTGTCGGTGCAGAAAACGGACATGCCAAGGGAGGAAATCCCCATCGCTCGACAACCAACGAGACATGCGAATCTTTCTCATCTTCACGCATCTCGTCGGCAGCCAAGGACAGGGCCATCGGTCACGTGGAACATTACGCACACTCGACTGATTTCGTTGCCATGTGGGGAGTCTTGCATTTTGCCACAAATCGAATGGGTTCCCGTCAACTTCCTCGGTTCCTTGGGCGACTTTTCAACCGCGCGACTGGCAGTGGTGGACACCAGTTCAACCAACACTACCTAAACGGCATGTTTCCACTGGAGCGCGACAAGAAAACGGGCGAGTTCATAGGTGCTGACGAAGAGAACGCCTTCATGGAGGAGGTCATCAAGTTTGGCAAGGAAGGCGATGCCATGGAGAATGCAAGAGAAGCATTCGACATCTCTTACCTGGGAACAGAGGGATTTGGAACCGGCCACATAACAACGCCAGTCGAAGTCCACGGAGTCAAGGGCAGGAAGCGGACAAAGACGCATGTCAAGGTCAAGGAGCTAAGCAGACTCTGGAGCTATAGAAACGGACAATCCCCGGGAGACACGCCACCAAATCTCGTCATTGAAGCCGGGGCCTGTCGCAATGCGACCATGTAGGTCTGGAGGCTGAAGTTGTGACGTTTGCGAGTTGCAGAACCTTGTAAGCTATATATGGAGCCCGGAGAGTGTTGTGCCCAGTGTTTGGATGACAAGGAACACGGCACATCGGATGGAAAGGCGCGGCGAGACGAGATGAGACGACAGTGCGCGCATTAGAGCATACAGACTTTGGGCGTACCAAAAAGCCCGACGATGCTGCCAATCTGAGCGTATGGAAATAAAGAAGCCTTGGTGCTAGCGCAAATTTCGACATGGTGCCCTGAGAACTCGACCCTTGCCGGCCGACTTGTCATTCCCGGTGATGGGGGGCCGACGTCAGCAAGATCGGGCTTCCCCGCATGTTCAAACCTGCAAGCTTCAATCCCAACTCCATGTGCCGCAGCCACTTGTCGACTACCCGTTGGACGGACGGCGCCTCGGCAAACCAGCAGGCACGTGTGGTATTGTTCCGTGTCAGGAACAAAATCGGCAGACTTCTCACCTTGGAGGTGAAGTCTCGGCAAAAATGGACCGATCAAGTGACGCGGCGGCGGTGCTGGATGTGCGCAAACACCCGACAGCCCAGAAACTCGTCCAACGCTGTTGCGACCTCTTGGCTGCCGTGCAAGACTGGTAAGTCGAGACCATGGCGCGCGCAACACGGGAAAAACGCCCGCTCACCGACGACGGCACGCCTCGTCTACAGGACGCCGGGGAGGGACCTCGAAGAACGGCTGAACAGGGACTTTGGACCGGGAAACGCGCTCTACGAAGACTTGTGCACTTACATCCGGCAGGGCCTCGCGGAGGGCTGGGTGGCCGAGACGGAAATCTCGGGCCCCAACTACAAGCGAGGCAAGATTGCGCTTCCCTCTGCCGAGACTCGCTACTTCAGCATCACCGCGGTGTACATGAACAGCCGGGAGGAGTTCAAGGGCCAGTACCACAGCCACCCGTACGGGGAGGTCAACTGCGTGGTGCAGATTGACGGCGCGGCAGAGCTCATGGGGATGCAGAGCTGGCAGGGCGCCGGCTGGACTTCGCCCGGGCCGGGGACGCATCACTATCCGCAGGTGAGAGGCGGTGCGCTGGTGGCATTGTTCTTCTTGCCTGCCGGCAGGATTTCGTACAATGCCTCGCCGGATATGCCGCAGCCTCCGAGTGTCTAGGCGACGTGGCATGGGCATCCGTTGGCCGAGAGCGTGTGGATGAATGGATGGATGAGTGAGCGGATACGTGGAGGAACTCTGCAGGCCGGATGAGGTGTGCAAGTGCCTGGATTCCGTGATGGTGGCGCTCTGGGTATGATTGGGTCGTTTTCGGGATTTTCGGCATCCGTGACGCATTTCGTCGGGCGGTTTTGTCTGACCATGCCAACGACATCGTTTGATACCCGCCGCGGTTGTGGACCAAGTTGGCTCTTTCTTCTCCTTCTTTTTGGCATGACGTGGTCGACTTTGGGTGATTCCGGTCTAGGGTGCATTCGTGTGTATAGGGCGAGTTGGGGCATTATGCGGTGAAGAGGTTGGCATGGCAGATGCGTCGTCACGATTCATGCCCGTCGTTGCCACTCCGGCTGCCGCTCCCGTAGGCGCCAAGTCAACATCACCAGTACGAGAAGGCCTTACGTTGCTTTGTGGGACTGGACTATACAGAGATGAGGAATAGGGCCGTCAGTCCTTTGTGAAACGGGGGTGAAATCATCCGTGGTCAGTCAAGTGGGATAGCGGCACTCGGTGCTTTAATGTTGGCACGAATCAATTTCTGACCGGGTGCCCCGGGGAGCCACGGCATAGCTGCAGGTACGTCAGCAGTCAGATGCTCGTATTGCCCGTCTGTTATTGTTAGACGGAAAAAGTCGTGTTGCATCCCCGTGTGTCGACAGCATGAAAGTACACGATTCGCGTTGTGGTGTCTGGTGCCATGGCCAGTCCATGACACTACGATGGTATTATGCGGTACGCGCAAGCAATGGCATCTCCTGCGCTGATCGGTGGTAGTAGTACGGAGTAACTAGTTGGTGTCTGATTACCGTGTCTTGGTGGAAGCCAAGATTGGCGAGAAACAAAAAAGGGGGCAAAACGGTGACTGGGATGAGTCAAACTCTGGATCCCCGTATTTTCAAGTTTTAAGCGGGCGATGCCACCGTCTTCTCCAGAGTCAGCTCGTAACCGGGTCCTGCCATGGTCCGCGATGCTGGGCAGACGGCCAAATCATGTTCCTATCGTGTCGTTTGGCCGTGCCGTTCTGCCTGAATACGATGACGATTGGGAGGTCGGTTGATTTGTCGATTTGCCGTGCTTCAAGGACAACTGTGCGATACAGATTCGGTACTCCGCACACGTGAACCAGTTTACCACGACTAATGAGACGGTGATGCAGGAGCCTGCGCTCTGCGCGTCCTTGCATATCATCTGTTTCACGTTTGGTTTTGGGCTGATCAGCTGCATCAAAATGGAGTCCATGTGCTCCGTACGTCGCCAGGTAACGTTATCGACTTGATTCGGATGGAAGACGACGACCCACCCAACCAACCAGGAGAGGAGAGACTGCGTGTGCGGCTTGCAGCTTCCATTTCCATGCCCATGCCGGCCTTGTCCACCCCTCTCTCTCTCGGTCTCTCACTCTTTTAACTTTTTTTTTTCTTTTCCCTCTCTTTACCCGTCAATTTGACATGCAATGCAACATGCAGCAGGCCCCTTGTCGACAATAAAAGTGACAGGACTCCGCACTCCGTCCAGCACCTCGTTATAGTGGTACAACATGCGGCATCCATGCTCGTCCATGCTCTTCCCCTGAGCCGACCGATGATGCATGTGGTGTTTCGTTCTGCCCTTGGACGGCTTTCATATCCAGTGCATGAAGAACAAATGACACGACAAGACAAAAAGGCAAGTTGAGAAGCAACACTGCGTACTCCGGATTCCGTAGTGGCCTATATGGAAGCCGTCTGCCAGCCCAATTGGCAATCCATCTTTCAATTCCCTTCTCTTCCTTCCCTCCTTCCCATTTGCCCTTGCCCTCCTTTGCCGTTTCCGCATTCAACCGGAGAGCTGGGTCCTGCAGGCCTCGCCGCTTCGGGCCAACTCTTCATCTCCAAGGCCCGGAGTTGGAGCCCTGGACTGGTGAACCCCTGGCACCAACCCTCGCACCGGTTGCCTCACTCTGACTGCTGCCTGGCTAAGAGGTGTTTGGTCCGATCTCCGCGGACACTCGAAGCCTCTCGGGGCCTTGCCGACAAGCAGCCCGACCGGCCCGTTGACGTTGACCGCGGGGCCTTGGCCCGCCCCTCCCCTCCCCCCGCTTCCAGTTCGCCTCCAGTCTCTTCTCGCGCCAGTGTCAGTGTCTCTTGGCTGCATCAGTTGATGTGCTCACTTGAGCTGGTTCCCCACAATGCTGCTCTCGACTTTGCCTTTGCATCTCTCCCAGACAACAACTTATCTCAGCCACAGCGCGTCCCTTGCTCGCGCTTCATCGTCAGCAGCCGCAGTCGAGCGCGCCCTGTCTTCGACTGGCGAGCCGAGGACCCTGTCGACGGTGCTGGAAGCGCCCACGCCCTCGCCCACGCCCACGCCCGCGCCCGTGGTCGACTCGCCTGCGCCTGGCCACCCACCACCCGTCGGAGCCCCCGTTCCTGTGCCTGCGCCTGCGCCTGCGCCTATGCCGGTGCCGGTGCCACCCCGAGCGTCCAGTCTCGGTGCCGCTGCTCCTGAGCTCGGGCGGCAGACTCGAGCTGCTCCAGCGCCAGGGGCCACCAAGGACCACTCCAACTCCCGTCACGGCCGGCACCCAGCACCGCACGCAAAGGGAGCTCTCGCGTCTCCGTCGTCGACTCCCTCTCGCATCGTCTCCAGCGACAGCCAGCCTGCTGTGGCTGCATCCGCTCCTACGTCGGCTTCTCTGTCGGCGCCTGCTCCCGCGGCTCCCTCCGCATCTACGCCTACGCCTACGCCTACGCCTGCGTCTGCATTGCTGCTGGCCTTGGCGTCTGCATCGTCCCGGAGCCATTGTCTCGCTAATCATTCCCCTTTAGACAAACCCACCGCCACCGTCGACGCCAGTATGACTGATAATGCCACGGCTCGCACCCCCCCACGGGACTCCCACGATCTCTCCCTGTCGTCGCGAGACATCACTCGCGATTCTCTCGTCGTGAACATGCTCCTGTCCCTGGACCAGATGTCCTTTGGCCCGTCCGCCGCAGACAAGCCCTTTGGGGGCAGCAGAGCAGTCAACACCGCCACCGGCGCCTATGACGACGAATACTCTCCGAGACCCTGGTCTGACGATTCGAACACCAGCTCACAGGGACGACGACACGATACCCTTTATAATCGTCATTGGCGCCGCTCGTCCTTGAGCTCTGACGTCGACAGCGCTGTCGTTGACGACTCGGCAAAACATCCCGCCAACGATCCTCCCTCGAGACGACGACGCAGCAACAGCAGCTCCAATAACTTCCTGGGTCAAGTCCCCCGCCTAAACAGCATGAGAGAGGCTGCCTACAAACCACAGCCTGGCACGCCCCCTCGGAGCAGCCATACCCGCGGCCGTAGACAAAGCAGCAAGAGCAGCAGTAGTGCGAGCCTGGATATGGGATATCCCCATGCCACGGTAAACCAGCGATTAGCACAGAGAACCGGGCGGTCTGCTAGTTTCGACTACGGACCTCAGTCGCCATCGCACATCCGACAGCCCTCGTCGTCGTCTCCTTTCCTCGTTGACTTCTCCGGCACCTTCGCCTACGACGAATACCGTGCCGCCCCGAACCCAACGGTCCCCAGCGGCCCTCGTCGTCCGATGCCTACCCGTCATATTCCACCGCCGCCACCGGAGCCGGTCGAACCTCACACACTGGAACGCAAGCGTAGCACGAGTCGGTCCCTGAAAAGCTCATCTGGCAAAAGTAGGCGAGGGGCTGGGCACCGAGGTGCTGCACAGGCACTGTCGTCGATGCCTGCCGAAGAGTTGAGATCTGCGCCTGCTCCAAGCGTGGGCTATGGCAAATCCGAGGACACTGATGCGGTGGCCAACGTGACCTCTCTACCGAAAGAGCGACCTGGATTTTTTCGACGTGTGTTCGGCTCATCAAGGTCGACTGCCCCGTCGAACAGTAACATCTCCGGACCTCAAACAAGCTCCTCTCGCTTGCCGGCTTCCCCTGACCGCGCGCCGCACCAGCAACAACACCAACAACCCGCAGCCCCTACCGCCTCAACCTCCGCCCCCCCTTCTAGAGATGCAACATCGTCGCATCCACATCACCACCCCACGTTGCACAAGAAATCTTCCTTCTTTCGCCGCCGCAAGAAGTCGGTAGCCGACGCCGCCCCGCCTTTGCCTAGCGTCGGGCGTATACCGCCCGTGCCAGTTTTGGAAACATCGACTTTGCGAGCAGCCAAAGATGAGCCATCTGGACAGAGTATGTGCAGCCCAACAAGTAGCTTACGCCAAGTCATGAATCCATATCTCCTGGAAGGTTTCACTGGACTTGGCCTGACGGGAGTGGCGGTTTCAGATCCATTGTCTGATATTACCAATACACGTAGCTCCAAGTCCGACGACATCGCCGAGACAAGAGACGAGGATTACAAGAGAGATTTCTCTCCAGGTTATGAGCCGAGTCCGAATGCCCGCATACGGAAAGTCAAACCCGACCCCGACAGCGAACAAGTTGACAGCACACCCTCTCGGTCCACATCGAAACAACCTTTCAAGCCTCTCCAGACAAGCAATTCTTTCCTGGATCTTGAGGCGGGCAGCGACAATGAGAACGACCGTCGCCAGCATCAGAAAAGGAGCGACAAGTCACCTCCAACAGCAACAAGACCGAGGGACAACGAAGATGGAGACGCCACGGTTCGCGCCAGGAAGAAGAAGCCTATACTGGACACTGATAATGGAAGCAAGCTTCCAACGCAGACTAGCCTCAACCTGCCAGCGGATTGTGTCAGATCTATCAGCGTTGCGTCAGGGTCCACCGAAGCTGGTTACAGGACTGCTCCCAGCGCGCCGCCAAGTGTCCTTGTCGAAGAGGCGGACGAATCCGAGCCCACGCTGTTGGCCACCCTGGAATCCATGAAGTCCTGCAAGCCTTTTGACGAACCTGAGTTCGTCACTGGTGAGCCGACTGAAGATGACCGCCAAAAGGCGCAAAGAATATTTGACGGAGGCGAAGACTTTATTCAAAAGGATAAGGCTGCTGCATGGATGGGCGAACAAGGACCTGTTCGGCAGCGCACTCTCCGGGCATATTTGGAGTTGTACGACTTTTGTGGTCTGAGCATCCTTGCCTCCTTGCGCCAAATATGTGGACGATTGGTCCTGCGCGCTGAGACGCAGCAGGTAGACCGCATCTTGGTTGCATTTTCGAAGCGCTGGTGTAGTTGCAACCCCAAGCACGGCTTCAAAGCGACAGGTACGGTGGATGATACCGAGAAAATACTGACTATCTTTTGTCCAAGGTTACTGACCACTCCCTAGATGTTATTCACACGATTTGCTACTCAATCATGTTACTGAACACTGATCTCCACCTTGCAGACATTGAATCGAAAATGACTCGCAGCCAATTTATCAAGAACACCATGACTACAATTACACAAGCTGTCGCTGAGTCGGCTCCCGAGGCTTTTGTTCGGCCGACAATTCTCCCCGAAAAGAACCCAATGTTGTCCCCAGAACCGGCACGACCAACAGCGGACTCGTGTCGAACGAGTAGGCACTCATTTCGTCCGCCACCCCGTACTGAGACCAACTGCAACGACGTTGATGACTGTGGCCCGCTGGTCAAATCCCCTTACACCGGACCAAGGAGAGGCTGGGAGGAGCAAGTTGAGATTGTTCTGAAGTCGATTTATGCTTCTATACGTGACCACCGGCTGCCTCTATTCGGCGCGGAACAGGAAAAACATCTTCATGCTGCACCGCCCCAGAACAACCTATCGGTCATTGGAATGTTGAAGAGGAGCCCAAGCGTTCTGAGCAAGGCGCCTTCGGAAACGTTGTCCACTCGTGGACGAGTCGTTGATGGCAGCCGGAGCAACACAGCCTCCCGCTGGACATCAAAGAGCCGATCACGGCCAGGTCTGGGCCGTAACGGGTTTTCCTCAAGCCGCACCAGCTTTGACGATGGCAATTCCATGTGGAGCCCGGCAATGTCTTCTGCAACATGGAGCAAGCACTCTCTGGGACGGACACAGGGATCCGTGTCGCAAGACTCCTTTGCCTCGTCCATGCCACGAGGGGACTATCAGAAATCAATAGGCTTCGCCAACGCTCTCAGCCAGGCCATCATTCGTGACGTAGATGCCAACGGCCAAGAAACAGTCCCTTCCATAGTGAGCGCTGACATATCTGCCGCCCAGTTTCTAGAAGACGAATCGCTAGAGCTTGCCGGTCCGCCATGGGTGAAGGAAGGGAGGGTGATGCACAAGCACCACTTGGATGGCTATGGGAAACGAGCCAAGGATCGTAATTGGACCGAGGTCTTTGCTGTGGTGCAGAAGGGACAGATCAGCCTGTTCTCGTTCCTTGCGAGCAAATCCACGCGCCAAAAGACTCGGTCTCGGCATGGGGGAAAGCTCAACGGGCCCGTTGGAGGGGGCAATTGGCAAGACAATGCCGTGAACCTTGGCACATTCAACCTGCGCTTGACGCTGGCTTCGGCTCTGCCACCACCCGGCTACTCTCGATCACGGCCGCACGTCTGGGCCCTGAGTCTACCGACGGGGGCCGTCCATCTGTTCCACGTTGGCACGCCGGAAATCATCAGAGAGTTTGTCACCACGGTGAACTACTGGAGCGCACGTCTCAGCACCCATCCCCTGGTCGGTGGAATAAGCAATGTCGAGTATGGATGGAGCGGCGCCATCGTCAATAATTCTCTGGTGAAGGCGATCAACGAGTCTGCGACAGCGGGCGACAGCGGAGGGCGAAGTTCCCGTCCCGGCAGCAGCGCTACGCATGGTCGCAAGTCGAGTGCTGCCAGCGGCAGTCTCCGTTCACCGAGTTTTGACCAGGCAGCTGGGCCTGCTACCAACAGCGGACGCGGCAAACTCCCTGGGGATCGCATTCACATCGCCGAGTGGACTCCTCCAACGCAGAGCATGCGTCCCAGCAATGCTACCGAGACGGACCAGCTCGAAACGCTCACGGCTTATGTCAAGAGCATCGAACAGGAACTGCAGTCTCACAACCAGCTTCGAAGCCCCATGTTATTGGCCTTTACACCGAGAGGGCACAACGCAGGCAAGGCCATGGCCAATTGGGAGCGCAAGAGTGCTTACTTGCTGCGAGAAATCGTCAAGTTCAGAACGTACGTGGACTGCCTACAACAAGCGGAGGCGAGGAAACAGGAAATCCAGGCCGAACGAGACTTGGCTCACAAGGCTGCTCGGGTCGACCCGAGTCATGGCGATGTGGACGTGAGCGGGGATGAAGAAGGGGACGAGACCTTGCGGCCCTGAAGGAACTTTGAAACCTTGCCGAGGGATCCAGCCCCTTTCCACCCGTCCCTCGTTTGCGCTACCACGATGATACTCGCCCTCTTCAACATGACGCGTGCTCGCGTGCGCCATGGACTTTTCAGGCAGATGAAGCACGTGCATCAGTGCAGCGTTTTCTAGCATGACGGAGGACAGAAAGTGGTGCTGATGGCGAAGCGCCAGGAGCGGTTGTGCTTTACGAGTCCAAAGAACGTAATGTAATGTCTTGGGGGTGTTGTTGGAATCAAGTCTAGACAGTACTTTTTTTACTGTACAGAATATTTGTCGGCCCCAGTGGCTGTATCTACTGTAATACGCAGCTCTTCTCGCCCCCCCCCCGCCCAGTGCCTAGTCTTTTGACGGTGATTGTGTCAGAGCAACGGACCCGGGACGAAAGGGGCGAGGACGGGGACGTCGGGTGTCTCGGTGGTCGACCTACTTCATCAAGCGAGGAGCACTATACCCGCACCAAGTCAAACGAGTGCGACCGAATTACAAGTCGGATGATTTTGCGTCACGTCATGAGCGTCAAAGAGGCGTTGCTGGGCCACGAAACGAAACGAAGCAACGTTTTGCGAAATGAAGAGATGACGCCCTTTCGGGGCATCAATAAATGAATGAATGCGGAGTGCTGCCCAGTCTGTACACTGACACGTCGACCAAACCCCACGAGTCTATCCAGTGTCCACGACCCTGTCTCAAACAAGCAGAAACCACGCCAGGCACACGACAGCAGCCAGAGTCGAGGACAGGCCCGTCGACAGGCCCGTGCCGCCATTGTCGTCGTCGCCCGCCGTGCTCGTCGTCTCGTCGGACTGGCTGGTCTCGGTGGCCGTGGCGTCGGCCGTGCGGACGGGACTGGGCGAGGGCAGCTCGGGCCCCGGGCGGCTCTCGCAGCCTGCTATCCTGATCTTCTGCCATCCCACGGTCCTCTCGTCGTACTGGTACTCGACGGGCCCGTCCGTCCGGTTGCAGAAGCCCGTGTAGTCCTCCATCTCGACGCTCCGGAAGTAGGCCCTGTGCGGCGCCGACGCCCAGTCGGGCAGCCCGCCGGCCCATTCGATTTCTCCGGCGTCGCTGTCGTTGCCGACGGACCACACGCCCAGCTTGACCTGCATGGGCGTCTGGGGCCACTTGGCCGCCGGGATCTCGCCGACGTACCACACCTTGCGGATGGTGTCGTTGACGGAGAAGCTGAGGAACTGGTCGGTCCACTCGAGCGAGAACTTGTGGAAGGCGCCGAAGCTGGACGTGGCGAGGTCGTACGTGTCGTTGTACGTGTTGAACAGGGCCTGCCCGTCGTAGAAGTAGTTTGTCTGCGCTTGGTTGTCGTACGCCCCGAGAAGTTCCTCCCCTCTCCGAGTTAGCCTTTCCTTCGCGAGCGGAAGGGGCCCTGCTTACCCAGTCGATTTCGTCGCCCGAATCCGACTTCAGCACCATGGCCGTGACGAGGCCGCGGCCCTCGGCGGCTCGCAGGGTGACGCTGACCTTGCCGAAGAGGAGGTACTTGCTGCTGACGAGGGTCGGGGCGTCGCCGGGCTTCCACATGCCCATGGCGAGCCCGTCGCCGGCCGTGTCGAAGTCGAGCCTCTTCCGGTCGCTGGCGGTCGCCTCATCCACGCCCCAGAAGTCGAGGACCTTGTCCCAGTCCGAGGCGGTGAAGTCGAACGAGGCCTTGCCGGCAAACGCGGCGTCGGGAGGGCAGTCTGGTCGCAAAGTCAGCCTCGGTGTGTTCTCGCGGCTCGGGAGGGCGGAAAGGGGAGGAGGAGGGTCTTGGTGTGCATTGCGGGAGCATTACGCATATCTTTCCGGAGAGGGTCGCAGCTGGCGAGGTCCTTGAGGCTGGCGGCGGCCAGGGCGGCCAGACATAGCGGCCACCAGCGTGGGCGAAGCATCTTGAGGGGTTGGGAGCTGAGCGTCGACGGAAGGGGCGGGCTGTTCTTGTCGAGCTCGTCGCGTCGAGCTCGTCGGGCTTGGAGAGTGAGAGGAGAGTCGTGGGAGCGAGGAAGGACGACGTGCTTTTGCTGAATTTAACCTGTTGCGAGCGAGGCTGTTGCATCTTCACCCGCGGCGGGTGCGGCCTCGTCTACTCCGTACGCCGGCCGTGAACGTCGACATCTTGTCTGCCCCTCGACTTGTTGATCCTTGCCACGGGTGGCGGTCGTCGGCGGTCCCGTGGTAGGACCATGATGTGGTTGTACGTCGGTGGATGTGTCTCCCGCATGGGGGAACAGAGGAAATCGGGATTCGTCGGTGAGTTGAGTTGACGAGACGCGGCCGTTTTGTACCGCCGTCTCTCACCGCGTCGACCTTGATCCGGCCGCGCCCAGACGAGCCGTCCAATCACTCGAGCGAGAGGCTGGCAGCTCGCCAAGGATTCCGGGATCCGGGTTGCGCAGCGATTCCCAGGGTCGTCGTCTTTGAAACGGGCAAACATTTGACATTTGCAACGGCCGTGGTGGCACCGGGCACTTGTGGCTCCGCCCTTTCTTTCTGTTCACATACTTTGTAACATTTGATCGGTGGCCGACCAAGGGCGCAAACAGACAAGTCAGAACCAGGGGCCACGGCGTGGAACAGTCCCTCACGTCTCTTCCCTTGCCGTTCCCTTCCTCTCGCCCTTTTTTTCTCTTCTTCCAAACCACGTCCTGCGGCCATGATGCGGCGTCGCACCTAGCAGGCATCCAGCATGCCGGACAGAGCGCCCTTCTCGGCATCGGTGACACTCAGATCATAGTAGCTCTTGACCTGCACCCAGCTCTCGGCGTAGGTGCACCAGAACGTCTGCAGAGGAGGCTTCCATTCGTCTGGGCTGCTGTCGCCCTTGGCACGGTTGGCGTGGGCTGAGACGGCCCAGAGCTGAGGACGGGTGACGTCGTTGGCGAGGGCTTTGCGCTTGTCCGCGGTCCACTGCGAGGCGCCAGACTGGGAGACGTGGGTTAGACACGAGACGTGTTTCTTTGTTGCTCTTCAGTGGAGTCATGTTTATCGTCTTACAATCCAGGCATTCTTCAGTGGAACCATGTGGTCGATATCGAGATCCGACGCGGCGGTGAAGGACACGCCGTCATACGGAGATGTCCAGTTGCCGGACTCGGCCACGCACGCGCTGCTGGTCTGGACGTCTGTCCCGTCTCGCTTGAGCACAAACTCGCTAGATGGCTGTTTCAGCTCGCCGTATCCGACGTGAAGACGGGGGAGCGAGAAAAACAAGCTTGACCTACCGAGCATTGCAGGTCCCCTGAATAGTCTCCCAGGTAGGGAACAGGGTGCGAGAGAAGCCATCGCCGCTCAGGGGCGTGGCAACCTTGAGGCCAGCAAGAAGAGTCCTGGCTGTCGACGCACTTGGGATACCCGGCTAGACGGGGCCACGGAAAAGCGTCATTCTTTCTGTCCCACAGCATGGCACGGGGGGCTGGGCAGAGCTTACAGGAACAGGCACGGGCACACCAAGGACGACCGCAGCGGCGGACACGACGAGAAAGGCCGAGGACAGCTTCATTTTGGGAGACGACGAGACCAAGCTTGGCTTGCTTGGGATGCGGCATGGCGGGAAGGCGGGAGGAAAGAAGAAAGGCGGAGGATGCGAACCCACGACAGTTTATACTCGCTGCCTGCTGGAACAAAGACCGGCCGAGCTGGATCAAACCGTCTTTTGCCAACTTCGCCCGAGCTCACGTCCTCGCTTCCCAGGCTGACCCCATCGTTGGCTTGTAATCTCATGGTCCGGCTTCCGGGCACGCACAGAGTGAGAGGGCAACTTACATCCTCTGGCTAGACTAGCGCGGCGTCGAGATGGGCGCCAACACCCAGATTGGCGACCCGAGGGGCACGGCGCGGCAAATGCAAACGATTGGACACGAACAGATGCCTCCAAGGATTCATACTTTTGCCCACGAGGTCCGCGGTCCACCATCACTTGGGCAGCGTGACCGAAGTCGCTGATGCCGATGCGTTTGTCGGCCCCCCCGGGGGGTCCGGGAGCCAGTAACAAGAGCGAATAGGTACACGTCTACACGTCCGTCGTCCATGCCAACCCCCGGCGACCAGATCGCTGCCCAGGTCCCGTAGTGCAGATCCCTTTCCCGCGGGTGGCATCGAAGCATATTTCGCAACCTCCCCGATGAGGGAACGGGATGGTGGAGAAACCAGAAGTGTGGTCACATTGGCCGAACTGCACGGGAATGTCACCAATGAATGATCCTTGCTTTCCTGCACATGAGAGTTGAGTGGTCAGCCCAATGGAGTGGCTGAATGCCCCAAGGTTTCGTTTCGCATGGGGTTCTGGGAAGCCCATTCTCCGTCTATGCGGAAGAGACGACCTGACATGTTGTCCGTCGCATCACGTGACGGCCAGAGCCAAGGTCAGGCCTGCAGCATAGATGAAGCGCAAAGGGCATCCAGTCGCTGTGCTCCATGAATCCATCTATTGCAAAAGAACTTGCACCGCCCGCCGGTCTTTGGGATGAGACAAGAGGGCCAGGCGCCCGTTGTCGCCGAGTCCCGACCCGATGACGAGGCCAGGATGAAGGGCAACAACCACCCAGTTGGACTGGGAATGGCGACGGTGTGTTGGTTTCAGACCTGCGGTTGGAGCAAATGCCCGGTAGACTTTACAACCAGGTGCTTTTGCCATCAAACTCCAGCATCGGTCACAATCGAGCCGTCTGTTGGCCGGATAGCTGCCTGGAGTGCCCTTTGCTCCGACGACTTGTTGTCCCATTTCCGCCATCCGGGGGTTGTTGACGTTCCGAGACTTGACAGCACGCCCTGATGTGACACGAGTCTGTTTACGAGCGCCGTCTCGGCTTGCTTGTCTGGTGTACTGCCGACTTACTGATATCGTGTCGAGTATACAGTGCAGTGTTGCGATATGCTACAACGTAGCGCGTGATGGCTTCGTATATTCGTTTGCCTCCCAGGGAAAGAAGGGTTTTTTCCATGACCAATTGCGGCCAGATGTTGACGGCCGATGAGCCTCACGTCTCGGAGTCCAAACCAGCCACGGCTTCTCAGAGACACAAGTTGTGAAGAGCCAAGGGGCTTGTTGAATTCCAAATGTGCTCGAGTGAACAACAACGTGTTCCGCCCTCTCTACAAGGCCTCTCTCCCATCAACGCCACATCACATTATTCCTTGTGGCTCCTTGATTGCTGGTTTTTTTTTTATTTTAAATATTCCAAGTTCCCCTCCCCTTTCCGCCTCCCCTTTCGATCTCGCGCTGTCGATAGTATCAAATACAAAGCCCAGTCCAATTCGCAAATGCCCATGGCTCCAAATTCTCAAAGGTCCAATTTCTCAACTTCCCAATCTGCAAAACTCCAAACCTCCACTCAAGGGTCCACTTTCTCAACTTCCCAGAACAAACTTCAAAACTCCAACTCTATGCCTCCATGCCTCCATGACTCTCCAGCGCGTTACTTCCAAAGCCTTGCTTGTTCCTCCTTGGCTTCCAAACTTGTCAACCCCCAAGCCTCCAAGATGCCAGACTCCCCAAGCTCCCCCTCTAGTGCTGCTCGCTCTCAGATTAGGTCCCTCGTCTCATCAACGTAGCCTTTAAGGAGAGCAAGTCGTAGTTTGTCGTGGCTGTCCTCCAGCAAGTCAAAAGCCAGCATCCCGTTGTCGTCCCGAGTCAAGGTGGAAGTGCCCAGTCGAATGCACGTTTGCGCCATTTCGACGGCCTTTTTTGCGTCGATTCGTCTGCCGGTCGACGGGGCGTCGGGGAACGACGCCTGGCGGAGGACTCGGCGCGCCAGAGTATGGAGGAAGCTCCCGTGGGCTTCTCCAAGGCAGTTGACATCGCCGAGGCCCATATTAAGAAGCCTGGGCCACACACGGAGGGCGCCGGTCCTGATGCTCACGTGGGCCAGTTGGCCGACGTTTGTTGGCATCAGCCGCTGGTTTTGTAAAGCCCGGAGAGCCTGGACATTGCTTCGTTCGACGGCCCAGAGCCAGCAGAAGTTTATCTGGGCCTGCGTGATGTGTTGCAGGCCTTTGGTTATGTCGAAGACGCGATTCTTCCGGAACCAGGGCAGCTGAACCCAGCAGCAGAAGACGGGGAACATTTCTCGCGGGAGGAGTGCCGCCCCGGCGTCCCGCAGGATCGCGTGGACGGGCGCAACCTTCTTGGACCGAACGGTTTGGCGGATCGAGGTGAACATGATGCTTTCTCTTCCCGGTGCCGGCTCGCTGTTGAGGTCTCCCCCATGGTCAATCAGGAAGCGCAGTATGTTCTCCAGCACCGGGTACCTCGGTGGCCTCAGGCAGAAGATGGCGCTGCAGAACTGCTGCAGGATCGTGGCGCCATCGCGTGATCTGAGGTTGACGTTTGCGCCGGCCTTGACGAGGATCTCGACCACCCGGCTCACGCTGGACTCGACGATGCCGCTCGTCGATGCGAGTTGTTCCAGCGCACAGCCGAGCGGCGATTCCAGAGAAAAGTCGGGCGGGTTGATGACGGCTCCGGCCCGCATCAGCCGCGACGTCCACGACATGATGGTTTTCCTTCGAGCGGCGATGGAGCCGATCATGAAGGCGGCCTTGACGGCAGTGACCAGGGCGTTGCCTGACCAGACGCCCGGGGAGTTGGGGTCGGCGCCGTTGTCCATCAACATGTCGAACATGGGCGCGTTTCCCCTCCGAATGGCCACATGCAGCGGCGAGCTGCTGCTGTGCATGCGGACATTGATGGCGCGCCTGTAGACGTCCTTGTCCAAGATGGGCAGCCAGTCGGCAACCCGGGCCGGATCGGCGAAAGCAAGCATGTGGTAGACCGTGACGACTCCCATGGTGTCGAGGAACGACTCCCTTTCTGCTGGACGCACGACCGTGGCGGGCGCTTCCGCGCCCACGAGCAGCTTGGCCGTCTCCGTGTCGTTTGTGAGCAGCGGCACGACGAGAGGAGACCACTTCCATGCCTCGTCGTAGTTTGGCAGCCACGCGAAGTTCCCGTTCAGGGACTCGTCCAGAGCCGGGATGCCGAGGTCCTTGGCCAGCTCGGCGCCGGAGCTCCAACAATCGACGTGCGCTCCCAGGCTCAGGAGGGTTTCGACAAATTCCACCCTGGAGTAAGCCGCGGCGTAGTGCAAGGCTGTCGCATGAAGCCCGCTGCTCTCCTGGTGAACGGCGTTCACGTCGCCCCCTTTCTGGAACGACTTTTGCAAGATCTTGAGGGCGAGCGCGGGATCTCTTGCCGCACACGTCTTCGCTGCCCATAAGATTGCCTTCGAGTTTCCATGGCGTGCGTCCGCAGCATAGAGCTTGGGGATCGCGATGTCAGCCAAGTTTGTTGAGCATTGTGCAAGGTGGAAAAGGTCTTTTTCGGAAAGCCAATCGGCAATCATGTGCTGTATCTCGTTTGGTGTCTTCAAGAGACGTGAGTTTTGGACAATCATTGGGACCTCTGGGACGGTCGTTGAAGGTGTGTTGGCCGCTGGGGCCTTCGCCAACGGCAAACTTCGTTGACCTCGCGGATTCCTGGCCGAGAGAGGCGCTTTTGAGCGGCGAGTGATTGAGCGGCGAGGCGTGATTGAGCGGTAAGGCGTGATTAAGCGGCGAGGCATTGTTGCAAAGGCAGATAGGTGATACTGGTAAGTAGGAATGCCCAAGGCTAGATGCCGGTGCCACCGGGTGCAACTAGTTGTAGAGTGTGAACTCTTGAGGTTCAGTGGATGACTGTTTGCCAAAGATAGTCGCCAAGGACAGAGTGGCAAGTGGTAGCTGTGAAAGTTGGACACAAGCCACAGGATTATTCTGATAGCGAGTGCAGAAAGTAATCAAGGTGAACAGAAAGTGTTCAAATAATAACTGTAGTTTGATAAGTGACAGCCGTGGTTAGACGACTGAGGCCACAGTGAAGTGAATAGATAAAACGTCTTCAATTTTCTTTTGAAGAGTAGATTAACAATTAATGGCTGTAAAGGTCAGAGGACAGCAACCACAGCACATACTGGTCGAGAGCATGCAAAGTACTTACATTAAGCAGATGAACGTCTGCAAAGAATGTCTTGAAGAGTAAGTTGACGAGTGGCAGCTGTTAGAGGTGGAAGATATATGCCACTCTACGCTCTATTTGGACAGACAGAGAGTAGATAGACTATTCAAGGCGAATAGTTTAAGGCTGTCAGAGAGTGACGCAAAGTGTAGAATGCCAAGTGGCGGCTGTGAGAGGTGGAGGACAGATGCCACAGGCTTTAGGAAATGAATGAGTGTTCAGAGTACTACTCAGGATCAAGGGATCGATGTATGTAAAGGGTGGTTTCAGAGAGTAGAATGACAACTCGCAGCTATTGGAGCCGAAAAGGTCAGATGTATGTGAGGAGTTGTTTGAGAGGATGTGCTTGAGAGCATGCGCTTGAGAGCATGTGCTTGAGAGGATTTCTTTGAGAGGATTTGTGTGAGGATTTGTGTGAGAATTTGTGAGTGAAGAGAAAAGGCTGGGAGAGGAACAACAAGATGTCGGCGGTAGAATATATAGGGAAAAAAATCTTCAAACCCGACCAATACGTGCAAGTCCGCTTTTGCGCGCAAGCACGATGCTTCGGCTTCACGTCAAGTCAGACGCGCAAGCGAGCTTAGAGAGCGCCACCAGCCGCCTAACGAAGCACCATTTGCACCGGGGGCACCTTATGTAAGGCAGAAGCAGGCTTGTACGCAGCTTTTCTGCTAAAGGACCTTCGAGCAGTCCAGCTTCCTTCGCATTTAGAGTCACAGCGGTGGACAGGCGTGGATGAGGCGGCGAAGGAGACGTGATGGACCAGACCACACACGATGCGAGTTGCAGGTTGCGCACGTGGTCCGTCAACGAAGAATCATGTCATGCGGGGAGAAGACAAGGATGAAAAGACTCTTGCTTCTGGTCGTCCCCCTTTTGCGGAAGCCTGTGCTGCAACGCGGTCAGCATGCGCAAGTGTGAAGCCAAGTTCCGCCTAGTAGCGCCATACATGTTCGTCGAGACCTGCTTTTGTGGAAAGCCTGTCACTTCTCAAGGTTTTCTCGTAGAAGCTTTAGTTGTTGATTCGTTGTATTAGAAGTCATTTCCCATTTTCTTCTTGCAAATTGTCCACGAGTCCGTATTCCAGAGGTCTGCAGCCTGACAACCATCGCGTGTCGTTTGTCCATGGTACTGTCATATCAACTCGGCCATAATCTTGTCCTACATACTGTACTCGATTTGGCGTCGTCGATTATAGTATGAGTTTGATAGTGGATCCTCCCGCAAGCGCCATGCGCGGGCGAACTCAACATATAATACGCCCATGGGGCTGCGAGCCACGATTCTGCCCGCTTCTCCTGGTGTCTCCTCAGATGCCCAAACTACTCTCTTCCCTCGTATTCTCTTTTTGTCTGTATGAATCTCCACACCTAGGACACTATGTTAGCGAAGTGGCAAGAACGAGGCCCCCGGGACCAACCACAACAGTCTTCGCGCCTCACTTACAGCCCGATCAAGTCTAGAACCACCACAAACAAGGCATGCCTGGATTATCCCATTACGCCAGCTCCTACTTTCTAGGCCCCAATCAACCTAGTAAGGTCAGGAGAGCCGGCTGAATATCTTGCTGAAGCTGCGCTTGTTTGGCGTCGTTCCGCATTCTTGGGGCCTGGGGCAGCGGTGTGTTCGTTCCCGGGGAGAATCTTCCGAGTGTCCTCTAAAGCAGAGCCGTGTGACTTGACCGCCGGGGATAGCACGGTCACCCCGTACTTTCGTTCTGTCGATCAAGTTTTTCTCGTGAGCAAATCCTCGCAGTATTTCTCTCGGCGTCAACAATCCTGCTTTCTACTTACTTCATCAAATTTGCATATTACCACTTGTACTTGGAACCATGATTTGTTGTCTACTGCCGTCCCGAACTGCAATGGCAGTAATATATGCTGCCAAACAGTTCCAAATCTTGAAAAATCCGTTTTGGGCCTCGAGTCCTCCTTCGTGGGCTAGGTTTTCGATCCGCTGGGCTGTCAACACCACCACATCCTACTTAGTTCTCGTCGGTTAACTCAAGAGGGTTGATGACTCGTAAGATGGCCAAGCCATGAAGCAGACTCCTTAGCATCACCCTGAGTTAGTAGGGCGAACCTTCTCTTCCAGTAGCCAGGATGTAGAAGTCCCCCTCACGTATGCCTCAGGAATATTCTAAAATGATTCTCAACCTGTGGCTTGTGAAAATTTCAAACCTTCTGCAAAACCATCTCGCATCTCTTTTACGTTAGTATGGTCACGTTGCCGCTTGTTTTTATCCATTTCGTCGGGAGTTGCTTCTCTTCATCTAGCCTTGCAACGCCACGAGTTTTGCTGATTTGCAAAGTCAAATCACCTGCTGTACTGCAATCCAAGTCAGGAGATTTTCCTTGTATCCCAGGATTTGATGTAGGATACCTGAAGAGGAAGGCTGTCCTGTCGACGATGCCAACAGAGGAGAGAATGATGCCTGTCAATGTAGATTGGAAGACAAAAAGCATTTCATCAGAGCATGTGCTGGGCTCTCGCCCTTGAGATCCTTGAGCAAGCTCAACGTAGCCAATGTCGAGCGCAGGATTGGAAAGAAGTGCGAAATCCGTAGCTTTCAGTATGTTTCTGCTGAGGACAACAGCGTCTGTGACCAGCCCAAGGCCAGGACTATCAGGCTCAGGCGCAAGATGAGTTTTTTTTCCTTCTTCTCTTTTTTTTTTTTTTTCAGCAACAGAGCATCCAAACATACCAAAGCTTCCGACATCTGGTTCATCCGAATAACAGGGGAGTTCATTAAATACCGCCTCCTGAGTCGAAAACCATTTCGACTGGAGCGAACCCACGTCAGAAGCTGTCTCGCCGAAATTCGCACAGTGACAGCTCTAGATTGTTGGCCAGGTTGCAGAAACGCGGCACCTTTCGTAGTATTTGTTGGTTCACTTGGGAAAACTTGGATGAGGAGGTGAGCTGCCACTTCTTCTGATATTTGTGCCATCGTCCTGTGTGTGGAGGCAGGGCATGTCGAACGCAGCTTCTTGAGAATGTCCGGGAAAGAGCACAATTGCGTTTTGTTCCATCGTGTGAATAGATGCGTTATCCCACTCGACGGCGCCAGGTCCGCTGTGCTTGCGAGCAGACAGATAAACTGTCCTGTAAGTCCCGATTATCTTCAGAGTCCAAAAAGAGTTCTCAAATTCTCTGGCCAATTTGTTCATGGAAGAATTGTGTTTTGAAAAAGGTGCACATGGTCGTACGGCGGCTGCACGTGTAAGTCGTGATGCATCTCTCTCTATCGCGACAGTTCCGAGATTGGTCCCGTCGAAAGTGCCGCTGGTGATATCCCTGAGCCGCATAACAGCATCATCAAACATGATGGTTATGAATCTGACGATGGTATTGCGGGGATGGTGAATCGTCGCCGTTTTGTGCCATGCCAACGTGCCCTTGTGGGTGACGTCGAAAAAGATTTTGGAAATGACACCATCGATATCAATCAGTACTAGTGTTCCCAACGTCGACGCGGAGGCGTTGTGATTCGATGGTCAACACCATGTTTTCTTAACTCGTCATAGTGAGTGATCACCGGTAATATATCGGATTTAAAATTGCAGATCGAAAGGTCGCCGTCGGCCGCGAGGACGGCGCAGACGCGGAGGGATTTATCACGGCCCTGTCAACTCGTCACTGGGTAAAAGAATATACACTAGATAGCTGAGAAATCTAGGTGGGCGATGATATATTGAAGGCCATGTTGGGCAATCCGTTTGTGAGTATTTGGTCTGAGACGTGTCGATGGAGGGCGACACTCGGATCTTGAAGGCTGCCGGGCATTTTCTTGTGGGTTGGTAGTCTTGCTGGTATACCGAGGAAATAGCGCGCAGAGCCCTTGAGATCTGTGCTGTGTGAAGTGATGCACTTCACTGTAAGCCTATCATGGGATCTTCAAATGTTGAAACCCTCATTGATGGTGGTGAAATTGAGAATGAGCCGCAATAGCGGCTTGGCAGTTTCAAATGTTTGCATTCTTCTCCCGAATACGAGAGGCGGTAGTTACAGGGTATAGCATGATGTGCCACTAGTATTTGCCCAAGTACCGCCAAGTACACACTAACACACTGCAGTATGTTGTCGCAGAGGGCACGATGGTTGAGCACATGGTTAAGTACTTAAGTAAGAAATCCGCCGCTCCAACCCGTCCAGCAGAGGAGGAACCGCTGATGTGTTGAGTCTGGTGCTTGCTTCAGCGCGAGGGCCACCTGAAATGCTCGTGAACAGGCCCTACACGCCCACCTTTATCTCTGAGCGGCCAAGTTCCAGCGGTTGACCCTGTCAACAGAGCTCTTTCAACAATGCTTCACCTTGGAAAGAAGCTGCGTCAGCCTGGTCGTCACATCGCCACACCATCGCTCCCACAAGATCACGCAAGCATTTACGCCTCCCGCATAGCCTAACCGACAGATGTTCAACTACAAGGTGGCTGCCCTGCACCAACCTTAGGATCATGAACAGCATCTTACGCTTAGTTTGATTGCCTTGATGCTGCTTGCCCGCACTTGCTTCAAAACGGTCTCCAGCTCCCATCCATCGTGGGGCAAGCGTTGGTCGACCTCATCATAATAGCCACGCTCGCTCTCGACAGATATATACAATACCTCTCAATCCGGCGGCTTGGTCCAATTTGTTCTCGAAATGGCTGGTCGTTACGATGTAAGCTCTCAGGCGCAACAGGCGAGCCCTTATGCGACCTTGCCAGGCACATCGCAGGCTGGCTTTGTCCCGCACAACATGACGCCGATGAAATCCAACCTGGCACCTGGTAGGGAAATTGCTGGTACGTCAACTCAGCTGTCGTCGTCGGTATCGTGCATGGGACTAACACCATGATCCCCATAGGCTGTAACCCTAGCCGATGGGTTTACGAACTACTAAACAACAACTTCACTGTCTGCGATTTGTTCGAGCGAGCCCGACACGCGAAGCTGGAGAGCACGTACACCTGGGACCATGCTCACAAACTGGTCATGAACGGAAACCAAAGCTACTCGACACCTTCGTGTCGGGTATTGTCATCGATATGCCTGGACTGTCATTTTCACTTTTTGTTTAGGATGACTTGGGATGAAGCTCACCATGACGGCCTATGCCATCAAAATCAGTCATCGTGGCCACTCCATGACAATCAATTCCCATGGCACCACTTGGTTTGGGTAGGGTCTAGCTCTGACCCAGACATTGCCCAGGATAATACCAAATATTGGCCTCTGTTAGCTCGAGAATATTTTGTTTGCTCCGCTCCGCCTTGTACATTCCAGCTCACCCTCGAGATATCCGAACCCCGTATGCCGCAGACTTGGGTGAACCTTCTGTTGGACCGGGAGGCTATTTGCGAGCAACTGAGGATAGCCAGGGAACAGGAACCTAGCCGTTATGAAGCTGCTACCGACGAATGGGCCAATCAAGCAACGCTGAATCTAAATACGTACCTTAAGAATCTGCTCGAGTCCACCCCGGAGGACGTCAGAAGCATTTCAAAGAGGAACAAGCGTTTTGCTGTTTTGTTTGGACCGCGATGCTTTGCCATGTTCCGCCAATTGGAATTTACCGAGAAAGTAGAACTTAGAGACGGTGTTGACGAAGGCTTTTTCACTCCCTCGCCTCCCCCACCTGCAGGTGGTCCTTCGGAAACGACTGAAATAGGTACCTATCGATCATACTTAGAAGATGTACGGGCTGAAGTACAGTGCCTGATACACAAGGCCGGCCAGGCAGCGGAAAAGCCGACAATCATCACGCCAGTTCTACACGAAGGTTTAGGATGCAACGAAGTGCCCAATGCTGCTACGAATGCATTGGTCAATGTGGAGCGATACAGGCTGATCGGAGTACTCCCTAATCAATCTCGAGAAGCGGTAGTCAATTCTTACAAACGCCAATGGGACTTGCTGCCCAGCTGCAGAAGAGCATTGGTAGACAGTATTATGGGCATTGCAAATGATTCCGGCGACGAACTGCTGTCTGATTATGCTATTACCCAATCCTCAGTATTTGATAACCAAACACACAGGCCTGCGACTAAGGATGACGATGGCCTGGTTCCGCAAGCACTCAACTTCCTGGGTTTGCAACCTCCGAATAATTATAGCGCAGACTCCCTGATTCAAGCATTTAGACAGAAGCTTGCTCGAGATCCGGCAGATGCCACCACGGCACGATCTATGCTGCTGCTGATCGCACAAAATTCAAATGATGATATGTACCAAGCTCAACTACTCATGGAAGCTGATGCGAAGATGTCTCTGGAAACGAGTCGGGCGATCCTTGAACTGAAACCCGTGGACGCCCCTTGGGAGACTACTTATGAAGCTGCCAAGAAGAAGGTAAGAGGCTCATGCTCATTCCAAACGATTTTTGGCCCTGTGAAAAAAAAAAAGGAAAGGCGAGGGAAACCCAACCGGCGACTGTCATCGAGTGTCTATCCATTTCAACGTATGGCTAACTGCAACTATAGATCGAGTCAAGTAAATGTAAGGAGGCTACTCAGGTCTACCTAGATGCTTTGGAGGCAATTGCGGATCATACCTACTCTCCAGCACTCAAGCAAGCGGCGATGGAGCTTCGACAAGAAAACGGTATATATGGGGTCAAGGCCAAGGATGACAATGAGCCAGTGAACTATGCGTTGCCGATCGGGCTGCACAACATTGGAAACACCTGCTACTTGAACAGCCTGCTTCAATACCTCTTCACAGTCAAGCCTGTACGAGACATCGTGTTAAACTATGACCATGTCAAACTGGCCTTGGATGATGAAAGTATCAAGGCCCGACTTCTAGGCGGCAACAAGATGCAGATGGACCGTGGCGAGGCTATCGTCGCGCAAGCCTGTAAGTTGCACTTTTGTCGTTCATGGAGTCACTTAGAATTCCAAATGGGAAGCTAATCGAAAATATTAGTTGCGAAAGAGCTGTCTCAACTCTTTCAAAATCTGAGAGCTTCAAAGCAAGCGGCCACGAAGCCCTCTCAGCGCCTGGCCAATGCTGTGCTATTATCGACACACACTCTACTTCACAACTTTAAGCAGTCATCTGAGCCGCCGGTCGGATCAAGGCCGCCACCTTTACCTGCTCGACCATCGCCAGCTCCCCCAATTCAATCCATAGAGGACGTTGACATGGGTAATGCCAGTGTTGCGAATGTCCTTGAGCCCTCCGAAATGGCCAGTAATTCTAGTTCGAGGACATTGGTCGATCAAGAGGATGCCGGTTCCGATCATTTGCGTGAGAGGGCAGAAACTGTGCGTGGCTCTGGACAAGCAGATGGTGTCACAGATGCCCTATCCAAGAACGATGACTTCATGGATCAATGCTCAAAGGGCCCTTCGCAATTCACAAAGACAGAAAATGCGACTGAAGCCACGATTGATACGCAGGAGAGTTATCACGACGTTGATATGACCGATGCTGAGATTGAAACGGTAGACCAGAAAGTCTTGAATGCGTTGGAGCATCAGAAAAGATCGTCTGGAACCGACCAGCAAGACGTTGAAGAAGTAATGGGTAGCATCATCAATCGCCTACAGGCTGCGATCCGGCCGACATCTGTCGACGAGAAAACTGGCATCCAGCTTGAAAAGATAATGGAAACCTTTTTCGTGACTACGATCAACTACACCAAGAAGTTCGACGAAAAAGAGTATCAATCAGAGATCAGCTTTGATCGTTCTATAACTGCTTTTCCTGCTCCGGATGGACCGTGTTCCTTGTATGACGCCCTGGGCCGCAACTTCGATCAGCAAATACTGGAGGAGAGCAAGCTTTCACGGTACACAGCCATCAAGACCCTGCCGCCTGTTTTACACGTCCTTATTCAACGGTCTCAGTCCATGGGTAGCAAGAATGGCAACGCCGTAGTCATTCCAGAGACGCTGTATTTGGACAGATATATGGATGCTCCACATGCTTCGCCGGTGTTCCGCCGGCGGGTCGAGGACTGGGCTTTGTCCGATCGTATATCCGACCTGAAGTTTCAAATTTCAAAAGTTGACTCCAATCCGACATATTTGTCATATTTGGAGAAGTACTCAGCTGGAGCCCTGGAAACCGAAGGGGCAGATGGAAAAGCAAACACCAAGTCGGCCGATAGCGAAACGCCAGAAATTGTCTCTGTTCCAGAGGAGAACTGGGATTTTGATGGTCCTGTGGATGAGGATTTCCTAGTTGTCACCCCAGCAACCTCGACGAGCTCTGAACAACTGATACCACATGAGCCCAGACAAAATATTCGTGCGACCGATACTGCCATTCGTCAGATGATGGAGGCTGAGCTGCAGCAGCGAGAACAGACCCTCAAGGAACATCAAGAAAGTCTGAAAGGAACACCGTATCGTTTGCATGCTGTTATCTGTCACCGTGGGCACTTGATGTCAGGTCACTATTGGGTGTGGATTCACGACTTTGAGGAGAATACTTGGAGATGGTACAATGATGCCGACGTAAGGGAGAATAAGAACACTGCGGAGGTTCTGGAGACTCTGAGTACGAGTGGCGAACCATATTTTCTTTGCTATGTCCGAGATAAGGATAAAGCCGACTATGTAAATGTTCCGAAGCGACAGCCACCAACACCCCCCTCAGAACCACAAGAGAACCCGGCATTACAGACGGTGACGGATACGGATGGGGACATTGACGCCGTCACCCAAGAGATGGCGCCTGTCATTGAAGGAATCGAACTCCTAGATGATGAAACTGGCAGTGGTCTTGAGAAAGGGAACGGTGATGCGCAAAGAATGGACAATTAGAAGGCAGGGGTGAGCACGGCAAGCCCAAACTATGTTTCGTTGCATAAGAAGCGCGTTTGGCCCTTTTTGTACACAAAGGATTATGAGGTTTGGAGCGTTTAGTATTTCGAATAGTTGATTACGGCAGGCATGGTCAGGCTACTCCGCTGGCCAATTTGGTAGCGTTGGCTTGGGAGCGATGCGGCATGTATTAGATTATGGCGTCTGGGGTAGATGGCATCCGGACGATGCAAGGCAGCCTTAGTCGAAGAATCGTTTGATAGAAGAAATATGGATACAAGAAGAATTCAGTTAATAGCCGATGCGTTGTGCTGTTTTCAATGACAATTCTCGTGACGCGAAAATTTTCAGGCCCCTTGATGATTTTCATCGCCCTTTGAATACGGGCTTTCTCTTCTCTTGGAATGCCCTCAATGCCTCGTTCCTGTCCTCGGTCGCCACTACTCTCTCGTACATCTCATTCTCCTTGTCCTGCCTCGCCCAGGCAACGGCCTGTAGCCCGGCACGAATGGCGACCGGTCCACCTTCGCAGATTTCTTGCGCGAGTCTGACCGCCTCGGCCAGGGTGGTCCTACGGGCGGCGGGCAAAATGTCCGACGCATCGCGCTCGTCCTCGGGCACCACCTCGACCAGACGGTCCGCGATGCCCATAAAGTAGGCCTCGGGCGCGGCGACACGACGGCCCGTGAGGATCAAGTCTCGGGCTCTGGAGAGGCCAATAATGGCTGGGAGGCGGTGGGTACCGCCGGCACCGGGGATGATGCCAAGCCGCGTCTCTGGAAGGCCGACGGTTGCATTGGACGAGAGGACGCGGAAGTGTGTCGAGAGGGCGAGCTCGAGGCCGCCGCCGAGGGCGAGGGACGAAACGGCCGATATGGTGGGGACTTGAAGGTTCGAGAGGGCTGTGAATGTGCCGCGGAGATTGGCGAGGAACTGGGCCGTTCTGTCAATGGGCGACGACGGTTAGCTTGCACGGCCGGCGCTGGGACAGGCTCAGGGAGGCCTCGACTTGCTCTTGCTGCGTGAAGCCCTTGCGCTCCTTCAAGTCGGCGCCGGCGCAGAAACAGGCGTCGACGGCGCTCGCCAGGACCAATGCCCGCGTCGGTCCTAGGTCGGCGGGGACGGCGGGACTGGCTACGCGCGTCTCCTCGCCGTTGGGGCCATACTGCGCGTGGACGTCGTCGACTTCGGCGCGGAGAGCGGCCAGGAGGGCCTTGGAGATGGCGTTTCGGGCCTTGGGGCGGTTGAGCTCGAGGACGCGGATGTGGCCCGAGGAGGAGGCCGGGATGTTGGTGACGCGGATGAGAGGCTCGGTCTCGGTGGAGTAGAGGCGGCGGGTGAATGTTGCGGCGGCGCGGGGGGGGATGAGCGGCATGCGCAGAGGCATTATGAGTGCGGAAGATGTGATGGCTGCTTAAATATACGAGAGGGTGAAACGCGTAATGGAGGAACTGGAGATGCGGTGCAGCTCAATGGGTGGCGGTGACGTCGTCGGCTTTCATCGGTACATGGAGCTGGAGCTGGAGCTGGCTGATGGCCCTGGGCAGACCAAAAGCCGAGATGCGGGGCAGAATTTATCCTCAGTTGCCGGTCATGGCGGCATATTCGGAGAAGTGATTATCCGGCACCTGGCTGATGATCAATTGATTGATTTATAGAATGTTATCAATAATGGAGCTTTTTTTTCGGAGATTGAAAGAGAGCCTGACATGGTTCCCTGCACAGATGGCTTCATACTCCGTACATTGTGGCGGCTTCACGTAGCTAGGTCGCTCGGGAAGTCTATTATCTGCCCAAGGGCTCCGCGCCATTGCCGGTGGTCGATGTGCTGGCAATGGGCCAGCAATGAATCAGGCTGTATAGACTGAAAAGCAAAGAAAGCATTGGGCAGGCATGCCAGCCAAACATAGGAATATCTTTGTCATTTCGGCGTACCTTGGGTAGGTACCGAGGTACCTTCCTGCAGCAGTTGTAAAAAGCCTTGGCGTTCCATTCTCCTTCTTCGCTCTAAACCTCTCTGGATAGCCAATCATGGAGCGCTCCCACCGCCTTGAGTTGCGTCAATTGTTGTCTTTACCTCGATTTTAGTGAGCTGAACCCCATGTCCATCTCTGCTGGTGCTTGACCACTGACCTAAGTAGATATTTGGACCGGCGTGGGAGAGAGGGGGAAGCTCGTGAGATTTTTCGCCTCACACACTTTTTTGTTCTCAAGTTTTCTCCAATTGTGCCGTTTGGCTGGACGCTGGACCTGCAGGTGGGAATGATAACCTCACTTCGGAGCTGGTATATCGCCTTGTTTGGGAGGAGGAACTCGACAGTGCCCTTGACGGGCTCAGTAAACGACACCTCTGGTCGGAAAGGAAACGGACACATGCACAATCTCGACGCCGGAAGCTAGCCATGACCATCTCCTCTCTCCTCTCCTCAGTCTCCCCGGCCCAGCCTGCAAACGCCATCGTCGAAGCCACCGGCCCTCCGGTGCCTATTCAAGTCTTCACTCACCCCAGCGCCGATGGATTCTCCGTGTTCTTTCCCTTTCACGATCTGGTGGCCCTCAACAGCGGTCAGCAAGACCAATTCTCCTTCAAGCAGCTCATCAAGAATGGCATCGAGGGGCAGCATCTTCTCGTTCTCTTCACGGACGGGTGCGAGGTCGACGGCAAGCCCGACTGTTCTAGAGCATGTAGTGACGAATCCACGTTTTCCAGTTCCCTCGAGACCTTTTACAATTGCATTGCGCTGTCATCCATCTCGTATTGGACGCGAGAGACCAACCGCTACTACATATCCGACGAGGCCGAGCGCAATGCCAGTGGCATCATGGGTTCGAGTTCGCTGTCGTCGTTTGACGGGCGGCCCGTCTTGTCGTCCTTTGTGGCGTGTGCGCAGGAGGCCTGCGGCGCCGACGGTCTTCACAAGCCGTGCGACGACTCCATCAAGAAGTTGAACCATGAGACCAACGCAACCGTCATCTTCAAGGCCATGGACGACTTTTGTCCCGATCTCCAGGCGGAGATCAACCCCGACATATTTGGGCCTGGGGTGAGTGAAGCGTCTCCCCGCGCTGGCTCGCCTCTGGATGAACCTCTTCCCCGTCTGACAGCTCATAGGTCCTCATATCATACGTCCTCCAGGTGGCCTTCTCCGGCACGCTCTACCTCTTCCTCAAGGCATTCACCCTCTACGTGCGCCACACCCACAAAAAGCAGGAGGCCGGGAAACGACTGCAGCGAGCCTCGCCCGGCGGCGCCAGCGGCCTCGTCCTCACCCGCCGCCTGACGCGCATCGACTCCATCCTCTGGCGAGACTCGTCTGCCCTGTCCCGCACGAGCATCGCCCTAGCCACCACGCTGGTCGAATTCCAAGAGGCACAGTGCTGGTTCGTCTTCGCCATCCAAATCGCCTCCATCCTCGCCATCGTCGTCAACTCTCAAGAGGGCACCTTCTGGGGCGAAATCGTCGTCAACGCCGCCGTCGCTTTCCACGTGAGCCAAAACGGCATACTGCCCATGTTCCTGATCCAGATTTGCCTGCACCACGAAGGCATACGCAACTGGCATACCTTTTTGGGCTTCTTTGTCGAATACCTGCTGGCCATTGTGGCGACCACGCAAAAGGTGTACTTTCACGACGCCTTCAACTTGTTCAAGCAGGAGAACAAGATCGACGCGTGTGGGCGGAACCCCAGCCCGAGGAGTTATTGCGCGTCCACGCAGGGCGTCGAGGGGCTGAAGCTGAGCTTCTTCCCGCATCCGTTGCTGTACAAGATGGTGTTCTTGGCGCTGGACACGGTCGCGATTGTATTCCTGCTCCTTGACCAGCTGAGCTGGACGCTGAGGACGCACCGGCTCGCAAGGCACATGACGACAGGGGGCTACCGAGTGGGCACGGCGCCGAGCAGTGGGCGCCTGAATCTGGTCTGGGTTCACTCGAAACAGTGGGTGTGGCGGATCCTCGAAGTCGTGTATCTCGTCGTCAATGTTCTCTATCTGATCTCGTTGATCAGGGTCATCAGCGCCGACAGCTTCCAGGCGAATAGGTGGTCGTACGGACAGATTATCGCCATGACGGTCTGGGGACCCGTCATTGTCAAGCTGTTTGACCTGGCACTCTGTAAGTGCCTTTGTCTCCGTCCCTCTCTACAGTGCCGTGTGCCATGTGTGCGCGGCTAACACGTACGAATGATCCAGCCGGGCCGCCCAAAAACGGCCAGCGACTCAACTCTGGTCCGCCACGTCTACGAATCGACAACGTCATCAACAGGCGGCACGGGACGTCGGCAGACGAGGAGCTCGACGCCGAGGACGAAGCCTACGGAACGGGGGGAGAGCGCCGGGTCCCGGCTCCCCCGCCGGACATCGACTTGCGGCAGCGGTCTCGACCGACGAGGGATGAAGAGGCCGACCTGGCGGATGGCAGTGGCGACGGCGTCGCTGTTGGCCGAGATATCAAAAGAGTGGAAAACTAAGAATGGTCGTTTAATTTCTCACGTGAAATGATGACGTCTTTACGACTTTGCACATCTGGTAGAATGTGCCATGTGCATCTACCAATATTCTTCGTGATGTATATCCATGTATATAGATTCACGACACGAAGTAATGTCTGCATACACTGCGAATTGGAAATGTTTTTTTTTTTTTTTGGGGGGGGTGCACAAGTCCAAGGTGAACGAGTCGGCATTATTCGTGTACATGATGTATTCATCCTTCTCTACTTCCCCGCGAAGGAGGGGCGTCATATTTCCCCGGTCGAAAGTCAAAGGAGACATTCTCCCTGTCTCGCAAGAAGGTGTCGACCCTCTCGTCCTTTGTCCTGCCCGCCGACGCCATGGTGCTCTCACGCATCTTCTGCCCGATGGCCCAGTCCTTCTGCTGGGCAAAGTCGACGTGCTGCTCGCCGGCGGCTTCGGCGCGGCTCATTTGCGCCAGAGCCCCAATCATGCACATGCACACTACGAGCGCGGCAAAGGTCCCGTTGCTCATGTACACGGGCTCGCTGGGCTTGCCGTTGCGCTCGTTGCGCCACTGTTCCCAGTCCTCCCAGGTGGCATTGCGCGAGGCATTCCCCGGCTGGTGTCGCCATGTCCTGTCGGCTTCTCGGAGGTCCGGAACACGCTGGCCGCCGGTCCAGCCGATGCCGTGGTGGTCGTACAGGCGGCGTTTGCTCGGGTCGCTTAGGAGGTCGTTGGCCGCCACGACGAGGTGGTATCTCTCGAGGCGGGCTGCGTGTGAGAGCTGTTGCGAGGGGGCGGGCAGGGAGTCCGCGTCGCGTGTGTCGGGGTGATAGAGCTTCACGAGCTGGTAGAACCGCCGCTTTGTGTACGGAGCGCCGCGCTGCATGCCGAATATCTCGTATGGAGTTGGGTGTGGCGACCTCGGCCACGATGGTGGATCTGCGTCATCGGGTTTCGGCGGCCTCGTTGCGTAGCATCTGGAAGGCTCAGATGTCCGGTGTTTCGGCAGCGAACGGTGTTGGAAGCGTCGTGCCGGCGGGAATCTTGCGCGGAATCGTGGTGTCGAGGCACCAGGTGATGGGCATGGACTGCAAGGCACCGAGCACGTGGATGAGCAGATGGCCGCGGCTGAGTTCTTGAGCATCGTGAATGAGGCGGGGGGGCCAACGGGGAGCGTAGGCAAGTCGAATCGCGCTGCTCGGTCGTTTCTAGACCTTGGTATCGTTGCCCGCCGCAAACAGTCAGCCGTGGCGGCTCGTCATGTCGTGGTGATGTGCGAAGTAGCACGAGGGCAGGGCGATGACGGAAGTGTCGGCAAGTTCCCACACTCGCGTGCGCAACGATGCGCTGGCGATCCGGGTGGGGGGGGAATTCGTGACGGATCAGCGACGAGCTGTTGCAGAAGTCATTTCTTCTTCCAGAGTTCTGAATTGCAATTTCCAAAGCTGGCACCGTCGTCTTGGACGCTCACAACACCCGTTGCTAGAAAGGCACGAACCAAGATTCGATTCGTTTCGAGCTGGGTTGTGATGCTGCCTGGGCGCGCGTGGTACATGCAAATGACCCCAGTAAACGGTAGGTGACGCTACAGAAGTCGCAGTATGGCTTTGATGGATATTTTGGATATTGTCACGGATGTTGGATAACAATTGGGCTTTTTTTCATGTCTGATCTGGATCGCGAATAGTTATCGTACTGCTCATCATACATGTGCGGTGGAGTTGCACATGTCGGTCAAACGCAAAGGCTGCAAAAAGTTGACACAAGAAAGAATCAAAAATGCTATCCAGCAGGCTGGGTCGGAAGCGACGGAATGTGTTGAAGTTGATGACTTCCGGATGAACATCATTGACGATGCCCAGCATTGCGTCGACCACCGTTGCAATACTTACTTCTTGGAAGTAAAAGGTACCTAAGTACTGAGTAGGTACTTGGTATGCACTTGTCCTGAGGACTTCAACACGTTACTTCACGCACAGAAACGCCGTGATTCGTTTAGCGGGGCAGCGTACGGTGTCTGACACTTGTACCTGGACCTGTACCTGAATGGCATCAGTTCATCTCGGCTCCAGTTTGACGCCAGGCACGGGATGCCATTCAGAAAAGTGCCGCACAGAGCCACTTACTTTGACACAACATCCACCGCGTCGGATGAGAGACCACGCGTATCTTTCAAAGACCTTTCGAGCCCCGCCAAAGGGTCATCGTCGGCGCACCGCAGGCACGGCACCCGTCCTCTTTCTCATCTCATCTTCCATCTTGCCCGAAAGGATCTTCTTCGCCAGGAGGCGCATTTTGCCTTTGTGCCAAGGGTGATATTCGAGACCCGTGTGATGACGCCGCTACCTAGCGTTTGCCTAATTGGCAAGTTGCTGGGCTTGTCTCCGCGTCCATGCCGCTCTGCCGCTCCTTCCTCCAGAGTCACTGCCGCATCGAAACACGTTCAAACTTCAAACTCTAGAACTCAAAATGTCGCATCGTGAGGGCAAAGGGAAACCATCTCAGGTCAGACCTTCGTCAATGGCGCCGCCGCGACGAGACGCCATGTCGCCAGGACTGGCGTACTCCCGTCTTGAGTCCCATAAAGCGGCCTATGGGATCATCTCGCCGAATACCTCCCAAATCTCAGACCTCCGGCATCGAGCCGCATCTCACTGCCCGCCTACACCATCTTGCCGCTCCCAGAAGAAATTATTTTCCCACTGGGCTGAACCTAACTTCCCGTGCTCACAGCCACCATTTTTTTTTTCTCCTTCTTCCAGTAACACCCCGCATGAGCTGCAATTTGGGATCTCTTGTTGAGCGAGCGAAGCAACAATCAGCGTGCCGGGCGATTGGCCCGCCACAGTTGTCATGCCAAGAGACATGAGTTTCGGGGCAGACGAGGACGAGGACATGGCGAGCTTCTTTGCCTCCTGTTGTTTCCCTGTCTTATAAAGGGGGCCGCGACGTGTCGGTCGAGAAAACGGACTTGGACCTGCTGGCCCCTCTGGCTTCAGTAACCACTGCTTTGTTGGAGAAATTGCAAATCCGTCCACCTGCCATCAAGACGACGCAAACTTCGCTGGAAAATGTCTGCTCCCCTTCAGAACAACCACGTTGCCGCCGGGCAGACTTACAAGGAAGCTAATGGTAGTGGCTATCCCGTCTTCCCGACCACCGCCAATGCTCGTCCGAAAGAGACAGCTCCACGGCACAATCAGTCCACGGTCTCTCAGGTGTATGATCCTCAATTCTTCAAGATTGCCAATCCTGGGCCTCTTGGTCTCATTTCCTTTGCCCTGACCACCTTTGTCCTGGGCCTCTATCAGTGCGGTGCTGGGTAAGTCGTCCTCAGATTACCTCACAACGTTGCATGGCATCGGAATAAACCCGTCTTACACCTCATTCATTTCCAGACTGCCAAACTCGAACCCTCTCGGAAGCGTTGGTCCTGATGAAGCAATATTCGGCCTGGCTGTCTTCTTCGGCGGTGTCGTACAGCTCGTCGCTGGTATCATGGAATTCCGCGCAGGCAATACCTTTGGTACGACTGTCCACTGCTCCTACGCCGCCTTTTGGCTTGCGCTGGCCATGTTCATGATCCCTCAGCTTGGAATCAAAGAAGCCTACAAGGGAGATGATCGCGCCTTTAGCTTTGCTGTAGGCATATTTTTGATACTGTGGTGCTTCCTCAGCCTCGTCTTTTTCATTGCTGCGTTGAGAACGAACATTACCATCTTGGTGGTCCTGGGCTTGCTTACTCTGGCCTTTCTTCTCCTCAGCATTGCTCAGTTTATCTCTACTACGCACACAACCGCGGCGGTTCGTGTCAATCGTGCCGGAGGGGTGTTTACCGTGCTCTGCGCCTTTGCTGCATTTTATGCTGGCAGTGCTGGTCTCATGACACCCGCAACAACTTGGGTTGTGTTCCCTCTGGGCGAGTTTAAACACGCTTTGGCCCAAAGGAGTCCTGTCTAGGCTACTGGTGCTCTGAAATTCCTCTTCCTCACCGATCTGCCTGTCTGGACTCTTTTGCATCAACCTACCAGGCGGCTGGGAACTGAGTTGCTAGGCTATTTGTTTCCAAGGTGTATTTTTGCTCTTGAACTATACCCAGTCTTGTGTTTGATTTCTTCTTATCTCACTGTCTTTGCCGCACACAGTAGCTTGACGACTTTTGAGAGAGAGAGAGAGAGAGCGCGCGCTCCTACAGAAACATACAATACAATATGCAACATACACCCATACTTGGAGATTTTAAAAAAACTTGAAAGGAATTGCCATCCCGCTCCCGTCGATGCAAACTACAAATGACGTGCAGTCACCTCTCCATCGTGATGAACAAAACTTGTCTCCGGAAGGCGAGTTGCGCGAGGCGCGGTCGACGTACATGTTCTTTGTTTCAATTTATTGCTAGCTTAGCGGGTAATTTACATCTGTTATGGACCAGCCCGGCGATTCATATCTCCAGAATTGGCCACTTGATACGATATAGGCTTTTAAGTCAAGGCCGGCCCTGGCCCAGATGGTCACATTTGTATAATGACACACTTCACTATGAAGCAGTTTTGTTGTATATTAGTGAATTACTTTAAACGGTTGCTTCGTTTCTATAGTACGACACTTGCACATTTGTACTACAAAAGTAGAGTCAAGACAAAGCTGCCAGCTCCTAGACTGAAACAGCAAGCGTCAAAAGGCATGTCAAACGGTGCGGCGAGGGCGCGGCGAGCGAGCGACTCGCCCACCGCGAGGCTCCAATCTGCCCCGAGTCCACGCGCTCATCACCACCCCATCACAGCTGACTCTTGATATTCTCCGCCGCCCCTTTGGCCTTCCCCTCGGCCTCGGCCGCAGCGCCCTTGGCCTTGCCCTTCACCTCGGCCGCCTTGCCTTTGCTCCCGTGAGCAATCGCCTCGGCCCCCTCCTTGATCTTGCTTCCGGCAGATGCTGGAACCCGTTAGCAGAAGAACGAATGAGGATCACGGGGGGAATGGAAAACCCACTGGCAGCTTCCAAGCCAGGCAAGACGACGTTATCTGTGACGGTCCTGTCCACCGTCTTCAGCCCGTCCTTGACCGTGTCCGTGGGCGACTTCCTCGCCGCGACTGACGCGCCGAAAGCGCGGGCGCCCTGGGCCGGCGTGGCTCTGCTGCACATTGGCGCGGCGTACCGGAGGCCTCGTTTTGCAAGGAGCGACATGGTGGGCGGGTTTGATGGAGTTTGCGTCGACGGCGGGTTTGATGGAATCTGTGGTTCGGTTTGGTTTGGCTGGAGGCCCGGGTCCGCAGGTGTCTGGCTGGGGAATCAGTGCTATTAATAGGGGGAGGTGCGGCCGTTGACGAGGGACGCCGCCAACGTCGACGGGGGCGAAGACAAGATGATGATGTCATCGAGACGGGCTTGAGGGCGCGGCGGGCGATGGCGATGGCGATGGCGGGGCAGACGCTCCTATCCTATTCGCTGGCGCGGGACGGAATGGGCGTGACGTGACGTGACGCTGCTCTTCTCTTGTCTTGACTCTTGAGAGACGAAAATAGCAAAAGTAGACTTCGACGTGATGTTTCTTCGAGGGGATGAGGGGGTTTAGGTGAGTGCCTGTGTGCTTTGAACTTGGCCATTGAGAAAGAAAATTAGAAAAATCGGTAGCTGCACCGTGTCGGGATGCTTCTGCCGCGGCTTCTTGCAGATGCCTCCAAGTCACTCTGATAATCACTCTGGACTCAGAACGGTCGGTGGGTAGCGGATCAACCCTCGTCATGGTTCTATTTACGTCATAAATCCGCCTCGATTCTAGTATTCTCATGCTCGTCACTTGGCCCCACCTCAAGCGACGGGCTTGTCTATCTCTAGCGATGCCGCTCTTCTCGTTCCGTGCGCATTCGCAACGAATTCTCCAAGACTTTACTCCTTATCCAAGCGCACCGCAGGACTGTTGCGCATAAAGTTGAGATCGACCTTGTGACCCAGCAGCTCGCGAATGTTGGAGATGCCGTATTTGATCATGGTGGGGCGCTCAAGGGAGAGACCCCAGCCAAACACTCGCATGTCCTTGCTGCGGAGAGACGTTAGAAGAGCATTGAGTGCGGAAAAGGAGGGAAGGCAAAAGACCCGGGGGGGCCTCTCGCGGTCGGGCCAAGACGTACGGCAGACCCATGGATTCCAACATCTCAGCGCGGAACATGCCACTGTTGCCGATTTCGACCAGCTTTCCGAGACCCTTGTCTGGAATTGGGTGAGAAGGTTGATGCACTGAATGGACTGATTCTGAACCACGACTTACGATACGAGAAGATTTCCATGCTGGGCTCGGTGTCTGCAGTTTCGTCAATATCCGGCCATCGTCAACACTTGCGGCGCAAGTTGCTTACAAGGGTTGTAAGCACACTTGTACTTGAGATCGGTGATGCCCATCTTGCCAAAGAAGATGTCCATGAACTACAACCACATGTCAGCCATCTTTCGCCTCGTTTGGTTTGTCACCACAAAGACTGAATGTTCTGACCTCCATGAGTCCCCCCAGTGTCAAGTCGTAGTCGGCAATGACACCCTCGACCTGATGAAATTCTGCCAAGTGGGTGGCGTCGACGGATTCGTTACGGAACACACGGTCGATGGAGAAGTAACGGGCCGGCGGCGGGCGTCCGTCAGGTCCCTTCTGCTGCGCCAGTTTGTACAGCATGTTGGCGCTGATGGCTGTCGTGTGTGTCCGAAGCACGAGCTTCCTGGACTCTTCTCCAGACCAGGGATATCGATAACCAATGGAGCCGTATTTGCCCTCCTACATGCAGCGTGAGACCCCGGCCCACAGTCGCGCAATGCAGCACCATGGCAACATGTGAGAACTTACCTGGTGGACATCCTTGACGTTGTCCCAGTAGGTCTTGTAGTCAGCCGTGTCACTGGAGTCCTCACCTCTGGGCATGTCCGCCTCCTTGGGGTCCGAGACGTAAAACTGTCGTCCGCGTCAGCCCCCCACCCCCAAACTGTTTCGAATCGTGTGGAAACCTCCATGTACATACGGTGTCCTGCATATCACGAGCAGGATGTTGCTGGGGCACGAAGAGCGTATCGAAATTCCAGAATCCCGACTCCACGAATCTGGCGGCAAGTCAGAAACTCGTCATTCACGTGCCGGATATAACCTTGGGCATACTTGTCCGTGGGCATCTCCTGGAAACCCATCTCAAAGAATATTTGCCTCAGCTCAGATCGAACCTTGTTTAGGGGATGCAAAGCCCCGGGGTGCTGATCGGCACCCAAGGCTTTGAAGTTGTATCCCTTGAAAGTAGCTGACCTCCATGAACCGCTGGCAATCATGTCGGCCGTCAAGTCGGTAGCCACCTCGGGGATCTGGAGCGCAAATTTTTCCCCCTTGTGGATGTTGAAGCTGATAATCTTGTGCGTGCGGACGAGCTTGCGCTTCTTCAGATCAGCGAGCATCTTGGGATCGGGGTACGACTTTGTCGACTGAATGGTCTGCATCTGCTCCTGGGTGGTATCCTTGATAGAGTCTTTCTAAAGATTGCATGCTGTGTCAGCTAGCCTGCGCCTCGTCCTGTTTTTTTTTTCAGTCTTGATGATACTCACGGCGACCCGGAACTTGCCATCTGCGACATCGGCCAATTAGCATAATAAAAGGACTCCTTTTGAAGAGCTCATCTCGGGGGCATTCCAAAAGTGTCAAAAGGCGTACCTTGAGTCTTGGAAATCCACTTCTCTCTGAAAGCCCGGCCCTGGCCAATCTTGACGACATTCTTGTCCCCAATTGCCTTTTCGAGCTCTTGAATTGTCAACCCCTCCACTGCCGTGCGCAGGGCCTCGAAAACACGAGCTTCGTGGCTACCGTTGGCGGCAATCTGCTCGCCTTCTGGTTCGAGGATGGCTTCTTCGCGGTCGATGGTTTCGTATTTGACCATATCGCGAGAGGCAAGTCTATCGAGTGCACCTTTGACGTCGGGAGAGGGGATCGTGGGGAACGCGGCAGACGAGAGGAGGGGTGAGTTCTTGTCCAGCGCATGCAGGATTTGAGTCGCAAGGTCCCCGGCGGGAGTGTCGTTGGGGGCCGCCATGATGAGTGAAGCTGTACGTTATGCTCGTCTGGGCAGATTCATGCGACGCTGGCGGCGGGAAACGCTGTTGATGGTCTGAAGCAGTCCGTATCGCGGTGGGATTATTTCCTGACTCACAAAAATAGTCGTGCCAATCCCATCCGCCGATTGGGAGTCAGCAAGCCCAACGGCGAAGTGGGGCCGTTGGTTTTGCAAGACACCTCCGATGTCAGCCGCCGCAAAAGCAGGTGAGTCGAGACAATTTTTCAAGCTGACTGACTTTCGACGGAAACCATGCTGACTACAGAAGCAGATCCTGTCACATCACTTCTTCAAGGACCGCCTTCAGCCGGTTCATGACGTTTTGATGTGTTTGTTCGGGACTCGGATAACTTGAGCGTGTACACTGACTGTGCAGCAATGTCTATACTTGCCCACCTACATGATGCATACATCAACATCTACATGGCGCGGCTTCGACCTGCGACCTGCGCTCTCATAACCGCCTCGGCAGTCGCTGGATTGATCCGCTCCGTAGGGCCCATCTTCATCATCTTTCCGACAAGGTACATCAACTTCCCTTGCGGAAATTTCGTGTAATTGACCAATTCTTGCAATACCTTGTCCTCGCCTTCCAGAGCCTCTTTTGCCAACTGTCGGTACTCATTCTCTGAAATCTCTCTGAACCACAAGTTGTTTGCCTCAATGGCCTGCTCTACACCCTCTTCCAATTCTTCGAGATAAATGGATAGGAGGAGTTCTTTGGCGACCTTGCCCGTAATTTGATTTCGGCATAGATGATAGAGCAGTTGGGACAAATCAGCAGCAGGCACTTGAGCGCAGTCGCCGTCCGCTGTGAAGAGCAGTTCGGCCGAGGCCAGTGGTCCGGCCTTGTACGTGGTCAATCTGCCCAACTCGTGGGTTACCCAATTTGCTGCGAGAGTTGCATGGCTCCTCCTCCAGTTCGGTTTGACCTTGTCGGCCCCTTCGGCGAGATCCACTTGCATCTTTCCGCCGATACCGTCCAACACTTTGTAGAAATATTGGATCCTGGCTCCGTTATCCAGGGTCATAAGCGACAGAGCGTCTTTAGCAGTTAGTCCAAAATCATGGATTAACGTATCCAGCTCCGCGTCTGGTAACACGGCCAAAGAAGTTCGGAGGTGCTCAACCAAGTCGGTTCCAATCACGAGCGGCGCGATGTCAGGATCAGGCATGTAGCGGTAGTCGATTTCACCTTCCTTCCCGCGCAACCTCCGGGTCTCTTTCGATCCGAGTGACCATCCTCGGGTCTCGCCAGCTATGCTCCTACCAGCTTCTAGCTCCTGAATTTGGCGATCCCTCTCAGCAATGATTGCGTCTTCGACTGCTTTTATGGTACCGAGATTCTTGATTTCTGTCCGTGTGCCAAGCTTGCAAGAAGAGTCATTGGATCTGCGGACTGACACGTTCACATCAGCTCTAAGACCTCCAGCCTCCATTCCAGAAACACAAGTGTCAACAGTGTTGAGCAGGAGCTGCATCTTTCGAACCAGGGCAGCGGCCGTTCGAGGATGGTGCATGTCGGGTTCGGTAATGATCTCGATGAGGGGCACACCAACGCGGTTGAAATCTAACCAATGCACATTCCCGTTTTGTGTCAAGGTCTTGGCGGTATCCTGCTCCAGCTGCACTTGTTTAATACCAATGGTGACACTTTCACCATCTTCGGCGGCAATACCATCCCGGGCATGTAGTGTGATATGACCATTCTTAGCAAAGGGCTCGTAGTATTGCGTGATTTGATATCCGGCAGGTTGGTCCCACCAAAAATAGTGCTTCCTGTCAAAGCGACTCACAGACTGGACCTCGCAGTTGAGAGCCAAAGCAGCTCGCAGTGCTGGGAGCAGTGTTTCCTTCTGCACCCGCGGCTGACTTCCGGGCATTGAGACATCAAAGAGAGCCACGTGACTGTTGGGCTCGTCATTGAACGAGGTAGTCGCGGGGGAAAAGAGCTTCCGGGCTGTATTGAGCTGGGCATGGATTTCGATGCCAACAGTCAACTCCCAACCATCCACGGTCTGAGGATTGCCTTTTGAGTTATTCTTGCCTTGCTTCTTGGCCAGTTTTGCCTCCTCTTTTAGCTGCTTGCGCAGGGGAACCAGGCTTTCAGTCGAAGACGCGGCCGGTGACGCAATTGTTGATGCAGCCCGAACATTCGCAGACAGAGGAATTGAAGCCCGCAAAGTTACGCGGTTCTGTCCCAAATCATGTCGTCCAGCTAGACAGCCTCGCTTGGAGATGCTCCCATGGAGAAGATATCTCCCAAGCTCGGAGATCGGCACTCGCCTCAATGTCATCATAGCGGATGGCAGCTAGGCTTTCAGTCTCCTATTCCAAGGTATGGTGATGGCGTGTGTCGTTGGATTTCATAGGCGTATGCATTGATCAGTCGTTCGGGGCCAGTCAGTATCTCGTCACTTGGCGAAACCAAATCCAAATTGTCTGGTCTTCGGACCGAGGGGGGAGCCTGCGCTGTCGGGAGCCGAGCCAGAGCCAAGGAAGGACGAGTGACGGAAATTGGCTACAGGTAACTACTAGTCCATAAGCTGTGACGGCGGTGGCTGCAGCTGCATCCAGTCAACGCGAATCGCATCAATGGGGTTGTGTTGCCGTAGCTGGTCAGTGATGATGGCGGGATGAAATTCTGGGATGGTGCAGTCTGATCTGGTACTCCGTACAGCGCATTACTGTCTGGTGGTGGAGAATGGGCAGGTGGACCGGCAACTGCGACCCAGCACTTGAGCGTGCAACTGCCTCTCTGGTGTCTGATGGCCCGTGGGACAGGGAGCCGGCACAGTGCACAGTGCACAACCTTGCATGTTCTCTTTTGACGACGTCTTCGTGTTCCGTCCGGTCCCCGGTCCAAGGTCCAAGGTCCGGATGTCAAATCATTCAACAAAAAAGCTCTGCACCATTAACGGTCATGCCTCGTCGTGGGTCGGCCAGCTTCCACCAAGTGTCACTTTGTGTTGCCTACAGCACATGCAATCATCGATGCGAATACGGAGTACGGAGCAGCCCAGCCCCAATTCTGACCCCAACATGATGCATGAGACCTGCGACGCTTGGCCAACGGTCTCGCCTGGTTGTCGTCCCATCTCAGCCATGAGATTCAGTTAGTTGGTCATTTGTTCCACGACAATTTGCTCCGCCAAAGAGTATATGTTGCATAGCGCGCGTTGGGCACCTGTTGGGTATGCCGCTATGTCCCGGTCATTATCATGCGCAGAACGATATCATCAATTTGCGAAAGGTTTGGCCCCTTTCGCTCAGCCCAAACACATCGACATCGGTTCTCTACTAGGCTTGGGCTCTCAAGTGCTCGCTAGAAGCAAGCATGTGGTCCAGCGCATGTGTCTCAGCGCAAAGAGCATGCATATGCAGTTCCTCTGATCCGGCAACACGTGTCGTCGCCTCACTTTGCGCCATACTTAGCGGCATCCCAATCCTGGTTGCTCCTGTACAAAGGCGAGAAAGCAGCAGGGTTAAAGGAGGAGAAGAAGAGAAGACGAGAAGGAGAGAAGGGCGTGGCGAACGAGAAGACGCAGCCAAGGCAGCCTCAGCACCCACGACGAGTTCGAAGGCGTCCTGGTCAACTTTCGTCATCGTATTGCGAAATCACATTGACTGAGCGAAATTTCACGCAGTGTGACATTGATCAAGTTGTCATCTGTTACCCCAAGCTTTGGACACATGGGCCCTTTCCCGGGCCTGACACCTATTCTACCAGACTACCACCCCGGCTGCACACTCTCACTTTGACACCAGCTCGGGACGAAGGCCATCTGATGTACATGAAAGCATTTATAGCTGTATTTTTGCCATCTTTGACTCCTTGGCCTCGATCCAGAATACTCGTTTGATCGTTATGGCCCGCCTTGACCGACTATGACAAGTTCCTCAAATCTATTCAGCTACTATGAGCACCGTCAGCGAAACAAGTGAGCTATTGCAGGACGCAGCCGTTCCTTCTAATAGCCAGAATGCCCTTAACGATTGGTCTTCTTCTTCTGTTATGCCGTCAGAGGCGGTTTCAGATACCTCTGAAAATGCGACAGATACCCAGAGAGAACCATCTCCAAACCTTGTTAAGGGCAGCGACGATTCCGTTTCATTAAATCATGTCTCTGCTTCATCTTCTTCCTCATTAGGAATCACCTCCCCTCACTCATCCCCTCACGTTCCTATTGACAAGCCCTTCATGTCAGCCACGGTGGAGGACTGTTTCGATGAGGACGACCCCATGGCTCAGCTCGATGCTGCTGATACGCCGCCATCATCTTTCTGTGTCACGACACCACCTATCAACGAGGCTCCGCGTAGCCCGAGCGCGCTAGACAAGGAAGCAGAGTCTGTCAAGCCAGAGACGGACATGCAGGAAGACGAAGACGAGCAACCTCCATGCCAGGTCGGCTCTCCTGATATACCTGCTCCTCAAAATATTCACCACGTAGCATCTCAGCATCGGCCGAGTGTGATGGATTACCTGATTTCTCAAGGCTCGGCAAAAACCTCCGCATCTACTTCTGAGGCAAGTGGCCCGTCATCCCGCAGAAATGCAGATGGTCATGCCTGGCCAGATGACGGCCAGATCGGTGGTGAGCTCAGGCCAAATGGCGAGTCACATGTATCTGGCAGTCATCATGGCGACGACAGAAAATCACAGCTCAGCTGGAATGGACATCAGCCGGCATTTAGGCTTGCTGATGGTAATCCATTACGCATTCATGGCGATTCCAGAACCGAAGCACCTTACGTGGAAGGCTATGCCCAGCGCTACAACCATGGCGGTTCATCCGCTCCTCGGTCTACTGTTAGCGTTCCGCAAAGTGATATCCGCCCAGACCAGCATGCAAGAACTTTCTATTCGGAATTTCCCAACCACTTGGAGACTATGGCGCCCAGTGGGTACCAGCTTTTGGCGGCAAAGTTGTGCGGCGACGCTGGCGGTCCACCTCTGGTGCCGATTTACCGTCGTTTTGACGCCCTCAGTCACCGGTTGCTCTTATACATGCAAGACGAGATTGCCGAGCTAGAACGACAACTTGTCGCATTGGAAACACAGGATACTGCAAAAAGAAGCTACCGCGGTGGTGTGCTACCGGCATCGCGCAGGCAGGACCGATGGGTCAACCCCAACTTGACAGACCAGAAGACTGAGGTCCTCGGCCATATTGGCTACAAGCTGAGTCAATATAGTAAGTACTCGCTTACCGGTAGTTATGTTGCTGATATACTGGCTGACATGATCAAGATCAAGTTTTAGCGTCGTTCCGCAAGGTCCAAGACATTCCAGTGCCAACGTGGCGGGATATTCACATGTACAAGACCTACTTGACTACAAGCAAGTTGATTGCAGACGACGAGACGCGATTCCTCGATGCGGAAAATGACTTGGTATCTCTTTCTGGCCCGATTCAACCCGCGGATGACTTCAACGTGGCCGATGATGGGCCGACACCCATGCCCAAGGCAAAGGAAGATCAGCAGTTGCCACCATTCTTCAAGGATGGCGGCAGCTCGTCAACACGGGCAGAGCAGACTACAGCTCAGGGACCAAGCGACACTGTGCTTGTGCGGCTCGCTCTGTCGTGCATGTGTGTAGTGTTTGTTCCTGTCATCACTTTTGCAGTTGTTCCTAATTTCATGGCCCGCATGGCCATCGTGATATTTGTTGCACTAAGCGTGGGCATCATGATTGAACAATGCGGGTTACTGCCCACAGTGGAACGCCACAAACTGGACTGGATTTTGTATTCGAGTCTGTACTGTGGTGCCATGGCCGTGGTTGCAGGAACGGTCAAATGATGACGAGGAACATAATGAGGGAGTTCGAGTTGGACATACGGGCTGCGAAGGTGGTTTATTCGCGGGTCGGTTCTTGTTCTGATTCCCATCGGATCTGCTTTCTTCCTGGGGCGTCTATGTGTCAGTCTCCTCGAAGAATCACTGTAGATCATGGGTCACGAAGTATGACAAGGTGAGAGGCTGCAAGATTCGGAAGCCTGATGCAATTCCTATTTCGGCAGTTGTTCCAACATGGTTATCATTATCGGGCTTGGGTTCCACCAAGAATTTGCCGTCTGCAATTTTTCATGATCCCCACGTACTCCTCGTTAATTGACCCTGCAATTCTTGGAGTTCCTCGGCGATCCAAACTGGACCAGTTATCAGGCCGGTGAGGATCTCCTTCACAGATGGTTGTCTTAGCCTTGATAATATGAAGTAGAACCATCTGTGTCAATCACAATCCGATTGGGCGGATGGTTTAGTGGTATAATACTCCCTTAGCATGACTTCATCTCATGGAGCATAGAATTGGGAGTGGTCCGGGGTTCGATTCCCCGTCTGTCCAGATTGGGCGGCTCACTACCGCCATTATACCTTGGTTTTCGCACGTGGAATCTCTTTTTTTTTTGCGCTTTATTAAGCGCAGCTGTTTATTTCGGTCTCCTAGGCTCCAGGATAGGAGGGACTTAATGTGAATATGCAGCTTACGGGAGTAAACTGACAGGGCGAATGGTTTAGTGGTATAATACTCCCTTAGCAAGTATCAGCCAGCTGATGTGTCTGGGAGTGGTCCAGGGTTCGATTCCCTGTTCGTCCAAGGGCTTCGGATGACGGAGTCTTCTTTTTTGCTGTCTACTCACTTGGTGATTGAAAACGTTGATGAGATTACGTGGACGTTATGGCATATCCTCTGGGAGGAGTGGACGTTACTCCCCCACGCAGTCGTGTTTGCGACACTGGCTGCTTCTCAAGTGTAAATCATTCGATCCGGAGGGTTGACTGTTGAGGTGGCCGTAGATTTAATGGCTCTCTTTGCCTTTGCATGTCTTTTTTTTTTTCTCTTAAAAAAAATAAAAGATAAACCGTCACGCCGGAGTGTAAATTTCTGACCGAATGTGCAGGCGTTTTGACTACCTACCCTGGACGGTGCGAGGCACATTTGCAAGAAACCCGTGCCCCAGACCGAGACCAAGACCTAGCTGATTCGCAGGTGGGCAAGGTGTGGAGGAGGACAGGGCACGCTGCATTGCCCTTCAAGACGGCATTGACACGCACGAGGGATACTCGTCTAGCTCGGCTGGGAGGTAAAAAGAAACGCCGGCGATGACACCAGCGACCAGACTACCCAAGTAGCCAAGTCATAAACAATAGACGGGCAAACATGGATGGCAAGGGCAAAGTGCTCGAAACAACGACGCTAGCTGCACCATGTTCCAGGACCGGCCGTGTCTCACCGTGATAGTGGCCAGAATAGAAAAAATAGAATGTGCAGAAGTTGGAACACTGTGCGACCCGTCTATGCGGGCAGCCATGGCGGTCGGCCATGAGAAACCCAGAGGCTCACCTTTTGTTCACTTGCGTCCCGAGCGACGAAACTATCCCGTGGACTGATTGACGGACTGACTGCCAGCTGTAGAGTATCACGCAGCAGACCTCTGCAGCTGGCAACCGACCATGATTAGATTTGTGTTGTTACGATTTCCATCGCCAGTCTGCAGCTGAAGATTGGCACCACCCTCCCTTCCTCGTCATTCATCACCATCCTTCCTCCCTTGAACCATCACCAACTCCGCCGACCACAAATCAAGGTACGTGGACAAAAAAGGGCATACGGTGGGCGAGGACGACAAAACCTATTGAATAAAACATCAAACCCGCATTTCCATCACCATCCCTAAACACCTACCCTTGCCATTTGCCGTCCCATTCCTCGGAAGCTCAATCTCCTCCCTCGCCAAAAACCCTCGCCTCGAGACTCCCTTTGCATTGTTTATCAAGACGCGGGACGTCCCTCTTTCATTCAATATTCTTCACCCACGAGAAACAGCTTGCTACGCCGACTCTTTCTTTTCCATTCTCATCTTCACCTGCGTCTTCGTCTTCATCTTCCGTCTTCTCTTTTCCCTACTTACTTCTCAAGCTGCAACTTTCTCACACGGGATACAGGCCATCTCTTCCTCTTCGCAACCCAGCCTGCAGGCCAGGAGTTTCTCTCTTCCGTCGTCCCCACCCCAGGAATACTCTCTCTTGGCCAAGAAAATCGTCAGAATGCCCGGCCTCAAGGTGTCCCTTTCAACCGGCCTCGCTGCCCTGCTGGGCGCCCTCGTAACCGGTGGTATCGCCGAGTCCGGAGGTAAGTCCTGTCGTGTCCTGCCCTGTCCTGTTCCCCGGCGCAACGTCTGAGCCGTGTGGCACGGGAAGAGATGCTGACGTCGAATCTCAGCCAACGGCCAGTCTGTCAAGACTCTCGATCCCAAACCCATCGGGACGGCAACTGTAAATGGCAAGTCAAACACCGTGGCCCCCTCCCGTCCCCGGCCCCTTTGTCCGGTATCCCATCTAACACGTGTGGGGGGGAAAAAGGCGCTCTTTTCGTGTCCATGAACTACTGCTCCGTCGTCATGAACACGCAGTGCCACGTCTCCGTCATGACCTCGGCTCCTGCTTCGGATTCCGGCCCAGGGTCTGCCTCTACTCCCGCTCCCCAGCCGGCCTCTGGCTCTGCGCCTGCTCAGTCCGCTCCCGCTCCCGCTGCCGCTGCCGCCACCGAGACCAGCCGCCCCGTTGAGGCCAGCGCCGCCGTTGCGTCCGTCGTCCCCATCTCCAGTCGCGCCTCCGTCCCGGCTCCAGCCGCGGCCGGGAGCACCGAGGCCGCCGTGTCCATTGAGGCCGCTTCTCCGAGCCAACGTACCAGCGAGATTGCCAACTCTTCGAGCGCCGTGACTCGCCCGTCGTACGCTGGTTCCACGGCCTTTACTGGCTCTACAGTTGCCGCCGCCGCCGGCGGTGCCAAGGCACCCCCCGCCGTGATTTGGGGAGCTGCCTTCCTGGCCGTGGCCACCCTGCTTTGATTAGAAATTAGAGTCGCTGTGGGCCGTGGGCGTCGACAGAAACGCCGCAGTATCCGCCTGCCTGCTGGTTTTTGTTATTTTTATGGCCCCCCTTTTTTTTTTTTACGGCATTTCGGTTCAGCATGACCGAAATAGGGACATACCCAGGATTTCTTGCATTGCTTCTTCTCTCTTCTTCCTTTTTTGATCAATGACGACATGACACGGCATAGGTAATCACCGTCTTATAGTTGGACATGGAGCTTGTCGCGCAGGCACCCAATACAGTCAATACTTCAGGATTGTGTTGCGTTGACTTTTGAATCTTGTCCATGTACGCTATTTGCCTTGTAGACTGAGTAGACCTCAAAATCGGCATCGGAGCCGAATAGCTTGTGTTGACTCAAAGAGAACCGCCGCCCTGAGACTTGTACGAGCCTCCGAGGCAAATTACACAGCAGGGCAAGAACAAAATGGGAAGCGATAACAATGAATGGCACGCATCTTAGAGGAGAGGAGAAGACGCACGTCGTTCCGCTTCCCTCGTGGGCCCAAGTTACCCGTGACATGCTGCACAATTGAGGCGTACGTTGCTTCGCTCAATGGCGAATTGGACAACCCTCTCCAACCTTGTCTCGTAGTAGCCTGGCTCTCATGACCTTCATGCCGACAGAGTACCTCCCATTTTCGCCGACCGCTCCGCCTACATCAGTGTCTGCTTCTCTTGCCTTGTGGAGAAGTTCGAGCAAGTGGCTGACGTGAAACACATGGCCGCAGGCGAACCCGATGATCGTTTCCATCTCGAGCTCGGTGAATGGCTCGTGGCAGCTGGCACAGCGTCCAGGCTGTCGTGTCGCGTCATCTTGTTGGAGAGTCGCATTGTCCGACTTGTCGCCGACGTCCTTGTCCGTCATGGCCTGGGCTTTGCTGGAGATGGTTGGGGGCAGCTTGTCACCGCCTGCTGCGGCTTGTACCACGTCAAACTTGATTCCCCTTTGCTGGCCGGACCTCAAGTCGTTTTGCGCTGCCGCGAGCTCGCTTCGCAAAACCTGGGCCACCCCTGAGCTGATGCTGTGCTGCAGCTCGTGCTCCTTCATCATGTGTGTCAGACCTTCTCTGAGACCTTGGATCTCGAGGCCCTCGGGTATCCTTCTCACCAACGTGATGGGGTTTATGGAGGTGCCGACCTGTTCCAGCAGGGCGCGAATGAAATTTGGCTTGTCCATACTGTAATCGAGAAGGTCGTTCCACAAGTCTGGATCGTCCTGCTCCTTGGCAAATTCGATCGCCTTCTGCACATTCTTCAGACGGTCGATAATCAGATACAGGGCCCGCTTCGTCTGGCCAGTCTTGGAGTACAGATACACCAGTTCGTCATGGTATGAACATGCCTCGCACTCTTGCACAGCCTGCAATCCCGTCAGTCATCCCTTTGCCTGAAATGAACGAGTCCTCGGCCTACCTTTTCAAAAGTATACGATGTTGATGATTTGAGGAATTCCATCAAGAGGGGCCTGTCATATGTGGCAAACAAGCGAACTGCCAAATCGGCATAGCTGTCCACCAACGATTGACTGTCCATAACGAGTCGATCCATATTCTCAGCAGAGTGTTCCCTGATGCCCTGTCCTCTCCACAGGCCTTTGAGGTAAAAGAAGAGGTATAAATACAGCCTCTTGGCCTCGAGCTGCTCGACAACGACGTCGGGACGGACGAGTCCATGCTGTGCCTCGTCTACAAGCAGGGTGATGGCCTCCGAGGTTGCCTCTACAAGGTCCTGTTCCGTCATTTGCTTCATTCTTTCCAGAGATACTCTCAGACCAATGAAGCCCGGAATGTCATCGGCAACCGCTTCGGCGAGGTGGCGATCTCGTATAAGACGGAAGGCTGAATCAGCGTCGTGGAGCTTGATGTAGAGTTTGAAAGCCTCGCGGTGTCGCCCGCCGGCTTCGTAAAGTCGCGCCAGGCTTTCCATCACAATCAACCAGTCCCTACCCTTCTCTCCATCCTCGATGCTGTCCTCTTGCACATCCCTAAACTTAAGCTGGTTTTCCAAAGCTGTCGTGATGGTGCTTACGTCAAACAAGTCCGTCGACCACTGAGCTAGTAGTTCACGAAATCGAGGTTTATCGTTCTGGATGTAATGCCCCAGGACGACCTCGTATATCGTCGTCGGGAGAGGGGGGCGCATCGTCTGTGACGGAATGTATGGCGTAATTTCATCAAAGTGTTTGGCGCCTGCAAATGTCCACACCCATTTCTCCCACCTGCCCGGAGTATCAAGTACTTTTGCGCACACCTCTCCTGCTCGCCGCCAGTTGCCATTTTCTATCAGTTGTTGAATCCATAGTTCCCCGATGCGTCTCTTCTCCCTGACGGAGTGGGACTGCATGTCTTGCTGAGTGGACTCGATGCCCGAGTCACCATCGAAAAACTCGTCTGCGGCAGCCTGGCCTTTTGACGGAGTTGCCGGTGGTACATCGCCCGACCTTTCTGGTGCTGTCGTGATAATATCAGGATTCTCATCCAACAGCTCCCAAGCCAGTTGGTACTGTTCGTGCTCATCGAGCCAAGCCAAGTGGTCTGCCAGGTCTCTCTTGGTACCAAGAATACAGTCATAGGGACTGTGTATGAATATCTTGATGCCCGGCTTGGCCAAGCTGGGGTGGATAGTGATGGGTCCTGGGCTCTTGCCCTGTCCTCTTCGGAGCCCTCCAGTCGTACTGAGCGTCTTTGAGACGGAGGCGGTGTCCTCTCCGCTATCTTTACTCATTATACTAGCGCCAGAGCTGAAGAGCGACTTTGGATTAATTGCAGCATTCCACATGTCGTTGCCGAAGCCAGCAAGGGTTTCTAATGCGCCTCTAGATGCGACTGCAGTAGCTGCTGCTTGAGCTGGAAGGATGCCAAGATGATAGTCAGCCGGGCCCAGCCGCTCAAACCTGCTTACGCCGAGTCGATCTTTATCTACTTCCATCTGAGAATCAAGATCGATAAGCCTTAGCTCCGGAGGTTGGTTATTCTGGCGACGTCGTATGCCCCCAGACGGTTCACTTGTTGCGGATCCCGCTGATATGCTTGACTTGTGACCCCGGACTGCCAGCTTCTCTGTTGTTCCATCGTCATCGTCATCGTCATCGTCGTCATCGTCTTCTTCTTCTCCTTCTCCAGCTGGACAGAATGCAAGAACAAGCAGAGTATTTTGGGTGTACAGAGAGATACCTGAAATAATGCAGTCCATCCGCAGGCTTTGGTTTGGTTAGAACTGACCAATCCACCATACATCAATCAACACCTCGGAGATACTTACATCTTGGCGACTTCTGCTCGACCAAACGGCCTATCGCGACCGTGTCTTCCACCGCTACCGGCCCCGTGATGGACGTGAATAATCCAAATAGTAGAACCCCAGCCGACGAGGAGTCTTTCAATAGTCTTTTGGACATTCGGGGTCACGGGGGCGACGGCACTGCCTCCTGAAGAGCGAGACTCATCAATCTCAATGGCGTGCTCATCGATCCACTCGAGTCGACCTTTCCACACGCTCGCCATGGTATCCCACTCGTCTGTTTGCGGTCGATCACAATGTCCAATGCGGTGCCATGCTCCCTCCGCTTCAGCGCTCTCCAGATGAAGCTTCGAGCGCATAAACTTGATCCCATATTCGTTCAACCAAGCCACATAATTTCCAGAGAGTGACCATTTAATGCTGCTGATGGTACCTTCTCCCGAGTGCAAAACTGTATCTTTGCCAGTGTTTGCACCCAAACCCATGCTCCCCAGCCAGCCAGATGCGGCTGCGACGGCCGTTCCGGTTGTTGTGGAGGTACTTCTTCCTTGGCCACCGCCCACCGTCAGGATGAGTTGGCCAGCCAAGCCACCTGATAGATATGTACGGTCAGATTTGAACTCGGGAGACAGCGCAACAGCTTGAACGGGTCGGGCGAAATTGCGCAAGTGAACGTCCTTCATGTCGAGGAGCGACTGGACACATACGTTGCCGTCCATAGAAGAGGTGGCCATGTAGATCTCGTTGGAGGGTATTCTTGGCAGTTGCGCTTGTTCTTTGGGTCTCCTGGACGCCATGGCGGGAGACGCGTCCGGCCGCGGACTTGATTGGGGCTGAGGGCGCTGAAGCCGTGCTGGAGTGTCCATGCTGTCGTGTGGCTGTGGAGGGGGGTATGGAGATGTCGAGATGCTGGTGACGGATGCTGAATGGGCATGGTAGACTCGAAGAGGCTGTAGAGTCGGCAGTTGAATGACATTCTAGGGCCAACGTCAGTGGCGGCCATTGTGACACCAGGTTTGCAAGAGAACGCATACGATGTTACCGTTGTGAGTCCCAATAATCTAGCTCAGAGTCAGTACGGTTGAATGAGGCAACCATGGGTGTGACCAACGGAACTTCGTACCATTTTGTCTCCTCCGACCAGAAATGCGCTTGTCGCATCGCCATTACGATACAAGCCACTCAAGCTCTGTGTCAAGCGAGCATATTTTAGACGCGGTTCTTCATCATCGTCGTCATCGTCGTCGTCGTCGTCATCATCATCATCTTCTTCTTCTTCTCCTTCTTCGTCGTCGTCGTCTTCTGATTCCGCCCCTTCATTGCTGTCACCTCTACGCCCTTGGCCAGCGGGGGCGGCGCTTGGCTGATTTTCCTCCAGACTTGTAGAGCCGGAACGGCCTTCAGCCACAGGAGTCGTCGGTTCGTTAACAGCTTCATCTTCCAGCGCAGGGTCGGGGGCGTCCTGAGGATCGGGTTGCAAACCGTCGGCAACTCGATCGGACTGGTCTGTCATTGTATTGCCGACAGCCTTGCCGTCATCATCGTACGTCCTTGCAGAGCTAAAACAGAGGCGAATCGTGCGTGTGAGAGGTGTGAAAACGACGGCGCGGTTCCGGGAAGCTCCAGGAGCCGCTGGGGAGAGAGGGTGTTGTGGAACTGGGAGCAGTCAGGTTGAAGAGAAGCACGGGAGTCTATCCGTGCTGCGACGACGTCACGGGCTCAGGGAACTGATGGGACCTGGATCCGGGGGCTAACAAGCTGATGTCCAGTGAGCAGTCAGCATTGAAGCCTGGTGCCATCGCGGCTACTAACAAGTAAGTAGGTACCTACCTACCTAGGTACTTAAGAGCTAGGTACTTAAGGTACTTAATTGACCAAGTACTTGAGTACTTTACTTTACTTCAGGTGAGCCTCAATCAGAGGCTTATCTTATCAATTCGGCATACTCGACGCGCCCCAACGCGGTTTCGCACTGGCCTGTGACCACTCGACCTTGGACGACTTTCAACGACACTGGAGGTTCGGGAAGGACTGATCTACTGCCAAGCGTGTGCACAGCTCCAAGGCAAGCGGACTAACAAGCCTGCGGACCTTCTTGTGCGTTTGAACTACTGTGCCTCCCTCCTTTTATTTATTATTTATTTATTTATTTCTTTTATTTCCGCCGCCTGGTTTTGTCCGTCCGCCGCTCGCCCGCCCATGGATCTCCTCCAACTTCATCATCATGGCGTCGGTAAGGTCCCTCGGCCTGCATCACCCCTCGGGGCTGCGTCACGCCATCGAAGAGCAACTGCTTTCTCCAAATCCGGCTCCTTCAGAATACAAGTGGGAAATCACGTCGGATGAGAGGGACAGCGACGCACTCGAGGACGAGCTCTTGACCACCCAAGACTGTGTCATCTGGTGCCGAGGGGGCATGTTCAGGAAGTCCTTCAAATTTGGACTTGAGAAAGAACCCATCACCCAGGCTCTTCTGGCTTATTTTGCGACTTCGGAGGATGCCCTACAAAATGCCCATCATAGTGCTAGCACTCCCATCCAAGCACCGTCTCTCGCCGCGCCAAGATTGGAAAAGGCCCTGGCAGTGTTTCTCAAGACGCAGGCGCATATCTTCTTCCTCTCGGGCACCAGCCATATCATCCACATGCCATTCGAAGTCGAGTCCGCTTGTGCAGGACCCATTGGAGTCGTCATTCAAAGAAAGTACAAGGCGGAGAACCTCGCTCCAATTGCGCTCAAATTCCCACGGGTTCCCCCAAACTCCTTCATCTCCTCACAGCTCACGGCACTCAACAGCTCACAGCAGAACGTCTTCTCGGTGGAAGGGATGGGAAAGCCTAAGCCGCTTCATTTTGGCCTAAGTTCGACACTGGAGAATATGTGGGATACGCCTTTAGAGCAGCAACAGTTGTCGCACTGGCCACGCCTCGTCTCGCTCATGGATCCCTTGTCTGACATTGGCCTGGTTGTTGGCGAGCCTGAGCCTCACAGCCGCCGTCCCACACGCCATAACAAATCCAAAAAGCCCATTTTTCTTGATCCGGCCGAGGAAATTCTTCACATACAACAAATCAACTTGCCGGAATCCGATCCCGGAACCTCTGATACCCCCTTGATACTAGCCGTTACTGTAAACAGAGAACTCGGCTCCTACACTGTTTGGCGCTTGAAGTATCTCGAGCATGAAGATCCGTTTACTGGACATCAGAGGAAGGCAAAGAATAGGGCTGCCAGACGCCGGAGCTCGATGCCACCTCAAGGCTTCGCAAGCGGGTCCTCAACGCCAGTTCAGCAGAATTACAGGGAGAGCTTTGGGGCGCCTCTCCCCGGTAAGCGTCAGCGAAAGAGTGAGAAACCTGAGAAGCCGTTGGACTTGGTGTCTTCTCTCGAACAACAAGACAATGAAGGAACTGGTGTCACCCGAAGAAGCTCCCGTCGTTTGAGCTCCATGCTTGCGCGAGCAGACCTGTCCGCCTCGCATGAAAGATCAGCTTTTGCTGACCAGCCTCTCACTTCCAACACCGGAGCACCCAAAAGGATCGAATCGCACAACGGCCACCAAGGGCGCTCCAGCTCCAGCCTTCACCACATTCATCCCAGCTTGGGAAGCTTGCTTGAGGCTCCACTCGACGCGGCATTGGATGAAAGTCTGCACAACATGGGGCTTGATGATCATGATTTTGATGGATTACAGAATGAGATTCGCTTCACCAAGGTTCAGACTATCTCTCTGGATAGCTCCAATGTCCGTTACTCGACATCGACTCTTCCTGCAAGATGCCAAACCAAGGTGTTCGTTCTGACCGCTCCGCCCTTCGCGGTGGATGAGCAAGGGCGCACCCAATTGCTCATAGGAATCCAGGAGCCGCTAGAGAAACGGCTTCGGATGATGACTTTGCATGTCAAAACTCAAGAAAAGCCCGGTGCTGCTGCCAGCGCGTCCGGAAAGGACAAGTCCACGTGCTCGTTCGTCTCAATATCGCCCGGCGCGCAGTGGAAGGTTCAGAGTGTTGTTGACTCGTCAAAACTCGTTGATGGGGACTTGTCTGTGATACTGGTTCTTTCCGACTCCAAAGATGGGCAGCACGAATTGACCGCTCAGGCACCCTGGATTGAGCTGACAAAAATATCTCTTCCCATTTTGTTTGTCGATGATACCAGAAGCATCCAATATCGAGGCAGAGTTGCTGACAGAGACGTCAAGCAACGAAAGTCAGAGGTTATGGACCTTACCGGTGGAGGAATAATTGGCATTCGTCATCCGCGGAAGCGCGGTGTCGTTGACGTAGTTGACGCGCATGGTCGGCTTCACCAACTCAGAATTCAGCTTCAGCCAAGTTGCCCACAAGTTCAAAAAGTTCTAGACATCTGCAAAAGTGTGCTGCCAGATGCCCTGGGCGGCCGTCTTCATGCAGGCTGGCTTCATCTAACACAATGGCTGCAGAAACACCAGGATGATTTAGCCAATGTCGAGTGGTCTGCAACAGCAGTTCTCCTTCTCAGTTCTTTCCTCAATCTTGGTCGTGAAGATACCACCCAATTTCAAACGTCTCAGTCACCTGATCGAAAAAGAGGGCCTGCTTCTGAATCTTTTGGTTTCATTCTGGGGTTAGGGGACTGGAAGGCCTTGGAAGTGGGAGAAAGTGCAAATTCGCTGGGTTTCCCGGTGTGGATGATGAATCGGGGTTGGCAATGGGCCTTGGAGGAAGAGCCGATCGGTAACGCATCAGCCCAGAGCGACACTCCCCTTACATTTCTCGCGCGTCACATTGCCTTGTCGAAGGACTACCTCATCTCCTCCCTCGGTGAGGCAGCGTTGGGCCATCAAGGATATATGCCCATGTCTCTTGCCAGGTCGGCTGCCACCAGACGCAAGGTTGCCGTGGACATCTTTATGGCGCTCCATCTCCTCCTTGACGAACAGAAACTAGATATCACAACACCTGAGTACTTCTCTCCAGGCAGGGACTACCTACGAGTCTTGCTTTGCCAACTCGCTAGATGGCTCAAGTGGCACACTTTCGCCGATATTTACGAGCTAGGCATCCAGGAGGATGTTGATCCGCGCCATGATTCCGGTATGTCAAAGCCGCATTTGCAGTAGTAGTAATCTTCAGGACTAATGCGAGCCGTCGTACCAGAACTCAATGTGAGACCAGCAATACCACAACCCCCAGTTCAACCAGACATTTTGGAATGGATCCAATCCCGACTATGCGGAGTTCGGGGGACGCCCTGTATGACGCCCGCCGACATATATTACGCCAGCTCACGGGTCTCGGAGGCCGAGAAGTTGCAGGATAAGAGATGGGACACTATTACAACCAGAACACTGATGTTCAAACGCCTCTTCAAGGTAATCAGGCCCAAATCGACTGCTGTTGAGATGGTTGAAGCCATGCAGGATTGCGGGTTTACGAACTATATCCTCGAGTCGCTCCCTGAAGCTGTGCTGGCACCTCTTCAAGATGCAATATCCCTATGCCAGCCACACCCACCCTCGCAATGGTCCCATGGTCTCCTGGACTTGGTGAAGAGAAGTGACATTAGCCTCATTGTCAAACCGAGTCGACGACCCCGACAAGCCGTGGCGAACATTTTGGCACCAACCCATATGGCTGCTTGGGATTTTGGGTTGCTATGCCAAAGCGTAGAAGAGGCTAACAACACTGGATATGACGAGGGTGAAGGTACTGAACGCCAGGCGGTGATACGGGCCCTTTTCAAAGACGATCGCCGTCTCAATGAAGCCCAGGATCTGCTTTCAACGCACAAGACCAGGGTGGTCCGTCTTAATCCTGATCCTACTTGGCCGGAAAGCGAGTACTTGGAAAAGCAGAAAGAGCTTGTTTCTAGAATCGCAACGGGTACACTGGCAATCCCGGCGGGTCGTGCGCTGTTATACTATAGTTTACGCTTCCCTCTGATAACCCAAAAGTTCCACATTGGCGGCTTCAACTTGAATTGCATAGTTAAGCCAACCAAGGTCACTGTCGGTGTTGACAAGTCGCTGTTCACGGAGGAGAAGGTTTGCTGGGGCTTCTTTCACCAAGGCGTTGCTGCGGGCCTAGCAATTTCGCCCCAGGCCAAAGGGATCGATACTTCTTGGATCTTGTACAACAAACCGGCACAAGAGTTGAGTAACAGACACGCCGGCTTTCTCTTAGCCCTTGGCTTGAACGGACATCTCAAAGGAGTGGCCAAATGGGTTGCGTTCAAGTATCTGACTCCCAAACACACCATGACATCTATTGGGCTGCTTCTGGGTTTGGCGGCATCATATATGGGCACGATGGATTCTCTCATCACTCGATTACTGTCAGTTCATGCAACACGCATGCTCCCTCGCGGTGCCGCCGAGTTGAATTTATCTCCTCTCACACAAACATCTGGGATTATGGGCATTGGCCTCCTGTACTGCAACAGCCAGCATCGACGAATGAGTGAAATCATGCTCTCGGAAATAGAACACATTGATGAAGACGACGAAGAGGAGCCTCTCAGGAGCGAATGCTACCGTCTTGCCGCTGGCTTCGCCTTGGGCCTCATCAACTTAAGCAAGGGCGGTGATCTGAAGGGTCTCCAAGACATGAAGCTCACGGAGAAACTCATTGCTCATGCCACGGCAACCAAGAATGTCGAAATCGTCCACATCCTTGACAGGGCTTCAGCTGGCGCTGTCATGGCCATCGCCCTCATATTTATGAAGTCTGAAGATACAATTGTGGCCCGAAAGATTGACGTTCCCGATTCGGTTCTGCAGTTCGACTATGTGCGGCCAGACATCCTGCTCCTTCGCACCCTGACCAAGAATCTGATTCTCTGGTCAAGGATCGAGCCTACACTCGCATGGGTCCGCGACAGCCTTCCTGTTCCGTATCGCTCCCGACACAAGCTGCAATGCACGACCAAGCTACGCTCGACAGACCTCCCATTCTTTAGTATACTGACCGGAATTTGCTTTTCGGTTGCCCTTCGATTCTCGGGAAGTGCCTCCACCAGGGCTCGGGATCTGCTGCTACACTACCTTGATCAATTCATACGCATCTCAAACATCGAAGCTACCCCGCGGCCTCACCCAGATGCTGCACCTCTGTATGACGAGGAACTCGCAAGGTCAAATGCTAGAATGTGCCAAGACATTCTGGCCTTGTCCTGTTCCATCGTCATGGCTGGCACCGGCGATATTTTGGTTCTGAGACGGCTGCGCTCTCTACACGGCAGGGATAACCCGGATGTCCCATACGGATCGCATCTTGCTGCCCACCTGGCCATCGGATCTCTATTTCTAGGGTGCGGAACGGTAACGTTTGGCTCCAGCGATAAAGCAATTGCTGCCTTGCTGATATCATTCTATCCCATCTTCCCAACCAACGTGATGGACAACAGGTCACATCTCCAGGCCTTCCGCCACTTTTGGGTTTTGGCAACAGAGCAGCGCTGCTTGGTTGCGAAGGATGTGCTGACGGGACTGCCAGTATCCGTGTCTGTACAAATCAAGATGAAGCAAGATCCTTCCTCTGAGCATGTTCTGTATCGTACAACGCCTTGTCTCTTACCTCCCCTTGATCAAATATCAAGTTTGTCGACTTCTTGCGGACCTCGATTTTGGGATATTGAGCTCGACTTCTCCAATGATGAGCTACGACGAGCGTTTTCTCATACGCAGAGCATGTACCTACAACGACGCCCACCATCCGAAGGAGCTTTCACATCTACGCTGCGAACTTTGGGCAGCGAGGGCAAGGGAAACAATCCGCTCGAGTGGATATTTGGTCTAGGCAAACTTGAAAGCGTAAGCTACGCAGAACGCGCGGCCCTTTTGGAGAGCAACGACAAGGAACAAGATGGGGTGTCTGCTGTAGATGCTCGAATGGAGATGGAGAGCGGCATTGTACAAGGCGGCGATCGAGAACGTCTGCAGGGTGCAAGACTCCTCTTCGAATGGGGGGCCACCCGAGAAAGGCTGCTCAAGTCTGCCGCTCCCAGCCTCCAAGAAAGCCAAGCTACCATCAAAACCGGTGCCTCTCAAGAGGCAGAGACAACGGGGGGAGGCCTGGCGTCCCGCTCCCCCGGCGGTGATGTATGGTGGATGCGGGACAGTGCAATTGAAGCATTAAAAGGCCAGGTCTGGCTAGCTGTACGAGACGGAGATCATTAGGAATTTGGCTGCGAGCGGCAGCCCAGTACCAGACTGGCCAGGCTCCGACGCAAATACATGGCGGTCAGGGACGGTTGGGGACCGAAGACCCGGCAGAGAGGCTGTGCTCGACGACTTGATGACTTTTATGAGGTGTAGACCAAAATAGAAAAAGTTGTATTCGTGTCTAGTAACGAGGCCTAGCTTCATCATACAGAATGACACACCACAAAGCGGATCACCATCCAAGTAAATGCAGAACAGAGCACATCACAAACCACGGGGGTGAAAGATGACAATTGTAACAAATTACGTTTATTTCTTTCCACTTTTAGAGTTTCCCGCCCATCAAAAATGCATTGGTTCCATTGCCCGTCCTCAGCCGACTCCCCGGCCCCTTCGGCCCAGGAACCCAATCCGATCAGAATATCCGAAACGCAAGAAAAAAAAAAGGAAGTAACAACGCCATGCAATGCAAGCCGCATCACCAAGAAGGGGGGAAAGGGGGCCAAGGCAAGTGGACAAACGTGATATAAAACAAGGCCAGGACCCTCTCACACGCTCCCTTCATTTACCGGTGGAACGTCGCGAGCACCCGTCTTCCCTCCTCTTTGGGAAGATGGTCCCAAAGAGAGGCTTCCGCATCTAATTGCTTAAGTCTGTCGTTTTTCCGCGTACAGTATGCCGGCCGGATGATGGGGGGTTCCCTCTTCATCCGAGAAGCCTACATGTCCGGGGGGGTGATGTACCGACTTTTCCCCACTGACATGGTTGACCTCTCCAACGGCATGCCTGTGTGAAAAGAGTCTTGGTGGCAGGGGCAACGCGGTTGGTGCTTTTTCTTGTTGTCACACAGTCTGGGAGACGTGGTTTACTTGGAGACGGCGGCGTTGAGGACCTGCGTTCTGAAGAAGCCGCCCTTGGTCTTCTCAATGACTTGCTGGTAGACGTTGTTGGGGGGGTGGTTCATGATGACGGTGCCGTCCTGGCTGTCAATCTTGGCGTCGAGCCTCGTCTCGCGGATGAGGTTGACGATCCACTTCTCGCCCTCGTCGGGGTTGAGGCCCAGCTTGGCACTGAGGTCGCGGATGTTCATGCGGCTAAAGATCTTGCAGTAGCTCTCGCAGATGAGGTGGCGGGCGGCGTTGACGAAAGCGTCGGCGGAGGAGGCGAGGAAGAAGTCGCTGCGGCAGACTTGCTCGGCCTGGCTGAGGGCCTCGCGGGCGGCGTTGAAGTCGTGCGCAATGTAGAGGGCGCTGACGAACTGGGTGACGGGGTCGGCGTACTCGTAGGCCTCCTGGCGGACGTAGCGGACAATGTCCTTGAGCTGCTTCTGCTGGGTGGAGCTGTTGCGAGCGCGGGTGCGGCCCGTGATGACGGCGGCGATGAGGTATCGCAGGATCCAGGGGCAGGAGGTCTGGATGGTGTTGATGTAGGCGGCCGAGAAGAACATGTCGAGGATGGGCTCGCGGGCACCGTCCCAGTTGAACAGGGGGAAGAGAGCCCAATGCACCAGCATGGTCCGGTGGTCGAGCTGCGCGCGCGGGTTGTTGAAGAGCTTGGAGTCGATGCCCTCCTTGACGTTCTTGAGCTCATCGACGGCCGACTCCCAGTTTGTAGACAGGATCTCGGAGGCGAGCTTGCCCCAGGTCGAGGCGGAGACCTTGTCGTTGTCGGTGGAGAGGACGCGGAACTGGTACAGCATATCGGCGGCAGGTCCGTACTGGCCGCACCGGAACTGGAACTGTCCGAAGTCGTAGAGGGCGTTGACCATTTCCATGGTGACCTGCAGAGCCGTTAGCAACTTTTGTTCTTTTGTTCGCCTTCTCCCCTTGAAATCCTCTCCAACTCACGCCGTGCTGGTTCTTCAGAAACTCCAAGTTGGCCACCTTGTCGCTTCGAAGACCGTTTACAACCTCGTCCTGCGTCAAAAGGTCCGCAATCTTGGCGGTAGCCTGCTCATATTTCTCCAGCTGGGCCAAAACATCCTGCCTCTTCTTGGTGTATTCTGCAGGAGGCTCAGAGACTCCATGCAATTCGCAGTACAGCGTCGCGACGTAGTCGGTCATGTTGGTGTCCTCCAGCAGCTTTATTTTCCACGACAAGATCTTCTTGGCCTTTTCATCCTCGCCCTTCTCCTCGGCCTGGTCGCCCTCGAACTGAATCAGCGGGAACAGCAGGTGTCTGCTGAGATGCGGTGCCAACTGGGGCAGAATCGATGAACCATCGGCCGAAGTGGCCTTGAGGGTATCCTCCATGGTGAAGTGCTATCTGGCCGGGATTTGTGTCCGTCAGGTTCTACTGAGAGCTATGCTCCTCGAACGATTTTGACACGACACGAGAAAGCGTCGTTCTTGATGATGGCTACGATGGCGAGTGAGTGAGCGGAGGAGGGGCAGATTTTTGGCCAATTTCGCCAAACACAAAGTGCTGTCTGTGTGTCCTGTGTGGGAGTGGCTGTCCCGGCATACCCGGACATTTGCCGACCATGCCCACGCGCCCGTCATGTGACCTCGAGCTTTTTGGATCAGCTTTGCTTCAGAGTCCAGACCACAGCGGTTGGGAATTCCGATCCCTCGGGGTCTCTTGACGATCAGGGAGCTTCTTTCAGGTTATATACAGTGCTGGGACGCCTTTCGTCAACGTCAGAATACCATCTCCCTCCGGCGACCCGTCTGTTGCGCATCCCCGACGGATTTATATCGCCTGCCGAGCATTTCATGTGCCCGACAATGCATCAAGGCGTCTCTCGGGCCATCTGCAGATGGCAGAACCACCGCCTCCTCAGGCTCCGACCAAGCATCTGCGGAGCCGCAATCAACTCTCCATCCAGCCTTGCCGTTTACGGCTCCCCCTCCTGGTCACCACCGTCACGACCGCTCACCAACGCCGCCGGCGAGCTCGCTCGCAGCTACACTCCCATCAGCCGCGCGTCCACCCCTCCTCCGACAAAGTCGCCAGAAGAGCTCGCAGGCGCTCCCTACATCGTTCGTCGCACACCCTCAACACAGCTTCCCGTCTACAGGCGATCCAAGTCGGGAGGAAACCGCCAAGTTGTGTTTATAAAGAAAGTGGATGGTGACCGGAAGAAACTACTAGAAGATTTGGTAGAGTCTCTCGGGGTGAGCAAGGAAGATGTTAGACTCAATCCGACGACGCAGCATATCGAGTTGAAAGTATGTGTGTCAAGGAACATTTGCGGGTGTCTGCGTGAGCCAGGCGGCGTGCTAACAGGACTATAGGGCAATTACTATGACAAGACCAAGTCTTGGCTATTAGAGCGTGGATTCTGAGGGCACGGAAGGAGGAAATGTGTGAGGGAGGCTGTAACTATCCTGGATGGCGTCCATGACTTAGGGTCAGGGTTCTTTCTGTACATTAGTAGTACCTTCACAGCATAACGGACAATGAACCAGCCAAGCTGTACTACACAAGAGCAATGGAATTTCGACTGAATCTCAAATATGTGGTATCAGTTTATGTATGGCACTCCTGTACCTATGTACAACTCCCCTCAAGGATATAACCCAAAGAATTGCCTGTCCAAAACGAGTTCGCATCTCCATGCAAATCTAGCTATGCGCCGTCATCTGATACACCGTCAACAATGACAAGAAGACACATACACAACAAGCACTAATAATATAAAGTCAACCAAAAATACACCCCATGCCTTGCACCCCGACGCATCATTTTTATATTCGCTGGAGCAGACCTGTCCAGAATAGGAAAACGCCTTTTTCAAAGCCGCAGCACAAAGACCAGGCAGTCATGTCCATGTCAGATGTTGTTATTACAACACGTCGTGAGCTCATCCATCCAAATTAAGCACAGCTGTCAACTGCGGAAGTAAACCCTCTTTCGTCCATTCAGGAGATTGCATCATCAGCGCGTCCATCAGCACCTGGGGCTGCGGCAGTAGGTCGCCGATACCTGCAGACGCGGAACCTGCAGAATCTCTTGCCTTTTCGGCAAGACGGCGCAGAAGTGAGACGGCAACAGCAACAATATAAACAAGCTCAGGGTCTTTCCTAGCTGCGGCTGCCCGGCCGACGCCACGAGCAGAAGGGGGTGGCTTTTCGTACAAGATGCACAGATTCTGGATCAGCTTAACCAGGTTTTGTGCAAGGCAGTTGCCTGATGCAAGAAGTGCTCGAGCCATTCCCGATTCGGATCCTGGCACAAGGGAAGCTATGATTTCCGCGCCCAGGAGGCCTTGCATTAGAAACGGCTTTCTAGCCTCAAATAGTGGCGGAAGTGTACTCGGTCGCAATTGTTCCCTGGCCTTGTCTGGTAAAGGCGATATAGCCAAGGCAAACGCCCGGACGAGAAGCTCGTTAGCTAGCGGTGATGAAGAATCAACAGTGAAAAGCGCCTTGTAAAAGCCTCTGTTCGGTTCGTCACGAGCAAGCAATTTGGCCAGGGCATCAACCGCATGTGGAAGATAGGAATGAATACTGGGGTCGTATGGAGTGAAGTTGAGCGTGTCGCTGGCCATTGTTGGGCCTGGAACAGGAGCAAACGCGAGCAGGAAATGCAAGAGGCTCAAAGCCTGTTCCCGGCCAGGAATCTCCAATTGGCTCGAGATGTTGGATAGGAAAACCACAACGTCCTTCATGAAATCAAGGGTATTGGCGTGTGTCCGGAGAAGCATCGTACGCGTTCCAAGATACCGGATAACGGAGCAGAGCATCTTGACCACATATTCTTCGCAGAGCATGTAGTGGTTCTCGTTGTTTTCGCCGGGAAACGATACGTTGCGCAAAATCGTTGTTATGCAAATAAGTCGGTCCACGGCTCGATCGAGTTGATAATCGATGCTACCAAAAGCAGGTACGTCTGTCACAGCCCATCGCTCTATTCGGCATGCTCTGACCACATCCTCATATGAAGCAAGTTGAATCTCATCAGCCACCTCGGTCGCATGTTCAACAAGAAGGTCTATCTGGGTTTCAGCGCAGTCTACCAAAGCTTCGACCAGATCATCACAAGCTCTGAGATGTAGAAAATGTGCTTGGTTTGGGGACGAGGAAATCGTAGCAAGTGTGTCGAGAGCTAGGCGCACTTCACCGTGGATACCACATTGAAGACTGCGAGTAAGGGCGGAGATGTCAATGTTGCCCAGCTCGTTTACAGACGGAACAGTCGGTTCCCATCGTTCCAACTCAGCGCCGAGGAGATTAGCAGCATGAGTGTCAATCCCGCCATATGTCGATAGTTCCCTTGCGCATGGGCTGTAGTCTTCGGGCTTCGGGGGCATGCGAGGCATCGGGTCGTCAGCACCAACAGCAGGCAGGGGAGTTGCCTGCCGACCATCGACAGAGACACTGCCAGGGCGGGCGTGTGAGGGCGACGGTATGGAGAAGTCGTTGGGCGCGGAGGCATCTGCACCTCGTGACATACTGCTTCTGTGGCCTGGTTTGGCATTGGAGTTGGATGTGTGTTGTGGTTGTGGTTGTTGTTGCTGGTGCTGGTGCTGGTGCTGGTGCTGGTGCTGGAGAGGAGCTTGTTGCTGCTGCGCGTGCGGGGCTAGATGAGGCTGCTGTAGTGGCTGTTGGAGATGTGGTTGTTGCTGCGACGGTTGAGGAGTGGAAAACCCATTGACTGGGGCTTGACCAGGTTTTATTGGGGTCTGCTGCTGTTGTCCCTGAGGCATCTGCCCTTGGTTCATCTGCTGTGCAGGCTGCATCTGCTTTTGCGGTGTTCCTGGACCAGCCATATTTGCATTCTGCTGCATCATCCGATGCTTCTGCTGCTGTGTAATCCACACTTCCTCAAACTTTGCCAGATTTCGCTCGTACACCTGCTTCAGAGTGGGTGGTACAGTCGGTATATGCGCCGGTAGTCCCAGAGCCTGGGCAACAAATCCCCAACCGTTGCCCGTGGTCACGGCCTTGTAGCCTCCCTTGGATTGAACAACTTGGAACAACATGACAAGGCTGACTTGTCGATCAACTACAATGGGATTCGGGTCCAAAGGCAGTCCTTTTGCGTTCATTAGGGCCACCAGGTTCTTCATGAAATGTTCCGGATTAATGTTTCCCATGGGCCTGGGTTGCTGTCTCATAGCGCCCTGAGGCACTTGACCATTTGGAATACCGGACATCTGCTGCTTCGGCATCATTCCGCGACCCATGTTCTGGGTCTGCATCTGTGGCTGCATTTGCATGTTTCCTTGCAAGTGTTGGTGAAGACGCATCTGGTACGCTGCCATCTTCTGTTGATCAGTCATGCCTTGCGGTCTCGGCTGACCCTGCTGCGATTGCGGCTGGCCAGGCTGCTGTTGCTGCTGCTGCATTTGCTGGTACATATTTGGCGGCATTTGACCCATATGCTGCGGCATTTGTCCCATCTGTTGAGGTATCATTTGGGCGCCGGGAGCCGGGCCGCTAGCCATCGCATTGGGGTTAGGAGACGGGCGAGGATTTGAAGGCGACTGCGCGTACCCCGGATTATACCCCGGAGGCATGGCCTGCATGTATGAATTTGGTTGAGGCGTGCCATGCTCAGAAGGGATTGGAGACGCTTGTGAGCCGGTGAATTGCTGCTGCGGACCAGGTGAGAAGGGATGTGGTGAGGCGGTGGCCACTCGCTGAGGCACATTTCCTGGTCGCATTTGGTTTCCCATGATGGGGGAGGGACTGGCATTGGCAGATCCGTTGGGCTGTAGATGGGGGAATTGGCCGGGAGCTTGTGGAGGCATGGCACCACCGGCGGGTTGAAAAGCACCAAAGTTTTGTTGTTGCGGCGTTTCGGAACGCGACGGCGGTTGCATGCCCGGGTTCTGCAGTGGCGACCCTGTGACGCTATCTTCGCGAGGACGAGGGCGTTTTGATGGAATCACTTGGTTGGTTTGATAGACGGGGTTCTGGTTCTGATTCGGATTCGGATTCGGGGGTTGGTTCTGGCTCTGGTACGTCGGCGAGCCGTGTCGCATTGGACCATTCTGCATACCAGCCATCTGTTGCTGGTTAGGGAATTGCCCCGGGTTAAACTGACCCGGGTTGGCCATAAAGGCTGACGGGTCCATCATGGCAGCGGCAGAGTTGGGGTCGTTCATGTGAGGGAAGCCGTTTCCATTGTGGTTGGGGACGGCGTCGTTCATCCAGGCGCTCATGGCGACGGCCCGGACAGGCTGTGCGCAACGACGTTAGCGATCAACAGGCACACGGCCAGAAACCCATTGAAGAGCACAGGGACGGATGGCGATGGGGCCGTGTCACGACCACGGCGTGTGGTGATGGATGGATAGGTCGAGTCGCGTCGCGGGTTGGTGGAGGATTGTGTGTAGTGTGCGGTGCGTGTGGTGTCGGGTGGGAAATGAGCAGGCAAAGACGGGGGGGGCAGGTTGCAAGGCCAGAGAGAGCCAAAAAAGACAGGCGGAGACGGACCAGGCGGGCGACAGTTTGAGGTGAGCACTTGGGAGCGACCAGAGCGGACGGCACCAGACGGCACCAGACGGCAACCAGACGGCAGGCGGCGGGCGGCGGACGCTGTGCGGTGGGCAGTGGGCAGTGGGCAGCGGACAGTGGACGGGGAGCAGCGGCACCAGACTTCTGGAGGGAGGGATGTGCATGTGGTCTGGTCAGGTCGACTCAATACTCGATGCAAATGTTGGATCGTTGCCGCCGACGGACGGGCCGCTCACTCATCAGTCTTCTCGCTCCCTCGCTGGGACAATCCAGAGAGTCTGCTGGATGCGCAAGTGGGCAAGGGGAGGATTCTCGAGAGCTGATTGGGTGGCTGGAGACCAGCGAAGCGGAGACCAGGGGGACAGAACGGCCACTGCATGTAGTGAGGTGAGGTGAGGCAAGGCGAAGCGACGCGAGGCGACGACATTGGAGGGCAGAGAGGCAGGCAGGGTGCTGGGTGCAGGGTGCTGGGTGCTGGGACACGAGACTGTGCGGCGGGAAAAGGTGCGGCCAAGAAAAGGGAAAGGGAGCGCCAGCTCGAGCTAGCCAGTTTCAAGGTCGCCGGCTTCCAGGCGCAGACTAGGTACCTGGATACCTCGAGGCTGGGCGCATCGGAGCTAAAAGCAACGTACCTTTGACGCTGGAGCGTGTCACAAGTGCCAACCACCAGGACACTGGGTACTCCGTGGAAGTCAGAAGGCGCGGGCGAGGCAGCAAGGCCAGGGGGGACCGAACGGCCAACCTCGGTCGGGCAGCACGTTCAATCCAGATGCTCGGCGCCGTGCAGCCGCGAGGCCCGATTCAACCTACTGCAGTAGAAGGGCTGCCGATAATAAAAGCAGCAGACTGATAGCAGACGGTGGAGCGAGGCAAATGAATGCGGTGTCGCGCGCCCTGGGTTGGCGGTGGCCGATTTCCTGTAGCATCAAGCAGCCGAGGGAGAAAAATTTCGTACGGACCCGTAGGTCCAGTCCCAGCCTTCCAGGCCACTTCACGTCCGCGCAGGAGGCCGACGCGGATCCAGGAGCCCGTCCGAACGGAGATGCTGCGGGTCACGAGACCGAAGAAGTGATTTCACAGCTGCGCTTCAGTCGCCCAGTCGCTACGCGAGGCCAGGGTGCGACGAGTTGTAGTGTGCGCAGCGGCCGTGAGAGTGAAGTGTCGGATGTGGGTGGGCAAAGGCGAGAGCTTGAGCCAGTCTCGTCAGAGGGCGCCAGACACCAGCACCATCGAGAGGCAACGCAATCTTTGACAATCAGCCACCCCAGCCCGCGTGCCAGAGGAATCCAGTCGAGTTGCACACGTTTCCCGACTTTCATTCTGACTGGTTTCAGATACTTACGGAGTACCCATTAGAAATTTCGTTCGGGCGGGTCGCCTAGTCCATCTTCGGCCTAGCGCATGGTGATCCAAGCCATGCGGTCGATTCCGAATCCAAGTCCAGCCAATGGCGACTCAGAGATGATAGCATGTTAGTGAAGCCTGAGTAGCCGTTAGTCATGGTCGCCACGCTCCCGACTGTTGCCTACCAACTTAGCCAGTCATGTCATCACCGTCTTAGCAGACATGTTGCCATACCCCAGTGCCCATTGGTACAGTGTCATCAACGAACCCGCATGTCCAATACAAAGTGACCGCCAGCAGTACCTCGCCAAAGGCATTATTTTTGCCATCGTCTCTGTCTGACGATGTTTCTCAGTCTGCATACCTCCTGTTGGAGATGACGGAACAAGGATCTGCGACTTGCAAGTGCAAAGATCACCGCATCAACGGTTGATAGGAGCTTGACTGGCTTTTGGCCATTTGTCATTGGTTTGTGGCTGAGAAAAGACTGCTTGCTGTTCAGGAGGTTGATTCGATAGAAGAGACCCGTCGAAGTCGGCCACAGGCGACATACTCGTCATGTTGCTCGCGTTGAAGTCTGACATACAGCAAGAGAGCTCCATGGCAATTGACTCCGCGCTCCCGCCGACCCGGCCGTGAGTCTTGAATCCAAGCCAGGGACAATGAAAGAGACGCTTTGGAGGTCACGACTGGTAGCTGTCCGGGAGACACTGCGACTCGGTCCTGTATCCAGCACTTCAGTGGATGCACATACGTTGGGTCCTCACGGGAGATGTGCCTTGGACGTCGTGCTGTTCTTGTCCGAAATTGCGAATTCCGTGTCAACGCCAGAGAGGATGCGGAACCGAACAAGAGAATAATGCTGAAGCCCAATTTTTGCGGCATCGCCGGCTCGCCATTATAAGTGATTGATTCGATCCATTCGGCCACGGGCGTGTCGAGATGGGGTTGACCGGGCGGCGACACACGATTCCACACGGCCAATGCAGCAGCAAGTTTCCAACGTTGGCCGCTGCTCGGACACGAGGTCGGCTGAACAGCATTTTTTTCACGTCGGGACTTGCTCGACGAGGTCGTACTGCGAGGCGTTTGTTCGCAAGTCCCTCCCTTGGATCCAATGGCAGCCCATGCATCCCACAGCGCTGGCCTGATGCGTGGCCAGCTGCATGGTTGCATGGTTACAGAATGGCGCCCGCCCGCGGCCCCACCAGAGGCGCAAAGCACTGGGGCGGCCACCAGACACCAAATTGGACTTGACAATTTGTTGACCCAGCACGGGCGAGATGAAGAGCGCAGCACAGCAGCCCGAGCCTTGCCAGCCAGCTAGCTTCCTTGCAGCGGATCGGACGAGATTAAATGTCTGGCGTGTCTGGCGTGGCAGGTGGTGACTGGACTGGGGGATGCAATCCACCCGGCGTGGAGGGCAACATTGCCATGTTGTCTCGGGCGGAATGGTGGACATTGATGATGGCAGGTCGATGGCGTTTCGCTTTGTGGATTGTTGCGGCTCGGAAGCGACAACATGGACGACGTGAGCTCTAGCGCTCGTGATGGTGGGAGGCGCAAGCGGTTCTTCCTTCGCTGTTCGGTGGCTCTGTGCTGGGGTGCCAAGGAGATGGCGAGGCCGTTGATGCCGCACCTCCACGAGGGCCGCTGCCAAGACTGATGGAGCCTGGCACCACTGGAGCGGCCAGCCAGCGGAGCAGCCCCAGCCTCGGTGCCTCGAATGCAGTGAGCACAGGCGCCGGGTGCCAGGTGCCGTCTCGAGGCCACTCAAATAATCGGAGCTCTCGAGGCCATCCCTGCCACACCCCAGGCCCTCGTGGCCCAAAGGCCGAGTGGTCTGTCCGTCTCGTCCATGGCTCGTCGCTCCAAAACCTCACGAGCTCGTCGACCGTCGTGCTTCAAGGTTGAGTTTCGCTGCCCAGACTGTCCCGGCGCCACGCGGTCGCACCGGTTCCCCGAGATGAATTTTTTTTTCGAACATTTGTGGCCGTCGCTGAACCCCAAGTCGAGAGCGCCGACCATTCCCTTCTCAGGGCCCGGTCCTGTTTTGGTGAGGTCATCCAGTGGCGTATAAGTCCACGATGGAGGTCTGTCGAGGCACCGCTGGCAAGAGCCAGCCGCACGATGAGGGAGGCAGACGGGGTTGCAAGGCCGGGTATGAAAAAACGAAGAGAGATAGAAAGAGAGCAAGATTCCAAAATGAACAAAAAAAAAAGGGTGGCGGCTGGAGGAAACGGGGAAGGGGGGAAGGGTTAGTTATGTGAGTGAGTGACCGACCTCGAGTCCCCAGCATGGCCCTTTTCAATCATACCGTGGACTTGGGCAAGCAATGGATGACCCGGCGGCTGCCACACACGAAAGGGTCTCTTTGGATTTTTAGCCTTGTTTTCTTGGCCAGCCTCAAACGCGATCGAGTGCAACTTTGTGTGCTTTTTGCCTTGACTGCCTCCCGTGGCGAGTCCGGGACAGAGTGCTCGTTTTATTACCTGCTCTCTCTCTCTCTCTCTCTCTTTGTCTGCGGTCTTTGACGAGCGGCCTGGCAACCGCAGTCGCAGTCGCCGTCGCAGTCGCGCGGCCGGCCACCCACACACACACACAGTACAGTGCACACTGCACTCACACACAGAGAGAGAAAGCGTGGCGATTTACCAGACCGTTCCCGTGCAACAAACCCCAAACCACGCATCAGAGTTTAGGTAGGTACTCCGTACTTGACGGACTCGTCGGACGGAGTGATGATGGCGCTCGGTAGCGAGCTACCAGTTTACTTGATGTTGTCGACCGCGGCGCGCGCTGGCAGGTGTCGGCCATTTTTGCATTGGATCAAGCCGTGGCTATCATCACTGCTGTCCCCGGGCCAGACACATTGGCGTCCCGCTACAAAGCTAAAAGCTAAAGTAATTACTGCCCTGCCGGCTGGCTGTAGGCTGTAGCTGCGATAATCGTCTCGGCTGCCTTTGGTCGCCTCGTCGCTGCTCGCTGGTCCCGTTCTCGCTCCTCGCTCCTCGCTCCTCGTTCCATTCAAGCTGGGTCTGCGTGTGTCGGCGAGCGGCGCAGACGTCAAACAGCAAGAGGAAGTTGTATTTGCATTTTGCAGCCCGTCTTCCTTGCGGATGCCTGCATGCCTAGGTAGCAGGCACGGGCTTTGCATTTCGCATTAGGTTCGCTGGCCCCGGCTCCCACGAAATGGTCTGGTAACATTTGAGCGTTTCAAAGCTTCACGTTTTGGTTTTGCCTTGGGCCTTGGCCAAGGAAGGGCATGCATGGGGCGAGGGAATCGGGAGCAGCCATGTATTATGTACGTATGTCGCTTTTTTCCTCCTGTGCCTTCCTTTCCCCCCCTTTCATTCATTCTTTCTTTCTTGCATTTCCACCTCATACTTGCTCTTGACCTTTTTGTAACCCCCCCCTCTTCCAAGCGCGGTTCGCAACACGTCGCCGCGCAAATATGGCCACCCGGATTGAATGCCTGGCTGGGTCTTTGGTCTCGTAGAAAGCCCTGTTGTAACTTGTGTGTGCCGGCCGCAGACCGCAGACCGCAGATCGCAGACCGCAGACGTCCTCCCTCGGCAAAGCAAAGCTGGAAGAGGAGTCGATTACAATGCGGAACATTTGAAACCCTTTCGTCGGTGACTTGCCATGTTATGGCATTTGCCCCCGTTCGTTCCCGTGGAGTATCCAGCGGCTGGTGATGCTCAAGTGTGACGGCAAGCTCTCGACGGTCATCACCAGCGTGCGTCGACTTCCCCCCTCCCCCCAAAATCATCCAGCAATCCCCTTTCCTTCACCAAAACACCGCATCGCTTGCTTTCATCTCCTCTAGTGTGTATAACCCGCCCCTACCTGCCTCCTGCCTCCCGCCTTTTGGCCAGGCTCCTGGGCCGTGGGCTGGTGTTTGTTGGTCTCATGACGAGCTCTCACCTCCCCGTCGTCGGAAAATTGGAACCATCACTGCCATGTCTCACCTCCAGAACACAATTTTCCAGGCTCGTCGAGAACAGACAAAAAGAAAGACCACAGGCAATTGATTTTTCCAGAAACGAGACAACTGTCCGGGCCACTATCTGGTAGCCGTGAAAAATTCCCCACCGCGCTTCGTAACCACTCGTGACTCGTTTGCGGAACGCCGCGCTGCAATTGTACCTGACAGTGTGCCCGTTGAAGGTTCCGCGGGCCATCAATCAACACGGAGCAGGCGTGGGTGTGACGGTGATGTTGATCGCTATGTCTCGGGGACTGGCACGAGACGAGACGCACTGGGGGGGCGTTTTGTTTTCGGTAGCAGTGCTCCGTGCTGGCATGGTGGTACGGAAATCGATGCTGGGGCGCGCCGTTGAAATATTTTTTTTTTTTTCATTTATTCCTTTTTTCCTTTTCCCCAGCCAGCCACGCCGCCGCCGCCGAGCAGGCGCTTTGCATCCGAAATTATCGGCACCTGTCACGTCCAAGTGAGTAAGTAACTAAGTACTATACTGGTACCTGCTTTTGGTCAACTGTGTTTCGTCTCGCCCCTGTGCCCTTGGACATGCCCTGGACTCTGCACGCTTTGCGTTGCGAGTGATGGCGCAGGACGCTTGGTATCCGTGTCCCATGTTCTTGGTGCTCGCGAATGCAGTCATTCTCACTTTGTGTGCACCCAATCATGCATGGGTTACTCCGTACGGGAGCTTGTTGGCCGTGTGGGGCTCGTCCTTATCTGTCCTTTCGGATCCGCCATCCGAACTGGCGGAGGCGAGTGCCAAAGCGCTGGGCTACCCTGCAAGTTTTATTCCCTACGGACTGACAATTTGCGTGCCCGGCTGTTTCTGTGGGAAATTGAGGGCAAAATGGCATCGTGGACTTTTCGCACCGGCGGTTGCCACATAGACACAAGGCAATGCATCAAACTCTACACTCCATGTACATTGCAGAATCCATCATGACAGTTCCAACTTTTCCCTGGTATACTCCAAAACCTGCCGAACGCCATCATCCAGCTCACCCAAGGCCAGGTAACCATCTATCCAGGCAGCCGTCTTCCGGCTGAGCTCGACCTTGTCCGTTGTAACGTCCAACCTCTCGCCCAGCCGCGCCAACACTTCCCGCAACCCTCGCGGGAAATCCGCCGTGTTGGCCTGTACGCCCAGGATGGGCTGTCTGATGTAGCAATTGCACGTGGACGGGTGGTTCGGGTACGCCTCATCCAGGGAGTCCAACACGTGCCGGGAAATCTTGGGTTGAACCGACAGGGCCCTGAACGAAGCGAACAGGGAGAAGAAGGACTCCGCGACTTCCGGAGTAAAGAAAGCTTGTTTCCGGGATATGTCGTAGATGGCCATTGGTATGGCGCCGTCCATGGCCGGGTTGGACTTGAGCTGCTCCGAGGCCTGCTTGTCAATAACCTTGGACTGGGCCCGCGATGGCACGGGCAACATGTAGCCGCCCTCGTCGTCGTCGCCGTGGCCGTCGTCCTCATCCTCGCTGTATGCGATGCGAAGTTCGTCACCGTCGTCACCGCGGTCGGGCCGCAACGCGTCGGCACCATTCTTCTTCTCCGTCTTGCGCTGATCTACCTTGACTAGCCACTCCATCTCGCTCCTTGCGTATTCAAGCCACAGCTTGCAGTCCTGGGTGCAGAATCTACAGCCGCGCATGAAGAACCCTCTTGCCGCGGCCATGTCGCCATTCCTCGCAGACCGTCTGCCCGCAATGATCCAGAGCTCGGCGTCGGTGGGCATCACACGAAGGGCCTTTGTCATTGTCTTGCGCCATCGCTTTGCGGCCTTGACGCTGGCCGTGTAAGACAGGTACTCCTTCCACAAATCGCTGCTGCCGGGGTGTCTGTTGACGGCTCGCTCGTATATCGATAGCACGCGTCCCTGGCTGGCGTGCGCCGAGTTGAGGTGGTGGATTTTGAGGCGGCGGCATCTCTTGCTGCGCAGCGTTTCTAGGGACTGTTCCCATTTGGCATAGGCGGACCATTCCGAGGGTGTGTTTCCCGGCGAGAGCACTCGATGCTCGTGCTCGTTGCGCTTTTGGACGATTGTGCGAGTCTCATCCTGGATTGGAATGCGTTAGAGAATTGTAATGTCCGCGCTGCGCTGACGGTGTCATGCCTGGGTGAATATTTCCTTCTCTTTCCACTCTCGTAGCTGGGGAACTGAGCGTTCGAGATAGAACCTCGCTTTCTCAGCGACACCTGCCATTGTGCAAGTCAAACACGGAAAATTTAGTATTGTGTCATCCCGCGGGTTAAAATATCGGCGATTGTCGGCGGCTCGATTGCGGCAAGTCAAAGATGCGAGGCGAGCATGCACAATCTTGAAGTTTCTGGCACAAGGCTGTTGAAGATACAAAATTTTAGTGGGGCAGCGCCGTACTAGCCAAAGAGACTTCGCGGCTGCCATCGAGCGAATCAGCGTTCAGGAGGCCACAGTGCCTGACTGTCAACCTCCCGCAAGCCGCCCCTGGCCGGAGCCAAATGTTCCGGGATTCTATATCCAGTCCTCACCACTTCCTTCTCCAATTGCCATCCTCGGTCTTTCGTTTCTTGTTCTTCTGACTTCCTTTTCCGTCTTCTCGGATGTCGCGGATGGTGTCGCAATCGACTGCATTTGCTCACTTTTCTTTGTCATGACCATGTCCAGATACAAGGACAAGGATGGTGGCATTGTCCTCAGCTTCGGGGGGCAGTGGGTAAGCTGGGCGCACACGATTGTTGCGTATAGTAAGTCAATATAAAGTTCATGAGGCGCTCTGAGTCAATGAGCTGCCCCTGCCCCCAGAGTCGCCGTCGGCATTGGCAACAATGGTTCTGACTACTGTCTGTAGCCGCTTTCCTGAGCGCATTGGTTGTCGGCGTCTCCCTGCACTATCACAAGATTGTCCAGAATGAGTTCTATGGATATCCTCAGGAGTGGTTTCCGTCCGTATCAGCGACAATTGGCGATCGATACCCCGAACGGTCGTTCTTCATGATCTTTATCGCCATCACATCCGGTACAGTCTCTCCACGACCGCTCTGCCGCCGGTCCGATAGCTAACGTGGATCAGGACCTCGTTTTGCACTGGTTGGCCTCTTCTACCTTCTTACCCGGAAGCCCGGCACGAAGCTGCCTGGCTTCATTGCTTCCATGGGTGTTCTTCGGACCCTCACCTGTGGTGGCTGGACCTACATCACCTCGACGGACGATCACGACTGGCATGACATTCTCATGATTTCGTACATTGTGGCAACTTTGCCTTGGACCCTGGGATGCATCGCCCTGAGCCCCCCAAACCCTCAAGCTATTAAATACCGCAAGTACCTCGCTACTGCTTTCTTCGGTACCCTTGTGCCTCTCATTTACTTCTTTATTCAGCACAAGGTGCATCGTGTTGCCGGAGGTTTGTCGTAGCCCGGTCAAACACACATGTGACGGAACTGACATGAATCTTTAGCCTATACCATTTATGCATTCTTTGAGTGGGCATTGATCCTCTTTGATGTTGGCTTTGATGCTGTTACAGCTCTGGATTATAACACATTTGAAGTCGTAATCAGGGATGTCAAGGGTTTGAGCAAGGGGTACGTGCAGTGGCTCCCAAAATAGTCCTGGCCTCCTGTCCCACCAAAAACCAATAAAATCTGTTAATTTGAAGCGTCTTCTAAGCTTTCTTGCAGTGACAATCTCTCGTCCGTCCCGTCTGCTGTCATGGAGAAAGAGTAAGTACTGTTCTGGGTATTGACAAGCCACCATCTACTGACTGCTCAACCAGAAAGGAACAGGCGACTGGCGGCCTCTATTCCCTGCGCTTCACTTGGTCCGAGGCGCTAGACACGGCTGCTGATGTATATCATGGAGTAAGTCGAGGTCTTGGTTGGGCAATGTTTGCCAATGTCTAACGGCCCGGTAGTTTGTGTTTTGGTCCATGTTAACGAGTCTGGGGCTCGTAGTCTGGTGTGAGTATCCTTTGTACCCCAGTTCGCAGGTGTTTTCGGGCTAACATGACAACAGATTTCCCTCTTTGGCATATGGGCATATCTGGATACGAAGCTTTTGTCTTGGTCTCTGTCTCTCCTCTGCTCCTCGTGGGACCCCTTCGATCAGCTGTCATCAGCAATCAGCGAATTGTCCATCTTCTCTCTCTTTTAGGCGTTGCTGCCTACTTGGTTTTGAACCCTGCTCGGCGTCTTTTGACAGTTGGTTTTGGTGTTGCTATGTCGACCTTGGGCTGGGTTGCCACTCTCCATGCAGAGTCGCTGCATGAAGCCAGATTTGAGTCCAAGGTGCTCGGCTTGCTGACCGGTCTCATTCTTTCGTCAACCGCCAAATTCGCATGGCAAACCAATAACCCTATCTGGCCCATCATGCATGAGGCGAATGGTGGATGGAACCTCACTGGGCTAGTGCTTGCAGTCTTGGCTGCTTTGCGCTTTACCCGCAAGGCTCCTCTGACAGGCACAACCCCTGATGGCATCCAGAGGGGCTCAACTGTTCTAGCTGCGTGTGGCATTGGAGGTGTTTTCTTCGGTATGCACTCCCTGTTATCTGATACCAGCACCATGATTCTTTGGACCTGGGAAGGCTTTCCTGTTCGGGGTCCTTACTTCTCTACACACGGCTGGTGCACTCTTGCCGCCATGTCTGCCGGTCTCTTTATTGGAATCTGCAAACCTTCTCTTGCCGGTAGCTGGCCCCTGTATGCCGTCGGCACCATGGGTGCAATGGTTTTGACATTCTTCAGTCACTGGTTTGGATACTATGGTGGTCTTGCTATTGCCGTCTACTTGATGGCTGTTGCCGTGCCTCTGCTTGGCAACGCTTCCAAGAAGAGCCCTGCCGTCACTTTTGGCGTCGGCTTCTTCATATACGTCTTTTTGGTTCTGTTCCATGTCTGGGTGGTCGCCTATGCCTTTGTTCCTGGCGGTCCTCTGGTGCGTGAGCACACCGACTGGATCATGTACTCGATGATGGGCCTTATCGGCGCTGGTGTTTATGACTACAATGCCTCAGAGCCGCGCAAGCAGCAGCCTCGTCGCACCTCTGCTTCTCAGCACAAGAAATACTTTGGATTTGCCACCGTCATGATCAATATTCTCTTTCTGTGCGCGGCCTTTATGCGCTTCCCCACCAACGACTACAAGCCATATAATGCCAAGGACCGTGTGCTCACAGCTGGTATTTGGACCATTCACTTTTCCTTGGACAATGACATGTGGTCATCAGAGTACCGCATGCGAGACCTTATCAAGGAGCTGGAGCTTGACGTTGTTGGACTTCTCGAGTCGGACCTGCAGCGCATCATCATGGGCAACCGTGATACCACGCAGTTTCTGGCCGAGGATCTGGGCATGTATGTCGACTACGGCCCTGGGCCCAACAAGCACACTTGGGGTGCTGCTTTGCTTTCTAAATTCCCCATTGTTGAGTCCAAGCACCACCTCCTCCCCAGTCCGGCAGGCGAGCTGGCACCGGCTATTCACGCCACACTCGATGTGTACGGCGAACTGGTCGATGTGTTTGTCTTCCACTCCGGACAAGAAGAGGATCCCGAAGACCGACGCCTGCAGTCCGAGTACCTGGCGCAATTGATGGGCTCTACTCCGCGACCCGCGCTCCTTCTCAGCTACCTTGTCACGAAGCCTCTCCAAGGCAACTACAACACGTACGTGAGCCAGAAGTCTGGCATGCACGATGTCGACCCAACTGATTGGGACCGATGGTGCGAGTACATTCTCTTCAAGAAGCTAAAGCGTGTGGGCTATGCCCGCGTGAGTAGAAGCACAATTACCGATACGGAGCTGCAGGTGGCCAAATTTGTGATCCCCCACTCTGCGGCCGAAGCGCAGCAGCTGGACTCGGTGTCTGCCGAGGAACGTAACCGTCGCGTACAGGAGTCTGAGGTCCCAGATGGCTGGAGGTTTCCCGCCATGTTCAGAGGACAGGGCGTAAGAGATCACAGATATCACGTCTTTGACGAGCCTAGGTACTTTAATTAAGAAAGGGGTGAGGGGGGGTTTGGAGATGTAGCGACGACATGAAATAGTGTAACACTGACTGTACAAGAAGGGCTGCACCTTTGTAAAGAAGAATATAATTTAATGTGCAGGCGCTCTCATGACAAGCCTCTGACGTGTGCATTTTACTTGTTGCCTCCGGCTACTGCACCCAACCGTCACATTGTCCAGCTGGGGGGTGCAGGCCGTTTGATGTCGTCCTCGTGTACAGGACGGAGCTCAATGTCTTTCTGATGCTATCTGCGATAACGTGAGATTTAAATATACTGGCGTAAAATATCACGCAACGCCGTTGCTAGATACCGGACAGGACGCATAGGGGCAGCCCCAACGTAGGGTCATGTATGGTGTGGGAATGGATATGGACAGTATACACACGTTGATACGCCGCAGGAGGGACAGTCAGATGACCGGATTGCACTCTGAGGCTATATATAGGTGCCAATAGCGCTCAAGAGTCAAGGGTCAAGGGCAGCGACGCGAGCGACGTGGGGTGGGTGGGCGCGGACAAGGTCGTGGCCACACCGACATGGCATCTACCCGGAACTACACGTACTTTACTTTGATGGATGATGGATGATGGAGTACAGAGTCTGCATGTACGTAATTACCAGTGTTGCGGAGTAATGGTCAATTAATTAATGCCCTGGATGGCAACTACCGGCTGATCCGGGGAAGCCAAGCCTAGCCCAGCCGCGCGCATTGCTTCGGCAAAAGGTTGTCCTCGGACGCAGCCCCGGATGCCGGGAGGAATATTCCACCTACATATTGCATATGCCCCGCCACTGGGCCCCCGTTGGCGTGGGCATGCACATACATGCACACCTGGGCCTCCTTGGGCGCCTAGCCAAAAGAAGAAGGCAGGGCCAAGGGGTTAAAAAAAAAGTGGAAGGGAAACCCCCGGAGGAAGAGAAGGGAAAAAGAGGAGAGAGAAACGGATTGTGGTGTCCGGCAACTCCATGGGCACTACTACTAATTGCACCCGCGTGACCTCTGGAACACATTCCGCCCTTCTTTCCGCGCCCTGAAGACGGGGAATTTGTGGGGCCCCGGGACGCAGACATCCCGTCGACTTGGCGCTTGTCGACGCCAGGAGTGTCCCGCAAACAACGCCACGGCATTTGACTCGTGGATGCCGTGCTGGCGCTGCGCAGTGCATTCCAAGCCCCACGGATTTGTGTGAGACACTCTGGTGACGGTGACGGCGACGGCGACTCTCTCTCAGCAGTCGGAGCGCCTGAGAGTTCAGCAGCGACGCTGCCCGCCTAATCGACACGCACCGGACGGGCCAGTCGGCGCTCAAGTGCTGGTCTCGCGTCCCCGCGGCCCTGGACCGCCCCCCATCCGTCATCCGTGTCCGTGTCACCTGTGCCGTGGACAGCCGCCGCTTGCATCTCCAATCCACGCCATCTCACTCGTCAGAATCACCATGGCTTGCTCGTGGACCATGACTTTCCCGACTGTTTCGATGACGAAAGAGGATGGGGGTTTGTGGAGAGAGACCGGTTGACTTGGCTCCCGGATGCGAAAACAGAGAAAAAGACACAAGGAGAGGGAGGGGGCTGGGTTCGGCGTTGCTTAAGGGCCCTTATACCTTGCTACCTCTTGAACTTTTTTATTTTATTTTATTTTACTCTTCTGTTCAAGTCCCCACCACCCACCACGCTTCTCCATCTTGCAACATGGAGTTGAAGATTGCTTTGGGACATTTCGGCATGTACTTGGGGCTGTTGGCCGGGGCTGGATTGCTCTATGTAGGTGCTGATTTCTCTTTTTCCTGTTGCGATGGACGACATCGATGGACGTGAGCACAGTCGACAGACACCACCATCTCCGTTGCGCAAAAGATCAAACAAACACATGTGGCTAATAAGCGAATTCTTTTCTTCATCTCGCAGGCCTTCAGTCTCGTCGTGTACAGAGTCTTCTTCCACCCTCTGGCCAAATACCCGGGCCCCTTCCTGGCCAAAATCACGGATGCGTACCAGCTCTACCACGCTTACAAGGGCGACCGTCACCTGGAGTTTTGGCGAATGCATCAGAAATATGGTGAGAAAAAAAAAACAAAAAAAATCCAAACATTACTCCATCGCTTCGTGTCCGTCGTCATGTCTTACCGCTGACACACAAGCTTCGTTCTATTTCGTCTAGGCAAGGTTGTCCGTTTCGGCCCCAACTCCCTCTCCTTCAACTCCAACCAGTCCCTCAAGGAAATCTACGGCTTCAAGTCCAACGTGCGCAAGGCCGAGTTCTACGATGCCTTTGTTCATCCTGCCGCCAACACGCACAACACGCGCGACAAGGACGTCCATGCCCGCAAGCGCCGCGTCCTTTCGCACGCCTTCTCAGAAAGTGCCATGAAGGAGATGCAGCGCTACATTCTCGGCAACGTCCGCACCTTTTGCGAGCAGATTGGCCTCAACGACGGCGGCGCCGACGCCAAGGGCTGGACGAAGCCGCGCAACATGAGCGACTGGTGCAACTACCTGGCCATGGACATCCTGGGCGACCTCAGCTTCGGCAAGGCCTTCCACATGCTGGAGAAGCCCGACAACCGCTTCGCCCTGGAGCTGGTTGAGGCCGCCACCACTCGCCATCTCATCTGCGGCACCATGCCCATTGTCGACAAGCTCAAGATTGACAAGTTCCTGTTCCCCAAGCTGGCTGCCGGTCGTGCGAGATACATGGCTTACAGCAAGGCCCAGCTGACCGAGCGTACCAAGCTCGGCGAGGAGACGGATCGCCGTGACTTCTTTTACTACCTGCTCAAGGCCCGCGATCCCGAGACTGGCCAGGGGTTTACTACTCCCGAGCTCTGGGGCGAGTCCAACTTGCTGTAAGTGTTGGCGGGACACGACGCACCTACATGCAACAAGAAGAAGAGAGAAAGTTGCTGGGAGGCGTGCCGTCATGACCTTTATTTTCTTTTTCTTTTTAATTTTGCTGACTTTGCGTATTGCAGCATCATTGCCGGCTCCGACACCACGTCCACCGCCATGGCCTCGACGCTCTTCTACCTCGTGCGCAACCCGCACGCACTGAAGCGCGTGACGGACGAGATCCGCAGCAAGTTCGGCGATGTCGAGGACATTGTCCACGGCCCCCTCCTGGGATCATGCACTTACCTCCGCGCCTGTGTCGACGAGGCCATGCGCCTTTCGCCATCCGTCGGCGGCATCCTGCCCCGTGAAGTGCTCGCCGGCGGCATCACCGTCGACGGCCAGACGCTGCCCCAGGGCACCATCGTCGGGACTCCCCACTACACCATCCACCACAACGAGACGTATTACCCCGTTCCGTATGGCTACGCGCCCGAGCGATGGCTTCGCGACGAAGTCAACCCGCTGACCGGCAAGAAGACGACAGAGGGCGACGTTGCTGTCGCCCAGAGCGCCTTCTGTCCCTTCTCCATCGGACCGCGTGGCTGCATCGGTAAGGGTCTCGCGTACGTCGAAATGACCACCACTCTGGCCAGGACAATCTACTTGTATGACCTGCGGAAGGCCGTTGGCGTCGTTGACCCCGGCGAGGGCCACGCCGGCCTCGAGTGGGGACGACACCGTGAGACTGAGTTCCAGCTTGTTGATACGTTTACCAGCGCCAAGAAGGGTCCTACTGTTGAGTTCAGGAGGGCCGACACGAAGGCCTAGATGTGGTGCTGGACTTGTCTGGATATAAGAGATGGAGGGAAGAACGGGTGGGGGAAGAATGACGTGGGAGTTTCTTGGGTGTCAATGGGTCTAAATGCATTGTGGAGGGCATGCGGTTTTTTTTTTAAATTTATTTTTTAGTGTTCCTTGTGGCTAGTTTTCGAATAAGGGCGGAGGACAAGGATAGCCTACATTAATTTTTTTAAAAAAATTATAAGAATCAAAATGCTAATCAGACTGGTCTTGTCAAGGTATCTTCTTCCTGTCCTCCGCCTCTGTCCCGGCAATAAGATGGCTTTGGACTCCGTATAAAGTTGTCGCCCCACTGCACGTCGCGCACCACGTGCACAAGGCTGGCAAGGCTGATGGCTAATGGATTCTCTCTGGATTCCTTCCCTTTCCGTCTGAAGCGACCACGTCCGACGACGCCAGCTCAAAATCCAGCTACGCAACGAATCGCTTGCGCCTCCATGAGGTCCAGTCGAGCAGATTGATGAGTCGACAAAAGTTCTGTTGATCCGTTCCATGCCTCGGATTGATTCTCTTTCTCTTTTCGAAATGAAGCTGTAGACTTCAAAGCCACCGACTCTCGAGCCTCTGTTCGAGCGACTCCGCCCGCCACCATGGCGATATGCAAATTCTACCAGCAGGGTAATTGCAAGTTCGGCAGTATGTCCACTCCAACGGCGAGACATCCCTCAGATTCGTTTGTCCAAGGATACCGTGGACAACAACCGCAATCACAATCACAATCCCCCAGAAAAAAGAGTCTTGGGCATATGTCCACAATTGACCGTTGACACCATGTGCAGACAATTGCCGGTTTGAACATCCCGATGCTGGAAACAATCGAATCCAGGGCCAGAATCGCTTCGGCGCGCTTGCCTCCGGAGCTGGAGGTGGAGGCGGCAGCAGCAGTAGAGGACTGCAAGATGCCCTTGGTAAACAGACTCTTCAATTCCGCTCCCTCATTGACGTGCGGCGACGCTGACGCCATGCGACCCGTAGCCAAGTACAGTATCGCCACCGACATCATGATCAAGGACCTCACGAGCGATGCGCCGCAGTGGATTCTGTCGGCCTATGCTCCGGGGAGAAATGCCCCGGAGCAGCTGTTTGGAGGATACCCTCGGGAACAGAGCTTCGAAGAGATGAGGCTGCATTTCATGATGGGCAAAGCCGCAGGGAATGAACAGCAGGCTGTGAGTAGCTACCTGTTGAATCCCGACTCTCGTTTTGCCACGTGCATTGCCAACGGACCTGACCTGCCATGTTCTGACCACATTGCAGCTTAGTCAAGCGCAGGAACTCTACCACAATGCCCAGCAGCAAATGCAAAACGCTGTACGGAATATCGAAAAAGCTGCCCGGTTCGTTGTGGACGCCGAGAACAAGCATCCCAACCGGTTGGACGTCTGCCGAGAAGGATCTCAGGGGGCTCCCTTTGGCGAGTTCCTGGTTGGAAGGAGACCCAGCGGTATTGCTCAGCCGGCGCAAGCAAATCCTTTCAGCACCAGCTCCAACACCACCACATCACCCTTCGGCCAAGCTGCTGCCCAACCAGCGCCGAGTGCCTTTGGGCAGCCAGCAGCACTGGGACAACGACCGAATCCCTTTGGCACACCGGCCTTTGGCCAACCGCCTCAGCCGTCGTCGGCATTTGGACAGCAATCATCACAGCCAGCGGCCCCGGCGTTTGGGCAACCGTCTCAGCCGACATCCGTCTTTGGACAAGAATCTGCCCTTGGGGCCAAGCCGAGCCCTTTCGGAGCGCCGTCGTTTGCCCAGTCGGCTCAGCCTGCGAACTCACAACCCAGCGCGTTTGGCCAGCCCAGTCAACTTGGCGCGAAGCCGAACCCCTTTGCCTCTGGCGGCGCGGCAAGCCAAGGCTCGGGTCCGTTTGGATCTGTGGCAACTGCCAATAATGCACAGGTCCCTGCGACGTCAAACCCCTTTGCGACGTCAAATGCTATCCAGGGCAATGCAACGCCAAATCCCTTTGCGGACAACACGGCCCAGCCAAGTCCGTTTGGCCAACAACCGACACAGAATCCAAGTGCATTCGGCCAAGCTTTAAAACCGAACCCCTTTGCCACACCCAACAACACAACAACAGAAAACCAGCAGGCGAGCAGCCCGTTTTCTCAGAACACCAAAAACCAGATCAATGGCAGCTTTGGAAGCAGCCAGCCCAATCCATTCAGCCAGGGCGCCTCGCAACGGCCGAGCCCCTTTGGATCGGCAAGTCAGCCCCAGCAAGCCGGTGCTCCCGCGACCGGCGGCAACGGTCCATACCCTCCCGAGAGCTCAAGGCAGCACCCCCCTCTAGAGAGCTACGCGTCCAAGAACATGGACGGGACGCTGGCCACGTTCAAAGGCCAGCCTGTTGTTTACAGGGACGGCAAGCCGGGCATCAGAGCGTCCTACGGAACTTGGACGCGCATATGGTTCCCCGGCGGCGCGCCAGCCTACTACAAGGATACTGAACTACCTGCCGAAGCTTACGACGATGAGTCCAAGGGCCAATGGGCTGCGTTTGCGCAGACGGGCCGGTTTGCGGATGGCGTGATGCCCTCGCTGCCGCCGCCTCGGGAGTGCACGCGGTGGAACTTTTGAGCAAGCTTTGCATGTATACAGGGCGGCAGCCAACAATGGTCATGGTAATGGACATGGTCAGTTTTTATCAATAGCCTGGGACGCGTGCGTTTGCGGCATAACACGGCGTTGACGGATTTCTACATTCAAGCCACGACAGACGATGGGCATGACTGGGTTGATGGGCAACGTGCCGGGGTGGTAGTCGACACCGCCGCCGGGCGATTTGTGTGCGGCCAAGGTGGCGCGAGTTGCTTTGACAATGTATAGAGTTGCACAATGGACGTGTAGGTACATGGATGTCCCGGTTTGCGTGCTTTTCCCACGTCCATCCACGGCTCGCATGGAACGCAAGTTCACGCGAGTCACACAAGTCATGATGCAACTGCACGAACCAAGTGTATTGGAACTGTCCAAGCCCGGCCTCGTTCCTAGCAAGCACACCCTCGCACGCACGCGCACGCGGCGGCCGCAAGCGGCACACCTACGCGGCAATAGTAACCTCGACCTCGACGCCGGCATCGATATTGACAATGATCTGCTTGACGACCTCGGTGGGGGCGTGAAGGCTGTGCGACAACGGAAAAGGAACAAAGGAGGAAGATGGGCGTCAGCAACGTCTCGACGGGACGGGAGCGGCCGGGAAGGGGGAAGGCGGAACACGCACTCAATGAGGCGCTTGTGGATGCGCATCTCGTACGAGTCCCACGTCTTGGAGCCCTCGCCGCAGGGCGTCTTGCGGGTGGTGATCTTGAGCGTCTGCGTGGGCAGCCGGACGGGGCCCTTGACGCGCAGGTCCTTGCTCTTGGCGCGGTCGAGGATCTCCCTGCACACCTTCTCGAGCACATTGACCTTGCGGGAGGTGAGGGTGATGCGGATCTTGTGGGCTTTCTGTCGGCGCGGACGAGGACACGGTCAGTTTGCGGCGTCGGCGGGACTTGGCTTTGGCGTGTCAGTTGGGGAGTTTGCACGTACGGGGGCATCGCCCATGTCCTTTTCGGCCTTGTTGTAAGACATGTTTGCGATGGATGGGGAGAAAAACTTCACGACTCGACACGCGAGGGGGTCGGTGACGGTATCGGCAAAGTGATGAAGTTTTCTGGCTTTGTGGGTTGGCTGGTTGGCTGGTTGGCTGGTTGGTTGGGAGGAGGAAGTTGTTTCGTGGCGGGGGTTGAATATGTTTCCTCTTTTTTTTTTTTTTTTCCAAAGACGTTGATTGGATGGCGGTACGTATCGTTGGCAGTTCCATGGCGGGGTAGCGGCGACTTCATGGACAACTTCACCCGGGGGATGAATCATCCGGCAACGAGAGCCGGCTCTCGCGGATTCCTGTCTGGCACGTCAGCGACGCAATGGCGTGAACGCGGCGGCAAGTACGCCTAATCACGTCCGGGACTCTCTCCTCTATCCTGTGCCGCTTACTGAGCAACACACGACGCCCGCGAGTCGAGAGTCGAGAATCGAGAATCGAGATGCATCTCCCCCCCTTGGCAGCCTTCCCCGAGGCCTCGTGGCAGCAACAGCTGGCCCCCCGGGAATGGGAATCCCTCGTCCAGGCGTGGGCGGTCCTCTGCCGCGCCTACCTGCGTCTTTCGGACGACGACTTCAGAAAGCAGACGCAGTCGCGCGCCTCCCTGGTCGCCTTCTCGTCGACGTTTGTCCGCCACGTCGTCGCGGCGCCGGAGCTGCAAACAACGTCCGCTTCGCTCCTCCGGCCCGTCTTCCACCTGACCTCGCGGCTGCTCAGGCTCCTCGCCCCCCCGGACCTGCTCGAGTACTCGTTCCTCGCGGGCTTTGCCAGGATATACCCCAAGAAACGCACCTCTCGGCTCATCGCGGCCGTGTTCGGCACTCCCTCGAGCAGCCTTCACATCGAGGCCTCTCTCACCACGCTCAAGAAGCAGCTCATCCCCATCCTCGACGCCGGGATCAAGGGAGATGTGAGACTGGTCGAGGCCCGGCTAGTCTCGCTCGGCCCGCTGCTGCATGCGTCGCCGCACGCGTGCGTACACTTGCTCGCCGGATCGGACTTCCTCCAGGGCCTAGTGACGTGCTTCAAGGTCACGAACCCGCCGCTGAGAAGGGCCATTGTCACGACCACGTACCTGTGCGTGGTTGGCCTGACGGAGGCGGAACCGCCGAAATGGTCCATGCTGAGCGACCAGCTGTTTGCGCTGAGGACCGTCGCCGAGGCGCATAGGATGGGGCCGCTGAACGCCAACGACTCGCTCGTGGCGGAGCTGGTTACCGCAACGCCCCTGTTGAAGGTACTGCTGAGGAGGGCCGAGGAGCGGGGCGTCGCCACGGAGAGCCTGAAGAAGCGCATCGCCCTGTTGGAGTCGTTCGGGAAGGGGCCCATGGCGAGGCCAGAGAGACGCGCCAGGAGCACGGCCGATAAGGAAGACGTGCGCGCTGAGATGCGTCTTCAGCGCGTCAGCCAGATCGCCCGTGTTCAAGACTTGTTCCCGGACCTCGGGGCCGGCTTTGTGTCCAGATGCCTCGACGAGTACAATGACGATGCGGAACTCGTCGTGGCGAATCTACTCTCGGAATCACTGCCGCATCATCTGGCTACGGCACACAGGAGCGAGCCCTTGTACGTGCGACTGTAACGCCGATTTCTGACGGTCATTATGCTGACAATTTTCAATACATAGATGTCCTTCAAAAGGTCCTCCTCTGCCAGACCCGGCACCGCCTCGGCCTACATGCCCGCATTTTCCGACCCGACGGAACGTGTTTGACGATGATGAGTTCGACCGCCTCGGCGCCGATGAATCCAAAATTTCATTCGGCAAGAAGCCGCGGAAGGACGCGGATGAACTCCTCCGAGACAGATCCGCGGCGCCAAACAAGGCCGCCGTTCTGTCTGCCCTTGCGTCATTCGACTCTGACGACGACGAGCGCGATGACACGTATGATGCGGCCGACGTTGGCGGCACTGTGGACTCGATGGATCAAGAAGCAGATGGTGCACATGATGGAAGTGAAGAAGTCCTCTTCCGGGCATATCAATCGGACGAGAGTGTGTTCGGCCGGGACGTTGCTACGAGGAGGAGTGGCGTGCGTGCGAAAATGAGAGAAGAGACCGGCATGACGGATGAAGCTATTGAGGGATGGGCAGTCATGCTGGCACGAAATCCCCAGCAAAAGAGGAGACTGGACGCCAAATACGCCTTTGCGGGGCAGCAAGCCCAGCTCGAGCGCACAGCCTGGAGAGCCGGTCCGGCTGGCTCGGCCACCGAAGATGGTGATGTCGACGGGGGAGCGCGTCGGGGTGATGGCGGCAGAGGCAGGGGCAGAGGCGGCCGCGGACGTGGACGAGGAGGCCGGGGCGGCAGTGTCGGCCGAGCGACCGGCGAGAAGGAAACCGAAGCGGCAAGGAGCAGTAAAGAGGCACACAAGGGCTCCAGAGCAAATCACAACAGGAGGGACGCTCGAGCAAGAAAAATGGCTCGCGGAGGTTTTGCTGGCTGATGCGGCCCGTGCCTGGTTGCCAGTCCGCCTCTTCCACGACCGACCCTCCACGCCGTCATCGTCGTTGAAGTCGTCTGCAGACGGCTTGGGGCGGATGGATGCACGTGGACACATTGAAGTTTGAACATTGAGCCGAAGCTGTCGAGAGAGAGTCTGCAGCTTCTTGAAGTGTAGCGCCAAGATGTCATGGCCAAATCACCCATTGAGCAAGTCCCGTGTCGCTCCCCCATGAACCCGCCGCATCACAAAACGCCGACGATGCAACACCAACAAACATGACGGACCATCACACGTCTGCGAGGAGGCCCTCCACAGCATCGCCCAGCATCCGTAACCCGTAGTACTTGGCCACCCTCTTCATGACCGTCAGCTTCTGCACAATGTCGCCCCGGGATACCATCTCCTTCCACTCGCCGCTGCAGGTGCAATGCTCCATCAAGTCGTTGACCCGCAGGGCGCCACATCGACAACACTTGAGATCCTGCGTTGCCCACTCCACCGCCCACGCCTCCGCCGCCGACACGAGCCTCTCTTCGATGGCGACGCGGTCGTACTCGCTATCGCAGAAGCGGCAGCGCCAGCCTCGGCCGTCGCCTCCTTGGAGGTCTTCGTCCCGGCAAAGGTCCAGGTCACGCGTCACTGTGCAGCTGTCGCACGACAGCTGCGCGAGCTTGAGGCTCTCCGAGGGGTTCGCGAACGTCCCTTCCTTGGAGAATTCCCGGACATCGAACAGCGCCAGCAGCTCCCTGCGCAACAGACGGGCCTCGAGGGCGATGTTCTTGTCCAGAGAAAGGACCTGCATGAGCGACTTGACCAGCTCCAGCACGGGGTCGCGGGGCGTCGGGCGCGATCCGGGGAGGCTGGGAAAGCTGTAGTCCCCTGCCAGCTCTGGATGCAGGAGCTCCCGCTTCTGCTGGCTCATCAGTCCGGCAACGGCCTTCTTGAGGGGCCTCTCGTAGGCTTTCCCGGCAAGCACCTGGCCGGCCTCGCTTCCGTCCTTGCGGCCGGGCAGCTGTGTCGGGCGAGGCGTCGAGTCGGGGTCGCTGCTCGTCCGCCGCTTGAGGTCGTGCATGAGCTGTATGAAGGCGATGACCCATTCCTGGAAGACGGGCTGCAGCCGCACGGGGAGAAGGGTGGCCATCTGCCAGTGCATGATGGTTTCTAGGCTCTGGCCGGCCGCTTCGACGACCTGCCGGCACCCTTTGCCGCCGTAGTTGTACTCGTCGTACCACACCAGGTAGTCCCAGTACTCTTTGATTTCGAGATCGATAAAGTGGAACAGGGGCTTGCTCTTGATCGACTTGATGATGTACTGGCTGTAGGCGAAGGCGTTGCCGACCTCGGCCTTGGTCGTCTGCAGGATCAGGCGGTCGGCGTTGGCGAACACGACCTGCGACCCGACCCGCCTGAAGTCCGCCATGAGCTGCTGGAACGCCTTTCGGGACATCATCTGCACGTAGTAGTGCAGGGCTCGGTCGTACATGAAGGAGTCGGGGTTCTCGACCCAGCGGACCAGGTGCTGGACCAACACGTCCGCCATGGTGCTTCCCTTGCAGGCCTCTGCCCACCACGCCTTGACCATTTCACGGAGAACGAGGACGCCGGCGTTGGCAAAGGCGTTGTCCGAGGCCAAAGTCTCGGACCCGTCGGCGCTTGGATTGAACGACACCGAGTCCGCCCCTTCCAGCTCGTTGATGAGTGAGGATGTCAGGAGGGTGTTGATGGCCAGGTTCCGCACGTCGAGGTCGATGCAGACCGAAGCAAAAGTCCCCGGGTTGTTCACGTTGGGCATCCGGACCGTGTCCAGCGGACCGAGGACGTCGTCCTTTTCGTATCCGGCGTGGTCGGGGCGCGGACCGGCCGACCACCATAGCACAACTCCGTTGGCCTGTAGTCGACGTGCGTAGGCAATGTCGATGAGGAAACGAGGGTCCTCCCGTTCCAGGTTGCAAAGAGGAACGTCGCCGTACCTCGCGAGCGCGGTGAGGTGTAGTATCCAAGAGCCGAGGCCGAGATAGTGACCGACGAGCCGGCGGGCCGCGACAGCTTGCCAGCCCAGCGGGGGGAGGGAACTGTCGGTGGCATCGTACTTCAACGGCAAGACGGGGAACTCTGCCAGGACAGGAACATGGTGGACCAGCAGATTGCGTTGCGAAGACTGGATCACCATCACTTGCGGTCTGGACTCATCCTTTCGCATCTTCTTGACGACGTCGCCAATTTCGGAATGGACTCTGCGGCGCGTGGAGACTTGGGTGATGTTGAACGTCATCTTTTCCTGGTATGCAAAGCAGTCCTGCCAGTTGGTGCCTGCTGCCTCTTCAGCTCGTTTGGCCAGCATCTCTCCATAGATCCGGCCGACATGGGGAAGATCCTGACCAGAATCCTTGTTCTTCTGCTGAATGATGACGTGACCCTGGTCCGACGTGGTGGAAAAGATACCAAAGATCTGACGCTCACCGGCTGTGATGTGAGAAATATAAATGTACGCCAGCGGAGACGACTCCAAGTAAGTGCGTGTCTTGACGGGTCTTTTAAGGCCAAACAGATCGAAGCCCTGTTCCAGGCCCTTGCCGAGCACAGCATCCTGCTGCACGTCAATCGTGCATTGATTTCCCAAACGAAGCACGGCCCGGATGTTCAGAGGCACTTGTTTCTCGTATACACCCTCCACGCTGGGGTGATTGAACAGCAGGGAGAATTTGGCCGTCTCGCCAAAGTACACGTCCTCTGGAACCGTAAGCTTAAAGAGATGGCTTGACGCGTGGCCGTTCGGAAGCGTGTAGTTGACCTGCTCGACGTCACAGCCAGCGACATCAACGTCGGGGAGCTCGCTGCCCTTGAGGTTCAAAAAGACTTGTCGAGGAACATTGATTTTCAAAGTGTGAATTTTGGCATCAATCAAAACATGAGCAGTGACGACGCCAGGACTGTCGGTGGGCTGCAGGTGAAGCAGCTGCCATGTATTCATAAAGGTGATGTGGGCTTGTTTCATGAATGACTGCTGAATGTTGTTGTTGCCGGTCAGGCCTCTCCTGTCGCCAAACAATTGCCGCCTGCGAGTACGAGCCTGCTTCTGCAGCTTCCATTTCTGCTTCTGATACTTCAAAAAGGCAGGGTAGTCTTCCGACGGACTCGGCATGACCTTGGGCAATGCAGCCATGGGGTCCGTGTCCTCGGCAGGTCCCGGGGATTTACGTTTCTGAGCCGTCGGTGCAGGTTGCGAAGAGGAAATCGCCGTGCTGACCTGCTTTGGCTTCAGGAGCCTGCTTCCAAAGTCCTCCAGGTCCTCCATTCGGGATCCATTGATATTTGTGATGTCTCCGAGGGGCTCCTTCGCAAACAAATCCGTCAATTTCTTTTGCTTCATCTTGTCATCCTTGATGTTGATACGTCTCTGAAGCCAATCGGGATGAGGCACTCTCGGGACTGGATTTCGGACCCTTTGCAGAGCGGCGGGGATGGTGATGAGCTTCTGAATAACGGAACCAAGACGCTCTAGATAGTAATCCCAGTCCAGGAGGGCTCTTGGATCCGTGTCCGCGGGCTCCTCCTTGAGCCACTTCTTCAGATACGTCCTCTTGATTGACTCTTCGGCCGAGAAGATGGCAACCGGGACGGCACGCTCAGTGACTGGAGCATTGCGTGGCCGCGAGCAGATGATGAATTTGCAATTGAGACCTTTGTCCTTTACCATTTGCTCGCCCAAGAAGTCGGCAAGGCGTTTGGCCGTGGTGATGCTGGTCGATTTCTGCGAACCGTACTCCTCTAGCGTCTTGGACATGCTTCGGTTCTCCGAAATCAACTCCATGAGCTCCTCGTCCGCCAAGGTCGACCCCTTGTTGTGCAGCACATCAAGCCATCGATTTGCAACTTTGGCGACGGCCCCGTAGCACTGTGTCAGATCCTCACCTTCCAGGAAGAACTTGAAGATTTGTTGTTGAAAGATCTTGATAAGCTTGAGTTCGCCACGTCTCTTGACCTCGAACCCTTTCAGCTCAGCGAGACTACCGTCGTCATTGAAGACTGCGTACCGCTTCTTCAGGTTCTTATCTTCCTCCTTTGACGTTGGCAAAATCATTGCTCTGTAGGGACCGTCGACTTCGAAGAAGATGGAGTTCTCGCTGTGAGTTTCGTACTTGAATGTTTTCGGGTCCGCGAGCGTCTGATACTGATGATTCGTGAATTTGTCGTGAACAAGGTGATTCAACATGACACAGGGATATGAGACGGCGAGCTTTTTGCCGTTTTTCAACTTGAAGGAGAAGTTTTCGGGAAATGTCGCCGGCAACATGCACCAAATACCATCTGTGTCAAGTTCCAGAGGTCTTCCCAGCCGCTCCACAAGTTTTCGTGCCAGTTGAATGATGGTCGCGCCCGTCAGACACGTAACGCCAGCCATTTCCATGGAATACCATCGCGAGCCCTTTCTCATGACGTAGCCATAGAAGGAATTCAGAATGACTTTGTGCGCCAGCTGCAGAGAATCATACAAGATGATCATCTTCTTGGCCGCGTCTACCTCACTTGCATTTGCGCCAGACGATTTGAGTGACTCGGTTTTGCCTTTCCATACTTTGGCCTTTCCCTTGTAGTCGTATCGTCGATCACGGAAGTCTCGCACGGTGTTGATGTAAAACGGATTTTCTCTCTGACAAATGATGGCCTCACGTACAATGGTAGTGGAATCGTGGATTTTGTGGTACACCTTTTGCGAGTATAGTTGTAGTCGTTTGCGCACTAGGGAAGCCTGCTCGTCGGCGCTCAGATCCCCGAATGCGCGCATTGGCGCATGTGGTGTTTTGCCGGGAAACTTCTCATTCTCCAGAGCATGTCGAATCATGTTGTACTCGTCTCGCTTGGCGGGAAGATACTCACCCCTCCAGGCCCAGGGCAGTCTTCGGTCGCACGTCTTTCCCGGTCGATTGAAATCGCAAGCCGCACAGTCCGACTCATCAATCATAGAATCCGGTTGTAGGCGGTTCGTTGTCATGATGTTAGGATACATGGATGCGACGTCTAGATGATAAATGAGTGGTCGTTCCTGTCGATTTGGTGTTTCCTTGAGCTTCATCAGCTTAGCAACAATTTGCTCCTTGACTTCCTCGTAGTTCTCCACGTCATCCAGCGACTTCTTCTCCTCCACGGTGATGACAAACTCTAGCGCGGCATCTATGTCGCGCAGCAGTTCGTCAATAGCACCTGTGTCAACGGCAAAGTCTGCTGGAATGTCCGCTCGGAAGACGCCTGCCTCGATACTCTCGACGTGTCCTCCAACATATGTCTCCGAATCCAGAAGATGACCATCCCAAAATGCTTCTTTGGGGGACTGGTGCTTGTTAGGCAGCACGATTTCCTTTTGGTACGCCTGGACCATGAGCAACATCTCACACAGGGTTCCGGTACCCTTTCTGAGTGTATCGTCACCACCCAAGGGAAGAATGGTACAAAGAGAGAAGATGAAAGGGTGTACGTATTTCATGTATAAGAAATACGTAGCAACAGCATCAGACACCGAGTATTCCGCCAGGGTTTGTGGTCTTTCACTGGCATAGGGCGTCATCAATTCCGGGTCGAGTTCGTCGGGGTCATATCCTAACTTGGCTACCGTGACAGCCTTCAAACCACGAGAACCTTGTGGCAAATACGAGTCACGGTTGACCCAGTGGAAACAGTCCATGTGAACGCCGTAATTACATTTGAATTGGTCTTCGCTGTCCTTCTTCCACCCTATTTCTTGGTACATGTCGATTCCATTAACGCTCGCTCTCGCTTCGACAAAAGGCCAATCGAAGAAGTCGCCGTTGTAAGTGGCAATAACAGTTGGTCTGGCTTCTTTCACGTGAAGGAAGAATCGCTCAATAACAGCCTTCTCATTGGGTTCGTTGAAGATCATAAACGGGCCTGGATACTCTGGCTTTGGGGTGTAATCAAAGTCGCCAATGTCTTCGGAAATTATTTCCCGATTGGTGATGAGAAACCCTTGACCATCAATCATGTATGAAATCATCATGATCTGGTCAATGGCAGCGTCGGGAAACTTCAGGGGAAGTTTGGTTGTTTCGATGTCGAATGCCAGAACAACTGGATCCGCCGGAAGTGATCGATCTTCGTTGGGCAAAATTTTGGTTATTCCGTGCTTCACCTCAACATAGTACCATTTGCCAACTCGGATATCTGCCGCATTGTCAATATGGCGATTAACCAACAGAACAACGGAAGGAAACACACCAAGGTCTATCATTACTCTCACATGGTAGGGTACATCATATTCGCGAATATCAACAATGTAGTCACTCGCCTCAGCGAATGAGTTATTCGTTCGTTCGTCAGTTCGTAAATCGTCGTCGAAAAGGTCAAAGTTGCCACTGGCTCTGCACATCATGTCAAACCTCCCGTGTTCCCTTGGAAGAGCCGAGCACTGGGCACTCACGTAATGACTTCAGCATATGCGTCCATGGCATTCATGTTCTTCTTGTTCTTCTCAGCCACAGGCATGATGTCCCTCCTAGCAGCCATGAGATCTTGAACATTGGCAAACTTGAGTTCCAGGAAGGTCCGCCGATAACCCAACAGGTGGTTAGGCATTTTCAAATCATCCTTTTCGACTCTCCGAATGGTTTTGGTACAACCATCTCCAGGGACTCGCCTGACCCATTCCTCTACCTCGGATTCGTGGCCCTTTTTGACGGCAATCAGAAAGTAGGGGTCGTATTCGACAGTCGCCTTGAACGTCGCGCCATCATGTTCAATGAAGTAGCAGTCAAGTGCTGCCCTTCCGCCGGGAAGCCTCTCATCTTCGATGGCGGTAGGCTGAACATTGACGAGCCATCCTTCCTTCTTCTTTCCACTGTCGTATCTTCCGAAACCGAAGTTTTCGTCTATCGTTTGAGCGAGCCGTGTCCGTTCCCATTTTTCATCCGCCGAAGTCCCTTCTGCTCTTGACGTAGCCGCAAACGTACGAATCCGTTGACCGTGATATGCACTTTTGCCGCCTCGACGGAAACCTTTTTGTGGCCTCCGTAGGCTTGTGTTGGGCATTTTGTGTCCGCTATGTTTTCGAGAAGCCTCAACTCGAGTTATGACAGATTGGTGTCTCGAGCTACGTGGACTTCCGAGGCAATCATGGGAGGCCAGTATGATCAGGATTGAGTTTTCTGAGAAGTGATTTTGTATGATCCAAGTCAAGGGGGGCGGTACAGGTCTAGTGTCTGCGTATCTCGTACTAGAACCAAGTGGATGACCAACATGCGAATAATAGATCAGCAATTGCAGCTTAAGGGAGACGCGCCAAACGCGCGTTGATGCCGCATGCGCGACACGCTCAGGATCCACAAGTTTAATGGATTTTGGGCCGCATATTTTCAGCCACACTAACTGATTGGGTACTGCACCTGCGCCACACATGGGTTCCATCAGATCCGGTGGTTCAAGTCGATCCATCGACTCGCAGCGACACCAAGCGCCCAACGAACAACGACAACGACATTGTTTATCTCTCCGGTGTCTTTTGTGTTTCCTTACCTTGGATATTTGGCTTCCTAATTCATGATATCAATTGCCCTGCGGAGGTAGCCAGGGATGGCACCCAACGTCGAAAATGCGCAAGCGAACCCGAACCAGAAGACGCTACATGTCTGGTCAAAAGCTATAGAAGAGCCCGACGAGTCGCAAAGCCAAGGAGCCGACAAGAAGGCGAATAGTGCTAGGCCGACTATTTCGGGTGCAGTCAGTATGATAAAGACGGAGGATTTCACCAATGTCCACAATACACCCTGCGCCCGGCAAGGATTCCTGACTGGCATCGCCGCCGGCACCGGTATTGGCGGATTGAGATTCGTCCTGAGTGGTAAGGAAACCTGGTTTATGGAATATGTTCGCTAGCTTCGGATGAACTTACGACCTTGCGTGCAGGCAATGCTGTTAAAGCGGCAAACTGGGCTGTCGGCATGTTTATACTAGGAAGCACGGCATCGTACGAGTACTGCCAGTACCTCCGACGAGCTGAGCGAATACAGATGAAGCGTCACATTGAAGTGGTTTCAGAAAACAGGAGAGAGCAGGCTAGAAAGGCGGACAAGGAGAAAAAGGAGCAGATGCGGTTGGAACAAGAGCGGATAGCGGCGCAGAGGCCTTGGTACAAGTTTTGGTGACATGATATCATCTGTATACAAATGATGTACAACATGGGAGCGCGGCGAGTGTCTGCAGTCATCACTTTGGAAATGAATACCCGCAAAAGAATCAGTGGAAGTTGTTGTTTCTGGAGTGTCGCAAAGCACCAGAAGCAGCATGGCAATGGGCTTAGCTTCGGACTACGCAACACAACATCGGCCCAATCGAAGGGAATGCAAAGCGTCAATATGGCCAAGTAAACTCCTAGTTCCCATGAGAACTACCCCCCGAGTGCACAAAATGATGTAGAAAGGCGGAATACAAGCCGCTAAACGCCCAAATCCAGCAAAGCCACGCCGTTTGTTACAAAGACTCCTATTAGGATTCCCATCATATCGTAGAGCATGGCGTCGTCACAGCACCATTGCGCCTTTCTGAATCCACAAATCTGACCTTTCTGGCGGGTGACTTGTTTTTCAGCCGGGCTGGTAGGGGCTTTTCTCCTCCCCGTAGCTGGCTGCGTTTTGCCCTGGCTTCCTTTTCCTCTCGCCTCCGATACTCGGCCATCTGATGTCTCCTCCGAATGGCTCTCGCTTCTGCGATTGCGGGCGTTGGTTTGAAACCCACGCCGTTGATGCCGGTGCCGTCGTCGTCCTTGTCGTTTGGATCGTAAATGGTGATTTCATCCTCGTGCCAAGTAAGGGCTGCCCTTACTGGGTCCACGACAACGTCGTCTTCGTCAGCGACGGGTGACCCGGCCACGTTGACATCACCCTGACGAGGCTTCTTTGGTGACTTGTGCAGCTTCAGCGGTGGCGTACCAGCCCTTCTTCGATGTGGTGATTTGGTGTCCTGTCCTGGGCCTCCTGGCGCAGCGTCCGCCGGGGTTGGAATCTGAGCTGCGACGTGTCCAGCACCGGCCTTGGGCTCGGGACAAAGGGCTTGACTCGGCTGTGGTGTAGGGGATCCTGCCCCTTGCCGAAGACGTTGTTGGCCAGCATCGGTCATCATCTCGTCCAGCCTTTGTCGTTTCCGCGCGCAGCCTGGGCCATCCCCGTCGTCTGCCTCGTCGATTACAACCCCACCCCCACCTCCGAGCCCCAGACCGCGAAACCGATGGGCAACCTTGGAGCGTGGACTGCTGCTTCCATCGTCGGTGGGCTCGGCCCTGGCTGGATCAAAAGAGAAATCCACCGTGCTCAGGGAAATATGCTCGTGGCGTTTCCGCTTCGGCGGCGCCTTTGACGAGGGCGTATCCATGGAGGACGAGCTGTGATGATGAGTTGTAGGTTGAAACTTGAGTGAGGTGAGCTGGTGGGACGTCAAGCCAGGGTTTATCAAGTTGTACATAGAAAAAGAGTCGAGTCTTGTTGGATCTGCGGGCTGGGCAAAGACCTTTGGCGCAAAAAGTCAAAAAGACATGAACTAAGCCCGGGGGGATCGGCATTACATTGCCGACCGAGATGATTGATTAGACGCCATGTTATATATAGCTTCGCCATAGCACGTAACTAACATCATGTGTGCGCTAACGCCATTCGACGTGCGCTAAGTTCTCGAAGAAAGGCCGGTTCCCTGCTTCAAATCTTGACAGTCGCCACAAAGCCACCCCCCGCCCGCAACTTGGACGGCGGCATCAGTGACGGTGTGACACGCCGTTCGTAGACATTCTGCGCGCCGTGCTGAGACGACTACCAAGACGGGGATGAAGGAACAACCTCGAAACAGGGTGCAATCTCGTACAGTAGGAGGGAAACTGTGTAGCCGGATCGGGTACTCTGCTGTTGCCCTCCACGCCGTAGTAATAAGCACCGCAATCCATGTATTCTGCCCATTGGGGTTGTACAGTGCACGTATCAGTGGCAACATGATGGGCCATGGCAGCCTGAGCCGCCACCCAATCAATCATTCATTACAATTTACCACCACGATACCCGGTAACGCTGCTTCATTCACAGCGCATCGAGTCGACTGGTCTTCTAACTATCTCTACGTTTCGTACCGGACTACAGTCTTGGTTCGGACAGTATTTTTGCCTTCCAACCTCTTTCCCTCCGACCGGGACTTCACCAGCATGGCAGATGCGCCATTCGCCTTTCTCCCCCTGGGAGCCATCATACAGTCCTTCAAGGTCAAAGATACAAACATCGTTCTCGGGTTTCCCACCCAGGAGCAATACGTGCAGTACAACACCCCATACTTTGGCGAGACTATTGGCCGCGTTGCCAACCGCATCAAGGGCGCTCAGCTGGACAGCGTGAATGGTAAAGTCTACCGCTTGGCCGCCAACGACGGGCCAAACACCCTGCACGGCGGCAATGTAGGCTGGGGTAAGCGCATCTGGAAAGGCCCGGTGCCCATTGGCATCAAGCACATTCCCGGGGTGGAAGGCTTCCAGGGAGGGGAGAGTGTCGGCTTTACTCTTGTCAGCGAGGACGGAGACGAGGGCTTCCCTGGCACCGTCGAAGCCAAAGTCACTTACACGACGGGAACGCAGGTCGTCAACGGCAAGCAAGTGCTCGTTCTGGGGATCGAGTACGAGGCCGGGCTGGTCGATGGCGCCGACGAGACGCCAATCAACATGACGAATCATTCGTACTTTAACCTCACGGGGAACACGAATACCGACGGGACTGTCGTCACCCTGGGTTCCAGGTTTCACCTACCCAACGATGAATTCTCCGTCCCTACAGGCGGCCCGACTCCTCATGCCAGCATTGATACGACGAAGCCCTTCACCCTTGGAGCTGCGGATCCCCAGATGGACAACTGCTTTACCAAGACTACGGACCCGGCCTCCGTGCCGATTGATACTCGCTCACAGCCTCTTGCTCGCGATTTGGCAGCGTACCACCCCCAGACCGGCATCCATCTGGAAGTTCTGAGCACGGAACCTTCTTTCCAGTTTTACACTGGGGATTTCACGGACGTGCCAGCCGTGGAGGGGGCCTCCGCAAAGGGCGGGCGGAGTGCCTTTTGCTGTGAGCCTGGCCGCTGGGTGAATGCCGTCAACGTTCCCGAATGGAAGAGCATGACCATGTTGACGAAGGGCGCGACGTATGGTTCCAGAATTGTATACAGGGCGTGGTCTGACTAGGCAAATCACATAAGCCATGCAGCTTGCTCAGATTACACTTTTTCGCCGACCATATTTCCCTTGAAAACACATGAAAGAACCACGCCGCCAACTCCCTCATGCCCCAACATCGGTACATATAATGTATAGTACATGTAAACCAAACTCCTCAACCTCGGCGTCAGTTGCTTTTCAACAGCAACAAAAATGCTCAAAGACACCGGCGCTAATCAAACACCGTCCTGCAGCTCAAGTCACGTCATTCGTCAGATTCACTGTCATCTCCAAGAAACGCGAGGTCGGCCTGAGCGCGCCTGCGTCTGGCCGCGAATGAGGTACCCCCCTCTTCATTGTCGTCCTCTGTACCGTCATCACCAGCGGCGTCTTCGGCTTCACTTTCTCCACTTTCCTCGACCTGGATCGACTTGTTCGTACTTCGACTCGCACGGCCGCCTGTGCCCATCCCCCACAGGCGATTCATCTCCTGCGCCGCCTCTGCCTCAGCCAAGAGTTCCCTTGTTTCTCTGATTTCGCGTGCTTTTGCTTCCGAGAAACGGCCGTCCATGCCGACTTCTGTAAGCATTTTCTTGAGATGGCGAATTTTGGCTCTCGCGTCGTCTCCGTACTTTTTGAGCTCATTGTGCCACAGTTTTCTGACACCGCATTTGACCAGCTGTGACTGAAGCTTCTTGATCTCAGCTTCGTCAGGGTCATCTGGTGATGACTCGGTCGTCTTTTTCACCTTGGGCCTGGATGGTTTAGACGACGAGTCCTTTCGCTCCTTCTTCTTCCGCTTCGGCTTCGGCGCTTCATCAATGACATCCGAGAATTCTTCCTCTTCATTGACGGCCGGATTTGTGACGTCGACTTCTATCGAGGACATTGCATCGTCTTTGAGATCACCCCCCTCATCTGTGGGTGGTGATTTCGTCGGTGACTTCGCCGATGCACTACTGTCTTTCTGTTTTCGTTTCTTGGGCGGAGGTGGGCCCAAAACGTTGCCGATATTTTCGGTCGAGTTTGCCGTCTGAGTCTTGCGGCGTGATGCCACCTTCTTTGGCCTTGGAATTGTGTCTTTGTCGCTGCCGTGGAGTCGCTCATCATGTGCGGTGTACTTGCCATTCTCGGAGGCGAGTTTCTTTCGTCTCGGAGACGACGGGGCTTCCTCAGAACCTCCTCGCCTGGCCCTGTTCTCGGATTGAGTCTCCCGCGTCGAGTCCGGCACCCAGCCATCTAGCAGCTTGTCCTGTGTCGCCGAGAGTTAGACTTGCTTGTTTTTTTTTGCAATGAGTAGTTTGCGCCGCGGTGAGCTACCACTTACCACGTATTGTTTGATCAGAACCTTGCTCTTTTGTTTCCAGTCCTCGCCTGCGAAGAAGCCTTCCTCCAGATGCAGAGACTCTTCAACGTGCTTCCGAACCTTGTTTACGGTTGTCGCATCAGGCTCAGCAGTAAATACATGGTATGTGCCGTCGATCAGAGCTGCCTCGAGCTGGTTGGTTGACGGCGCCATGCTGCTTGCGGTTGATATCCAATAGGCCAAACAATCAAGCCCAAGCTGCGACGGCGACGGCACAGGGCAACCAACCAATGCGTCGATGGGAATAAGAGCAACCTCTGGGGCGATTGCGCGCGGTTTCAAGCTCCAGCACGTAGTTGCGCGCGCCGGTGAAGCTGTCGCCAAAGTCGGAAGGCGGGAGACGAGGAAAGCTGCCAGTGGTTCGTGGATGCTGGTGGCAGTGGGGAGACCGAATGATCCCTGTTGACCAGCCGTTTTGCTGTCTCAAGATCAAGAGACGTAGGAAGCTACATGCTAGTACTACCTGGGTAGGTAAAATACCTGGCACTCGACACGGTCTTCAATCGTTTGGCCAGCGACCCACGTGACAGCAGCCACAGCAAGGCCAGCCGCAGGCACTTGACAAGCACATTTTGGCATGCATGGAACCGTGGGGGCCGCAACTCTAAATAACTGCCCCGGCATGATGCCCTGTCATCACAGGCTGTGTTTGATGAATTTTGCGCACACAATGTCCTTGTGCTGGAAGAGCAAGATGGGTGAGGTGGCTCAACAACAAGCAAAGTTCGTAAGTGGTGGGATTTCGGCTATTAGTCAGGCAGGAGGGCGTAGATCCCGGTCGGGAATTCGTCTCCATTGAGCAGTGAGAAAATTCTTGCAGCAATTGCGTATCGGGTGGGCGTTTCGCAATAAGTCTGGTACAGAAAATATACCCAAACGCAAAAAGGCTGATACACAATTACTAAGTACTCAACGGAATACTTAAGTAGTCACTTAATAGGCATTGAGTAAGTTAAGGACCTACTTAAGTAGGCAGGTACGCACTAGGTACAGCAGGTTTCGCGACTGGACTTATTACAAGGGGAAGTAATAAATTATTAGATCACGGACCTGTGCCGGTCGCCGCAGCCCGCCTCAGTCTGGTTGTGTGGTTGCCCCACCCTTCACATGTGCACCAGCCATGTGTCGTGACAAGGGTGCCCATCGGGAAATCCAAGCTTGAAGCAGACGCCAACAACGCGCGAGCCGATTGACCATCTGCGTCACATTGTGCTCTACATCTTGGCCAACAACGCCAACCGAGCCCTCCAATCGGGCATCCCCTAGCGACTTATGACAAGGCTTCACCAGCGAACGTTGCCAACTCTTTCCTAGCAAACGCAAGTGGCTCTGTTGCGCCAGGCAAACATTGAAGCTATCCCCATCGAATCAATCGCCTTGACGATTGGAACGCCCGCCGCCGCCTCATCCTCGCCCGTCGTATCAGTCCCGTCTCGATTCGAAGTGTCTGGCGTGTCTTGCGACATGCGCTGTCAGAACCAATAGAGCTCTATGCACCCCTTTTCCATCCTCACCCTCGGCATCTTCGTAGCTGGCTACATCACTGCGCGTTGGGACCTCGTCACCCGTCTCTATGAGCTTGCCATCTTTGCAGCGGAATACGGAGTTGTGGTATGCTAGAGTACTTGCTCTGCACATGCGTGTTGACTAGTGCTCCATGTCAGTGGCTAACCGATACCCAGATCCGCGCTGCCAAGGGCGTCGTTGTGTTAACTGCTTTATTCCTCACCATCTTCGTGCCTGTCGTTTGGGTAGCTAGGAAGGAAACATTCTTGGTATGGCTCGGAACTTTCACTCGGTATTTCTTGACACTGTTTGATTAATACGTGCCTATTTTACAGCATCCGCGGGAACCTGGAATTGGCGTATCTGCTCGAGAGCAACTTAGGAGGCGTGGTTCCTTTTGAGGTTCCTCAGCTCCCGTACACCGTTTGGTGGCCATGGTAGAGCATGATGGTTTGATGCGAGTTTTCTGGCCTACCGACGTACGCAAGTCCAACCGTCCAGGAGTGGTAGTGGGATGGCGGAATTCCACCCTCGACGTTTTTGTCACTGCCATCTTGGATGATGTAGATGTCAGTCCTTTTCGCGCCAGCCATGAATCGACTGCGTTGCTAAACACTGACAACATTCAGGCCAGCGAAGTCGAACACCATCTCAAGGCAGGATCGTTTTTCAGGAGTGCCCCTCATTCTCCTGGCCGAATATTCGAACTATGCGGACACTCGTCAATTCACGTCCTTGGCTTGTCGAACTCAGCCACCCCGTCAACCGTCGACCCCTCCTGGGTCTGCGCAATTAACCATCCCTCCTCAACCACCCCAACTATAACCTGCGCCAAGGCTTCGAGCATACAGCTTATTCTTTACGATAGGCCGCAGCCGAAACGCATGCAATACATTTCGTTGGAGCCAATTGCCCTGGCTCTTGGAGACAAGAGCCCCATAGTGGATGACGACAAGGTGGACGTTACTGAAGACATTGTCGAGCAACATGAAAGGTCGGCAAAGGAAGCCAAGCAAAGGCTCGTTGAAAAATTGAAGCAGCACACCATTTCCAATCGAGTCCCTTCGGCTCGTGACAGAGCAATCCGGAAAATCATCAACCAGGTAAATTGGTCGTGGGAGCTCGAGCAGACACTGCAAAAAAATGCCTGGCGCCTCGGGCCACGACCGAAGCGAAGTCTCAGTGTATCGGAGCAAGTCATGGGATCGGCTTTGACTATGAGAAAGTATGTTCTCAGGCAGCTTTGGACCTTTTTTGCTGTCTACTTATTCCCCACAATACGCAAGACCTTTATACTGCTTCTACTTGGCCATCGTATCGTGGCTGAGGCGTTACTCGTCATTCTCGAGTTCCGGGTCAAACCAGGCTACGCCGCTTTGAAGGATATATCAGCCACGGCACAGCAGATAGAAATTCGACTTCAACAATTTTGTTACTGGCCCATGCAATACTCGAAACTGCGCCAGAGAAAGATGAATTGGGCAAGTGTCACCACTAGCCATCCCGATTATATTCGATTTTACAACAGCCTTTGGCTTGTTGCCAACGACGTAATTATCGGCATGGCTCTCGGTTCCTACGTGATTGAGCATGCTGATTGGGTTGCCGCCCAAATCGGAGACCTCTTGAGGATGTACACCGTGGAGGCTCTTCAAAGCAGCATCTCGTGGTTAATGGACTATCCGGCCGGTTTGAAACTCAATGGCGAGCTGGCAGTGTTCTTGGGTGACTTGTTTCTGTGGGTTATTGACTACTGGTCAAGTATGCTTCCATGTCCAAGTGCCCTTTTGTTTGATAAAAAAAATTGGTTAAAAAAAACGTCTCCCTTCAAAGGCCTTCAGATAGCTAACGGGAAAACGTCAGGCTGCATAGAAACCCTAAACCCGGCACTGCCAAAAATGGTATGGTTCATCGGATTCTCGTCTTTTGCAGGCGCCAGCATGCCGATTGCGCTGTTCTCGGATTTGCTCTCCATATTGACGATTCACATCTATTCATTCTACCTCGCATCGGCCCGCATCTACCACTGGCAGCTGACGATTCTACAATCTCTCTTCCACCTATTTCGAGGCAAGAAGCAAAATGTGCTTCGAAACCGTATTGACTCATGCGACTATGACCTTGATCAGCTGCTTGTTGGCACGATTTTGTTCACGCTTCTCTTCTTTCTCTTACCCACCGTGGTTGTATTCTACCTGAACTTTGCCATTGCACGAATGGTCATAATATCTATGAAGGCTGGATTTGATACTCTGCTTTCGTGTCTGAACCACTTTCCGCTGTTCGCCCTGATGCTGCGGATAAAGGATGTAAAAAGGTTACCCGGTGTGTATTTGCTGTAGACTCCATAACCACCACCTCTCAGAGTCCGGTGGCTGACATTCGCAGGCGGCATTCGTTTCGAACTTCGAGATGCCCAAGACTATAGAGGTCCAGACCCTAATACTCCTAATGAGACACCCACCTCGATCATATACCTCAAGGTGAGCGGCGCCGGATGGACAGCCATCAAACCACCCACCCACCGACGTGACATCTTGCCAACAGTTGAAATTGCAGTCAATACCTCTGAATTTCGGTGCCATGTTTCACCAGTACGCTCAGATGGCCCATCGCATCCGAAAACACTACCTCTCGCCGCGCGTCCTACTATGTCTTCTCACAGGGCAGTTCGTCCCACCCATCCATCGCAAAAATCTGTATAGTCTGCAGTACAGCATGTTACCGGCAAGACGAGCGACAATATGGGAGATGTGGCGTGCGGTAAGGACAGAAATCCCACAGAAGAAAGCATTTCAGTTGCCTATAATACCGCCGCTACCGCATGGCGGCAAAAGGATGGCGAGCAATGGGCGTGCCAGAGCCCACTATTGACAAGTAGCTCTCTGATTAGATGATAAGATTTGAGGCCGTAGTTTTACCTGCAAACCCAAACTAAGCTTGATTATCTACGACGGTCTTGTTTTCCAGTTCAAGGCCTGCACGTGCAAGGCTATTCTAGCGAGACTATCGCCTTAGCTCACTTTTGGTTCACCCGACCTTTTGATATTGCGGCCAAGGCTCGCGGCAATGCCCGTCTCATCCTTCTCTTCCCGACATATAATACTAGTCTGTTGAAAATCTCGACACAAGCCCTTTCTGCTTTCTGCTCTATTCTTAATTCCCACCCACGGCCCTCGGTTCACACAGGCCCTCTCGCTTTCCGTCATTCAACATGGCTAGAACAAAACCCAGCAAAGGACAAATGTCCCTTTGGCACCGTGCTGTGCAGCGGATACCGTGCGTATCACCGGAAAATTGCCAACCAACCAACACAGCGTCCACACCCAGCGTGGTCGCGCGAGTGAAGACGTCGCCTACCTGGGTGAGCTCCAAAATGGTTCTTACACGACGTCCACTCCCCGAGGCAAGAACACACAACAAGAGCAGGTCAGGAAGGGAAAACAAGGACAAGGCGGCTCCAAGAAGCCGTGCCGAGATGCCCTTGATAATTGTCACCACACCAGAAGGCAAGCACTGTCGGCCTGGCGACATGCCCAAGTGGCAGAAACCTCGTATCACGGCGGAGATTCTGGCCACGATCTCCAAATGGAAAGACAACAAACTTCTCAGCCCTTATTGCTGCAAGGAGAAACGTGCCCGCAAGAAGCCTGCAAAGAGAAAGAGGCAGGTCACCGACGTCGAGCCATCGGAAGAGGAGCCTTGCAGGCGACCACGGGGCCGTAAACTGTGGGCATGAGCTCCCACTGGCACGGCGAGTACGACTCTTCAACACTGGAGACAGTACAAGGTGCTTTTCCGTATCGACTACTACCATTTCGCTGCCGGGGGAAGGGGGGCGACCGCCCGAAGAAGACGATTATTGCACATCATTTGGAGGATATACCCGTTTCCAGGTGGAAACAAGCGAAAGCGACGTGAATGGCTTCTCGGTGCTTCATCCACGGAAGACTCCCGAGCGAGTTGGACAAGAATCTTGAGTGGATTTCTGGCATGACGGCATGGACAACAAGGTTATTGGCATCATTCTCTTTTTTAAGAGAGGGTCTGGCGGCGTTTGGATTGCAGCGCAACAAACGTGCCAGCGTACCTGAGAGGCAATGTACACGTTACAGGGCATGATGGTCTAGATTGGCAGGGGTTTTCTGGCTGATATTGCTGTGGCCATATTCATGCTTTTTTTTCTTTTTGGAAATGTCATCACGTTGGAAAATGGACAGAAAATAATTGTACAATTATTCCCTGGGCTAGGGTTTTGATGCTCAGCCCCGATTTGGAAGTGCATAATTAACTGCATCTGGTCAAGTATAGGTACCTAGGTAGTTGCTCCGCCGTACTCCGGAGTAGCTCCTTCCAGTCTTCCACTTGTACTCCGTACTCCGTATGCCGCGCCGAAACCTGCTTAGTGCTCGCGAACCCCTCTTTTTTTCTCGATATTGCTGCACGTCAGTGCCACGCCTGGTGTGGAGTTGTTTAATTCGACATCGAACGAGCCAACACAGTCGGCCGAAGACTGAATCAGAGCCTTTGCTACCACTTCATTGACGCTTTCCGACCACAGTCAGGGCGCCTAGTTCTTTTCTGTTTTCTTCCTGTCACAGTCGTTGGTTGAAACCGGATTTCTTTTATTCCATTCTTGTTTATTTGTTGCAATCCATGATACAAGGAGACCCTTGTTACCGTCTCGTGACATTGGGCTCCGGCAAATACGTCAATCGACTGAGACCAATTTCGAGCCCTGTCGGATCAGGTATCAGCTATTCTAAGACGGCTTTGAGGTATCCATTGGACCGGCGGCGGTCCTCTTTCCATCATGGATCCAAAGCAGAAGTTCTACCGTCATTTCCATGACAGCGTCGCAGGTATGTCCTGGCCAGCCCCAAGGCCCGTGCGAAGCTGATTGAATATGCTGCAGAGCTGCAAGAGCAAATAGATGGGCTGGAGTCTGTATCCGCCGTCGCTGGCGAACGGCAAGAAGCTATTGATCATGTTCTCGCTGGCATAAGCAAGCTCCAACACGAGGTGTCTGATGCGGCAGAGTTCACTCCCGCGTATGATCGGAAGCAGTTCTCAGATGTGAGTGGCCACATGTCCATTCCCTTGGCTTTCCGTGTGGCAATCTTGTTGATACTCGGGAAAGACCGTCAAGAGCCTCTCCGATAAGCTCAACAAAACCGTGGCCAGAGTCAAACCGAGATCTCGTTTCCAGTTCCAACGCTCCAGCATTGGAGCACACGTCGACATGGGCGCGCCGGAAAATGACCCCCGCTTACATCCAGGCAGTCTGTCTCGAAACATGCAGAGCCATTCTGGTGAGAAACGACGTCAAGGAGCCACGGAGAGCGACGACACAGTCGGCGATCTGCCTTCTGCTGCAGCGATACGCGACTATAATGCGGAGCTCTCTCAGCCCAGTACGCAGTCCATTAGGAAACCCAGCTTCTCGATGGCGAGGAACATCGGCATCGCCAATCAGTCCCACCTGCACATCATTCTCCCATCCTCTACGGCAAGGGCTACTGCGCCGGGTAGTTTGACGGATTTGAAATGGTGCATTGTCGATATGTCCGTTCCTACGGCGCAGGGGCAGCCGCTTCCAGGATTGGCGTTGAGGAACATCTCAAACAGTCTCATTGTTGCTGGCCATGTCAACGGGCCAGTTCACATTACGGGTGTGACGGATAGTATTGTTGTGGTTACGGCACGACAGGTTCGTATTCACGAGTGCAAGAACGTAGACATCTACCTGCACTGTACCAGTCATCCTATCATTGAAGACTGCACGGGCATGCGGTTTGCACGACTACCCAAGTGCTATGTAAGTGTCTTTGTACAAAAACCTCCCTTCCACACCTCGGACACTAACTTGTCTCCAGTCAATTGAAGGCGAGTCGTCAAAGGAGAACCAGTGGGACCAAGTTGATGACTTCAAATGGCTCAAGGCTGGTCAGAGTCCAAACTGGACTACATTGTCAGACACCGAGGCTTTGGATGAGGCATTATGGACCAAGGTTGTGCCTGGTCAGCCAGGCGTAAGTGTTGAAGAAACGCTGAAAATGGTTGGCATACCGCGCAAGTAACCGCTGAAGGCGAGTGCTTTTCTTTTCGTCAGCTAGCATATTTAATCTTGTACAGAATAAAATTCAAATTATACCCCATAGCCATGAACGCCTTTCGCTTTGCAGTAGAACCATTCGTCTCGTCCCTTTGCCAATATCATGTCTTCTGCAGATTTGGTTCCCGGTTCTGGAAGAATCATGTCTCCATTTTATCCACGCTAGTTGCGTCGTCTCTTTTGCCGAACCTGACACCTCCCTCGCGCAAAGTTTCCAGCAGTGCGCGCTGCTTCTCGATCCGAGCTTGTAAATCCTTAATCTCGCGGATTTGTTCCTCGATGGAGCGGTTCATGTCCGGCAGAGCACGAACCTGGGCTCGCGCATGCTGCACCTTGTGCTTCAAGCCATCAGTCGCGCCAGGAACGTCCTTGAACGAGAGCTGCTGCCCATGTGTACTGACACCACCGGGTGTGACACCGGTGGCGGCGGTCAGCCCGGTCGAGGACTGGATGCTAGCCCGAACCTTGGCGAGGACTATAGAGAGCTCCGAAAGCGCATCGAGGTCGTCTGGGGACAGGTTCGGCGGCAGAGCGAGCGGGTGTTGTTCTGCCGCCATTTGTCGGTGAAGGCGGGATTCGTGGTGAAGAGATGCGAAAGCAAACAGGACAAGATCGGAAGAGTGTTGGTCGAGTTGGTGAATCAATTCCGCAGATTGGACAAGCACATTCTGCACGATGGCACGATGGCTTGCTGTGTGTCTGGACAGCGTAGTTTATCGGGCTGTCGGTGCTTCAAATGCCAAATCGTCGGTAGTATAGCCAGTATCAAGTATCAAGGTGCACTGTACATATGTGGATAGCCAGGTCGTTGCTGCACAGTGCCTTTGATGCCCCCAAATTTTACAACACCCCGCGAGCCTAGCCTCTTTCCTCAAATTCACTCATCTGCGTCCTGCATATCCAGACCAATTGAGGCCTTTGTTCCCCTCTCTGAAAGCCAGTCTTTCTTTGTCCCAGTCTTGCCACAGACAACGCCTGCATCCATCATGTCCAAGACCGAGCAGAAGGCCTGCCTCAGTACGTCGTCCCGTCCCGGCCTCTTCAAACTGCCCCGCCGTGAGGCTTCTCCTCCAAGTGCTCCTGCTCTGTCGGCACGTCGCCGCGAGCAATCGAGCCAGTCCGAGTCCCGACAGCGCAAGACTTGGAAGAGTCTTGACTATATACTCTTCGTCTGCTATTTGCTCGTATATTTGGAGCTTGCGTGGCTAATTCTCCTGCTCGTGCGCTCCTTTGTTAGTCGTCATTGATGGATGGGGCATTCCGTCTGAAGAGTCTCCCAAAGATGGCGACGCCATTGCCGCAGCCAAGACCCCTGTGATGGACGAACTTTCGAAAAATGCCGAGGGATTCACCGAGCTGGAAGCTTCTTCCCTGGCAGTTGGTCTGCCCGAGGGTCTTATGGGAAACTCCGAAGTCGGTCATTTGAATATTGGAGCCGGTCGTGTTGTCTGGCAGGACGTCGTTCGTATTGATCAGGCCATCAGGAAAGGCGAGTTCGAAGACAACGAGATCATCAAGAAGACGTTTGAGAGCGCTGCCGCCGGCAATGGCCGTCTCCATCTGTGCGGCCTCGTCTCTCATGGCGGCGTGGTAGGTTGGGTGCCGTGCCCTTCTGACGGTGCAGAGCTAACAGGGGCGGCTTTAGCACTCCAAGCAGGAGCACTTGTATGCTCTCCTGAGAGCCGCGAAGAAGTACCAAGTGCCCAAGGTTTTTATTCACTTCTTTGGTGACGGCCGTGATACCGACCCCAAGTCCGGCGCTGGCTACATGCAGGAGCTCGTCGACTACCTCAAGGAGGTTGGCGTTGGCCAGATTGCTACCGTGGTCGGCCGATACTTCGCTATGGATCGTGATAAGCGATGGGAGCGTGTCGAAATTGCCCTGAAGGGAATGTGTCACGGTGAAGGCGAAGCCAGTGAGGACCCTGTTGCTACCGTCAAGGCTCGATATGAGCGCAACGGGGACAAGGACAGGGACGAGTTCCTGACCCCCATCATTGTTGGCGGCGACGAGGCAAGAATTAAGGGTGAGAAGAAATCGTCAGCGCTATGCGCTTGTCATATGCTAGAGTGCTAACCCTGGCGCTTTAGATGATGACACTGTCTTCTTCTTCAACTACCGCTCTGATCGTGTCCGACAAATCACCCAACTACTCGGTGATGTCGATCGATCTGTGCTGGAAGAGTTCAAGTACCCCAAGATCAGCAAGCTCGTCACCATGACTACCTACAAGACTGACTATCCCTTCGAAGTTGCTTTTGAACCTCAGCGCATGGGCAATGTCCTTGCCGAGTGGTTGGGCAAGCAAAACGTAGAGCAGGTTCACGTTGCTGAAACTGAAAAGTATGCCCACGTCACATTCTTCTTCAACGGTGGTGTTGAGAAGGTGTTCCCTCTGGAGACCCGGAACCCGGACCAGGATCTTGTGCCTTCCAACAAGTCGGTAGCTACCTATGATCTGGCCCCGGAAATGTCTGCAGATGGCGTTGCAGACCAGGTCGTCAAACGCTTGGGCGAACAGAAGTTCCCCTTTGTCATGAACAACTTTGCTCCCCCGGACATGGTTGGCCACACCGGTGTCTACGAAGCTGCCATTACTGGCTGCGAGGCTACTGACAAGGCTATCGGCAAGGTTCTTGAGGCCTGTAAGGAGAAGGGCTACATCCTCTTCATTACCGCTGATCACGGCAATGCTGAGGAGATGAAGTTTGCTGATGGCAAGCCCAAGACCAGTCACACCACCAATAAAGTGCCATTCATCATGGCCAATGCTCCTGAGGGTTGGAGTTTGAAGAAGAAGAGCGGCGTCCTGGGAGACGTTGCCCCAACAATTCTTGCCGCCATGGGTCTCCCTCAGCCTGAGGAGATGACTGGCGAGTCTCTGCTTGACAAGAACCTTAAGAGGGCTACGCAATAAGCAGGATGACTTGATGTTTTGATAAAAGTTGGGTTGTTGTTTGGGCAACGGAGTTGTGCGGGTTACGACTTGGGGCGTGGCATGGAAAATAAAGCGTGTAGAGAATAGATGATAAGCATGGGTGCGTGATCGGGGGTTGGTGAGCAACGATTGATAGACTGGGCGAAGTAAGTGAGCAAGCGTGGCGGCGACTACAACAGAGTAGATTTATAGAATCGCAGAAACTGCGTGAGACGACAACACTTGGGCGGATCCTATCATCAAATCAGTTTGGTGATGGCTCTTGATTGTAAGCAGTCTGTAGGGCAGTGTGTTTCGTGCTTGGGATACTACGTCGAATGGCGTCATTGGGTCTCATGAAACCAAGGACGCTCTCCATCGATCAGAGCGTAGCCTGGAGAACATGTGGTGGCCCATGAAACCGCCGTGGGTGTCTTCAAAATGACGTTTACGGTGGTTTGGACTTGGCACCCACAGGCTCCATCTTCCGCGGTCTGGTTTCCGGTGGAAAGTTTGACAGCGTTCGGATCCAGAGGGGTGGGCCGGAAAGCTTTAACGAGAGCGAAAGTAACTTATCCAGCCCCGGGATATGCGAGGCGCCCGTTGGGGCCCTCTCTTTCTGTCAGTCAGGACTCAGGAACCAGCAGTTTCCGTCAAACAGGTGCTCCCTTACGTCACTGGTCGTGGTGGCCGATCCCAATCAGCCCCGATACAGGCAATCGGGGTTTCTCCACCGGTCGAATGCAGCTGTCGAGGGCCGAGATGCAATGTCGGCGTGTCAGATCTCTGATTGTCCAATGTCGACATGATGCACATTGCAGCTGTCAGCTGACAATGGCTTCTCGGTCCTTATCGTCGCGACTCGCTGTGAGGGGAGACCACGTTGAAGACTCGACCGTCATCGACTCATCATGGCATGGGTTGGTGCCAGCGGGGAAGGATGGAGAAGTACGATTTTACGACTGTTGTGTTGCTATTTTTTCGCTTTGCCTTTTATTTTTACTGTAGTTTTCACGTTTGTTTCTTGTTCCATTTCCTTGTAGAGGTGATTGGTTGAGAGCTGTCATGGAGAGAGGTGATTGGTTGCGATGCTCGGATAGCCGAGTTGCCGTGGCTTACTAGCGGCTTGGTCGAGAACACCAGTTAGTTTGCCTTGTGCTTGATTGACGTGAGAGCCCGCCGAGGGCGTGTGCACAAGAAGACGGAAGGGAAACTCTACACCGTCGAGACTCCAGACGTTCCGTGTCGGCAACGCTAGCCTCGCCGTCTAATTATTATTATTTTTTGTCCCCATGTCCTTTCCGCTGGAGGCATCTCTGCGCATCGGTTGTTTCTGTTTCTGTCTTTGCAAACGGTTTCAATCTTTCTCACATTGCGTCTGTGCAGTGACCCCCGGGGCGACCGACCACATAACCTGGCCAGGGCCCAGCAGGGAGGTGAAGAGCGAGAAAAGAACAAGAACAAACCATGGAGATGATGGCTCGTCGTCGCAGTGGGGAGGGCCGGGCGAGGAGGCCCTTTGGCAGCGATGACAGCCTAAAAGTGAGATGGCGGTGCCCCATGACCAGACTCCATGTGCTCAGGTATGGACCATGAGTGAGCCACGAGCCAGCCCCTGCAGGCGGTGCGTGGGTGGGTGGTCTCTTGTGGTGGGCAAATAAATGGGCAGTTCCGAGTTGGCAGTTGGCAGTTTCGGCTCTTTTATGGCCCGTGGCTGTTGTTGTTTGTGGAAGCCTACCTTTCTACTCCGTGCTATTGTCCGGCAATGTTGGGGGCACCGGGATTCCCTGGCGGGCGCATTCCTGGTAGCTCTATCTCGTCATGTCCACTGCCGAGTGCTATCGCCCAGGTTGTCGGATGGAACAGGTGAGCCTCGTGACGGCCGCTACTCGCTAGCCTCGAGTACGGAGCACCGATGGACTAGACACCTAGGCACTTGAGTAGATGGATGGATAGATGATATATAGGTCGAGGAACTTGGCGACAGCCGAGGATGCCCCCATGGCCTGATTTGACCGAGACATGTCGACTTGGCCTGTCATATGTGTGCATATATGTGTGTCCGGAGTGTAATACTATAGCCAGCAGTTGTGGCATATCGTCGAGGCGAACGGAAGAAGCGCAGCAACAACGACTTTCCCTCGTCGGCACTTGGCCTTTGCTCATGGCTGATCAGCCCATCCGTCTGTGTACGAGCTGCCGTAGCGGCCATGCGTTTTGGTTCCTGTCGTCAACGTGATGAATCAAGTTGCAACGACTCCCTGGTCAGCTGTCCGATATTCAGTGCCCAGTGCTCGAGTACATGCCTTGAGCAGGTGATGATGATATTCCTACTTGCTACTCGTCCAGGTAGTGTTCGGGTGTTCGAGTACGTAAGCAAGCAAGCGCAGGCAGGCAAGCAAACATGGTATAGCACCACACCCTCGGGTCCGTCCAGCGCCCAGGAAAGGACCCTGAATTTGCTCCATTGTGTGGGTCTCGATCTCTTTTGATCCCGCAGACACCCCGTACGTCGTGGAAATCGGTGCAATGAGCGTCGAATCTGAGCTTCGCGGCCCGCCGGTTTGCTTTTGCACCCCATCGCACACATCGCACCTTCGCACACTTTCCAAGGCAGGCTTTGGTGGCAGTGGCTGGCCTTGTTTCGTCGCTGTCATGGCAATGGCAATTGCAATGCCCTCTCTCCTCTCCTCCTCTCTTCCTGTTCCTTGCTCCTTGCTGATCTTCCATCGGGCATCCGTCCTGTCCGTGGCCCCTTTGCGTCTTGCCTGCTCCCTCCGTCCCTTTGGCTTCTTCCTGCCATGAGACAGCTTTTGCCATCTTGCCATCCTTGTCTGATTCTTCGCCTCCGGAGCTGCACCTTGAATCATCAGGAACCGACCGGATCTGTAGCCTCATGCCCAACCTGCCTGCAACATCAGACTTCCCCCGCGCCACTCAACACTGCTCGAGTATGGTACTTCATCGCACCTTTTTCTTCCTTGTCGTGTTGTGAATCCGCATTCCCACGCCCGAGTTGCCTCGCGATTCGCCTGGACGATCCATTATTCCCGCGATCTTGCAGCTCGCTCTCGCCGTCGTCTGATCAGTCATTCTGCTGGTGATTTTCGCGAACCATATTTTGTCACGACCTCATTTACGAGTCTCTGGGCATCTTCCCAATAGACACCCTTGGCGAATCGGAACTCCCGAGGCTGGCTGGACGACAGCAACGTTGTACCAATTTCAACCAAGCAGCAAAGATTTGGCATTTTGCCCGGGCGCTTTAGTCCCTCTTGACATCTTGGGCGAACCGTCGTCGGATATCAAAACGCTGCTTCTCACCTAATAACTTCCGCTGGAAACTTGGTTCACGTGCAGCCATACCAGCACATCTAAATACATTCCCATCGTTCCGTGCGTCTCTCAAAGGTGAGATCCATCCTTGCCGGCAAGGCGACTGAAGACCGTTTTCGCAACTTTTGGCGCATTGAAACGCTCATTTCCGCTCATTCCCCTTGCCGCTATCCTCACCGACGACACGTATGACGATGGGCAGTCCGCATGCTAATGTACTCGACCATAGGCTGTTTGAAGTTCCCATCTCCCAAGTCTTGACAGTTGATCTTCGGCCAGAACGAAGACCGACTTATCATCGTCCGGAGAGCTACCACGCCACAGAGAAATCTGTTGCACATCTTTGGCAGTCGCCGTGGCAGAGGTGTACTGAGTCACATAGGTGAGCCATTGACGCGGTCCTGTTGCGACGCGATCGATCGATCATTCAGATCCCTTTTGTCGCATTAGCTAGCCTCCGCTTTCAGCAGCCCTCAGCGCCAGAGCGCCAATGACACTGCCCACCAGCAGCCATTGCAGCCCCTCATCCAGCCCTCCCCCCCTCCACGGCCACACTGTAACGCACGCACGCAAGCACCCAGCACGCCAGTCTCCGTGCTAACAAAGCAAATTATGCAGTTAAAGCCGAAAGACTATTTACGGGGTAGCGATCAGCACTCATACGTCACGTCTGTGGGTTGAGTCAGCATCTCGGTGCTGCTCCTCGAGGGCTACAGCTCAGAAGCCGAGACTCAGATCAATTTGGGTCTTGAGGGGAATGTCCGTTCGATTCGGCGACGCGCAAGTCCTGTTTTAAATCATTAAAATCTGCCCATGAATCGACAATGCCACTGCAGAATCGAAAATCCCAAGGCACAGAACCACCGCCGCCGAGAAACGCGACAGGCCACCCGCTACCACGACGAGCTTCGCCAGGGAATTCTGTGACCTTGAAGCACCACCAACTCGCCCGCGATGCGTTTCTCAGAGCAAGCTCCGGTTCGTCGCCCGCGGCGAACCCAAGCAATGTAACAAGTTCGCCGCGCCGTAATTCCTCGGGGGAGAGTCACGAAACAGGCCAGAGTGACCCGAAAAAATGGTTTGATTTGTCAAACCAAAACCCAACTGCAACGTTTGACAACAATGCCATGGATGGTATGTGTCACGCCGCACGAGAGGTCTGCAGCTGAGCCTTGGAGTGCTAACGCTCAAATCGCAGTCGATCCCCCGTTTTTCCAGAAAGAATCAGATGAGTCGAGTGGAGACAAATCGTACCGGTTCCAACATCCGCCGCCTCCACGACTTGCGACTGGCGAGAGTAGCAGCGCGGATGACTACCGCAGCGTGATTGATGATCTTACCGTCGAAATCCAGAAGTTGAAGGAAGAGTTGAAGAGGTACAAGCAAAAAGGGCCCGAAATGCTCCGGAAGGACAAGCTTTTTGAAATCAAGTACCATGGGCTTCCAAAGCGTAGGAGACGAGAGTTGGAAACCACGCTGCGTGACTTCGCGGCCAGCATTCAAGGCTCTCCGGATGCCTCGTCGTCCCAGCGGAAGAAGTCATTGCGACACACCACTCGCGATCACATGTACTCGGCTTCGGGATCCGCCTCCAAACACGCCTCTTCTTGTTCTGGCTCTAATGTTAGACCAGTAGACTCTGCATACGCCTCCATGTCAAGCGGTGCCAATTCTGCCGGAGTGTCGCTCGGCCGCCCAAGTGTGGGCTCGCGTGTCATATCTGACCAAAAGGTAGAGAATTACCTGCGCGACATTCCCGAGGGCTTTTACCCCCGCCACATGGTTTTGACGGACAGGGACAGAAAACGGCTAGTGGTAAGACGCCTGGAACAATTGTTTACTGGTAAAATTGGGGGTCGACATGCGCGTCGAGCCAGACAGAGACCAACCGATGGTTCTGGCGATGTGGATGGGGTACCAGCCGATGTTGACTCTCAAGGTCAACCCTATGCAGCCAAACAGCAGTCCGCTCCCACTATCAATACCGCTGCCGCCAGCAATCCAGAGCCGTCACGGGAGGCCAAGATTTTACCCACGGAGCAACAGCAACAAGCCGGCCCATCTTGCAAGAAGAGCCGATCGCGAGGCAATGGCTCCGCGTCCAACTCCAACGGCGATCAGACGGAGTCTGGCGGCAATGGGAACAGCAGTGGCTCAGGAACCAATCCCTCGCCAACTCAACCGCCGGTCCCCGACCAGCGGCCCACACGTGTAAAGGATTTGGACCCGGATCGAACTCAAGTTCCCTCTGAAAATATGGAGTACATTCGACACTTGGGCTTGGTTCCTCCCGAACTTATAACAGAGTCGAGTCAAAATAACCTAGATGTCAAGCCGGATGCCGAGGGTTGGGTATATTTGAACCTGCTGTGTAACATGGCCCAGTTGCACATTATCAATGTCACTCCAAGCTTCGTACGATCCGCTGTCAACGAAATCAGTACCAAGTTTCAGCTTTCACCCGATGGTCGCAAGATTCGTTGGCGGGGTGGTCAGGATGGTACCAAGTTTTCTAGTGACAGCTCCAATGAAAGTTCCCAGAGGAGCCCCGGCACAGAAGACTCTGACTCAGGCCAGCGCAAGAGGCAGAAGACTGGAAACCTGACAGCAGATGACGTCCAGTCTGGTGGAAGTTCAAAAGGTCGCTCCAAGTTCGGTCCCCAAGTGTCTGCTTCGTCGGATAGCTTTCATTACAAGCCGCTCTTTGTCCACAGTGGTTCTCCTAACGGGGAGACGTCCCTGGACGAAACTCTGTCATCCTTTGGGCCCATTGACGAAAGCAATATAGACGATTCGCGATGGAACCTCAGTGGCTCCGGCACGTCGAATCGTCGGAAGCGCCGCCATGATGGCGCTATTATCTACTACAGCGGCGCGCCGTTTTGCACTGATCTTTCTGGCGATCCTGGTGACACTTCTCCCGCAACGTACATGTTGTCCAGCGGCCAAGATCGCCAAGACTCCCAGGAGCAATCTTCTCGCCCGATGATGTACCGATCTACGTCTGGTTCGTGCCTGGGCTACCGTCCACTGGGCGAGAAGAATCGCGGCGTTGACGCCAGTTTGAGCATGGACGTTGACAACAGCGACAATACTCCGGACCTCACGGGCGACTCGGATTCCGAATCAAGCTCTTCTGATATGGAGTTTCCATGGTCCTGCGCACAACAGTTTATTGAAGTGCACCCACTAGAACCTTGCGGTCTGGGTGGCGTCATGCCAGATGACCACTTCATGGTGGTTGTTACCACGAAGCGGCCCACGACAGAAACTTCGGCGTCAGATTACCAGTTGACATTAGCAAGAATGTCGGACGAAGCCACCGACTTCATAATTGGCCGATTAGCAAGCATGTCTACTTCATCACCGGCCCCGCTTCCTACAAATCTGCAAAACGCCCACCCCGTGGAAATCGAATACATGTCGGGGAGGATCAAGAGACTTGCTCCAGTGCCGCTGCCCCCACCAGTTATTTTCCTCCCTCCGTTTAGTACGGACATGTCAAGTTCTGGAGACGATGATTTCGGCTCCGAGGACGATGACGACGCCCTCGAGTCCTCGGAAGAGCTGATGAGCCGAGCTGTCAATCCACATCAGTCAGACGGCTACCCGGATGGTGTGGATTTGAGCAGTGGTGACGAAGACGGTGAAGAACCTGATGAGGACGATGCCGCTACCCGAATATATGATCGAATGGACACGGATGAAGGGCCGAATTTCAAGCGTCCCACTGTGAGTGCCAAGCGGCCCTCGATTAGCAGCGCGGAGGCTGCACCTGGAAGCGTTCGATGCAGAAGCAAAAGCGCAAGTGCCGTATTTCGAACGAGCGGCAGTTCAGCTGCAACCGCAGGCGGATTGGAAAGCGGATACAGCAGTAGCGACGAAGAGAGTTGACGCGACGCATAGTATGCGCGATCGCATTTTGGCAACGTAAAGCTTACGACTGATCGACATTTCCGTCTCTTTCAGCAATCAAGGGTCTAACGGGTGTTTACTTTTTTTTTTCTCTCCCTTTCTGTGCTCGTGAGTCAGGCACAGATGGTATATATATATATATAAGCCCCCATATACACTCTTGACAGCGGGCGATAGACATATTTGACCTCTCAAGATGGGGGAGATTGTTTCAGGGATTTGTTTTTTGGTGCAACCGTCCATCGCGACAGCGTCCAACTTGCATGCGGCGAGGTGTTAACAGGCATTTTTGTGTACACATGGGGACTTTTTTTTCTTTCTTATTTTTTCCTTGTTCTTTTGTTTCGGTTAAAGATTCCCCTTGCACAGCTGGTCCACACGTCTGGCAGAGAGAGACCACGGGCAAGATTGTCAAAGTGCGTTTTGTGGCAACAGAAAGCAGATCTCGGTAGTGTGATGAATAGTAGTGCGAGCCATCGAGATGGGCTGTGTCAATTTCACGCTATAACGACGTAAATGAACTTGACTTGCATTAGTGCCAACGTTGAAAAGGGTGAGGATGTAACTCTGTCGTGTGCCTGGGCTGTTCAACGACTCTTCATCATCGCAGCATCGTCCTGATTATCTATGCATCTGAGCCTTGGCTAGAGATACAGACATGTTGCTCGAAAGCAGTGACCAGACCGTCACACAATGAACTATGATTTACTGCGGTATGATGGCACTTGACTCATTTGCCGCAGACAAAGAGAGATATTCGGAGTGATACAGACTGGTCCTCCGTGTTGTTCCCAGATTAATCAGCAGCAGTAAAATGTGGTGCGGCCATCTGTAGCAACCCCACATCTCTTTATCCACTTTTTTCGTCACAAACCTAGGCCTCGTCCTTCTTTCAACTAAACTATTAACCAACTTAGTCACAGTCACCAGTACTAGCATTGAGCAACCAACCAGCCAAAACATTGGCTTTTGTACGAGGCAGACGTACGACGTCTGGTTTCCTTTTCCTTTTTCCTTTTTGCCTTTTTTTTATTTTATTTTGATCTTTGAATTGCATCGTCGTTATCGTCCCCCTGGTCACACCTTTCCTCTGTTCTTTGGTGGCGAGTCTCTTCTCATCTATCCATCCATCTATCTGTGAATCTATAAATTTTTTGGCCTTGGTCGATTTGCATGAGGCACTCCGAGCCAAGCTGGTCGGCACGTGTCTGCGATGCGTCTACCACTTCTGAAGCTGGTGGCTCTCGCCACGGCGGCGGCGGCTAGTGCAGGGCTTGAATCAAAGCTGCCCCGTCGTGTGAAGGAGGTGAAGAATGTCGCTATCATTGGTACGTTTGGCACCTGAATAAATCGTGAATGGGGTCCTCAGGTGGACCGGAAGCTGGGGCCGTGAGCGACCGACTCTCGTGACGTTGCCGAGTGCCTACTACTGACACGACAAATCGCATAGGTGCTGGTGCTGCCGGCACCTCAGCTGCATATTACTTGCGGAAATTTGCCGAGGAAGAAGGCCTGGCCGTCAATATCACGGTTTTTGAAAAGACGGACCACATTGGCGGTCGTACCATCACCGTGAATGCCTTCAACGACCCCAGGCAACGCGTGGAACTCGGGGCATCCATCTTCATCAAAGACAACCACATCATGTACAATGCTACTAAGAACTTCAACTTGTCGCCGACAGGGTTGACGGAGCCCCAACCTACTGACTACACAGCTATTTGGGATGGCGAGACGATCCTCTTTAAGTCAGAGGCAGGCGCCTCGAAATGGTGGGATGCCGCGAGGCTGTTCTTGAAGTATGGCCTGGTGCCGTATCGAGCGGTGCGGCTGGTAAAGAGCTCCGTCGGGACTTTTCTTCGCCTTTACGACGCGCCTTATTTTCCGTTCCGGTCGTTGACGCAGAGGGCCTTTGAACTGGGCTTGTTACGATTGACTGGTGTTACCGGTGAGCAGTATCTAAGAGACAACAATGTGAGTCTGCAACAGACATGTCGCGTGTAGCGGTTGCGAATTCCCCCGTGCTGATTCGTTCCGTTCCCAAGATCAACCCAGACTTTGTGCGAGACCTCATGCAGTCGGCTACGCGGGTCAATTACGCCTCCAACATGGCTTACATCCACGGCTTGGAGGCAATGGTGAGGCTCTCTCTTCCCGACTGTGACTGTGCGTTATACAGTCGACCAGGTTGCTAATCCAGCAGGTCTCGTTTTCTACCGACGGCGCCGTCGCCATTGCTGGAGGCAATTGGCAAATCTTTGAGAAGCTTCTTCAGCACAGTGGTGCGGCCTACTATCCCAATACTTCTGTGGCCGCGCTCGCGTTCCAAAAGGGCACCGACAAGCCTGGTTCTGCTCCCAAGTACCTCGTTTCGACCAAGTCGTCTACTTCGAGGTCCAAGGCCATGATGTTGCCCACCGCCTTTGACAACGTTATCCTTGCATCGCCATGGCAGTTCAGCGACATTGAAGCGGCCCACGGCGTAATCAAACATCGCATTGATACGATCCCTTATATGAAGCTCCATGTCACTCTATTTACCTCTCCCTTCCTGCTGCAGCCAAGCTTCTTCGGCCTCAAAGCAGGAACCAAGGCGCCGAGCAACGTCTACACAACTCTCGGCAAAGATGAGGAAGCCCACGAGGGCCCCAAGGGAGTCGGCCGCACCGGCTTTTACTCCATCAGCACCCTACGCACCGTCACGAATCCCAGGACTCAGGGGAAGGAGTTCCTCTACAAAATATTCTCGGCGGAGCCAGTCAATTCAACTTTTCTGTCTGACATTCTCGGCACACCAGTCCCCCCCACCTTTATATCCAACGAAACCACAAGCGAAGTAGAGCCAATCTCATGGTACTACCCGCACTGGTTTTACTCGTACCCGATCGAATCCCCACGCGTCACGTTCCAGGATCCCATCGTCGGAAGAGGCCTGTACTACACCTCGGGCGTGGAGAGCTTCATCTCAACCATGGAGACCAGTGCCCTCATGGGGATGAACGTGGCGCGTCTCATGGCGGATGACTTTGCCGGCGTCACCCGCAGCAGAAGGGGAGATAGATTCGCCGGCGCGGGGGACACGCGGCCCAGGGCGCCGAGGGAAGACTTTTGGGATAGCATGGACAGCGAGATGGGGGCTAGTATGAACTTTCTGGGTGCGGATGAACTTTAGCAGAGCTAGGATACCCTTGACGTTTTTGCTTTCTGGTACGGGGACGTGCGTGATGATGGGAGTAACGGCTTCTGTGTGTGAAATCGGGGACTGTTTGCGCGCGGCAACGGTGAATGTATGTGTGGAATACAGCTGGCTAGTAGACTGTGCGTCATGTGTCTGTCCATCTATTGCCGTGAATATATCAACAGTGTGCGCACGAGGTTGACGCAGGGGACGGACGGTGGTTGGGACAGTTTTGATGCTCTAGTTGTCCAAATGGTGGCAAGTTGCACGGCGTCATGGTACCAATGGACCAGAGTCGAAAGACCCAGGTACTTGAGTACCTGATCAAGCAGGTGCTTGTTTGTGCAAGTCAGTACTTGAGCAGATACTCGGTACTCACTCGAGCAAGTACGTTAAGTGCTCAAGAACTTAAGCAAGTGAGCAGGGTTCGAAAATAAACTAACGACCAGAGGGTGTCGATCGCCCTCCACACCAAGACGGCTCAGGTGGCCGCACGTGACGCCTATGACGCACCAAAGAGTCCAAGACATCCCAGCACACGTTGGGACTGACTTGGGACTTGGGCTCCCGGCCGGCCGCAGATGCCACGGCACCATCATCCATCCCACCTCGGCTTGCACAGCTTGCCGCTTGCATCATCGCCTTTGCTTCCTCGTAGACGACGTCGCCTGCCTGCGCTTGTCATGCAGGAAGCGTGAAGCGTGAAGCGTGAAGCGCCGTCGTCCCTGTTCTTCCTGTGCGAGAAAAAAAATAATCACTTATTTTCCCCCTCGCGCACACACTCTTCTCGTCGCTCATTGCCCGTCCTTTGCTGGGAACTGTGCAGTCGCGCCGCTAGCTGCCCACATTCCTGGCCCAGGGGAAGGAGGGGTCTGGTAGGTTCGACTTTTTCTGTGCTTTGGGACTCTGGGGGCAAAGAATAGGGAAGGGAAAAAAGGGAAACATATACTACTTGGCGCCAACGACGAATTTTTCTTTTTTTTTCTTTCCTTTTTTTTTCAATTTTTTTTTTTTTTAAAAAAAAGGACAGGATGTTTATGCTGCGGAATGGTAAGTGATTTTGATTTAGAGTCATGAGGGAGGTCAAGGGTCTTTTTTTTTTTTCCCGTGTTACCCTCCCCTTCATCCGTGTCTTTGCTCCCGCCCTCTGCAATTGCCTGTATATTCCATGCGCGCAAGGTCATGGAAACTTGCCCGGCGTTGACTTGTGCTCCTTCTTTTTGCCGATTCATCCTTCTTTTTTTCTTGTTTCGTTGCCGATTCATCCAACATTCTTTCTTGTTCTGTTGCCGATTCATCCCATATTCTTTCTTGTTCCGTTGCCGATTCATCCAACATTCTTTCTTGCTCCGTTGCCGATTCATCCCACATTCTTTCTTGTTCCGTTGCCGAGGCCGTCGAAACTAACAGACCCCTTCTTTCGCAGTTGGCAAGCTGATCTTCGGCTCCGGCACCCAAGAAGCACTGGTCGAGCTGCCTCAGGGTCAGCTTTATCTTGTTCGGCCACTCTCGCCCAAGGGCTACTCGGAACTTATTTTCAAGGACGCGGCCATTCGCATTCGCCGAACCAACCAAGATTTCCACTACCAGCTTGTCGTCCAGCGCGTCTTTGAGGATGGCGAGGCCGAACTTATTGCCGACGAAGAAGGCGAAGACGCCGAGATTGACGTTCTTGCTGCCGAACGTGACGAGAAGACGTTCCTGCTAGACGAGGCTCTCCGGTTCCGAGTCGAAAGCAGAGAGGGCGGTGAGACTGTCTTTGCTTGGAAAGACTTGAGCGGAGACAACGGCGACCTCTACGAATTTGTCTGCGACAGCCAAGTGTCCACCCGGCAGGTCGAGCAGTTTGTTCAAGTTGCCAAGCAGTGTCAATACGAACGCAAGTACCGCAAGCCGCACACCACCGCCTCCGACGAGGACTACCGCCACTTCGAGTTCCACGACGAGAACCCCATTCCACCTGCCAGCCCGCTTCATAGCCCCGTGCTCACCAGATCCATTGATTCTGTCGACGGCATGTACGCCAAGAATACTGCTGCCAACACGGGCGCCAGGAGGGCTCCCCTAGCTGCTGCCCAGCCCGATCCCGATCCCGATCCCGATCACGAGCCGGAGCCAGAGACGACGGGGTTGGAGCCGGGAACCAAGGCCGGCAGACCGTCAAGCGCACCCGAGCCTGATTCTGCGCCGGAACCTCTTGAGATATACGCATCGCTGCCCGCCGAGCTGCACCTCTTCGATCCACAGCCGGGCCACTTTGAACTCATCGACGACTCTGTGATTGCGACGGTTTCGGAGGTTGGCCAATGGCAATATTGGCTCCAGATTGAGAGCAAGGGAAGGTCCTGGGTCGGTGCCTCGGTCGTGCCCGAGTTCAACCCCGTGTTTGATTTTGAGTTTCTTTCCTTCGTCTTCAACCATTTCAGCAGCGATGGCACCGCCAGGTCATGGCTTCTCCGGCTCAGGGACCAGCCTACTCTGGAAAGGTTCCAAGAGGCAATCATGCAAGCCATCTGGGAAAGGCTCAATGAAACAAAATGGGCCAAGGCGCAAGAAAAGGAGCGTGAATATGTGCTCGACGCTTTTGCCGATCTAAACATGGAGGATGCGCCACCGCTGGAAGAAGCCGGAGAGGAGGAAGAGGAAGAACAGGAGCATCAAGAGGAGGAAGATACAGGCATCCGAAGCGACGATTACGAATCTGAGGAGGACGAGGAGGCGGCCGAGGAGAGAGCCAGCGGTGACATCAACTCACAACTGGCCGTCGGTCACAAGCATGACCGCTCATTTGTCGTTCGCGGTTCCAAGATTGGCGTATTTTCTCATACGGCCGACAACCGCCTCAAGTTCAATACCAACATTTCCAAAGTCACCACTCCAAGCGGCAAGCTCATGAGCCCCAAGAAGGTCATGTTGCACAGCGAAGATCGGGATCTCATCATACAAAATGGCGTCGATCCCAACAAATTGTACCGGATGGATATCGAATACGGCAAGGTCGTTGATGAGTGGAAAGTCCACGATGATATTCCCGTCGTCACATTTGCCCCAGAGAACAAGTTCGCCCAGATGACTTCGGAGCAGACCTTTCTCGGTGTTTCCAACAATGCTCTGTACCGTGTCGACCCTCGTCTGTCTGGCAACAAGCTGGTGGACACTGATATGAAGCAATATGCTTCCAAGAACGACTTCTCAGCTTTGGCTACCACTGAAAAGGGTTACATTGCCGTGGCAAGCAACAAGGGTGACATTCGCCTCTTTGACCGCCTGGGAATCCGCGCCAAGACACAGCTCCCTGCGCTCGGCGACCCCATCATCGGCATGGATGTTTCCGCCGATGGCCGATGGATCCTAGGAACAACCAAAAACTACATTTTACTGGTTGATGCTCAACAGAAGGGTGGCAAGAATGATGGGAAGCTTGGCTTCGAGAAGGGTTTTGCAGCCGACTCCAAGCCCCGACCCCGCCGTCTTGCACTGACGCCAGAGCACGTTGCGCAGGTCTACCACGAAACAGGAAAGCCTGTGTCGTTTACGCCGGCCAAGTTCAACGCTGGCGAGGGCGCTGAAGAGAAGAGCATCATCACTGCTACAGGACCCTATATCGTCGAGTGGGATCTCAAGAAGATCCTCCGCGGCGTCAAGTCTCCTTACAAGATCAAGCGCTACCAGGACGAAGTCAAGGCGGACGACTTCAAGTTTGGATCCGACAAGAATGTCATTGTAGCGCTGCCGAACGAGGTCAACATGGTGGCTAAGCAGAGTCTACGCAAGCCCACACGGGAGAGTATCATGGGCGACTTGCGGTTGAGCGGTGGTCGGCGGAGCTCAGGACGGATCGGCAATAGTCAAAGCGGGAGGTACAAGTTGGGAAGAGACGACATTGTTAATTCGCCTTATTAGGTCGTGTGTGGCCGGAAGGGGTGCTGATGTGGTGTACACGGAGCCGAGTTTCCCGCCCTCTTTATCCGAGGCGATGCGATTCTTTTTTCCTTTTTTTTTCCCCCTCTGCTCTTGATACCATGGCCGGTAGTTTTGCAGAGCTTGCGCGTCGAAGCTACTCGTACTCTGTCTCGTGTTGTGTCTGGGACTTTGTTATCTTGTCTCGGGGCTCAATGTGGCAGATGAATGTTCTATAATTTTCTCCTCTTTGTCATCACGTCCCGGATTATAACGGCCGTTCATCCCAGTTAGTTAGTTAGTTAGGTAGCTAGCAGCACGCACGAATCAAAACAATGAAAGAAGGCCAAGTTCGATGCTACTCCGTAACTCCATTCGCTACGTGCTACATGAGATGGTTTTGCTTTTTGGTTTTTCTTTCGCTTTCCCGCGCCTCGTCCTCCTTCCCGTCCTATGCATCTGACATGATTTATAAATTTGTGTCGATTTAGTCTATGTCACCAGTGACGAAAAAAAAAAAAAAGGAAAAAGGAAAAACACACTCGAATCACAAGGCAGACATGGCGAGCGCCCAACTGGTTATTCCGCAATGGGGGAAATGGCCTCGTCCTTTTCGTCCTGGTCGAGCGGCGCCCCGGCGGCCGACCCGTGCGGCACCGTCTTGGGCTGGACGTTGGCCGAGTTGAGGCGCGTCATTTCCGAGACGAAGCTGGTCCCCCACCACGCGCTGGTGTACTTGAAGACGTAGCGCTGGAGTTTGTTGTAGTTGGCGGCGCGCTGCTCGGGGCTCATGGCGACGGCGTCGTGGATGGCGTTGGCCAGCTCCTCCGTGTTCCAGGGGTTGACGATGATGCTCCCGTTGAGGGACTGCGCGGCGCCGGTGAACTCGGAGAGGATCATGACGCCGTGGCGGGCCTGCTGGGTGGCAATGTACTCGTACGAGACGAGGTTCATGCCGTCGCGGGTGGAGGAGACGAGGCAGACGTCGGAGACGGCGTAGAGGGCGGTGAGCTCGTCAAAGGAGACGGACTGGTGGAGGAAGTGGATGGGCATGAACTCGATGGTGCCGAACTTGCCGTTGATGCGGCCGACGAGCTCGTTGACGACGGCGCGCAGGTTCTGGTACTCCTCGACGTCTTGGCGCGACGGGACGGCCACCTGGACGAGGACGATCTTGCCGATCCACTCGGGGTGCTCGGTCAGGAAGACCTCGAGGGCGTGCAGCTTCTGCGGCACGCCCTTGATGTAGTCGAGCCTGTCGACGCCGACGATGAGCTTGACGCCCTCGAACTTGCGGGTCAGCGTGGCGATGCGGTCCTGCACGGCGGGCTTCCCGAGGCCCTCGACGAACTTGTCCGGGTCGATGCCGATGGGGAACGCGCCAATGGTGACGAAGCGCCCGTTCCAGTCGACGCCGTTGGGCGTCGTGTGCGTGCCCAGGATGCGGGAGCAGCTGCTGAGGAAGTGGCGCGCGTAGTCGTACGTGTGGAATCCGATCAGGTCGCAGTCCAGCAGGCCGCGGAGCAGGGCCTCACGGACGGGCAGGATGCGGTAGATTTCGCTGCTGGGGAACGGCGTGTGCAGGAAGAAGCCGATCTTGACCTTGTTGTTGGTCTTGGAGATTTCCTCGCGCAGCATCTGGGGGAGGAGCATGAGGTGGTAGTCGTGGACCCAGATGAGGTCGCCGTCTTGGACGTCCTTGATGACGGTCTGGGCGAAGAGCCGGTTGACTTCTTGGTAGGCTGCCCATGCGGACTCGTCAAACGTGATTTCGCCTGGGTGGTAGTGGAAGAGGGGCCAGAGGATGGAGTCTGATGGATTGGGTATCGTGTTAGTTGTGCGTGTTCATGCATCTTCTGCCTTTGTCCGTGGCGTTGCAGGCGGCAACTGGCTCGCCGGGGGGGAAGGGGGGGGGACCAACTTGAAAATCCATTGTAATGTCTGTCGGCGAGCTCGTCGTCGATGAATACTGGATGGGCGCCGTACGCATCCTTGAGGCGCTGCTTCATGTCGGCGACCTCGGTGTCGGGCACCTCGAGACCCGGCCATCCGTACCACTGGAAGCTGGTGGTCTTGCTGAGGCCGCTGAGGCCGGTGACCAGGCCGCCCGAGGACATGGAGAATGTGTACCTGCCGTCATCGGAGCGCTTGATGGTGATGGGGAGCCGGTTCGAGAGGAGGAGGAGGCGGCCGTCGATCTCTGGCGCAAGGCCGTCTGCGACGCTGGCGTCTCCCGGCATAGCTCTATCTCTGTGCCTGTGTGCAGGATACGTCGACGACGGGCTGGCTACGGGAGCAGATTTGCGGCTCGGCTGGGCTGGTTCGCGGCAAACGGAGCACTGGAGGCTGCTCTGTGTTCTTTCCAACGTATTGCGAGCAGCAAAAATTTGAGGCCCTCGAGCTCGCCTCTGTTTTCTCTGTCGAGGCGGACATCTGGAGGGGGTGTGACGTCTGGATTCTGGCAGGAGCGTTGGAGGGGCCAAGGTGCGTTCTTTCCAGATGTGTGTCAAGGCTGCGCTAAGCCTGTGCCAAGGCCGTGCGTGCTTGTGCTGCCGCGTGCGTGGGCAGCATGCTATTAGTTCCACACGGTCGCTGGCCCATGGTGGCGGCCGCGCCTAACCAAAACGAGGCCTGGTGGGGCCGCCGCGGATGGAAGTACTACGTACATACCCAAGTGTCGACATCATACTGACGACAAGTTTCCAGGCAGATTGGTGACGCAAGTACTCCGTAGTACGTGCTTACATGTGCGCGCATGAGTGTTCGACAGACACCCTGCCACGTGGATGACACTCGTACGCGTCGACTGCTGCTCTTGATGACGGGGCACGGGTTGACCTACAATGTCACGGACCAGTCTGAGCAGGTTAGGTGAGAGGTCGAAATTGAATTCGACCGGTGGCTGGTCGTGGTCGGTCTGACCTTGGTCGTGGGCTTCATGGACACATTTAGAAACGGCCACGAATGCAGAAACATCTGCCATCGATGGATGCTGAATCCATCTTTCTACCTGTCGAGTTCGCCTCTTGTCACGTGGTGTCATGGCTCGAGGCCCCGAGGCTCACAGGTAGTCTAAAGGTGGACTTCAACTATCGCTATGGAAATGTTGCCAATGCAAAGTGCTCCCTACTCACACCTGAGTGCCTGAGCAGTCCAAGTAGCACTAAATCAAAGTCTTTACGTGATGGCAGCAGCAGTTGGGTCTTCGAGATAAAATGGCTCGTTTGTTACACTCATAATAGGCACGCCGTAGGAAAAAATACGTGATTTTGCTCCCGGGCCGTGGGGCTGTGGGACGCATCCGTCAGCCAAAACTGTGTTATCGATAACGCGTCGAACCCAACGACCCCGAATTTTTGACGGCTCGTTGCCACGGACTCGACATCGCCGAATCTACCTTGCTCGGCAGACGAACCGCCGCCATGGAGGCGCCTCCGGACTTCAAGGCTCAACAGGAGAGCATCCAAAAGGCCCTCGTATCCACGGTCAAGTCCGTCAATCGCATAGCCGCGGAGGATCTGGGATTCCAGCGAACCGTAAACCCCGATGTCGCGGAACAACTTGACGACAGATCCGCACGCATGCTGCATCTCTCCACACGCCTACTTCAATCTGCCGCCAAGGCGTGCGGTGTCAAAGGCCCGAGGCTCGAAGATGCAGAAGACATCGATATGAGATGGCAGGCTATCGTGGATGTGGTGGATTCCGTTCTCGAAAAGGCCGATACCGCCATGGACGAATACACTGGCCTGGTGAAGCGAAAAGAACCCCCGAGCGCGGATACTGTAAGTGGCGCGCTGCACATGCAGGGACCAATACATCTGTACACGTACATATAACTCGCATGTGACCACCCGGCTAATTTCATTTACTACAGGGTCCCAAAGCGAAAAGAACAAAGCCAACGGGCAAAGTTATCCGAAATGCAAATGTCACCAAGCCCCAGACCACGTTCGAGAAGCAACCCGACAACTTTCCTACTGGCCCCTGGAAACCGATTCTCGCCAACAAGCCTCATGCTACTGTTTCATTAGAGCAGAGCCTCGTCAATTCTCCAGGCGAAGACGGCATAAAACAGTGCGTCTACATCAATTATTGTCTAAACTCATTCATGGCTGACATACCATCGCAGGTACAAACACCCTTACGAAACAGAAATCTCGAATATGAAGTACCCAGACTGGATATTCCAAAAGCACCCTCCCGTACCCTCACAACCGGTAGACTCAACAAAAGCTACCTGGGTAGATACCTATGAGGGAGTTCTCGAAATGTTGGAGGAACTCAAGAAGGCCAAGGAGATTGCCGTCGACCTGGAGCATCACGATTTCCGCACATACACAGGACTTGTATGCCTAATGCAAGTTAGCACCCGGGATAAGGATTGGATTGTAGATACGCTGCGGCCATGGCGACACAGGCTTGAAATTCTCAACGACGTCTTTGCCGATCCCAGTATTGTGAAGGTGGGGTTTCTGACTCTCTTTTTCTGGTTAATGGAAAAAAAAAAAAAAAAAAAAAGTTCTCACAGGTATTTCATGGTGCGTACATGGACATGGTTTGGCTACAACGGGACCTGGGCCTCTACGTAAATGGTCTTTTTGATACCTATTTTGCCTGTGATCTTCTTGGCTATCCAGGCAGAAGTTTGGCCTTTTTACTATCGAAATTTGTCGATTTTGATGCCGACAAGCAGTACCAGCTGGCTGACTGGAGAATACGGTAGCATAACATGAACCCAGAAAAATCATGAAAATCATGCAACTGACCGTCTGACAGGCCTATTCCGGAAGAGATGCTGTATTACGCTCGTTCAGACACGCACTATCTTCTTTATATATTTGACAACGTTCGTAATGAACTAATCGAAGCTTCGGACAGAAGCGATCCGGAGAAGGACTACATCAACCAGGTCTTGGAGAGATCAAGAGAACTGGCGCTATCACGGCACGAAAACCCCGACTACAACGAGACGACCGGTGAGGGACCCAGAGGGTGGTACAACTACGTGTTGAAGCACTCTCACCTTGCCTTGAATGGGGAGCAGTTTTCTATATTCAAAGCCTTGTGGAAGTGGAGAGACGAAACGGCACGACAAGAAGACGAAAGCCCCAACTTTGTGCTGGGAACAACCAACGTCACTGAAATTGCACGCGTCAATCCTCCCGATGTCAAGGCTCTGCACAGTCTATTGCCTCTGACAGCCCCTCTAGCCAGAGCGCGCCTGAATGATATCTGGGACCGGCTTCAAGAGGCCAAGACCAAGGGTGGACCAAGCTTAATGCAATTCTTTACGAATCTCATGCCAGAGTCAAGAGTAACGAGCAAGATGCCAAAACTTGCTCGTCAGCGCGTGGAGTTGCCAACTCTGGAGGGGCCCGATGTCTCGGTAGTGACATTGGTTCAGTCCAAGCTATTCGGCAGCATGCCTATAAGCTCGCGGTGGGAAGAGTCGAGGGGGTCGTCAACACCCATGGATGACAATATACCTTTTCCTTGGCAACGATTTGTCCGCGATTCCACCACCACTGACGGAGTGCAAGAGGAAGAGGCTGTCAGTCAAGTTGTGGAGAACATTCCTTCAGCGTCGGAAACGCCCAACGTTAAGGCTGGGGTGGAAGAACCTGACGAGGAGTTTACTCTGAAGACGGGAAGAAAGCGGAAACTTGAGTCGGAGCCGGATGAAGACGACGAGACGTCATCCTCTGGCGAATCAGAATTTGAATCCAAATCTGAATCTGAGTCTGAGCCACAGCCACAGCCAGAGCCACCGGCAAATGAGGAAGAAGACATGTCCGTTGCGGACGCCAGCGGCGTCATATCCATGGTAGATGATTCATCCGAAAAGAGCAAGAAACAACGCCAGCTAGAGCGTCGCCAGAGACGAAAACAAGGAAATGTCGAAATCGCCAAGAAACGGGAAGCCAAAGTCGCGAGAAAGGCCAAGAAGCAGGAACGGCGGCAGGGCAAGGAGGAGCAAAAGAAGAAGTACAGTGCTGTGCCATTTGATTATGCCAAGGCCACATCAGTCATGCACGCCAATCGTGGACAAGGTTCTCAGAGCGGACGGAAGGAGCAGAAGAAAGTGTTTGATCCGTATTCCAAGACTGGTGAGGATGAGATAAAGGGCGCGAGGAAAATGCCGCCTGTCAGGGGAGAACGGAGTGCTACGTTTAAGAAGTAGTGGGCACTTTACGGAGTCTGATGGCTTTTCGAACAAAGATAAGTTGCAGCAACTTTTTATACTATGTCTCGATCAGAATGGCTGGTGTGGTGGAATGGGATGCTTGTGATGATGCTCTCCCACACCTCGTAGCGCGAGACTCCACGAGCTGAAGTCTCCCTCCCCCATGTGTAGCACCAGGTGAGGGACAAAAATGACGCTGCTAGAGATGAAGATGCATGATGCAGCCGTTGGAAGCAGTAAGACTGTGATGGTCGTCGCCGTTGTCGCCCGCGGTGCATGTCCGTATAGGCGCAAAATTGCACGTTGAGGATCATCATCGGTAGATGTCACGAAAATGCGGCCGGAGCACCTCTCGTAGGAACCAGCAGACGGACAGACGTTGCATCAGACCCTCCATCCGAAGTAGAGGAGCCGTCGGAAAGCGGAAAGTGGAATTACGATGCTTCCCAACTTGATTGAACGGGGCCGAATTGAGGTCGGAATTGTGAGGACTGGCCGAGAGGAGCAAAAGAGAAGTCAGGCTGCCCGATCAGGCACTGGCTGAAGCAGAGAGGAACATGAACGGGGAGAAGGCCGCGGGTCAAGGTGATGCAAAAGCGTCGGCGGTTGCATGCGAGTCGCCGTTCTCCGTAGGCAATCATACGATCAGCCATGCACGATGCACGCCTCCTCGAGGATAGCATGCCATGTCGATTGGACTCGGAGACTTTCTGCTTGTCCTTCTCCTTCTTCTACTCCGCCTGCTTCTGCTTCTGCTTCTGCTCCTGCTCCTTCCCCCTTTTCTTTCATCGTCCATCTATCTCCCTCCAACTCGGCAGAGTGCTCCCACGCCTTTTCTGCGTTCAGCCCTCCAGATCAAAATGTCACCAATTCAACAACAAAGCCTAACCGTCCCCTTGGTGCTCCGTCCATACCGCAGAGTCCAGATATGCAATCGCGCCATACACCAGCCACTGCCGCGTTCGTGCCCTTGTGCCTGACAGCTTTGGGGTACATGCAGGTCATGTGATGTACCCGTGAGGGGAAAGTGAGGGGACGCGTCTCTATCAGGCAACATCCTGATTTCCAGCTCCAGCTCAGAAATGCAATTCCGTCACCGTCTTCTTCCTCACAGCTCAATTGACCTCTCGAGTGCTAGGGATCATGCATCAAACATTGGTTGCGCAAAGCCAAAGCCACTTGAGAGGTACGTGGGTTTCCCCACGATGAGTTTCGGTGGCTTCTCTGCCAGATAGAGCCCGTGAAATTGTAAGTTTAACACTGCGTTGTTGATTGAAGCGTTGTGAGTAACTGATTGGTCCAGGGAGAGAAGCCAATCCGACAGGCTACCCGTTTCAATATCCTCAAGGCAATTCGACAGAAGTTTGCCTCCAGTTCGGCTTTATGTCCCAGGATTTCAGTCGGTTCTTGGTGTCAGTCGTCATCGTACCCGAGGTTTCGGATAGACGATGCCGAGTTGGGCCGCCATGCTTGATATCTATCAGCCGTTATAAAAGTCGTAACGCCGCCGGAGTTTGGGCCAGTTGGGTTGGCCAAGAAGGCATCCATGTGTGCTGTGGCAGAGCGTTGATTCATCGCAACGCTTGCCTTCCGTTCGTCCCTGGACTAACATCCAAACTCCCACGATTTACCACTGGAATACGAAACGACGACTCGGCCATGTTACGTTTCTTTCTCGCCGGCGTGTCCATAACCTCGTCGGTGGGGGAGTCGGCAGGCACCAATTGGATTCAGCTTGATCCAGGATATGGTACTACCGCATTCACAGCAGTCAAAGCAAGCAGCCAGAGTTCGTGTCTCGACCATCGGGGATAAGAGGACCAGAGCAACACGTCAGCCATCATCAGCATACCGAGCTAGTTTTCATATCTCAAAGAGCATCCAGAATGTGTCAACCACGTTGGGATACGTAAAACTGAGCCACAAATTCGCGACTATCGTAACACCATTGTGACACTGCTTTCGCATGAGCCTAGGAGCGTCAAGGTGCATCATCTAGAACCGGGTTTCGGTTTCATATATTATTTGATGCCTGACTATTACCCCGGCAACGCGCTATGAACCATTCTACTGCCTCAAGGTCCACTCGAGCTCCTCTGCTATCGCTCGTGCGATCGCTAACTGGTCGTCGGTTCAATCCAAGAGGAGCGGGTACGAAAGTTGGCACCGTGTGGGTAGGACTCAATTGCACCACTTTGCCACATAGTACACCTGGAGGGTTCTGCCCACATCTGATCAGGCTGGAGCAATTTTGACGAAGTGGACGCATTGAGATGCTCGGATTTGCTGCCCTGCACCGATTGACCCTCGGCAAAGCCCCTAGACTGAGGGCAGGCCAATGCCACGTATGCGGTCCAGGACCACAGCATGAGGAGTGAACACAAACTTCCCCAGATCTCGACGGACCGGGACCGGGCGGTACTTAATGTCAGAGCTTTGAGTTTCGGACGTTCACATTAACATCGGCACAGAGCTCAATGCCACACGTTGTCATTGCCGGCAGGTGGATTGTCAATGAATGTTAATTGTTATGTTCAACAAACGAGAGAAAACTCTTCATTTGTCGAAGAATCGAGGTAAATGAGGCTTTTTATTTTACAAGTCGCTTACTGGGAGGAATATGCCGGATGATTATCCCAGCTCTATGACAAAGACGGCACCCGTTTGCTTCGACGCCACTCCCAATTCTATGTCCTTTATAATGCAGTCCCCCCTTCCCGTTTCTCCTCTCAGTATCGGTTGGCAGCTCACGCTCACATTACCGAGCGCCCATAAATGTTGCACGAAGTTGTGCAAAAAATTCACCTCCTGACCTGACAATACAGCTCCATCATCCGATAGAAGCTTTCTCAATTGAGTGAGAATACGTTCAAGTCTGAGTTGGGGTTAGCTTGATGTGGCTATTCAGCAATGTTTTGGTGTCCACGTACGAATTTGGCCATGAGGGCAATCATCAGATCGAAAAGACCAATGGCCTCGACGAAAGCGAAACCCAGAATGGCGTAAGAGAAAAGCTGGCCACGGAGGGCAGGATTGCGGGCAACACCGTTCAGGAGAGCAGCGAAGACGAGACCAATACCAATACCGGCACCAGTCAGACCAATTGCAGCAGAGCCCATGCCCAAATTCTTGGAGACCTCTACCATGGCCTGGGCGATCTCAGAAGAGTAAGCACGGCGCTGGACCTGGAAAGCATTTCGGGAGGTGGCCTGCAGGAGAGTCGTGGCCTGCTGGCGCTTGAGGGTCTGGAGAGGGCTGGAAGAGCCTTGTCGACATTGTTAGCAGATTGTGTTCACCAATTAGATTCACGTCACTCATGGCCGGAGAGCTGCTCCAGCCAGGAAGGTTTTTCTTTTCTCAAAATATGCTTACCAGTGATGGTGCGCTTGGAAGCAGCAGCAACGGGCGCTCGGATGGCAGGGCGAGCAGCCTTGGTGGCCATCTGGGTAGCCAGACGGGAAGCAAAGATACGGGAGGCCATTGCGGTGATGGTTGTGAGGGGAGTGTTTGTTTGAGGAGAGGTAGATGGACTTGGGGCGGTGGGAAGAAAAGGTGAGTAGGAACAAGTGGGAGCAAAGCTGAGGGAAGAGGAAAAAGAAGAGATGGAAAGGTAGGAGCTGGGAAAGCGAAGAGAAAAGGGTTCCACCAGGGGTAATGGGCCCAAAGGGGGTTCGAGAGTCAGCCGGGGCAACAAGGAGCATGAGTTCGGCGATACTGGAATATGAGGCAGCGAGCTTCTCACAGCAAGCAGCGACGGTCAATGGGTGCGAATCTTGATGGAGAATGGAGGCTTTCACACGGCGGTTGGTAGCCTCTCGGGGGAAGCCGGGTGGGTACGCCAGAAGAAATGATGACGGGGGGTTACCAAGTACGGGTGAGCAAGCGAAACGAGCGAAACCAAGATCATGGCCTGAGGTGTTTATTTCTGTTTACGCACTTGGAAGGGGGGGGGAGGGCATGAATCATGCGCACTTGGTTTATGCTTGGGGGCAGGAAAAGACTTTTGCCGGGAACGCCAAACTCCAAACACTACAAACGGATGCCGATACGTTTGCTGGCGCCAGCGCAACATGTCGGGCCGGAAAATGATTTTTTTTATTTTGCACAAACGACACACGACTATACGAATTTTTGTCGATTCGACACAGTCTTGCGCAAACGCGTGGCCTCGGAAAGGGGGAGTGGATAACTTTTCGTGGTGGATATCGAAGCGGTAGTTGTCTGAGGCATGAAGGAAAAGCCAGCGCGCGATATCAAACTGATAAGCTTTGATCACAAGTCCGGGATTCGGATGAGAAGGGGCAATGAGGCTTCAAATAGGGTCCACAACCGTGCAAGCTGCGACAGGGTTCAAGACCCACTTGGCAGCTACGGCCTACCGTTGACGGATTGCCATGGGTGCAACGGCACTAGCAGCAACAGCAAGCCTCGAAACTCACAACAAGACTCCCAGCGACTTGCTCCTGACACGTGGGTGGATCGTGAGTGTCCACATGTGTGGGTTCGAAGCATGGGTAGAAAATGAGCTCGGCTATGTGAAAATCAGGTCGGCGGCGGATATTGGATGTCGACGCTCGACGACAAGGGCCCGCCACGGATGGTGTTTATGCCTGTGAAGCAGCGCAAGGCCGCGCGGATGGGAGGATGAGGAAGATGAGCAGTGGAATCAACACGCTTCCACGGCGGGTGAGACACCAGGTGCACATGATTCATGGGGCGGGAAGAAAAGGTATAAAGAGTGCCATACTTCCGGTGGCAGTAACCGGACATACGACACCGAGAAGCGACATGGACCAAGCAAGCCAAACCTGGATTTGTCGGACCGGCTCAGCCAGATACAAGCAATCATATCACTGGGCGAGCCGAGCCAGGCTGCGAACGTTGGCATGCCGCGAAAAAAAAAAGCATCCGAGAGGCGGCCCGCTCAAGCAAGCATCGTCGATCGACTGAGGAAGTCGTCCGCTACTAATGGACCCCCAATCGCAATGTGACATTGTCAACGCGTTCGACTTGGTTGTTGTTGCTCAAGAGCGACAGGCAGCAGAATCTCCGCCTCACGCACGCATCTTCACCTCGTGAAGCCGGTGATGGCATATTCCCACGGACGGCGAACACCCGGACGATGAGGGCGACCTTGCAGAGCATGTTTATGGCGATCGACGCACTGCAACATTCAAGAGCCGTCGTTGTGCTTGCTCGGTACTTGGTACTGCGCCCGTACGGATTACCAAGGGAAACTCGGAGGAGCAGAACAGGCTTCTTCTTCCTGGTCGACGCCGCGGCCCGGCTCAATGGCGCAGTCGATCTCAGCTGAGGTGAGGTGGTGGAATATGTTACTGGTTGGCTGTGGGACCGTGAAATAAATGCGCCGCTCAAGCCGCGGTGCTTACTTCTGCCGCACTCCTGGCGCGTCAAAGAAGAAAAGGGAACGCAAAGGTTTTTTCCGTTCCCAGATTGGCGGGAGCACTCCGTACCGGTACCACGACGACTGGTTCATTGGCGGTGCGCGCCAGGCATTCATTCGGGAGGGGAGCTACAGGGGCCCTGGCAAAAGGACGAGCGATGCTAGAAGCCCTGGCTGCAGCCGGCCAGAGCCGCAAGCCGAAGCTCAGTGCTGCAAAATGACGCAGGTGATCGACCATGACTCTCGTCACGGTCATGTCTGGTCATGGTTGTCGCGAGGCATGCATTGCACGAAAGAAGGCCTCGATGTGGGCACGGACAGGACACTGGCACCACAAGGGAAGGAGACGAAGAGTCCACGACGGCGAGTTGGTCTGTCCCACGAACTGATGCTCGGTCGGCACGGAGCACTCCGCCCCCTGTGTGTCTTTGTATGTGATCCATGCACTTCTGTTTGCAGAGCACGGCGTACCCAAGGCAGGCCCAGGTCAACTCGTCTCAGTGTCCCCTGTTTTGCGACACTGCATGATTTGTTATTGACTTGACGCAGTCGTGTCCTTGTGCAGTCCATTTCCGCACCAGCTCACGGTTTCACCAGACTGTTCAAGCTTCAATGTTCCTGTCTGCACCAGAAATGAATGGTAGTTACATTCGTTGACCGATGACGGATCAGCGTTCAAGCCGAGTCGAAGCGTCAGTCTTTGGCCGCGCTTCCAGGCTGACCGACGAGAATTTCCCGGGCGCGTCAATTGTCCAGGGTTTTCCCATCCTCTGTCTGGCCCTCTTTTTTTTTTTTTTCCCTCACTTTTTTCCACTCGCTCCCGTTTTCTGAAATCCACCCATGGTCCAGCATCTAACCCGATACGTCAAGCCGCAACGGGTCCCATGTGCGAATTGGATAAACCAACGTGACCTCGGTCGCTAGGCACGAAAAGGCGTCCTGAATAGCGACTGGCAGTGTGCCGTTGCAATTGTGCCAAGGTATTGAGGCTTGCGGGGATGGAATTCAGAGGCACGACAGTTGTCATGGCGGACGAAGAGGGTGTGCTCGAGAGTTTCTGCCTCTGCCGTTCCGGCCTGGATAGTAACGTAACGAGCACGATGTAGAATGCTGTGGAATGCAGACGATGCCATGCGGATGGGCCATTCGAACCTGGGCTTGCTCCCATGGTCACCTTTGCCTTTGTCCGGCCCAGCATCGACCGCTCCCATCGAAATGGAAACACACAAAATAGCGACCTTGACATTGCATATGCATCAGCTAGTCATTCATTTGGCACTGTGCGCTTCCGTGCCAAAACATCTGCTTCTAGGGTATCACTGAATAAAAAAGAAAAAAAAGTACAAAGAAAATAAAGAGCCCCAAAACACCTTGCCCAACGCTACAATACATCACGCCACGCCCCGGCGCTTTGATCCCCAGACCAAACCGAACCCTATGCCGCCTCAAGTCCCGTCCTCTCGCCGTCATTCCCGCTGCCATCCACCTTGACGGCATACCCCTGTGCGAATCCGTCCGGATCGCACGTCCGCTCCAGGCTGATACGATGGGTTGCCACATACCGCCTCACGGCCTCCTTGTCTACCCGCACTCGAGGCACGATCTTGGGCGGAACAGACCTTTTCTCCTCCGCCGGCCTCGGGACCGCATCCTGCTGCTTCTGGGCGCCGCCATCACCGCCGTCTGACACCTCTCCGGATTCGTCATCCTCGGCGCCCTCCGTCCTCTTCTCGGGCTTGCCGTATCCCATTCCCGCATCCTCAACCACGCCCATGTCCCGTAGAACCCCCAGACAGTCCTCGACAGCTATCCACGTGTCTCGACTGCAGTCATTGACGTCGACAATCAACTCCGGGGTCATCACCACTGGCGCGCCCGCAACCTGAGGCGGCTGCGGCTGCGATGACGCCGTCTTCTCCAGGCCCAGCAACCACCGCGCAATCTCGCCCGACCAAAACCTCTTGTAGCCCTTTTTGCCCAAGTCGGAGATGGGCTTTTCCGGACTGCCGAGTATACCCTCTCGTCTCGATATTTCGTACGATGCACCCATCAACAACGCCCCGAGTCCCTTTCGTTGCCACGGCGGAAAAACCAGGATGCAGGCCAAGTTGTTGTTGTCCCAAGACATTTTTTCCTTTGAAAAGAAACCACACACTTGCGGCGGGCGAGTGTGCACGGGTTCGGTTCCGGAGACCACCGGGCTGGCCGGCGGCGTGTAGACGAGCAGAAAGTAGTTGAAGCCTGCGACGTCGAAGAACACCGACTTGTTGTCCAGGAACAACTTTGCAAACAGGGACAGATTCTGGCAAAAGAGCTATCGAAATCTCATTGTCAGTCTCTCGAAGACGGAAAAAGGGGGGAGAGGCAGGTCCATGTCCCGTAGAAAAACTCACCCCGTGTTTCTCGCCGTCAACTTCCCAAATGCTCCATTCTCCTTCGTCTTGTACTATCTCTTCCGTGTATCGTATGCCGCCGTCACCACGGCGTCGCTTTGGGCCAGGTCCCCTGCCGTCAAAGGCGACTAGAACTTTTCTTCGGCCGCGAGGGTGCATGTAGACCTTTTTGCCTGGCACGACTGCTTTGCGCTCGCAAATCCGCACGTGTCCGCGCCATGCTACCAGCTCTTTGGCGTATTTGAAACAGCTAGGGCAGACGTACAGCCTCTCTAGCATTGCTTGGTTGTCCTTGTCCCTCTTTGAGGCTTTGCCAATCGCGTCGTTGTTGCCGTCCTTGCTTCCGCCGCCGTTTCTGGAATTGCCAGACGTGTCACCCAATACCTCCTTTCCGTAGTAGCTGGGATACCAGGTACGGAAGCAAAGATCCCCCAACACGACCTTATCGATGTTGCGGTCTGCTCGAGGAGGCCCGCGGTCGTTCACAGTCAAGGTGGGAGGCTTGGGCGGGAGGACGGGTGTGACGACGAGAGGCGCTGGTCGTCTGTCGAGGCGAGGTGGGAGCGCGGAAGGACCGTGAGGTCTCAACAAAGATGACTGGACCCGTCCCGGCAGCGTTGGTTGAGGCACATGATATGTTATTTCCGGTGCGACTAAACTTGAAGGGCGGACATGATCTTTGATGGCTACGCCCGACATGCTCCGTCCTGATGGAGGATTGGGTTTAACAGAGGGCAGCGGAGATGGAGCAATGGAGGGCGGAGAGACGGCAGTAACGATGGGAACAGGCACCGGGGTCTTGACGGGCGGAGGAGAAGCAGGCGGGATTGGAGGCGGTCGGACGATGGACTGCGGTCGTTGACGGCCTCTATTCGGTTGCTGACCTGAACCTAGGGGCGTGGGTATTGGGACAGGCGTCTGGGAAGTGGCAGACGAGTTTGACACGGTGGTCGTTGTCGTGGTCGTGATGGTGATGGGGCCTGAGGCTGTTGGCTGGAGCCGTGGCCGTCCATTTGCCGCTCCAGTCGCCGTCGCCGCCGGCGTTGGGCCCGCCACAGCAGGAGGAGCCTGATGAGCCACCTTGGCCGCGGCGGCGGAGGTCGGGGGCAGCGGGGGTAGGACTGGCGTCTGACGTGTTGTGCGACGCATCGACGACTGCTCAGCCGGTGCTGGTTGGGCGGGCTTTTCTAGTCGCCTGCGTTTCTGGGGCATCGCTCGAGGTCGTGATGCGGGGGGAGCGGCGCAGCGTGTCGCACGTCGCGCGTTCCTGCGATTGAAGGGGGCGGCGGCGGGGATGCGACGGTCGAAGCATGCGGTTGCGGTTGCGGTTGCGATTGCGGTTGCGATGGCGATTGCAGTCGCGGCTGCGGCTGCGGCTGCGACAACGCGCAAGAAGCGGACATGGATGCCCCGAGGGCGCCAGGTCCAGCTCCAGCTCCAGCTCCAGGTGTGGAGAAGGTCCGTCGAGCTGGCGGCGCAGCATCAACTCGTGTTGCGCCGGGCCACGATGAGCGTGCGAGTTGGGCGTGCGGACGAGTGAAAGTACATGGAGATGAGAAGATACAGTCAACGAGCCCAGATGGGATGGCACGATTGTTTGTGGACAAAAAGGCTAAAGGGTCGTGGCGGCGAGGGGCAAGGCATTTATAAGAGGAGACAGAGTGACCGAGAGCTCTTGCTAGTTTGGTTCTTCTCAAGCTCCATCCGTAACACGTCTGATGACATAGTATTCGCAGTTCGCTCCTTCCCTTCTGCATCACACCAGCACGCGTTTGTCACGTGTGCCACGTATGTATCTCGGTACCACCACCATCCAAGGTTGTTGGCATTGGCACCAGACGTGTTCTTTGCATCCTCATCGTGCTCGCGACACGAACGTGGGGGTAAAGTGACATGGACAACCAGCAAAACGAATGTCCGTCCATCGCAAACATCGCCCCGGATGGACAGGCTCCTTCGTGGAAGGCAAATGGTATGTAACCAGAACACATAGGGCCATCGCGTGCCATGATATGACGTCCCGCAGTAGATTCCCATCGCAGCACGATTCGCCTCTTCTGCTTCGGCCGAAACACCACGTCCGCTGACGACGATGTGCCCCGAGCTCGGCAACGGCTCGTGAGGTGACGTGGCTTGTACGGCCTCTGAAGGTCAATTCCTACCTAGGCCGTGCGATTTGGAGAGTTGGCCTTGGTGCTGTGATACTTTGATGCCCTTGTCAATCGTCTCTGCCCTGCCTTATTTACTCAGTAAAGATTCATAGCACCCGAAGCCAAATTGCAGCATCCGCCTCGGCGTAACGGTAGATTGACAAGGGAAAATCACTTCAAATTCTGCTCTTCGCTGCACCATCACCACTTCGCAATATCTGATACACAAAGGCAGAGCGTGGCCGGCCTCGTATATTAAAGCCAACGGCTTAGTGTTTCCGAGTCCATCCTACCAAAACCGTCCAGCTCTGTCAGCCTTCCTCACCCGTTCATATCTGGAACACCTCGTACAAAGGTTCAAAGCCCGTTACGCTTCCCCATAAACAACCTCCCCCTTTGCAGCGAGTGATCAATAAAATACGAATCAGGTACCAACCCCCGGACCTATATGTATGCCGGATCCCATCTGTTTCACGGGGCAACGTTGATGCGAAAACGGGTCACAATGCCCACGAAAGGAAGAACCCTCAATCTGTCGCATGTGTACCACAAAAAATGTAATAGTGGATGGGTGTAGCTGTAGTAATGACACGAGGGAGAAGCAAAAAAAGAAGAAGAAAAGTTACATGCCGTCAAAGTCTCCGCCCAGATCGTCCTCGTCTAGATCGCCTTCCTGTATCTCCTTGACCATTTCGCGCTCACGTTCTCGTGCCTCCTGGGCATTCTTAAGCTCCAGGCGGTGTTGATTCATCGGGAAACGCATGGCCTTGGGGCGAACAACTGGTTAGCTTGCTCCTAAGTCGGGAATTCTGCAATCACGTGGGGCCATGGCATACCTTGACGCTCTCGTCATGCAGGGTGAGACAAGCCCGAATTCGGTCATGGAATGCCTCTCCAGGCTCTCGTGTGGCGTAGACATCCCCGACCTCTTTGCTCTTCATAAATCCACGCTCGCGATCTAGAGTAGCTTCAATGACGCCATCTCTGATAGCCTTGGCTACAATATATTCGGCAGATTCCTCGCTGCCGAGGTGGAGGCGGATACAGATATCCCGCAGCGAGATGCGAGAGTAGGATAGCGACATCATACGTATACCCGTCTTGATGACATTCTGTCGAAGACGAAGGATAAGGGAGTAGGTTCCGTCACGCCGGAACGTATCAGCGTGGTCTGCAATCGTAGTCTCAAAGTCCTCCAGGTTGCCGACACGTACAGCTTGCACGAGCAAGAAGTACGGGTGCAGAGCGTCCTCCAGAGCAGGCTGTCGAAAGGTGGCTCTCTCGGGAATATCGCCCATCAGCAACTCGACAACCATCAGAAGCTTGGTGGCCGTCTGTGAAAAGCCAACGGCACAGTTACTGGACGGCGCCTTGCGAGTGGCAGCAGTCAGGTGCTCATGCGCCTCCGTGTATCGCAGCTGGATCGCCCTGATGCGGCCAAGGTAGTACAAGAACCGGGCTACCTGGTTGTTGACGGCATTCTCAGGGAATTGAGTATGAGAAACGAGCAAATCCGCTTGGCTGATATGCGAAGTCAAGAGATAGTTTCGCAAGAGCAGCACAATGACTGACGCCTGAGTGTCAATATCCTTTCGCAGCACGGCGGTCCGCAAAGCCGCGAGCAGGGCGGGGCGGATAGAGACGATTGGCGAGTCGGGGGATGGTGGTAGGGGTGCGATGTGCTCGCAGAAGAGAGAGAAGTAAAAGTAGACTTTTGCAGAGAGGCAGTCGAGGGTGCGACGGTTAAGAGACTGAATGCGGTCCGAGAGGTATTTGGAGAAGTCTGCACCCTGCTGATACTTCTTGGTGTCAAAGAGATGGACCTGGATCAGGATTCCGAGGAAGATGTCAATCTCGGGGATGATTTCTTTGTTCTCCTTCTTGCCATTCTTAGAGGCCTTGGTATCGACAACAGAGTCAACATCCATTTCGGAACTAGACTGGCGACCTAGAGACATGCTCTCCCGGCCCATGGCAACCAGCAGGTTTTTCGCAATGTTGCCGGACGTGACGGTAGCCGGGAAGGTGTCGACAATGGCTTGGCCGATAATGTCGGCGGTCAGGTGCTTGCGAATCAGAGAGATGGATCGAAGGGCTCTTAGAGAAAACCTAGCATCGAACAATGCAACAGCGCGATCTAATAATGCAAAGTTGCTTTTGATATCTGTGGCGCAACGGAGAGAAACCTTTGTCAGCAACTCCTCTCATCCACGACATCATTCGTGTACCAGGCCTTGGCCAGCCATGACAGCGAAGTCGCCCCCTTTGCCCAGTGCGAGGCGGAAAGACAGTGATGTTTTCTTGGCAACGTGTGTTCAGACTTACCTGCTACTGTTTGGACAGCAGGATCAACCTTGACCTCGCCGTTGTCGGCTGCATCCTCGCCACCCATCGACACGTCACCGTCAGCATCGTGCGGCTGCTTGGATGCTTGTTTTGAACCCTTTGAAGGGGGCACTACAACAGTCATCTCCTCGTCGCCGTCTTTGGCACTCTTTTTTCCTTTGGTCTTACCAGCGTCTTTCATGTCAATGTCGGCGTTGCTCCTGATGCCGTTTTCAATCGGCTCGTTGCCGTTGCTCTTGGGCGTCTTGCCGGGCATTGCGGCCGGTGCTTGAGTGGTGTACCTCGAGCCCGACAAAGAGCAGACTAGCTGTGATGGAGGAGAGCACCGATGAGACGCGATGATTGAAAGCAGCAAGGGTTGCTGCAGGTCTACCGGGCGCTCGTGGGTGCACGGCTGCGACGTCTGGGTTTCCTCGCTGCCTGTGACGGCGCGCACGAAAAGTCTGGACGGACGGACGGACGGACGGACGGACGAGGAGAGAAACGAGCGTCACGCAGACACCACTGCTGCAAGCTGTACGGTTGTTGGAGGTGATTGCACAGCAATTCGATGGGTTTGGCGATATAGGGAGGCGTGATGTCTGGTGTCCGGCCTTTGATGCGAGGTGGTGGTTTGGGCCTCGAGGTGCAAGAAGGTTCGAGCTTGAGATTGGAGACTGAGACTTCGCAGTGCAGGCGGCAGGAGCCAGGCGAGATTGGGGCAAGAACGGTCGGGTCGACGGTACTTGGGGCCAGGCCAGAGTTCCCACGCGACACCAGGTACAGGTTCTGACTGTCCGGTACCGTCCGGCGCCTGCTTGCCCATCCGCACACACACACCACAGTGACCACACCACACGCAACCGAGCGGGTGCCCTGTGGAGCCGCCAGGCGGCACTGAAGTGACGTTTTCGACCTCGTGCCTAGTCCTGCTTCTGCTTACCTAAGAAGACCACTCAGCACAGTGTCGGGTATCAATTCTGCACTGCCCATCTCGGCCTTGTCTCGACTCTCGAGCTCCTATACTTGCACGCCACAGACCACTACAGAGTAACTACGCAGCAGGGTGTCGCATGTTCATGGTGTCGACTTTTTCCCATAGGGCCGTCTACCACTCACTCCTCCATCTATGTCGAGATACAGCAAGCTGATTTCGGCTGCTGGGGAATGACGTGATGCTCACTATAGTCCGTGGTGAATTGATCCATGTTACCTCCAGAACAGTATCCTCCTCGGCTTGCGGCGCTGACATCGCAGCTGTTGAAAAAGGTTGGACGGTATATTGTGCAACTGAAAACATAATAAGAACTCCGTACCCCGAACCCTCGTGAACAAATGTGCCTTTCAAACGCCGATTCCTACTGCCCTTCCTTTATCCATATAAACGGCTGATATAGTGGGAGAAAATGTCTCTCCTTCCCATTGCCCCATCGATATCCTTCACGCGTCACCCTTTCCGGGCATCACCTTGGCGGCTTGTACCGCACTCATCTTTGCAATCCAGCCAGGTGAAGGCTGCACCTTCCGAACCGTGCGAAGTTCATCAGATGAGTATCCGGGAATTCGGATGTTATACGCCCGCTCTAGAACTAACTGGATGTCGCGAATCTCAAGCACTTTGGATCCCCGCTCCTTAGCATTACGACACGCAGAGTGTAGCACCGTGTCTACGAAAGAGTCGGCCATGGTCAGGATGCTCTATACGCGCACGAAAGAGAAGAAAAAGTTAGCCCCTGATCCCCCTTTACTGTAAACACCTGTGGCTCAAAATGGGGAAACAAGTGCGAGGTGTTTGTCTGTCCCTTACCTCTTCGACTTCTGGCGTCAGAAGATTACCGTCTTGAGAGTCACCAGAGCCCCCGCAAACTTGTCGAACAAGCTCGTCCAGCTTCTTCTTGCTCAAAACGTGATCTCCTTCAGCATCATGACTGTATGCTGGGATTCTCGCTAACGGGGGTTGGTTCATTACACCTCCTAGAGTCCCGCTTCCCTGTGACATGGTTGGACGCCCAGCCGACACGCCTCCGCCAACCGTAACGCCTTGCGGAAGAGCAGTTGCCTTCTCCGGTAGTTGTTTGGGAATCGGCATCTTGGCTTGAGTTCCTGTCTGGGTCTGCGTAGGGTGGGCGTGAGGATGGCCTTGTTGTTGTTGCTGTGGTTGTGGTTGCGGTTGCGGCTGCGGCGGTGGTTGTTGCACAGCGCCAGGCACCACAGCACCTTGATTCACTACTCCACCGGCACCCGCACCAGAGGTAGCGACTTGACCCTGACCTGGAGTGCTGCTTGGTGTACTTGCTGCTCTTTGGTTTGCAAGATTCATGGCGGCAGAATGACTCAGGGCACGAGTTGGACCTCCAGCGGTAGCATGTGTGGCAGACTGAGGGGTCTGTACTCTTGCGGTTGCTTGGCCCTGTGCAGCAGCCTGCACCTGGGCAGTGTTGACAGGAGGGGGATGCGGTTGCTCGGTTTTGATCTGGGCTTGTCCTTGAGGTTGCTGTGCTGGTTGAGGTACAGGGCGCGGTTGGCTCTGGGCCGCCGGTGCCGGTGCCGGTGCCGCTGCTGGGGTGGAAGCTCCGTTTGCTGGAGACGGACGATTCGGAGCCGCCAGGCTTTTCTGGGTCTTTGCAGCTTCGACAGCTGCGTTGACGGACGCCGTGACATTGTGTGTAGCAGCTTGGGCAGTGTTTTGTGCCGCACTAGGAGCCGCCTGAGCGTTGGTTTGCTGACTTCCCGATGATGCTGCGGCGGTGCTATTTTGGCTCGCCTGTGCGCCCGCTTGTTGCTGACTTGCTAGGAGTGTCTCCTGATGTTTTCGGACAGTCTCCATCCACTTTTGAGCGTCCTGGTAGTTTTTCAGCTGTGTGTCTTTTCTGGCTTGATATTGCCGCATCTCGTCGTTTGAAAGCGGTCTCTTGGCATCCTCTCTTTCTTTGATCATTTTGTCCACACTAGCAGCCTTGGCCTTGCTAGAGTCCATAGTCGACATCGCTCGTGCATACTTCTCTTTGATATCCTCGATCCACTTGGCACCTTCGGCCGGAGGTTTATTTGCGAAAGGAGGAGGCGCACACCAGGGAAGTTTATTAACATGTTGCAAAATCTGCTCAGGAATTTTGATTCGTGCCAATGCCGTTGATGCCGCTGCCGCGCCCGCCTCACCAGCCTGAGAATTCTGGCTTTGAGCTGGGGCCGTACTGGCGGGAGCAGTCTGTCCCTGGGAATCCTGGCTGGTAGCAGGAGTCTGTTGGGTTTTTTTTTGAGCAGTCGTCGGCGTTCCGGTAGCTTGCCCGATAGTATTTGACTGTCCGGATTGTGGTCGCGCAAGCTGTCCTCCTTGTTGTCCCTGTTGCTGCTGCTGCTGTTGCTGCTGTTGCTGCTGTTGCTGCTGTTGCCGGGCTTGGGTCCTTCGCACCTGAATCTTATTCACTAGCATTTTGGAGAACTCAATAATCTTTTGTCTCGCCGCGATCTGTTCCGGACTGTTTGCAGGGGAATTGTTGGCCTTGTTCCACAGCCCTGTAAGACCCATTTCGTATTTGCTCTTCTCCTCCTCGCTCAACAATGGCAGACTCCTGATTTGGCCCGGCTGGTACATTGGCGGTCGCGGCTGCTGGGTAGCAGCGCCTGGCTGTCCTTGCGCCGGGGCCTGCTGGGGAGCCTGTCCTTGCTCGGGACTCATTTTGTCGTCGTCACGGTCGATTGGAGTGTCGAGACGCTCGGAATGTCGGGTACCGGAATCAACTCCCCGACGACTGGGTTGTTGGCGCAGTCGGTTCCGGTTTTCGACTCCTTGAAGACAGTAACAATCTGTGATTTGGAAGTTGATGATGAGCCACCGTGATGAAGATGCCGTCGCGATATTGCACACTTCACAAGTCGTTGACAACAAGATGGTTCAGAGGTAACATCAGACAATGAATGTCTTCCAGTCAGTGGGTCCGGGCTTCCGGGGCCGTCATGATAAAGCTGCGTCGGAACATCTGTCGGCCCTTTCCTATCAAACCCCAACATGTGGCGTGACGTTCATGTATGCTTCGAAGAGTGGAAGGCTACCCTATATATTCTCTCGGAAAACTGCTGTCGCTTGCTGTTTGGTCATGCTGCCAGAATCCGTACTCGGTAAATGGCGCACAATGGTCGGATGGTACTGAGAAGACCCGTGAAGGCCTGCGACTCACTTAGACTTTATATGATATGGAAGTATGATTGTGTCAACTGAGACTGAAATCGTGCTATATCCGTTTTTTCTATCTCGTTCTTCGATGTAGAGTTACCCTGTGGTACTAGATGAAATCAATTGCCGCTGCAGAGGCGACAACAGATCCAAGAGGGCCGGACCCAGCCATGGGTATCACGCGATATGATTCAGGTAACTTACGTACCGGGTATTCGTAAATCATTTGCCTGACAACGGGCAAAAATACATACCTAGGAAGTAGGTAGTTACTTGAGAGCCTACTTGAAGGTACGGAGTACCTAAGTAGGTAGGTAAGTACTTAGTACTTGATAGCTCGGCAACAAATGCAGTAAGCGCATGGCGCAAATCAGTTTCACCCACGTGTCGTGCGTCTAGAATATTCCATTTGTCAGTCACGGATGCACCACAAGTCGTGGTCATATCATGGAAATGTAAAATTGCCACACGCACACGCACACGCACCACACTCATCGCGTCGATGCAACGGTGCGATGGCCCGTCACCCCTGCCGTCTCGCCTATCTCATCCCGTCGAGTGCTGTTGGAACCAAACGACCGTTTTCATAATACGTAGCCCTTGGTAATAGTCCTTCATCGCACGAGACACGGAAACCGTGACAGGCGTCATGTTGACGAACAAAGCGAACAGGGTCTCCATAAAACATGGCTGTCATCCCAGTTGCAAAGACAAAAAGGCAGCATGATTGAGGAGGCTTATGAGTCACAGCATTCGCCATGCGGCCCGTGAAAGGTCAACGTGGCCAAGCTTGCGCGGGGATTCGACGCTGAGCTGCAGACTGCAGTCACGGATGTCACTGCGCGCTCTGGTATTGTTATTGCTTTCACCGGCGTGAGAAGCGCAGGCCGCACAGAGACCAAAGGCAAATCGTACAAGACTTCCTCAGTCAGGACAGGACAGGACAGAGCCGAGCAGAGCACAGGCCCGTCAACGAGGATGGATGACGTCGACCCCATGGAGATATAGATATACGTACGGCCATGTATGTGTCTTTGACTCTTCCCCTGCTCAAGGTATCCAGAGCCAACGCCGTGGCCAAATGCCGACGTAGCAAAGGCGAGCTGTCGTGTCCTGTCCGAGCGGGAGGCTCCGGGATTCAGATGCAGATGCGCGCTTGTTAGGCAGGATGCAAATGACGATTGCCAGAGAAAAGTTTTCTGCTTCCGTCGTCATCGTGGGCGGCTCGCTGTTAGTCATTGACTTGTTGCGCATTGCTGCCCAACCACGGTCCATTTATGGTCCATGCAGGAGGGTGCAATCAGGGAAACACCACGACGTCCCGTTGGCTACGTGATCAACTGAGGGCCTGTGGCCTTGCGACATGGCGCTGATTCCTACAAGTGGATCGGCAATGTGTCGTCCTGGACTCCTGGCCGGACCCTGGCTGCTTCCTGGGAGCGACGCCAGCGACGGGACGGTTCATGGATGAAATAAGAGAGAGTACGGAGCACCTGGTAGTGAATAAGTCAACCACTCGGTACACATACAGAGTACGTACTGGTAGTTACAATACATTTATGTCTCTATATAATGTTGGCGTGGGCGCGGTTCCCGATGACGGACGGAGAAACGAACACCATGTTGGTTGGGGAGTCGATATTTAGTAGTCGACGTCGGCTGTGTGCCGCCGCCGCCAAATCCCATCAGCTCGCCCGTGCTCAGATTGACGTTGACGGCCTTGTTCGCGATCCACACGCACACGCCTCTTGTTGTTGTTCCAATCCATGTCGTCAGTCCCAAGGGCCAGGGCCGCGCTGGCTCCAGCCGAGTCTGATTCGAGCTTGAGCCAGACCTCAACTACATATCAAGACTTTGGGTATCTGACGAGCCTCGTAGGACTTGCTTGGGCTGCAGTTGCATAACTGGGACTGGGCCTGAGACTGTTGCCTCGGTCTTTTTGAAACGGCTTTCGTTTAATAAGGTGCAGTATGGTGTACGCTACCTAGTCTGTGTGCTTGGTCTGCATCTGCCGTGGTGTTGAGCAGGAGGACAGTGTGCCCGGCTGGCTTGGCTGACCATTTGCGCAGGCATCTGTCTTGTTGGGCTGCATGTGCATAGACGGCGGCGGACACGCGCGCACCGGGGAGGCGCAGTCCGTTCTCATGATACTCGCTCGGCACACGAACGGAGTTTGACAAAATAAACAGAAAAACAACAACAACAAAGAAAAAAAAGCAAGAGAGCCTCATAACACCAGCAGAAGCAGCAGCAACAACAAAAACAACAAACAGCACCTTACCTGCAGGGGGCCCCGTTATCTGGTGGCTTCCCAACACCACGAGCTGCCAGCTTTGAGCGTCCGAGTGTGCATGAGGTCCAGTTATTATGGAGTACCAGCAAAAGCACAGACGAGCAGCGGGTCGCAGATGACTCTTACGGCTTTAGCATTGCCCTCTGGTCCTCCAATACTGCCTGCCTTGGCAGTATTTATTATAGGCCCGATCATCGCCAACAGGCCGGTCAAGGAGGAAGTCGAACCAGACGGGTTCCACGCCGTCATCACCTGTCTGTTGCTGGGACCCAGGCTCCGAGACACTCATTCAGTCGCCTCTCCGTCGTCTCTGAGACGGTCGACCTCTTCCGTACCGGGTAATGCGTGAAGCTGAAGCGCACACCTTGGTTGGTCCTTGAGCACTCGGAACATCCATGCTATAACTCTATAACATCGTTGCTCCCTCCCGTCCCAGTTCCCGACGCTCTCCTCACTCGCATCTGTCCCGTCAACTGGTCTGGTTCGTCCATGAATAGACCTGCCAATCGCAGCGTTTTGTCAAATTGTCACCCTCTTCCAGGCTGCCCGCCGACCATACTCTAATCCCTCTTCCCCGTTTCATTGACGCCTCGTCACAGCTTCGACCTGGACTGCTATCCGCCGCTTCTCAAAAACTGTCAGCCACGAGGTGTCGACGCGGATTGACTTGCGCCTCGAGGACGCACTGCCTGCCCCAAACTGCTGCGTCAGCATCTGAATATGATATCCAACATCACCAGGATTTCTTCCTCTCCGTGTTGGAGGTTTCTCCTTTGGGTGCTGACACCTTGACTCGACTCGTTCCTAGTGCCCCGACAGCATTAGAGCACAGTTACTTGTTTGACCCCTTGTCTGGTTCATTCAGTCCTTCTTGACCGCTGCCGCCGCACTGGTAGCTGCACCGCACCTGGCGGTGCCAGCTCGAGAAACATTGATTCCTTACTGCATGAACACTCACTCACCCTTTGGCTCTGAACAGCGTAGCCACCGGCCACAACTGTCTGACTGACGGACGGACGGACGGCCAGCCAAGACTTTTGATTTGAATATTCACAACCGCATCGCCGGGCCGAGAGTTGCATTGGGCAATTGTTAATCCTCTTGGCTTCACTTTCACTACAACCCGTTCGTCCCCGCTCGCCAACATCAGAAAGTGCCAGCCCGGCAGGAGCAACCCGCGCACACCACCAGCGGCCGGAGCAGCCCAGGGCAAGAGCAGCCGCAAGCGACCTTTTGCTGACATCCGGACCCTCTTGTCTCCTGCCTGCCTCCTGCCTCTCCATCTCCTTCCCTTTTTACTCCATACTATCAATCACACTCCCGCTCGTACCCCACAGACCTGCGTTCGACCATCCTCTGATAGGATCGGACCGCAGCGCGGACTGGTTTCGGCACCAGCCCAAATACGTTGTTTCCCCAGATCGGTGGCGGTTTGGAAAAAAAAAAGAAACAAAAAGAAAGGCCATCCACCAGCATCGGACATTGCCGTTTTTACTTGCTATACGTTTTATCTACCAAACAGCCTAGGCAATGGGCAAACGCAACAATCATCGACGTCGGCCGTTGACATCAGGCCTTGATCTCTCCCGAGCTGTCCCCCGTGTCAACTATCCATCGGGAGCCACAGGCCCAACGTCACCGCCAGAAACCCCCACCGGATCGCCACAAATGGCCCGCAAGCCACCACGGCACCGGGCCGCCTTCTTTGGCTACTCTAGTCGTCCACTGGAACAGGATCCCAACATCAAGCCCGTTGGCGACGGTCATCAATTCAGCTACCGGAGAGTCATTGGACCGGAGCGATTAAGTCCCAGATCGTCGTCATCGGATCAGCCTGAAGACGGAGAGGAGCAAGAACAAGGAGCGTTGGATGACGATTCGTCCGTGTCCAATCTGATACAGCCTCAGAGTATCATCAATTCGTCTCCTGCAGTTTCGCCCGAGGACAGAAGCTTTGGACTTGATAGGGGAGCTTCCGAGGACGGCGATGATGAGGTTGAGGAGAACGATGACGATGAAGACGATGACGACGACGACGACGGAGGGGATGAAGACCACGAAGTGAAGCAACAATACTACGAGGACGAACAAGAAGCACGAGTGGAAGTCAATGCAAATGCACCATCTTATTTTCGTGCGCCTCCGGAGCCCAGATCTGTTACCACATCACTAGCGGGCTCTGAGGCAGAAGATGGAGCAGCCTGCCAGTCCCGAGCGACAGCCGCCCCCGACCCCGCTCCCGCCACCCTAATCTGTGAATTGATTATTGAGGATATCGATCCAATGGACAGTGGCTGCGAAGGTCTCGATGTTCTCTTTCCTACCGAGATTGAGTCCAATCCAAGTCGGTCAAGGTCACGCCACAAATACTCTGACAAAAAGATGGTGCGGGATTTCAAGAACCTCAGCTGCCGTAACGATGCCTCGGAGGACGAAGTAGATGCTGAGGGTGGATCTGGTGTGGATACCGAAGTTGCCTTTCTGAAGAGACAAAGGGAGATGCGACGGATCCGAAGAGTTAGCATGTCGAGCACCGGAAAGCGAACGCACAGCGAGTTCAGCGAGATTACCGATTCGGACAACTCTGACAATGGTGGTCTTGATGTCAATGAGGTCGGATCGAGCGCGCGAAAATTGCGCAAACGACTGCACCGAGGTAGCCTCCTTTTCCAAGATCCTCCCGCTCCACGTATCGACGAGCTCGACGAACCGACCTCGAGCGAGAATGAATATGACGCCGCAGATCCACTGGCTCGTGAACTTCCGTACTGGACAATGGAAATTATGGAAGTGGAATCGCCATAACGACACCAACAAAGCCAATGTTACAACCTCGATCGTCGAAAACAAAATTGATAATGGACGAAGTATGATGTTCTGGACGACCTGCTGGACAACGATGTGCGCGCCCGCCTCCAAGCTTGAGACACGTGTCTCGGACACATGGCGGTGGTTGTGCAATCTTGAACAGATGCAGGCTATGATGCACGATTATGAGTTTGATGATGAATGAGTAAGAAATGATGGATGACGGTTGTTGCTTGGCGGAAGTTTCGCCTTGACTGGCTGCTTATTGTCGAAGCGTCTGTTTAAGTTGGCAGGACCGTAGTCGTCAAAGTCCGGTTCTGTTACAGCATGACGTCGTACGACCTGTCGCCAGGCCGTTTTCTGACTTGACGAGATGGCATCAGTCAAGCGATTCAGAGTCGTATCCAAGCTCCTACCTGAAAGCATAATGATAGACCGTATAGACTGATTTAAATTGACCATGCTCTGTTTCTTTCGTGCTCCTCCAGGGATGCTCCTCGGATGCAGTGTGGCGTGCGCACACATCTTTCCCATGAGACCAAATGACGCTCGACTTCATTCTTCACTTGAACACGCGGATGGTTGTAGTACAAGGATTTGTTCTCCGTGCCAGACATTGTTTGATTACCGGATCGGACGATTTATTCCGTGTGACAACAACGGCCCATCCTGTCCTGCAGGTTCCGACAGCCATCCCTGCCTAGGTCTCAATCAATGGCTGGGGGCAACGTGCGCTGCCATGACCTGGGAACAGGTCATACGGTGGCTTAATATGGGTGATGTCTCGTCAGCCATGGTGGCTTTTGTGGATAAAGTTTGGAGGCGCATTATGGAGTACCTGCGAGCGAATCGAGTCAGTAACGTGTGCGAACCGTGGTGCGGGCCACCGAGGACGAGGGCGGGCGAGACACTGTCCGTCCACAGAGTTTACAATACTACTACAGAGTACTCCGTACATGCCCTAGAGCTGTATCTCTGCTGAAGGCTATTCCTGTACCCAGGTGCATGTAGCATTCGAAACCGTAGCAGCGACACGAACCTGAGATCCATTCGGCAATTACGGTACAAAGGCGGGGGAAGCGAGTTGCAATGCAACATTTGCGTTTCTCGGCGGCGGCTATCGCAGCCACGCCATGGCCCGACTCGGGTGTCGTGACCCTCATCTCTGCTGGGACAAGGCCAACGTTACGGAGTACTTAAGTCGCCCTTTTCTTTTTGTCTCTTTGGCACTCTTTTATTACGTACCCTTGGCGAAATACAGCCCACATGACCACTGCCCAGTGCGCCTCGTGTTCTGTCGGCATCCACCGGGTCCTGTACCGCCACGGACCTGATGAATTACAGGCAGGGATTGTGGCCGGGTTGCGGTCGCTGGTGTCTGGTGGGTTTCGGAGACCAGGCAGTTTCTCTAAAGTTGATTCCGCCAGCGGAGCCGCCCGCAGCGGTGTTCCGGACGCGGGTTGGCGGGCTGCATCGAAGCGGAAGCAGAAGCCCCCCGGCCAGACGGGGCAACCGAATTTCAGGGCTTGCCTTGCACGGGGACTATGCAGATCATGTGTTCGCATGACCAAAGATTGAGTGCAATGTGACACGGCAATGGTTGTTGGTTTGTCCGACCTTGAGCGTGTACGGGGAAAAATAAGGGACCTTTCAAGGTAGATGACGTAGAGGCAGCAAGTTTCGACGTTGCTATTAGCAATTTAACGGCTGCCTGCCGGACGGGATGGACGGCGCCTGTCTGGAAGGTCTGGGATCTGGTAGCGTCGAGGGCGCGGAGAGAGGTGTGCGTAAACTGTTTTGGGGATGATGCGTGAGCTTATTATTTAAAGCGTTTAAAGATAGCGCGCGCGGGGGTGTTAAGGAGGAAAGTAGATCAAGTTATATAACCTAGGGAAAAGAGGGGCATAATTACAGAGTAGACTTAATTATAAAAACTTAGAGAAGACAAGTATTAATATACCTAATGCCTACTAATAAGCATTACATTTTAGTAATAAGACTAGGACTACTTTCCTTTTTATTGTTTACTTAGATGCTGTTAATTAATATAATAAACTTACTAAATTTATAATTCTTAATGCATTCTCTTTATTACTATAATATATAGCTAACAACTTTTAAAAGTGCTTAGAAATAAGTATAGCAAGAAGAATAATAATAAGAAGAAGTATAACTCTAAATAAAGCCTCTCTATATTTCTAGTAAGTACTTATAGATATAATAGAATTAATAGAAATAAAAACAAATAATATACTATATATAATATAGCAAACTAGATAGAACTAATTTATAGACTTCTTAGATATAAATATATTAATAGGCTAGTATTTAGGATAATAAACGTCCCTAAAATCTTAAGACTATATAATTAGAATTATATATAGAACCTTAGAACTATAAGTGTAGAATCTTAGGACTGCAGAATTAGAATTATATATAGAACCTTAAGACTGTAAGAATAGCTTCTAAGCCTAGTAAGAAGAATAGAGATAAAACAATACATAATGCGTAGAATCTTAGGACTACAGGACTAAAGAGAAAACCTATAAAGAACACTAAGGGATTGCGCAGACTATAGAATATAAAAGAAGGTTTAGTAAAGATAGAAATAGGCTGTTAATAAATACTAGAAAATAAGTTAGAATAAGAATTAAATATACCTAGATAGATAATTAAAACCTTTAACTTTAAATAAAGTATAGAGATATTTCCTAGAATTAAAGAAGAAGATAGATAAAATAAGTTTTTAAAATAAGTTTAACTATAGATTTTAGGAAGACGCCTAGATAGTAGCTAGATATACTGCAATAAGATATTATTTTCTTTAGCTTTAGAAGAAGTCTAGGAGCTATAATAAGTATAGAGAAACAATATAGTAGCTATTATAATTAAAGACTTAGAATTATCTAAATAGTTAGATAACTTTAGATATAAAACCAATAAGATAAATAAAATATATAGTATACTAATATACTATAATAATAAGTTTACAAAATAAAATTAAAGGGGATAATTAATATATAAAATATATTAATAGAAAGTAATATATTATATATTGCTTTAGTATTACTAGAGAAGTTTATAGGTATACTTATATATATATTATTAATATAAATAGTTGCAATTACTAGAGTTATAGTTCTAGAGAAGCAGTAGAGAAACTACTAGATAATAGCAGACTTAGGTTTAAACTTCTAACTTTTAAGACTTCTTTATAACTTTATACTAAAGTAGAAAGCATAGGTTTTTATATATAAAAACTTTTAATATAATACTAGTAAGTATATAAACTACTTTCTCTATAATTACTTTACTATTATACTTTTTAGAGATATTTAATTAGTATTAAAAGATAAAATAAACTTAATAAAGTTATTAATTTAAATAAATATAGAAAGAAATAATTAAAGAGCTAGAGAGATATAGTTTTCTTTATCCCCTTTAAAATAAACTTATACTAAGATTCTTTTCTATTAATACTATCATAACTATTAATTAACTATTTATTTAACTTATTAATAAATAAACTATAAACTAGTTTATATTATCTACTTTATAATAATTATAATATAACTAGTTTATTATAGTTTTAGTAATTATTATAATATTGCTTTTATTCTTTAACTTCTTTTAAGTTAAAAATACTTTTATTCTCTTTCTAAAGATAAATATATTTATTTCTCTTTCTTTTTTTAAAGATAAATATTAACTTAGAAATATTCTAAAGACCTTAGAATATTACTCTTTTCTATATTATATAAGTTAGACTTAAAGTTAAATTTAAGCTTAGACTATTTTTTAATATAAATCTTTATAAAAGACTTCTTGCTAGATTTAATATATTTATTAAAAGACATCTTGCTAATATTTCTATTATTATTAATTAAGTTAAAGAGGTAGTTATTACTTTTATTAATTAAAACTATAAATACTTTATGCTTTTATTTTATAGAAGAAATAGAAGGAATTTTCTTTACTAGATATTCTAAGAATAAACCTACTTAAGACTATATAAATTACTATAATACTATAGCAGCTTTAGCAAGAGTACTAAAATATATAGAGACTTTAGTATAAATATACTTTACTTATAAACTAAGAGGGAGAGCAGCTATATAGTATAAGAACTTAAATTATAATAATTAATAATAGAATATTTTATTAGCTAAGTTTATTAAAAAGTTCTCAAACTTAAACTTATATATAGAGGTAGCTATAAAATAAGAGGTCTTCTGTTTTACTAGAGAGAAAGGTAAATTATTAATAGCTTATATTTGAAGAGCTAAGAACTTAGTATTAAAAGTAAAGATAAATATAAAATAAATATTACTTACTAACTTTATTATTTATCTAGCTAATAAAGAGATAAATACCAAGTTATAAAAGTAAGTATTTAACTATTTATTTACTTTAAATAAATAAATATAAAGAATAGTAGTAAAGAACTTAATAATAGTAAACCTTAAAATAATTTTATATAATTATTACTTATCTACTTTAAAAAAAATTATAAGATAGTATAGAGAATTAGTTCTAGCTATTAGCTTTAACTTAATATATATATTAATAAACTATTAAGTAAAATAAAATAAGTAATAAGTAGAATAATAAGTAAAGAGAGATAAAAAGATATATAAATTAATTAAATAATTAGAAGTATTTTAAGTTGCATAAAATAGTTCTAAGTTAATAAGACTATATAAATAATATAAAAGGTCTAGCTATAATAACTAGAATACTAACTAATAAATAAAAGGGAATTATATAAACTTATATATATTAAATACCCTAGATAGCTATAAAGCTATATAACTAGTACATCTTCTTTTTATATTAAGCCTAGAAAACTCTTTAGTAGGAAGAAAAACTCTGCCTACTTCTGTTTTTGCTCTCTAGAGCAGCTCTAGCTCTATGCTAGCTAGAATCTGCCTGTCTTCTGTGTGTATATAAATATTGCTAGCTTTACTAGCTGTATTTTAGAGAGGCTAATAACCCCT